AGCTTTTTGTTTCTCTTTAAGAGAGAGAAGTTTCTCTTAAAAGTAAGGGATTCTTTGTTGGAGATAGAAGATTGAAGAAGTGGTATAAGCCGAATTGAAGTAGGATCAATTCGGGCTCATAACCTGTGAGCAAGCGATACTGCGCAGGTTGGGTAAAGAGGAAGATAAATTAAAGATGATTGAATAAGATCGATTGATCTTTCTTCCTCTTGATGGAATAGGAAGGATAAAATCAATTCGGCTTAGAATCATAAAGATGAAATAAGACAAAGTAAGGTAGGACTGAAGCTTGGTTGATTGTATTAAATCTTGCTTGTATGTTATTAAACATGATTATTATCTTGGTAGAGAAAGCAGGGCATATTTATAATCAACTTGTCTCTTGTATGTGATCATTCTAGATGATGCATGATGATCTTATGCAGATAGATCTAGATGCATAGTGATCTTATGTAGTAGCTGTTTGATCGGTGGTTGCTTGATTGTACGATGTTATTGACTGTAGTGATGATGTAGATCGTGTTATTGACCGTAGTGATGATGTAGATCGTATACCATACGTCTTACTTGATGTCATTGACCGCAGTGATGATGGTATAGCATAAAGTGCATGACGGTTTAGGCATCTTGCCCTATATCTCACACTATCTCACGCGCTTTAAAGCTAGATTATACGTACGCGGAGATACGTAAATCCCTAATAAATAAGATACGCGTACTAGTACTCTTACTACTAGAACCTTCCGTATATTAATCGCGATTATTACGCGATTCGATCTTAAGACCTTCTAAATAGATATAGTTAACGCTTTTCTAAATAGTATACTTAAAGAAGAAGTATATTACCTATATCTACCGGGATTAGGAAGGAAATCAATAGTACTTCGCCTGTATAAGGTAGTATATAGCCTACGAATTACTAGTAAGAGATAGGAGGATAATATTAAAGAGCTACTCCTCTTACTTAGATTTCGGCTGTATCCTAATAACCCTACCCTTTATACTAACAATCGTATAGTGATTATAGTATTCGTTAATAACTTTCTAGCTACCTACTATAAAAGTAAGAGTTTACACGCTTACTAGATTAAAGACCTTCTCTTAAAACGATTTAAGATAAAGGATTATAGTAAACTTACTTAATTTATTAGGATTCGCGTTATTAGAGATCGTCTAAAGAGAAAGATATAGCTTAGTTAGGTAGCCTATATCGAAAAGATTACTACTAAATTCAATCTTCTTAACAAAAAGCCTCTAAGAACCCTACTTTTAACTAATCATAAGCTTGATCTAGTAATAGGTTAACTAATTAATCTAAAGATTATTAAATTATATTAATAAAAATATAGATTAACCCTTTTCGCGGCTATTTAGACGAGACTAGATACCGTATTCGCTAATTAGCTACTAGCCTAATCTGTGAGATATAGGGCAAGATGCCTAAACCGTCATGCAGCATATCAAGGCCTATACAAAATGGCTGAATCTCTATAAGCTTTATGCTATACCATCATCACTACGGTCAATGACATCTACAAATGGCTGAATCTTTATAAGCTTTATGCTATACCATCATCACTACGGTCAATGACATCTACAAAGATCATCACTACGGTCAATGACATCGTACAAGACGCATACAATAGTATACGATCTACAATCAAGCAACCACCGATCAAACAGCTACTGCATGAGATCACTATGCATCTAGATCTGTCTGCATGAGATCATCATGCATCATCTAGAACGATCACATGCAAGAGACAAGTTGGTTATAAATATGCCCTGCATTCTCTACCAAGATAATAATTATGTTCAATACATACAAGCAAGATTCAATACAATCAACCAAGCTTCAGTCCTACTTTACTTTTCTCTCATCTTATGATTCTAAGCCGAATTGATTTTATCCTTCCTATTCAATTAAAGGAAGAAGATCAATTAATCTTACTTCCTCTCTACCTAACCTGCGCAGCATCGCTTGCTCACATAATCGCTTACTCGGTACAACAAGAAGCATCTAGCTACCGCTAATTATCTTATCTCCTACCTATACAGGATAAGATATCTAGTAATCTACTTTAGAGATAGCTAACTAGATAGCTAGATCTTCACTATTTTATCCGATACGAGCTTTACTAATAATTATAATAGAAAAAGCTCTAAAGGATTTCTCTTCTGCCTATTCGGTAGGCTAATTAATTAGAGATCTTATAAGTAGAAGACGATTACTACGTTAACGATAGAAGCCGAACTACTTATAATTAGTTATACTACTAGGTAGCTATATTAGATAAAGCGGCTATTTTTATTTATCTAATTCGATACTAAGCAATCTAATTCGCTAGATTACGATAATAAGTAAACTATTAACCTACTAAATCGCGAGAAATCAGTATTTTAGACTAAACTACACTACGTAGATATTCATCAGCTTTAGATTCGGCAAGAAGTTTAGGCTAAGCGGCTAATAGTTAAATAGGTTAAGACGACTAAAATACTAGTAGATAGTCTCACAAAACGACTACCTAGCGAAAAACACTATAAATTCGTTAGGCAACTAGGTATAGAAGTATCCCCCTTATCCTAGATCTTACCTTTTATCTCATTCAGCTCTCAATTTGCTCTTGCTTTCGTCTTATATCGAGAGCTAAGGGGGTATATTAACTTATATAGGGTCTTCCCGTAGATAACTAAGCCGCCACTATCTTTTCCCCGGAAGAAACACCTTTATAACTACTACATTAATTTATTATATTGATCCTTAACGATCCTCAACGATCTCGTATTGAACTGCCTATATTAGCCGGAGACTACTCAATACTCTAAGATAACCTCGAACGATTCTTGATTTCTTTATGTGATATTTACTATGTACCTCGTGTTATAAATTCTGCCTATTTTCCTATCTAAATTGAATAAGTTTAACATCTCTTTTAACTCATAAGTAGATTTCTTTAGCATACCTGATTATACTCTTCTTTTAGTCTAATAAGCCGACCTCTATTTCTCTTATGATAGTCTCTCTTTACCTGCTTATGACATATATACTCTTTTGTGTGCAATCGGATTTTATGATCACTACCTAAAATCCAACAATATATATATCATAAGCTCGTCTCTGGCTTCGCGAGCGGTACTAGTAGGTATAGGAGGTATTAGGTTCGTGATAAAGTGTTTAAGGTATCTGTTTATAGCTTAACTTCTTATAGAAAATCTTAACTTGCAATCGAATACTGCTACCTCTTTCTTGACGAATTACTAGAAAGATAGTGTCAGCATATATGCATATACACCGGATTTTGTCCGGCAACTCTGGGCGTGTTTCTTCCGTTCTAGTGCTCACCCCCTCGCCGCTTTTGCTCACTGAGGAGAATTGAGAACGCCCCTGATCGACCTGAGCTGCTCAGTGATTATTACATAATCAGTCTGGTCTGATCAAAAGTCCCAGAAAGCCCCAGAGAAGTCCCGCAATATCCTCATCTTGGAATAATTACTTAAAATTTCCAAAATATTCAGGTAGGATCATGGAGAATTCTAAGAGCAGAACCAAAACAGGTGTAAAAAACAGTATTATATCTTGATTATTTAGCAGATTTATACACGCCAAGACCTTGATTTTATGCAAAATGGGGGGTGTCTGGGACTTTTTGGGGTGACCCAAGAGCGTTTCAGAAAACCCCAAACCCCATTGGGGTTTGGGATCCTGAAGTTGGACCCCATTTGGGGTTTTGCGGAAGACTAGACACGAATACCTGGATTTTAAACAATGTTGATAATTTTCAAATCTTGAACAGTTATTGCCGGTTACACAGAGAGGATCAAATTTTGTGTAAAATTCGGGGGCATATCTTGGCTTCCTCAGCCCATCTTGAGCTGAGTAATAGTCTCCAGCACCACGAAGAGGTGTCTGTCTTTTGCTGGAGGGCGGATGCGGAAAGAACGACAAGTTTCTCATCACAGCCCTGGTACATGAGCTGTAAGCCTCGCTGTGCGGAAAATTTATTCCGACCTGGTATTTAATCCAGGATTTGGGCACGACCAGAGATCTGCATATGGAACTGAATCCGATCTGGAGCATGGTCTAGGATTTTTCACCTGGTATTTTGGTCCAGGGATTGTGCATGACATGCTTAAGGGCCGAGAAAGTGAACACGCTAATTTCATGTTGCCTGTTAGTCGTGGGGGCTATCAAAACTTCATTGGCTGTTAGCTAGGCGTTCAACAGACTCAGACTCACACCTGGGTCAAGGGAGCAGACAAAGGTAGATCCGGGGACATTGCGTATCTGGAGATGTGATTTTGCAAAAGTATGGGCCAAATGTCAATAGAGCATCAAGTATCAGATTCAAGTTCTTATAGCCAGCGACCTTGAATTCTGAAGTATGAGCAGTGATTCTCTCGGACAGTCTCAAGGGTTGCAGCTCGAAGCTACAGTAATGCAGGTTCCCGAAACCGGGGAATATAGAAATTGGTAGGCCGAAAGATCGACAGTAGACAATTTTCGAATCTGCAGCAATGTGACCCTTAACAAAAGAGAAACTTTTGATCGAGTGCTTGATTGGCCATGCTCAACCGAACTGTCTGGATGCGACAAGGGGCCAGCTTCGTTGTTAGTAGCGCATGAACAACTTGGCTGCCAAGGCCACCTGAAAGGCGTCCAGACCACCCACTCTTCCATAATGCCCTGGGGCAAAAAAGCTAAGCTCATGTCAAGTCTTTCTTATAATTAGAACCTACTCTTCGCGATAGAATTCTGAAATACCCCTTTCAGGCGTCCTAATAAAAACCAGGAACCCTATTAGGTCTCAGCAGTCAGGCGGCCAGGCGGCAAGGCATTCCGTTCTATGAGAAGTTCACGTCTCTGTTCATGCTCTACGAGATGCAATGGCCCCAAAATGTAAATGGTGCACTGGATATAAATCGGGCTTCAAGTCTTTATCATGACAAAACCATATCTCTCATTGGGACTGAGCTATTACTATATGGACTGCTTTGCCATGCCGCTTTTTACTTATATTCTATTCTTTCTGATCGGCAACGGTCTTTGCCAAGTTCCCGCCAATGAGGAAATGAACTACATAGCCAGACGTATTGCCGTCGCCGACGGCCCATTACAAACACCAAGCCCTTACTTGCCCAACCCAATCAATTTTTTCCACGACGCTGCAGTTGACACCCTAAGTCAAACCCTTGCCAAAAGGAAAGCTGCATGCGTGCGGCATCACACCACAACCTCCGCCACCACCACCAAGGCAAGCCTATCATGTGGTTGGCAAGGACCAGATCCAGACCGCGGTGACGGCCAAGCAGCCTGTGTTTGCAACGGCCGAACGCTTCCTCTCTTGACCAATACCGCGGCGACAAATGTTTACCAGAGCTGCGATTATACTTCTATGCCTGGTCCAACTGTAACCAATCCTATCTCCATACCGAGCACTACCTGGACAAGCAATTGCAGGGTCTGTACGGATATTGGAGGAGCTGAAATCTATACGTCCACTTGCACAACACAACCAGGTTGCAAGCCAACACCAACAGCGACAGTGGAGGTGAGACTGTCGAACAACTCCATCTTAGCAGGGGACGTCATGGGTGTCGACCAAGGGGCAACTTACAGAAAGACGGCATATTCCGCATTGCAACAAAAATGTTCCGGTGGGGCAAATAAATGCGATTCCACTACGGCGGCTGCACTCAAGAACATTCCTATTTTGGAGGGCGGCCTTGGTGAAATGGAGGAGATCTTGTTCACGGTTCAACAGAGCGCATATAGTAGCTCAGAAAACCGAGATAAAATGATGGCCGCCGTGGCGGTGGCATGGTTCAATGCAACCAAATGTCAAGAAGAGACGTATAAAACTGGGATTACTGTGAGTAGAACTACCACAATACACATTCCAGCTCTAATCCTCAATCCGCGACAGAAACGAGAAGCAAGCCCTTGTGTCGACTGCGACCCTCCTCCAGTGCACGAAGCACACACAACAATCTGTGTAGGACCAGACGAGATTGGTATGCTGTCTGAAATATTTGGCGAACAGTAAAGTCACTTTTGCAACTAACATGTGTGCTATAGATGTCTTTATTTATACAGATCAAGACCCGCACGCAGAAAAGAACTATGCGATGATTAAGGTTGCCCCTCAACTGCAGGACCAATCGCCATTCGATCAGTTCATGTGCGACTTAGCTTTTGACGTCCTGGCTGCCACGATTTTCGAGGACATTCCATTGTTGGCAGACCTTGAATTGACGGAAAATCTGATTCAGGTCTCATGCGGAGGTGAAGAATAGCTATCAGGATTAGACCTCGGCAAGGACCTCAAGGGACAGGACCAAACCAGTCTCTCCGCGCCTCGAGCTTCGTAAGAGAAAGGTGGATTTAGGCACTCCAAATATTACCGCAAGCCTTGATTTTGATCGAAAATTTTTGTTTTTATAAGCCGCAATAGCCATGTGCATTGGGCCATTTGCATTCGTTTTTCTTGGGAAAGAGGCATTTTGTATGTTGTTGGTGTAATATCGGGACCTGTGAATTACTAGATGTGGTTACAGTAGTTTTGCCGTTTCCGGGTTGGCGCCCCAATACACCGTCACGTAACCTCTCCCTCAATCGTCCGAGGACGCAAATCGGCTCACCCATGCGGAGCTTTGAGCCGACCTGTAGACTCATGCCTATGGTACGGAGTAATTGGAGTTACGACAGCCGAAATGCCAAGGATACCAAATTACTACATATACAAAACACAAAGAAAGTGGGTCACTCCGTATAACCCTAGTCCAGGCGGTACAGAACTTAAAAAGACGCGATGAATCCAAAATCCAAACTCCAACCTCTCAACGAGACACGATTTCATCCAAAAACAGGGAGAAAACCATGAACCTGCTCGATCTCCCTAACGAACTCATCGTTTCCATCGCAAATTGTCTAAAGCAGAGTACATCACTCTCCCGCTTCGCCCGCACAAATCGACATGTTTATAGCCTCGTGATGCCACTCCTTCACCAACATAACATCAAATACGGCGGATGCTCGGGTCTCCAAGCGCAACTGACTCCTCTAGAAACAAAAGATTCCACGTCACAGTTCTTCACTGAGATAAATGAGGATCTAGAAGAATATAAGAACCCTTCTGATCTCACCACACCAGAGGGTCTCCCAATCCCGGTGACGGACGAGATACGGGTCCGCGATATCGTGATCGGTCAATTTTTCAAGCAGGGCGTCAACCTGAATACCGTCCACCAGGTCGAATACGAACAAGAAGAATCTCTCCTGCATTACCATGCTGCGGTGCGAAACACCCCGGCGGTGTTCCTCTTGGCGAAGCACGGCGCGGACGTACACGCGCCCAGTGGTTATGAAGAGCGCACGGCACTGCATTGGGCCGCGCTCGGGGGTTGCGCGAAGATCGTTCGCTTCCTGATCCAAAAAGGATTGGATGTGAACGCGCGGGACTGGGAGGAGAAGACACCGATCCACTTCGCAGCGGCAGAGGGTCACGTCGCCGCCATTCGACTGCTATTTGAAAATGGGGCGGATATCAACGCACAAGACGAATTTGGATACACTCCGCTCCATCTCATGATGATGAATGGCAAACCAGCCCCGGATTCATGGTGTATCCCAGCACTGAAGGCAATGCTCGAGCTCGGCCCTAATACCGAACTTGGAATGTTCGAGGATAACAAGACACCGCTCCATGTCGCAATCCTAAACCAACGAGACATCCACTTCTTGGAAACTCTACTGGAATCGGGGATAGATCTCAATTCCCGGACTGTAGAAGGACGGACACCGCTATCATGTTGCGTGGAGAGAGGAGACATGCGTTTGTTCATGATGTTGCTCAAAGCGGGTGCGGATATCCATTCGCGGGACGAGGACGGACGGTCCCTTCTCCAGATTGCACTGGAAGATGAAGACCGCGCGTATGGTTGCTTGCCAACACTCCTGGAAACTGGCGTGTCTGCCTTGGATTCCGATGCTGGGGGTGGAACGATATTGGTGCAGTTCTTGAAAGAGCGGGGCTGGTTGTACACGATTAAAAATCGAGTGGATTGTATACCGGAGATAGACGAACTTGAATCAGATTAAAAATAAAAAAGAATACATTCTTGACATATCTCGCTTCAAATTAAAGAACACCAAATGGCGCCTAACCAAAATGAGGCATAGACTCTTACTGACGACAACTTGTGTTTTGGAATATTCTCATCTTTACCTCTATAGTATTCTCTTTCGCAGGCCACTGCGCAATATCGTTCATTGAAGGCCAGAATCAGGGCTTGAAAATGACAGCATGCATGCGTTTGAGTGCGTCAAATAGATAGAGCCATACAACCTGGACAGCCACACCGTGAAGACATAGGCACATGAGATATGTGCTCTGGGTATTTTGCAAAAATTCAGAGGCAGCCTTGAGTATAAAATATGAGTAATTGGCTCTCCTATCTCTTCACTGCATTTTAATCAAGTGATAATAATCTTGAGTTTCTCTTGTGTGACACAGATGTATGCTTTTCTGTAGTCTCCTTCTGTCACGCGCTACTCTATATTTTGTTCTTATTGTTGGACGTGTCTATGCGAAAGTAAGACGTCTATACTGCGTTCCGGATCTCCGAAAACTGTAGAATGAAACAGCCGCCTTTCTTAGGCTTATTGTAGCAATCTGAATATATGCGCGTATACGTAGCGTATGATAATGGACTAGTCAAAGCACGTACCGTCGTAATTTGAGTCTGCAGGTTAGTTTTCATAAGCAAGGATTATTAAACCTAATAAAACAAGAAATAACCCTACTCAACTAATAGAAGCTGCCTATAAGGCTCGTTAGTGCCTAGCAGTTATAAGGTCCGGACTTCGCTAAAACAATTTGAAAGTACTTGTTTGCATAAGCCACGGCCTTAAGCAAATGACCCAGGCTCGAATAATTTGGGCATGAATGAAGCTGAGACTAAGGTCTTCATTTTTTTAAGGGTAAACCTGCTTCCGCTAGTACCGCTCGTCTAGGGCGATTCCTATTAGCGTTCTTAGCTTAAAGGTTAGAGGGAGCCATCCAAGACTACGGAAATATTCTAGTCTAGCTCGAGTTTCCTCGTAAAGTATAGGATTAGTCTAGTATTAATGCTTATCAAGTTAAGCTAGAGGAACGGACATAGGCGCTGTAAGAAGAATTTCGGATACAAAGGCTAAGGTTTAGATTTTGTGATAGGAGACTTAGGAATCAAGTATGTCAATGTTACAGCCAAAAGGAAGTCGAAAGAATCCTGTGCATTCCACGAAGGTATCAAGTCTAAGGAAGGAAGAGAGTAGAAGAGAACTACGGTAGCGCGCTGGGCCTTTTGTAGGCGACTGGCCTCAGGCACCTTCCTGGCAAACTTCCCAATTCAGAAGCCCAGTTCGGAAACATGCGAAGCATCCAAACGAACAACCCAATTCACCAATTGCCCTCCAGGACTTAATCATTACATTTAAGGTCGATCGAGGCAGTGGAGTTAGGATAGGGAGAGAAGGGGGGCGTTGAAAGACGCCTAGAAGAGAGGGCGGAGGAAGTATCTTATAGGCGCTTGACTAGGCTGCGCGAAAAGGAGAGGGGCCTAGGTTTAGATACAGAGGGGAGCCATTTTCGGCGTCGTTTTAGTCGCCAGTGGCCCGGGGGGGAACCATCGTTGAAGTCAAGCGTCAACAACAGGACGAGAGGAGGAGATAACTAACAGTGCTAGTTGGGTGCCGAATGGGGGGCGGTACGAGCGGTACAGGGCAACGGGGGTCAAGCGGCGGCTCGTCGTCCAAAGCTACGGGTGGAAAAGCGGCCGTTTCTGGCGCCAGAGGCTGTCATTCTCGGCGTCGATTTCACAGGTCCCTATATTCTAGATGTAAAATTGACGCGTTGAAAGATGTTGTCAGAAGGTTGGACGCGAAAGTGGACAGGTCGTGGATTAGTTAGTTAGTTACGTTAACTCTAACTAACTTAATCAAAAAAATTATATAATCAATTGAGGTGCCGTTACACGAATTCTTGAGGTGTCTCCGACCGCCACCCCTCGCTCCGCCGGGAACTACGAGAGGGGCCGGAGAACGTGTGGTTGGTCAATTGGTTTCTTATGGGTCACCAGGCGCAGCATCTCGAATTCCTTCACGAGCCGTCGCTCAGCCTCACACAGTTTACCGGACGCGAGAAGGTGACCTGAATCTTTGGCGCTGTCCCAGAAAATCGACACACGGAATTTGCAGCGGCACTAACCGGCTGCTGGTCTTTCGGCTCTTATCGACCGAAGTATTATTACCCTCCAACGCACATCGGCGATTTCGGCTACGAGAAGCGTCTTGGTGTTCCAATCTCGAACATGGTCATGGCCCTCATGCAATTACCAACAGAGTTGTTGCAACAAATCATCCCACACACCCTACCAGAGGGGTTTGAGAGCCTAGCATTAACATGCAAATTTCTCTACACACTGTGCATCCCCTTCCTCGAGTACCATAACAACCTACGCTTTCATTTCCAGAAGTTCGAATACAACAAGACAAACAAGGATTTTAGGGAGTTTAGATATCATCACGACTTGCTCCGGTTTCCTGATACAGCGACCTCGGCGTATAGTCTGATTTCGCGAATTGCTATCGAACCAGTCGTGTGCCGCTATATTCTTGAGGCCGACTTTTCCCTCGATAGTCATATCTATGACCGCATTCCCCCGACTATCCGAGAGAATGCCGTGTTTGAAACATGGAGAGATCGTGGTGAAGCCGTGCGTCAACTATTCGCGAACTCATTATGCTTGAAGGAAGCAGGACTCGACTGGAAGGAATACTATAGGACTATGATGGAGGATGTCCATAGCTGGCGCCGATCAGAACATGCTGCTGCCTTTGTTCTGACGCTTCTACCAAATCTGGAGGTACTCACGCCAGGCTTTTCCAGGTTCCGGTCTCCTGCGCCCCAAAAGCTCATCACTGCCATTCTTCAGACTGCCAGGCGAAATCCGCGTGGTAATGCCAGCCTTGCCCAAGTCACCGCATATAGTGGGAGTTGTGATATCCCTTGGGTTTCCTCGCTCCTAGCTCTGCCGCGCATCAAAAGGTTTTGGGGCCATGGATACATAGGCAAAGCCGTGGACGACAACTGTAATGAATGCAGATATCTCGAGACTAACTTAGAATCGACGCTTAAGGTGGCAGGGTTTGACGATACGTCCGTTGATACCGCGGCTATTACAGGTTTTCTTAAGCACACCCCGTGTCTCAAATCATTAACGTACTGGCATTCAACTAAAGCCAACGGGGGTCACCAAGACTGGGATCTCTGCGGATTCATCGCAGCAGTGCAGCATGAGGTCGGGAGCCACCTCGAACACTTTTGTGCAATCACTTTAGAATTACGCTGCTTGATAACCTCAGGGAAGCCGTACCTACGCGGTTTTGAGCGTCTCCAAAGTCTCGAGCTGCCGCTCGATATCGTTCTTTGCAATCGCAGAGCGTCAGATCCAGCAGATCATGGATCGTTGGATTCCGATTCCTTACTTGGTCACATAGTACCCGCGTCCGTCTCTGTTCTTTCCTTGTTATCGCCGGGAAAGAGCCCCCATGACAAGGCTCTTGAGCTCCTCTTCCGGGACTTTGCCAGTCAGAAACAGTTCCAAACCCCCAACTTGAAAGAGATTTCGTTGACTTGTCCTGATGACGCGGATGTTTTATACAAAGCACAGTGTGCGAACCTGGCAGCGGAGGCTAAGAGAGCGGGCGTGGATTTGACGCTATCAGAAGACCCGTGTCTAATTTCCACCGTCGGCTTAGGCGAGGACATATGCTTTCCGACTTACTCATGAAGTTACTCCTTGAACAATCTGGCCAATAAAGAAACACAAGACCGAGGCTGGATGAGAATTGCCGGATCTAAACAATGATTGACGCCTTTGAGCGACCTGTTATTGCCTGTTTTGCTTGCTTGCTTCAGACTGTTACGTGTCTCTGTATCACCCATCAAGTCCGTTGTTGATGTTCTCAATTCAATGCAACCAACATTCATAAGCATATCTCCTAATCTAAATTAATTATATTTTCTTTATTAGACACTGTGATGGGCTTTGAATCGATGTGCTCAGGAGAAATCCATAACCATCTTGTATGAAATTTGATAGGGCACCCTCGCGAGAGCAGAAATGGCACGGCAGAGAGAAATCGATGGTCGTAATTTGCATCTCACTCATGCCGTACCTAAGTATAGACAGATATTACACACATGATCCTGGCGCTGATCAAATCTATTAGGGGCCAAGAGCTGAATATTGGGCGGGTTTTACGTACAGGAGAACACCACACGCTTGCTTCCGCCTCTAGTATCCCACCGATACCCTCTCCAGATGAGGCACAGTCGTGCCTTTTTTTCCTATTGAAGGTGGTTCTTGGGGGCCTGAAGCAAAGAATTCAGGCCCTTCGTCTCGCCCCTCTATTTCGCCCCGTTCAATACAATGAGTGCCAACCGCCCTTTTGGGGCCAAGCATCTGACCCAACCCCCTTTAAGATTTGGCGTGTCAGGCGAGGCTGAAAGGCTGCATAGATAAGTGGCCTTCATTCTTCGCCGAGAACTATTCATAGCTTGAACAGGCGTCGGTTCATTACTCTGTTTCATTACCGCAGGCACTTTTCAGGATGCGTCTATTCCTATACCTTTTACCCTTCTGTCTTGCTGCGATTGCCGTTCCCGTTCCCGTGAATTCTGCGGACGAGAACGATGACCAGAATTGCGACGAATGGGATGGGGACATGATTGAGAATAAGGATGGCCCCACTGCAGATGGAAGTCCTGGCATAGGCATCGAGTTTGAATCCCCAATGTTCTATTTCAGCAGCCCTAGCTGCCCCGAAGCCACCGTGAACAATGCAAAGAAGAAGATACTCGCAGGGCGAAAGCAGAAAGTCGACAAGGGCAGGGTGCCCCTGTGGATGTTGACTGCCGACACAGGAGCAGGCGAAAGAGTTCTTCAGGCGGAATATATCATTGATGGTCAGCAAATCAAACTTGGGAGTGGGCAGGCAGAGACGGTTACAAAGGAGATCGTGAAAGACTTCGTGAGGATTGCACCGATCTGGCTCTCTCGCCTTGTTGCTAATACAAAAATATTTTCAGACCGACTGGCAACCCTGGCAAAAGCGGACAGGAAAAGACCGAGTCAAGATTGAAGTCGAAGACACCCCGTGCGACTTCTACATCGACGCACCAACCCCGAAGGATGACGCAAAGAATGTCTTTTGGCAGCCGCAGATTACCGCGCCTCTGCCGCTTGAGGCGCTGTACGTCCTGATGAAAGATCGCGCAACCTACACCCTGGTCCCGACCAACAATGACTACTACAATATCATTGGAGATAGCCCCAGGAGTCCTCTTGGAACTCAAGCTCTAGTCAACAAAAACTACTTCAAGAAAAAGCCGAATGGGATCGATCCGACCTCGCTTACGGATGATACCCTTGCATTCTTGAGCCTTATTCTGACATACGCCAAAACGATCGCCAAAAACCCGCTCAAGCAAGATGAGAGTGTTAAATTGCGATCAGTATTCATGCCTCGGACTGATTTCCACACTCTTTATACGGAAGTGAAATCACAACTTCCGGGCGATCTTTGGAACATCATCAATACCATTTCATGCTATACTCCAATGAATCCAAAGGACAAGAATCCCGCGACGCTCGACTTGGATAAACTTTAGTAAGTCAATCAATTTTCCCCGCTGCAGCATTCTTTCTAACAAGTGTGTAGCTTGGACTCAAAGCTATGTAAAGTTGAGGATCAAAATGGCAAAAAGACGTTTGTTCCTGGCACAACGCTCGGAAATGCGAAATTCGGAAGCACAACTATCAAGGACTGGATCGAAAATCTGGATAAGGAAGACTTGCTTACCAACTTTGACAAAACCATCGACGGTTCTGTTGGTGGCCTGGGGTCCAAAATGGAGAAGGTTCTCGGCGCTAGCCGCGATGTGCCTTTGTTTGAATTCCGAGATTTGAACTGGCAGGCAACCCCCGATATGGCTAATTTTGTGAAGGACGCCGACGCGAAGCTTAAAGAGCTTCACCAGAAATATCAGCAGGCGCCGTCGAAAGGAAATTAGTCGACCGGCGTGGGCGCGGTGAAGTTTTATGCTCTTCCTCGCCCCCTACACCGGTGCCACCACCACGGGCGACTTCTAGAGGAGGAAACACGAAGTAGATACAGTTATTATTTTTTAGCATAGTAAGGAGTCTAGGATTCTGTCCATAGTCTATAGGCGGTGCGCATAAAAATATTATGCATTTACCTTTTGATTAATTTCCGCAACTCGAAATTAGCAAAGAGATCGTGCCTTCTAAAAGACATAGTCATATAGGGCAAAATAGGGGTAGCAACTAAAGCAACACAACACGCTAATTAAAATGATTGTAGTACCATTAGAAAGCTTACATCAAGCATATTCCAAACCAAGTCTTATTTTTTCAAAAATTGAAAATTAGTAGGAGGAAAGGCAAAAAATACTCTCGGCCAATAGAAACTCGGACGAAAAACCCAGACGAAAAGTCACGTAGTATCACGATCAACACACCAACTACCAGTGCCACAGTGCTTGTAAGCCATTAGTTTTAGTACCATTAGAATCGGAACAAAAATTCAATAACATCAATTCTATACTTTTTAACAGTTCTCATAACTAGTAGCAGGAGAGTTCGGACGTAAGAACAGCTAATAGAAACTCGAACGAAACCCCACTTAAAAATCATATATAGTCGCGTCTCGTCCCATATAAAGCATTAGACCTCGAAAGGATCCGTTCTGATCTATATCCGGATCTGATTTTTCGATCCGCCGGATTAATAAATAGAACAAACATAGGAAACCCCGTAGTAGACTACGGCACTAACCCCAAAGACCACAGTTAACCGCAACCAAATCCAAAACCAAATAGTCTTCAGATCAAGACCGCAAATTTTTGCGGTGCGGTTTTGGTTAACCAATAGTTAGATAAACATAGCAAACAGGCCAAGCCTCGTGACCTTTTAGTTAGATGATTTTTTATACAGTCTTTTTAGTATTTTCCTAGTATCTAGTACAGAGGGAGATGCGCTTACGGCAGTCTAATCGAAACAGACAGGTCGAGGCACAGAGAAGAGGAAGATCCGCGTAGCAAGGAATAGAAACACCACACACCCACCGGAGGACTATATAGTTATCTCTACATGCGAGAAGAACGATTCATGAAAACCGCAACCGGTCGATCTGCTAGTGGTGCGATAGGAAGAGAAAGCACTTCCGCATCTATATCGAGTGACTTCTTATAGAGAATCCAATAATCAAAGTAAGGAACGATTTATTTACTAGTAAAGATTGCGTGTGTTGTACGTATGTTGCATGAATGTGTGTCCTTTATATCCCGATTCTATGAAACATATCGCACGCCCGAAAGGGAAAATAGACAAACAAGATAAATAGATTAAACGACGTAAACAATACATGACATAATGTCGGAGCGCAGCAGTATGGAGACCAGAAGGAAGATTGATATTCCGCATCGTTGTTAGTCATCCAACTAGTTAGTTGCCCACCTAAATTGCCAGATTTGGGGGGGGGGGGGGGAAGCATCCTATCGAGGATCACTGAGCATCCGAGATTGGTCACTGATCGAACACATGACTGCAGTGACCAGATCACTGAGCACGAGCCCGTGCTGACATTGACTCAGTGAGCCGGAGCCTGATCGCCCTCATTAAAGCGGCGGCAGCCCAGACAGGAAAGCCCCACCCGGCGGACAAAATCCTGTGTATATAGGCGCATATACACCAAAAATGCTCGGCTGAAATAGGCACACTCGATGCCCAATCAAACACGAAACGGGAATATTATCACCAGGACGCTAGAGCAATCACAGCTTCAACTCTTTATCCTGAAACTCCGTAAGTTTGTACGAAGGATTCCCCTTCGAATCATTAAACCCAACCGCCTGCACCAAATCCGTGAACGTCGTGTCAGGACGCGAGATAGTCCCCGGATACGGCTCCGGACCCAGGAACTTTCTCGACTGCGAGAATGCGCCTGGCGGCGAGTACACCTTGATACTCTCCATACTGGGCTGACGCTGGCGCGGAGGCGTGACGGGTCCTTGGACCTGTACCTCCGGCACTGGAGGAATGTCCTTGTCTAGTCTTGGTTGACCGGAGAAAAGGCTTCGAACCCTTGACCCGGTGCGGTGGAGCATTGACCGTCCACCCGTTGAGGAGCGTCTTTCTGCCGAGGGGCGGAGGAGGAAGTCTGTTCGGTAGGAATTGTCTTCGTTGGCGATGGGGCCGGAGATTCCCATTACTGCGCCAGAGAAGGAGCGTTGGGACCAATGGAGACCTGACTTTGGGTCGTGATTGTGAAGGTCTTTCTTTTGTGCTCGACGGCGGAGACATATTGTTATGATAATTGCGAGCACCGCGCCGAAGATTGCACCGGGGAAGAACCCTGCTATCACAGCCTTGGTAGGGAATGAGAGACAGGTGGAAGAGAGGGCATCGGTGGGGTTGGATTTGGAGTCTGAGGAGGAAGGCGAGGCGACGGGTGTAAATGTAGCGCCGGTGGTATCTGCTGTGGTAGCAGTCGAAGTTGATGAACTGTTTGAAGAGGTTGCCGTGCTTGAAGTCGTCTTGTCCAATGCACAGGTGCTATTCCCTTGGCAAGTGTATCCGAAGGGACAGCAAGCGGTTCCGCATGTGGGAAGGGAGGAATCGAGTTTGGTGGTTTTGACTGTATTCTTGGGGTGTGCCGTTGCATTTTGTTCTTGTACATCGCAGACAATTGGCGAAATGTAGTCACAGCTGGCCCCAGATGGGCAGCATATGGCGGAGCTCGCGTTGTCCAGGCTGATGCAGGTTGAGGTGGAAGGACAGCAGAAATCGTCTGGTAGACTGCTCCCACAGGAATCATAGGAGCTGGGACATGATCCTGAGCTCCGTGTAAGCAGATTCATATGATCAAAAGTAATAGCATGGCTTGGTTGGATGTTGGCCATGATGTTCAAAAACAAAAGGACTGTAGATCGTCTGGCGATTACACCCACCGACGATCTCGCCATATTGGCGGTTTGAAGCGTAGTACTCGGTCCTTCTGAAGATTTTGAAAGAATGAACAGAATATCGAGTGTCGCAAGAGTCGTACGAAGAATTGCAGGAAAACAGAGTATCCTAGCAAAGGTCGAAACGAAGCAGCAAGAGAGTCTAGAGATGTGGAGGAAAGAATTGAACGAGGGAGAAAAGGAAAATGCCAATAGGCAGACACATGTAGAGGTAGGCTGAAACATATAGGAGCTATATTAGGCAGTCAGGCAATAAAGAAGGGTCACAATAAAAGGCATTCATTTAAGAGAGCTTCTTTGTTGGCTTCTATTCATGGCACGCGCCGGGGGTCCCAATAAGGGACCACTGGCGAGTTTCACCATGACCTGCATGATCTAAATATGCAGTCGAGCGGGCGCTAAACCAGATTTCTCGTTGCAGAAGCAGCCCACCCAGCCAGGGTCACAGGAGGAGAAGTGAAGAATCGATCTGATGGTGGGCGCTTAGATGGAGGAGGGAAAGGGACGAAGTACTTGGAGAGGCCCTGATTGGCTGGATTATGTCAGCAAGGCTATGCCCGATGGGGAATTGCGTCGGGAGGGAAATTCTTCGATTTCACGAAGCTCCAAGACCACGCCCAGTCACATCTCTCGCCCATCATGTTCAGCCGACTCGTTAGGCCGGGCGCTCTGCGCGCGGCGTCATTCCAGGTCAGTCCATCTTGCTTTGGAGGGTTCCCGAATGCACTCATTGCCTGCTCCGCAGCGACTGATCGCGTTGTCTTTTACATCCAGACACCTACCTCCGCCCTGCGCCTCCAGACCCGTGCCCTGCACCGTATCCCTCAATTGCAGCATGACGCCTATTACAAGGAGAATGGTGTTCCGGAGTTCATGTCTCCCGAGGCTTTTGACTTCTCTTGGACCCAGTATCAGACTCTCCTCGTGGACAAGCTCAACCTGTTGACACAAGGTCCGACCCGACTCGTCCGGCGGAATTGTCTTTGGATCGCAAAGACAGGATTTTGCTACTACCTCGACGTGAGAACTATTTACTGACTGCTATCTCACAGACACCGTCGATGCGGACGCTAAGCCCGGAGAATTGCTGGTCAAGTACTCCAAGCGCCCAGAGATGGCCTCGGTCTTCAACTATGCCTCGATGGCTCACAACAACCATTTCTTCTTCAACTGCCTGGTCAGTATCAGTCCCGATACGAGTCTCTCTCTCGTCTCTTTACTAACACATTCCTCCATACAGTCCCCTACCACCACCAAGATCCCCGAGAAATTCGCCAAGGACATCGTCGACACCTGCTCCTCCGTCGAATCCCTGAAGATGGATTTCCTCGCCACCGCCAACGCCATGTTCGGCCCCGGTTTCGTCTGGCTCGCCAAGAACCTCGAGCGCGAGGGCCTGATGCAGATCTTCTGCACCTACAACGCCGGCTCGCCCTACCCGGCCGCCCACTCCCGACGCCAGCCCGTCGACATGGCCACACACTCGCCCGACGCACCCCTCGGCAACCAATTCGCCGGTTCAATGGGTGCCCACGCCCAAAACCAGAAGAGCCTTGCCCCCGGAGCTATTGACGTGCAGCCCATTCTGTGCGTTAACACCTGGGAGCATGCGTGGATGATGGACTACGGTATTGCCGGCAAGGAGGAGTACCTTGAGCGGTGGTGGGATCGGATTAACTGGGATGTGGTGTTTGATAACTACAATGCTATTAGCTCTGTGAAGGGTGCGCGGAGCACGGCTAACCGAGACCGGAGTCTGAGCATGCTTTGAGTCGAGGGAAAAGCTCTTTTGTTTGGATAATCTGTACTATATATACTATCACATTTTTCTTTTCTTCGTTTGGTTCTCATTCTCCTGGTTTTAGGGACTGTACAGCAAATACTGTTCGATAGAATTGAACTCCACAATCATCATCAGTGTACTTCTATAAGCAGGAGATAGTCTATAATCTACTGTACATACCTCTATCTCAGCCATCCCAAAAACCCCATTATATACAAACCCCTCACTTCCAGATCGCCCAAGTCTATACTTACCCAATATAGGTTCTATTGCCCCCGAGAATGACTCTCCCGGATCCGCTTCTCAAAAGCCTCAATCATAGTACCAGCCATCTGACCCTCCACCGCCCCCATAACAGTCGCATGCAACTGATTCCGGAACTCAAACCGCACCTCCAAATTCACCTTCGTCTGCGGTCCACCCTGCGCCCCAACAGAAGCCACAGGCACAAGTTCCCACCTCGTAGAAAGGTATTCAAAGATCCCCTCCGACGCCCCGGGGAAGAACCCACTCAACCCAGATGAGGCACCGCTCCTGGCACTGCCAGCATTGCCATCGACTTTCCCATACTTCTCCCCGCTCCGCGCCTCAACGGTCCAATTGGCCGGATCACAGTCCACGCGTGAGGTAAAGGTCTCGCTGAGCGGGCCGTATCCCACGGTTAAGTAGGCTTGTGTTGGGTATCCTGTTTCCGGGTCGCGGGCTGTCACGGTTGATTCGTTGAGGAAAGGGAGGAATTGCGAGTATGATTCGACGGAGGAGATCACTTTGAACAGTAATGCGGGCGAGTAGGGGAGTGTGCGGGTTGCGGTTAGGACGCGCTTGGGCGAGTTATTGTTGCCGTTTGGTGAGGAGGGGAGGAATGAGGAGAGAGAGGGGAGCCCGAAGGATCGTCGCGTTGTATATAAAGGAGTTGAAGCTTTTGTTTGATTGATTGCGCGGTGTTGAGGTGCGGTGCTAAGGGTTCGAGGTGTGGGTTGTATGCGCAGAAGTGAGTGCTTGCGCAGGCCTTGAGAGCGAGTGGAGGAGAGGATCGTGCGACATGATAGCCGCGAGTGACATGCTGGACGCATGGTTCGGGTGAAGGGTCGGAGCAGTGAACGAGTGTGCTTGTGTTGTGGTTGGAGATCGGGTTGCAGGGCAGTTCTGCAAAAAAAGGTCCCGAGTCCGCGGTGATCGGCATTTCCGGCCAAGGCCCCGTTCGACTTCGTCTGAGTACACAGTAACTAGATGGCATGTTTCACGGCCAGCACAAGTACAAAAAGTAATCAGTGAACATGTCGCTACGGTTCCCTAATATATGCAATGTATCCATGTCTCGATAATACCATTTTATTCATTTGTCATATATCATGGTTCCAGAAAATTCATCCCTCTAAAAGAGTACAGATCCTCCAGTCAACTAACATATCTGCGTCGAATAATCACCATTTGGATACGCCATGAAATCCATATCTGCAGGCAAACCTTGCGCTGCCATGATCCAGGGGTTTTCCTGGTTCGCTACAGCATATCCAGAGATACGACTGTCATACAGGCGCTAAACTCCAAAGTTAGTTCGATCATACCATTGGTAGTGTGTAACATGAATGATTATCTTACCCAATCAATTTGAGCTGGCGTGCTCAGCATGTCTCCGATCACTTCGAGTGATGAGTACGAAGGTGTCGAGCTGGAATTGTACATCGCGGATTGCACGTCATCAGCGCTGGCCGTGGCATGCATTGGGTAGAGCTCCTGATCCATTGTGGTCGAAGCCAATTGGAATGTCACTTGATCTGCGCTCGTTATCAGTCTCAGTATCGCCAAAGCTGGTTGTAAAGCTTACCTTCCATTGGAATCCCACGGTCCTCGGTCTCTGATACCAGACTCTCAACATTCCTGCCATGCACCTGACTGAGCATAATCGTCAAAGCGGCAAACGCCCGCTGCGTGTCTACAGATCGACGTCGTGCCTCCTTGAAAATCCGATGCGTGGTCTCCAAAAGGGAGATCAGATCAGTGCGTTCTTGGGCTCCCAAGCGAGAAGCACTTCCACGCTCATTGTCTTGAGACAATTCCAAGCAGAGAATCATAGCAGAAAGCACGAAATCAGTGTTTTGGAAAGAGTTGACAAAGAACCGCTCGGCGTACAGCTGACCGCCTGGTAAAGACTCATTCCAGATATCAGCATGGTGGCGCAGAGTCTCCCGAGCAGCAGTAAGGCAAATAGATCGCGAGTAGGCATATTTGTTCCCTGACTCCGCCATGTATCGCCGATGCAGCACCACGCGCGATTTTTGGTAGAGCAATTCCAAAGAGTATCGTCGCATGATGAGACCAGTTGATAGCGCGATGCATTGGGCAATGGGTTGGATGCGGAACGTCGTGGGCAGCAGGTTATGTGCTTCTTCCAGACGGCGGTCAATTGCAAGGATCTCGTCATATGGGGCTGTCTCTCGTGAATAGGCCAGGTCGACAGCTTGACCAAAGACTGTCATGAGTCTCGATTTTGCTCTGGAGTATGTGCAGGCTGTTACCTCTCCCTCGTCACTTCGTCCTTGTGGCAATTGGATAGTATTCTGGTCAAACTCAGTGTCGTGCAGGTTGGAGGGTGGTTCTGTGTCGAACTGCCAAGGCTGAATGGTCCGCGGCAGTCCAACCTGGAAGGATATCAAAATATCAAGTTGACATAGCAGGGACCATAGACGACGACGCATCTCGCCATCAAAAGCAGAGAGGCTCGGGTAGTGTCTTGCATCACGGTGATAGCCCATGCGCATGGCGAGACGAATTGTCATTGTCAGGAGGTACGAGACCCCGACCTGGGCGTCCTGGCTCCGGTAAAATTCACAAATTGCGTAGAGGAACAATGCCTCACACTTGTAACGACCTGGTGTGAGATAGTTCGCTTGTACTAGACACTGAGCTGCTCTTTTGCGGAAGATATCCCAAGCAGTGGCCGCATCCACCATGTCAGATGGCAGAGCTTGCTCGCATCGGCGATACCAAGATACCGATAAGGCCAGAATATCGTAAAGAATAGCAATCCAAGTATATGACACGCTGTACGGGTTTCCCCAAAATTGATCGTACTCTCTTTGAAATGTAGGGATATGGAGGGCAACTAGTTGCAGTGTCAGAAAATAGTCACTCGGGAGTCTTTTACACTTGACCTACGTAATGCTGGCTCGGTCGTCTTGAGGAACCGGGACACCAAACGATCAGCTATCGGTCGAGGGGGAATGTCGATGAGCACTTCTTCCTTGGTGACTGGCCTGGACATTCCCAACAGCAAAGTAGGAGATGGACCCTCGCCGAGGACATCCTCAAAGTCTTCCTCCTCGGAGTCTTCATGCTCAGCGATATACTCTTTCACGCCGTTGATCTGAAGAATCAAATCAGGATTAGCACAGGGTGTTTGCACGCAGTAGGTAATGAATTCAATACAGACCTCTTGCAGAACCGCACGCCAGTCAGCGCTGTCTATGTAACTGATGCCTTCGTCTTTGACGACCAGTGTTCCCGTATCGGCGGGAGACGACTTTGCCTCGCGATCGCCTACCGAGGGCGGCGTGTCATACGCGGTTGCATCCGACGAGCCAGCATTGAAATCGCTGACAGACTCGGCGGGCCTCTTCTTCTGAGACAGTGACATGACCAGATTCTCCAAATGCTGAAGACGATCTTGCACCAGCGTTGGGCTTGAGCGCCCGTGCTGGGGCTTTCCTCGAGGACCTCGGCCAACATAGGTACAGGTTCCTGCCTCACCCCGCTTCTTGCAGTTGGTGCAAGGGTATGAGCGATCGCATTTTAATCTGCAGGTGGTTAGAAAGATCGCGAATAGTTTTTTTTCCTTCAAAAGATCAGATCGCTGATATAAACAGCTTGGTACCTACTTCCGGAATCGGCATGCTGTGCACGAGAATTGGACCCGCGTTCTCTTCTTGGGCGGTGCTGGGGTTGAGGGGTCCGCGCCAAGCGGGTCCAGGAGTTGACTGGAGGATCGGACATGAGCGACTAACGGGGGTGTACACTTAATCAGACCGAGTTGGGGGCAGAAATAAATCGTCGTGCGTCCAGGCCAGCTCAGTAATCCGGCGGGGGCTGCTTCAAGAAATCCGATGGGATGGAGAAGGAGGTCACGAACAGGATGTGGAGGAATTAAGGTGGGAAGGTCGGACTCCGCCTTCTTTATCTCCGGGTCCAGGTTGGGGGCCGCTTTGAGCATCAAAGAATGAAGATTACCAACCCGAAGAGCTTGAAGTGGCGCGAGTCAGGAACCAAACTATGAGAATGGCAAAGGCTGTTGAGAGCTTGGCTACTGTCTATGTGTCCTTCTCATACAAAGACTGATAAATGTATACAGTACGTACGAGCCAGGGGCGCTCCCCGGGAAACCTCTCTTATAAAGTCTTCTGGAAGTCAGGCTCGACTCGTAAATGAGATGGAACGGTTAAGCTGGAATTCATAGAATAATATAATAGACTAGGATCCCGATTCAAGGATATTTGGGGTTGGGGAGGGGGTATATATGTTCAGGGTCGCAGGGGATAGATACAACGCCTCTTGAGTAGCAAACGAGGCAGGAGAGAACAATGGACACTGTACGAATCTAGCATCGCAGACTCGTCCACTCAAAGACGAACCTGGCCACCATTCAGGCGATCCCAGTCCTTTTGCCCAAAGGGGACATAAGTGTCACCCTGGAGCCAATACAGGCGGTCACTTTGAGAGACCTGCGACACATCAACTCCCTCCGTACGCAGGACATGCTTCTGCTGCTTATTGTTGCCAGTAGACACCATCGCTGGCATCGCGCGGATAAAGAGAGGCGCAGCAAATCGAGGCAGATTCTTGAGCGTATGAACCGCCAAGCTGTGGAGTGTTGCAGATGACGGCTCCAATGCAGGCCCCGACGTGTTCCCGCTGGCGATCTGCTGGTTGAACACGATAGCCGCACATCCGGCGCGACCATCGTGATTAGGCAGAGCGACGCCGTAGACATTAGCCTCATGCACGTCCGGATGGGCGCCGAGAACCTCGGCAACTTCATTGGTAGATACGTTCTCGCTCTTCCAACGATAAGTATCGCCAATGCGATCGGAGAAGAACCAGCGTCCATCCTGATCCCATCGAACCATATCACCCGTGCGGAAGTATGCATCGCCCTTCTTCAGAACATCACGCACAATCTTGCCCTCGGTCGCCTTGGAGTTCTGGAAGTAACCTTGGAAGGTAGCGCTAGGATCCACAGGATCGATGGCAAACAGAAGCTCGCCAGGGTCGCCGCGAGGAACCTTCTTGCACAGACCGGTCTTGGGATCGCGCCACGGTTCCTGAGTTTCGTGGTCTACGTCCACGATGGCCGAGCCACGACCGAGGATGAGGTTTCCCAGAGCGCCATTGCGGCCGATGGCGCCGGCAGAGAAGTCATTTGAAGAAATGTTCCATTGACCAGAGGTGCCCTCTGTCGCAGCGTAGAATTCGGCAATCGTGGGAATATTGAAGCGATCCTTGAAGCGATTCCAGATATCCGGACGAAGACCGTTGCCAAACGCGAGTCGAATATTATGCTTCTTGTCCAGATCCTCTCCCGTGACGGCATCGATCTCGGGCGGCACACCCAGAATGTAGCGCAGTGTCTCACCCACGTACTGGATAATGGTTGCATTGGTCTCACGAGCCTCCTTCATAAAGTTGCGAGCAGAAAACTTGCGCCCGATAATAATGGTCGACCCGTTCATCAAGCAGGTCACGAATCCCAAAACCGAAGCAGAAGAGTGATAAAGCGGCATGCAGGTGAAGAAGCGATCTGAAGGACCCATGCGCATCCAATCACCCACGAACAAACCACCAGACCAGCACTTCTTCCAGCTGACGATAGCGGGTTTAGGCAGACCAGTAGTACCACTGGTGTAGATCAGGATTGCCATATCGCGTGGGATCAAGCCAGCGCGCACCTTGTCATCTTCGCGCGCAGGCTCCATATCCAAGATCTGGGACTCGACATCGGAAGTGAAGAAAACCACCTTCACGGGACCCTTTCCATCGCGGAAACTCGGCGACGCAAAGGTCTCCAATTGTTCCGAGGGGAAGCAGTTACGAACTTCCTCATCCACGATCAGCAGTTTCGCAGTGGAGGTCCGCACCGAGTGGGTAAGTGGCTTGCCGGCCAAGTTATAGTTGATGAAAGCGGGGACCGCGCCAATGCTCCAAAGGCCGAGGACCATGAACAGGAAGGTCGAGGAATTCATAAGGTCCATCGCTACGATATCCTTGCGACGAACTCCTTGGACCTTCTTAAACCAGGCGCCGTAACGGAGAGCCATCAGATATGTCTCGTGGAATGTCCACGCCTTGCCATCGTATACGATGAATTCCTGGTCGGCGGTCGCGGGAGAAAGCGCGGAGTTCTCAAGGGCATAGAAGAGGTTCAGTTTATCACCTCGTTCGGCGTAGCGGGATTTAATTGACATCTTGAGGAGAGACTTGATCAGGCCGAGATCGTAGGAGAGGGACCATCGTGCGTTGAGATATGCCGCCGTGGCTGCGGCCGCTGGGAGAGCATAGCGTAGGGGGATGTCTGTACGTAGAAGGGAGCTATCAGCAGCGCTCAATCATCTCTTCAGAATGGAGAATGCCTTACCTGGCCAAGAAGACACCGGCATCTTGGGTGTCAAAGGTAGAGACCTGGATTGTCGCTGGGAAGGGCAATCGGGACAAACGGCGTGATCGTACGAGAGTATCTTATCGTGGCTGCGCGCGGTGGGGGAGCTAGTTACGTCAATGCCAACAGCAGTCGCCCACGGTATGTATAGACGGGAAAGGAATGAGCTTTAATGCACAGAGACGAGTATGAAAGCTCACGGCTAGGGTAATAAATGGCAAAAGGGGGGGAGGAGGAGGGCCCAGGATTGCGACGATGTCAAAGGTGGTAGAGTTGCCTCGGCATGGCGTTGATCGCAGTCCGGGTTATGCAAGTAATGCTTTGGGCGCGGTGGATACACCGCGTCACCTCGTGCACGTCGAATAGTCGATGCCTCTCCCCACGTTTTCTAACCGTTAAAACATCTATCGGCCTGGCCATCTATCTTAGTACACTGATAACGATAGATGGGCCATTGTGGTTTTCATGAATGCAATATTTCTCACGCTAACCCAACATTCCAACCTGCGAACGGCATCTCGGAGTAAAGCAAAAGTTACACCACCTTCACATGGGCCGGTGGCTCGGCTTTTTTCAGCTGATAACATAACAACAGGTCAGACCTGCGAGCATGGGCCACGGGGTAGCCAATATCACCCGGAGGTTGGTTTGAGTTTTGACCCCACGCAGTTAGGCTCGCGAGGTGCGTCGGGGAGTCGAAGTTTTAGCCTAGACACTGGCGATCGCCCCCAATAAGGCCTCTAGCTTCCGTGCCAGAGGCGCGTTCTCCATATTTCACCCCAGATAAGCCGCTCAGAGTGGGGTTACAGAATGGTCATGGAGTAAAGGCTATATAGACATTCGTTTCCCCTATCTCTGTATGGGAGACTACTACCGACTATCAATACACTTAGCTATGGATGCAGCAAGATATCAGGTTAAAGGTCGGCGAAGGTGCAGCTCAAGCTGTCCACCCGGTGCAAATCAATCCAGAAAGGAGGTGAACGTAGCTTTGAATTGAATTTGTATGTACTTTCTTCATGTTTTGTTTTAAATCCATCACTCCTATGTCTATTGAGGCGCCTTCGCCTTCTTCAACGCAGGCACTTCCTCATAATCATCCTCCATGAATTCCCTGAGTGCCTCGAGACCCTTCTCCAACACCTCGGTCTCGCAGGCATATCCAATGCGAACATAGCCCTGGAAGTCCTCCCCTCCTCCGAAACAGAGACTACCAGGCACAAACATCACCCCCTTCCTCTCTTGAAGCATCTCGCAGAAAGTGACGTCGTTCACTGGCTTGCCCATCTTGTTGAAGCGGACGAATGCCGTGGTTCCCGCACGAGGCTTAATCCACTCGCACGCCCAGCGATGGGAATCAATAAACTTCTCCAAAATGGCGAGATTGGTCCGCCCCAACTCAATATTTCTCTTCAAGAGGTTATGAATGCACTCCGGGGCAAGCGCGAAGCTAGCGACTGCGTCATCGATTTGACCGACGGAGATAGTGGTGTAATCGCGCGAGCTGGCGCAAGCTTCGATGATGGCTTTACTACAGGATGCGATCCAACCCACTCGAAGACCCGCTAGACTGTATGCTTTGGAGACTGAACCAGTCACCACGCTGTGTTCGTAGCCAAATGATAGAAGCGACGGAGGAAATTGCGAGTCCATGGGACTGATATTATGGAAAAGAGGGCGGTACACCTCGTCGGCGAAAAGTGTAATCGAGGACTCGCGGGCAAGATCAACGAGACTCCGAAGCGTATCGCGGGGGATAATAGCACCTGTCGGGTTTTGCGGGTTGCTATTGTCAGGAAAGCGATCAGTACTCAAGCATTCTCCGGCCATGTAGATTTAGGACTTTCAACGTACTTGATAATGATCAACTTCGTGTTCGGGCGAATCAGACTCTTGAGCTCTTCAATATCAACTTGCCAGTCATTAGTCTCCTTAGACTTCCACAAGCTGACTTCAGCCCCCAGAGATGCAGGAACCGAGTAGAGCTGCTGGTATGTCGGATAATGGCAGATAACATGGTCACCAGGCCCGACGAGAGTATACAGCAACAAGAAATTGGCCTGAATGGCGCCCGCCGTGATCAGGACATCATCCTTTGAAACTAAACCGGGAGTCTTCGCCGAGTAAAGATTGCTTAACGTCTCCCGCAGCTTATCAGAGCCCCGAATAGCTCCGTACGTGAGCTTGGTGGACTGAAGCGCGGTCAAAGGATTGGCATCTTTGTCCTCGGAGAGCTCGCGGAGGTCGTCGATGGAAATGGATGCGCAGCAGGTCTCGGCGGTATTGTACTTGGCAGTTGTCTCATACTTGTCCATCCACTACAATCTTGTCAGCGTCATTGTAAAGCCCACAAATGACTGAATCATGCACAAATGCGGGGATCGTACCTGCTCGACTGCGAACGCCTCTAATTTCACCATTGTGCCCGATTGTGAGGTCAGAAATGAGAGCAGGATCTATCTAGGGCCAAAAAAAGCAAATGTACCCAAGTATTGCTAGCCACCAAAGAACCGAGCTTGTTCGGTGCGTAAAGAGTCGCGTCGCTGTCCCTCCGAGGCCCCGCCAAATCTCCAAATCACGTGATAACCAGTCCCCGCATTGAAGTTGTGGGGCTCAGCAGCGTTGGGAGTGGTCACTGGTCAGTAGTGGACAGAAGGAGGTCACTTGGGAGTCTTCAGTACCTGGGCGCGCCAAACTTTCTACATAGTCATAAACCTATAATTGCGCACTCTACTGAGCTAGCTGTCATCGTATGTTCTAAGCTTTACATCTACCCCAGCAAATTAATTATCCTCCTATATATCTTGGTATGACAGAGTAAACCGACCTTGTTTGAATATCTAGGCAGAAGATTTAGATTATCCTAGGGTCTTAGGCTGAGTAAATGCGAAAAATAAAGGCGGTTGTGAATTTCATAGATAGATCTGACAGTGCCTGATCAAGAGGAAAGAATGTCCACAGTCCATCTAGGAAGTATGCATGTGCCTCATTAGCAGCAATCCGTTCTTCGGGAAATCGTGGCTGGGACTTCAGAATGGATTGCTTCGAGCGAGCATGTCTCTGCATTTGGTGTCATGAGTGGACGGACAGCTTTTAGCGGACTAACTTGAAAAGCATCGTTGCGATTATACTCCCGGTAGACTCCGCTCGATCTCCCCAATCACTCTCTGTCAGATCCCTGCATGCCAGCTGCCAGTCATGGTTGGGTCTACAACAAAATTAGTTCTCGAAAATGGCTCTTCATCCCATGAATCCTCGTAAACGTCCACAATCTGGAAAGGCAAATAGGGCCTGGCAAGCTTAACTTGAACCGTTAAATGGCAGTTCACACTCAATCAGACTCTGGGAACCCTTTCTACCGCTCCAAATCTTATTGATCGTAAGGCCTGCCCTCGTTTCAATGAGGCTATGCCAGGCTGTACGGGTGCGTTCTTGAGCAGACATAAGTGTCATCATGACCATGTCGAGTGCCGTGGCTTCCCAGTAGGCAGATGTCTCCGGAATCACATGCTCATGAATCAATAGCCTGCTATATCCACGTTTCATGGCATCCTTAACTTGCGCAAGAATGCTTTCACATACTTCGTCTGGCCAGTCATGCAAACAGTTATGCAAATAATAGGCTCGGGCACCTGGTAGTGTAAGTGTGTATTTTCACCTCCAAAAGAACAGTTTGTTGTGCCATATAGGCCCCTTACCATTGACGGGCTGTTTCGTATGGAAGTCGTAGTCCATACGGAGAATAGACGGTTCTAGATCCTGTATTTGACCTATGACCACGGGTAGATCTTGAAGGATCAGCTTCCCTGGGACCTCGGGGTGAAATTTGTGAAACAGCTCTAGATCATGGCCCACGTTTCCACCAATGTCGACGAGAAACGGAGCCTCTGGATCCGTGTCAGCACCGTCGATCAGCCTCTCTTTCACCGGATAGAAGCTAGGAGCCATCCAAGGCAAAGAGCCAAGGGCGTAGCCGCTCATGTGGTCACTAAAGTGTGAGCCATAACCCAGAGATTGTTGCCATGTAAAGGTATCCATCGTCGTTCCGTAGGCGTACATCATTGCCGTGTCTTTCGCGTCGGTGGGATTCACCCAACCTCGCTTCCGGGAGAACTCGTGGAATCTCATAGGACCAGCACTTGTACAGGAGAGCCTGAGAATGTGAGCAGCTAACCAAGAAAGAATTCAGGCTGAGAGACTGTGCTTACATAGCAAGGTAGCTATTCCCAATCGCTGGAATGCTCATCGCCTTCATAAAATTCGTCAACCTGTATTCGTCCACACCAATCTCAATGAGATACCCCATGGCGCTGAGGTGTCGCATTAGTCGACCTCAAAGGGCGTCAGCTAGCCCGACCAAATGGGCTAACGTGGGACATACTCAGAAGTACATGATCGATCCCAAGCTTCTCTGCCAACTCGCCCACTTTTTGTGGCTTGTCGCCGTTTTGCACCATGAGTTTCCACAAACCCGAGTCCACACCAAAGTTCAGACCAGCCATTGCACCGGTCTATCTGCCAGTTAATTTCGTTTGGTTTACAAGGCACTAACGGCGGAGTACTTGCATGTGCCCAACAGTGATAGATCATAGTCTCCCTGGGAGTTTCCAGAGCTTGAACCAAGTTGCGACATTTGGCAAGCAAGTCTTCCCGTCCTGCATTACTGGTAGTAAAGGAATCGAAGGCTTGTGTTATCTCCTTTAGCAGCGTGGGAATCGCTTCAATATCATTCGGCTCGGTAGCGGTGGAGACATCGATATGAGATTGGCCTTGCTCTATTCTTTGGGCTGGCATATTGCTCACAAACAAGCATGGAGACCTGGGCGAACTGGCAAGCAAGGTGATATACAGAACTTGTGTACTGCTGCAGATGTAAATGATTATGTTGCAGGGAGGCCTTTTCCAAGGTCAAATATACCCGATAGTTGCTGAAATCCAGAATTTTGCCCCCAATTGAAGCACCTTAGGACACCGCCTTGATGGATTGCTGATCTCTGATTTATATCCCGATCGATGTCCTTGCTCACGTCAACTCACGCTGCAGGACAAAGCCCTGTGTTGATGATTTGGCGATTCTAGACAGGTCATGGCCCAAGCAACAGGGGGTTCTAGCTCTGTTCCCTCCTGTCAAGAGTGGACATTGGGTCTTGTGATCTTGTGGTTACACAAAGGAGGAGACTAGTTTCCTGCAGCTGTTAGGAATAGCATCGAAAGCTATCGGTCGATGAATATCTGAGTTGTACGATCGCCATGCAGTATATAGCTGTGACTAAATATCACCATAAATTAAAGAAGGTTTGCAGGTCGACGAGATGCCCTCAAGTTTGAAGTGCTCATTTGCTCGGTTAGTGGACCACGTCACAAAGCCACTTTTAAAGTCGGTGAAGGATTTTGGAATTTAACCCACTGCATCCAAATTGCCTGGCCGGGTCTTTTGGTTATGCGAAGTCGAGCCAAAATGACCAGAAGAATTAGGTCTAGCCAGGTTCTTTAGAAATCGTATTGTATTTGGGAGTTATCATGCGCGGGGATATGGCTCCAGAGGCATCTGGGGCTCCCTTGCATGTATTAACCTGTTGATTTTGAGCCCCTGGGCCTGTTTGTGTTGTATTCGTTGCAGTCATGTAGCTCCACTCCTTCATGGTTCCTGCGCCTCTCGATCTAGCGTTTCCACTCCTCCAGCCAATACAATCCATGCCAAATTTCAGCGTTCTTCGCGCCAGATTTGCACCGCCAAACATGACTCCTTGCGCCTGCCTGGTGCCCGTACAATCAGGCTTATTGTTCCTCATTCACATCCTTCCCAATTCAAACGATCAGTGCTATGTAGTGGCTTGTCACATGACTGCTCATGCGCCAGGATACGAGGACAATGTTGTACAACCTTGGAAGGTTCTAGGCTAATGCAGTCTACACTGCAGGAAAATTCGGTTTATGCCTTCTAACAAAGTTTAGGCTATTCAGTGATAGCCTCGAGCAGTCGATGATATTGATTGAAAGTATCCAACTATAGTTCCGAAGATTTTCCAAGACCTCCTGAACGAGGTACTTTGAGATTTTGGTGCAGTTACGCTTTGACGACATTTCTACGGAAAACATAAACTGGAAAAAAACAACTACGACAGCAACGTAGTGGGGCCTACAATTGCAGGTAGACGAGAAGGCAATCATTCCCCCATCTCACTGGTAGGGATTAAGTATTACCATGCTAACTCATGTTACTCGAGCCCTTACGTGGATCAAGTCGGTGGTGTTGGCCCGTAGCATTTACCCAGAGGTAGTGTAGATAAAACCATCTCAATAATACTTAATCCGCGATAGTTCGCGATAGTTTCTTCTGCCTCAGCTATTCGCACCAAGAACTCATATATAGAAAGACCTTGCACAGGCATTCTCACCTAGGATTACCCCAACAAAGGCATATTGCGAGAGAAGGCCTTTCAGCTAAGCACAAATTGCATAACTTGCCTTGGAGCAGCAGTGTCTTCATGGGCTCAATTTCATCTCCTGCCTGGAGGCAGTTGGACGTCGCTGTTATAGGGGGTGGGATAGGAGGAATGTCCGCGGCGACCGCTCTGCGCCGTGCTGGCCACAAGGTGTCTATTTACGAACGTGCCGATTTTATCGGTCAAGCCGGTGCCTCTATTTCGTGTGCCGCAAACGGTACGCGCTGGTTGCACGAGTGGGGTGTAGACATCGCTAAAGGCGATGGGGTCATTTTACAAAAGCTCATCAGCCGCGATTGGACGACGGGCAAGATCCTGACTGAGTACGAGCTGGACGACTATGAAGAACGATGGGGATATGTGTACTACATGTTTCAGCGGCAGTGTATGCACACAATGTTGAAGATTTCAGCATTAGGGGAGGGAGAGGGGTGCCAGCAAAACTCTTCCTGAACCATAAGGTAATATGTCAAGTCACTATAAGCATCTACTTGCCCCAGTCCCTTCTGCAGTGGATCTAATATTCCCAATCAGTGTAAGAACATCGATCTTAACACCGGTTTGATTGAGTTTGAGAATGGACGGTCAGTCAATCATGATCTCATTGTCGGCGCGGATGGTATTGGATCTGCCGTTCGTGGTGTTCTCGGTATCTGGCCTGAGAAGCGACCTGCCGAGTCTAGCTGCCTACATGCAAACGTTGTCACTGAAGACGCAATTGCCGCTGGTCTTCCTGACTTCGCTCAAGATAGTGCCCTGCAGTTCTGGGGTGGCCATGGGGAAACCTGGGACAAAATCGTTCTCTCTCCATGCCGAGGGGGCAAGCTGCTGTCATACTATTGCTTTTTCCCCAGGCAGAAAGGAGACTACGTGAATCATTCCTGGGGAGAACCTGACCGACCGGTGGAAGAATTGCTTGCGCCGTATCCTCAACTCGATGCGCAAGTTCGCGGGCATTTGGCCCTTGGACAGGAAATCCAGCCATGGCGTTTATGGATGCAGTGAGTTGAGCCCAACGAATAAATTGGCAACGAATTAATACGCCCTATTCTCCACAGCGACCCGTATCCATATATTGCAAGAAACATGGTCTGCCTGCTAGGTGATGCAGCTCACCCAGTACGCCACATGATTACACCACGCGGGGTCAAACATTGAAACTAACAAATATTCAGATGATGCCTCATCAAAGCCAAGCTGCCTGTATGGCAATCGAAGACGCAGCCGCCTTAGGCATTATTTTTAGCAAAAAATATTTCACGGGAGACATATTCGAGTCTCTATCTACTTATGAGTCGGTTCGTCTGCCCAGAGCAACCAAGGTTCAAGCGGCAGCGGCACGAGCCTCGCAGAATATCAACGAGCGAATTGGTGAGTTACAAGTACTTAATGTTCCCCTGATTTATTCCCACTAACGACTTTTCAGGATTCTCTAGCAATATTGACAATCCAGTTTACGTAGTGAAGAGCGAGCAGGGGAAATTGACAATCGAAGAGATGAATGCGTGAGTCTCCCATATCATTAAACTGGTCTAGTCTGATTGGTGGCAGCTACGATATGCATATGCACATTGATGAGGTAGTCTGCAGACGTACCGGGGAAGCGTGTCATCACAAGTACACCCGGGGTCTGCCAATAGGGCTAAGGCTATCAAACGGGTATACCGTTGGAGCTGAAGATTGGTCTTATGACTAGAGTATCCTCGATGCGAGCTAAACTCAGCATGCTTTTGCACGGCACTGTCATAGAATCTCTTTCCTGCTGGGTATGCTATATGGTGAGCATGAACTCTGATCTAAGCCACGAGAATGCATACTCCTGCACATTGCTTTAGTTCAGTCACCGGGGATTGATCCCACCCCCGGAGGATGCTGGTGCCAAAGTCCACGGCCATAGTTTTGTGGCTTAACTAGTGACATTGGACTTGCTGGACTGCACAATGTTGAACTGCTCACCGCTAAACGTACTATCCTATGAGAATGCTCGTTTTCAACATCCAGACCATCCTTAACCTTTAGATATTAGATATTGATTCGTATCCCGCACGACGTTTCCGTGTCGATAGGTGTATGTTAGTGGGGATACGAGAGGAGGCAATAGTGGCGTGTATAGTTCAACAAATCGGATGACCACTTACGTCACTATAGCGCTGGGCAGGCTCGATTAAAAGGCCGTAGTTCTATCGGAGACGGTCTAGGCGACTGAGATCTTAGGGGAAAGCCTGTGGCTTGCAGAACCCCTCTGCTTAGTTTTATCTGATGTGCCATCACGGCCTTCCCGTCAGTCACAATCTATTTCCCGTAGAGATATGAGAAATAGAGAGCAGATTGCACTTGCCCAGGTAGTCATAGCTCTCCTCTGTCTCTCCACACGCTCTCCCTACGTATGTCTTCCTATGTCTATGATGACTCTGGGTGGGACTGACATGGCTATCTGTCCGCGATGTTTGGGCTTGAAATACTCGTCACTTTCAAGCAACGCATGCTGTGCATTTGTAGGAAAACAAGTGGGATGACTAAAAAGATACAGTACAGGTCACTTCTGCATGAATTCAAGTAAAGTTTCGGTAGATTCAGATCCACACCATGCGTTATCTCGCTCGAGCTTACACCAAATACAGTTGGCTTCACAATTGGGAGTTTGCGGGTTTCCATTGTTGCTTTGCCTCCATTCCAATTTCGATTCGTCGTAGTCCTTCGATCAGACTCTTCCGAGGTAGAGCAAACGTGATTCTGAACCAGCCCGGTTCTCCACTCTTGAACCTGGAGCCGGCACCAACGGCCACGCCTGCTGCTGCAAATTTTTCATATAGCTCTGCGTCTGTTTCTTTTGTTGCTAGCTCGCCTCCAACCCGCGCCCATATGACGCAACCAGCAACCGGTGAATAGAACATAATGTGATGGAATGACAAGAAATCTTCTACTATCTCCGCTGCTTTGCGCAGGCGAGGTTTGTTGTTGTCCAGTACATTTTCAACCGTCTGCAGATTTGAAAAGAGAGAAGCAACGGCGATCGATGCCATATTACACACCTTGAACCTGTTGAGAACCGCTAGTGCACGGCGAAGCCTGGGATTTGACTGCGTAATGAGATAGCCCTGAGGATGCATCAGCGTTGGTCTGCACGTGTATACTCGTGAAATATTCCGACAAACCAGTCGAATCCCGCTACTTCCTAAATCCTTGCTGATACTGTAAGCTACATGGACACGAGCGGGGTCGACGCCAAGTCGCTTCAGGTCTATCGACAATACCGATGTGAACTTCGTTTCTAGCCCAATCACAGTATAGGGATTGGCATATTGACTGCATCTAGTCGCCCCAAAATTCGAAAGAGCGTATATCTCGTCTGAGATGAAGTGGATGTTGTGAGCTTCACAAAATTGAAGCAGCGCCTCTAACCAGAGAGTAGGATAGATCTGACCAAGAGGGTTGTGGGGATTGCAAACGATGAGGCCCCGAATGGGACATGTTGCATTCTTCATGGCTTCGCTGTAGTGCTGTACAAGATCTGCTGCATTTGTTGGTCGCCTCGAGTATCTCACCGGAACTATGCGCACGTTGTTTCTCAGAATTGACGTGACAGAAAACCCATCCCACATGGGTGTTTCCAGTAGTATACCATCCCCAGTATCGCAAATCGAAAATATAAGGGTCTCAATAACAGATGAACATCCTGTGCTTGTCACGATGTGCTCGGGTAAAATGGCAACTTGAGGAAAGAAGAAGCGATTGAAAAATGATGCCGACACATGCAACAGACCTGGAGGTCCACCCAGCTCCTGGGAATATGAGAGATCCTGCTGTTTCAGGTCCAATGATATTGCGTCTTTGATTAAAGGAAGGACATCTGGTCGGACAAGCCAATTCTCCGCCATGTCCATTCCCAGCACGCCCTTTGGAGGATTTGGCTCGGCGGATGCATGGGCTGAGAGCCAGGATAGACTTCGCTTCATGCGGCCTGACAGCATTATTGACGAAAGGGCAACTGATGGAAAATGGTCTTGCGTGGAGGGATCCAACACGTCCGATCTTCCATTTAACTAACAGACTGGACGAGTTTATGTCTTCCGTATCAGCAGCAATCAAATCAGTCGTGTGTGGCTTAACTCACCGCTGTTTCGCAGCGAAGCTCTCTATACATGAAATGAAGCATGCAAGTCAACCAGGACACAGGGAACTTGATCAATTGATTCTAATCACCTGCCATGTCCTTACAGAGTTAGGTTAGATGCAACTGAATTGGTTTAAGTTTGATCGTCGCTGTGCTCAGAGCATAGATGTAGGCTGATTCAATGGCGTGTCTTAGTTATCTCCACCAGAGATTGAAAGCCCGCTGTTACACGAGAAACGACTACGGAGGGAACGAATGTGGGAAGTTGAGGAAGGGAAGAACTACTGCGGATGAAGGAATACTATAGCTCTAATCTCGCCCTAGGTACCAGTAGGTTCCGCTAGACGAACACTAGTGCAATCTGCTCCACCAGTCCTTGGCAATATTTCCCGGATGAAATAGTTCAAAATTGCCTCGTATTTTAGTCCGGTCACTGGCCCTACTTCTGCATATGCATGGGGTGCAGGTGGGGAAGAGATCTTGATTCTCCTTGGTAGAAACAAGGTACTCCGGTTCTGCACCAAGATCGTCCTATTTAAGTTATGGCGAGCGATCATCACGACAGATTGGTCAGTTGTGCCAACCTTGACTCGGTCGAAGTTTTGTGTAACAGGTGCACTAAAGAGGCAGGTGAGAACTCTGGCATACATTCATCTCGGTGTGCAGAATTGTAGAGGGAAATATCTCGTATCCTGTCGGGGCCTTGCCTTCGCTGAAACACTTTACATCTTAAGATCGCCTTGGACCATACATTTTCTGCCGTCAACCTTGTCACTTCTTGTCTTTCCGTGAATTGCTGTGCCGCGGATCAGAATTACACAAATGTGAGTTGCTGAGAGAGCTGAAGACGAGGCGGACTCCTATGGATGCAGGAATGATATAGTCTTATCCTGCCTTGTACCTTATTTAATGGCAAGTCCTGGCTTACAAAGGGGGGTAGAAGAGCAGTGATATTCCACATTTCACCATCTACAATTACCACTATTACCACTGAAGATGCTTTTGGAGTCTCTGGTCAGGCAACAGCCACTGGCTGTGCTGATTTTTGGAATCACCACAATCCTCGTTTACCATCTCTACCGCACGTACTCGAAACTGCAACACATTCCTGGCCCCCTCATCGCAAAGTTCACCAACTTCCATCGCTTTCTCCTCGCCCGTCGTGGCCGCCTCCACCTATACCAAGACCGCGCTCACCAACGATATGGCCCCGCCGTTCGTTTCGGGCCCAACCTAGTATGCATTTGTGACCCGGAGGCCATTCAAACAATTTTCAACCTGCGGGGTGGATTTCCCAAGGTCTGCCAACCTCATCTCTATAAAATAGTCTCTCTCCATCGTGATGGATGCTAATATCATCCGACCGATGCAGAGTAATATGTACCGCGCCTTCCGACCATGGACCACCGATGGCCTACTTCTCTCCGTCTTTACCGCAGAAGACGATGCGGCAAATCGAGAGATGAAGCAACACATCTCTGTGTATTACTCGCTCTCGTACGCTGTATCCTCTTTTGAGCCAAGAATGGATCGTGCTTCGCGGATGTTCTTTGACGAGCTTGATCGCCGGTTTGTGCCCACGGGAACACAGTTCGACGTGACACAGTGGATGAAATTTCTATCCTACGATACCATGGGCTTGATGACATTCTCCCGGCCATATGGCTACGTTCAGCATGGGAGAGACTTACACGGCATCATGGACGACGTGAAGAGGGCAAACCTGGTTATCGGACCCGTAAGTTAGACATGCTGGAGCACTTTGGCATGGAGCAAGACTCAACTATTTGCAGATGACGCAGATACCATGGTTCGATTGGCTCTTGCATAAGAACTGGGTAGCAAATCTCTTCAAACGCGAAGCCATTGCCCCTCTGCTGGACTACGTCTTGGCGCGTATTTCAGAGCGTCAGGAAGAACGTCGAAAAAATCCCAAATCGCCCGCCAATGCATATGTCGACGGACCCATTGCTGACGGCGACTTCCTCGGGTATTATCTCAATGCCCAGGAGAGAAAAGACAATGTGCCACTTCGATTTGTGTCAACCTGGGCTTTTGCCAATATTCTTGGAGGGGCCGACTCCACGGCTTCCATGCTTCGATCTGTGGTCTGTTTCCTAGTAGAGCACCCTGACGCACTGGAAACGGTACGGGCCGAGCTGCGGGATAAGCAATGCACTGCCACCGGGCTCACTCTACCTTTCCCACAATGGCATGAGCTGCAGAATCTCCCATTCCTAGACGCCTGTATTAAAGAGTCTCTCCGGCTTGACTCTCCATTCGCTATGCCTCTTGAACGAGTAGTTCCTGCAGAAGGAGCCTCCATCTGTGGTCACTTTTACCCTGGAGGCACCGTGGTTGGCATGAGTCCATATATTACTAACCGATATAAGCCGACATGGGGTGATGATGCGGATCAGTGGCGTCCACGTCGCTGGTTGGAAGCTGAACCGTCGCATATCAGAAAGCTTGAAGCCAGTCTGCTTACTGTAAGTCAAGTTTTGCTGACTTCCCTAATACGTTCAAAGTCTGATTGTACCAGTTCGGGGCTGGGACACGAGGGTGTCTAGGCCAGCACGTCGCCCTTTTTGAAATCAAGAAGTTTGTCACAGCGCTCTTCATGAACTATGATGTGAGTACTTGAGCATAAAGTCAATGGTCTATACTTACGGTTTAGATCGATCTTGTCGAACCTCGAGCGGAGTCAAATCCGTACTACTGGGTTGTATACCCAGAGAGCGTGCAGGCGACGGTTAGAAAACGCGAGTCCAAACAGTAGGTAGGACATATCCCAGAGAAGTACTACAGACACTGGACTCCTTGGTGCTTTATTCCAAGGTTGGTCCTGAGTTGAATGAACATTGCACCGTGGAACTGATCCACTGTAAATCCAACGCTGTGGAAGAATCTCGAACATTGAATATCCATCATTATTGGGTTTCTGTGAGTTTGCAAGGTTCAAATATTGGGATCATGAAATCATCGTCAATATAATGAAGCTCATATCCACATATTAAGATTGTCTAGGTGAGACAGGCCTCCAAAACCAGAGTCGATTATGGAACGCTGGCCTGTATTTGCCAGTGGTAGATATGCATCTAGATATACATACATGTATTCCTCTATCAAAATCATGATGACCTCGACCAAAAGGGTGTTCAGGTGAAGGAGCTGAATGAAATTGAGAGTAGACCAGCAAAGAAATTATCACCAATGAAGCAAAAGAAGATCTGGCATGCAGCAAGATAGGCGAGCCAAAACCATCCAACAGCCTAAGGATGTGGTCACCAAAGCAGGACAAGCATCTTCAATCTGATAGTTGCTGTTTATTGACGATCAATATACATTGGATATGCAGGTACCTATGAAGTTATCACCAGCCTTGCAAATATTGATCCGTGTATCGGGCATCGGGTCAATCGGAGCCGATTTTGCTACATCCACCTTGTTCGGAATAATCCAGGCAACTCCATATGCAACCGACATTAGACGAGTCAAAAAGACCACGAGATTACCGCCAAAAGCCACGCACCCTCCTGGCCTTTTTAGCCGACAGCCTGCCTACTCCTCTCCTGACGTGCCGTGTCACAAGTCACTCCGGGTTCCTGGCCCACCCGTAAAGGCACAGCCACCTGTTCTCCGCCCGCGTCATCGTCTGGGGCCATCTCCTCTCCGCTCTGGGGACCTCCACCTCAACAACTCATCCACCCTGTCCCTAACACCCCCCAACGAATCTATACGGATGTTTGAAGCGTACTACTAGCTTTGAGCTATTCTGCGATTTGCGCTTGCATTCTCGCTTCGGTCGCTGGCAACCGCGGCGGCTCAGACCAGGGCCCAGCCACCCCTGCGCAATATGCGGTCGGCATCCGCATTCCTTCTCTCGGTAATCGCTCTCGTCTGCTGCTCTGTCTCGATAGCAGCCTGGAGCGATGTCTACGATGTGAATCTCGTTCCCCGATCTCCTTATCCGCTTCTCGATGACCGGCCCCCCGAGTGTCCGCCCTGCTTCAACTGCCAGCTCGACTCCTACAACTGTACCCACTTTGCGCCCTGCAACAAGTACAACGGCAAATGCTCTTGTCCTCCGGGCTTTGGAGGAGACGACTGCTCAACTCCCGTGTGTGGTTCTCTAGCCGATGGCGAGAACCGCCCGACACGCAACGGTGACACCTGTAGCTGCAAAGATGGCTGGACCGGTATCAACTGCAATGTCTGCGAAACGGACAATGCCTGCAATGCGATGATGCCTGAAGGCGAGGGCGGCAGATGCTACAAACAAGGTGTCACCATCAAGGAGAACTTCCAGATGTGTGATGTAACAAATCGAAAGATCTTGGACCAGCTTGATGGCCGGAAACCTCAAGTGACCTTCTCTTGTAAGGATGAGGATAAGACCTGCAACTTCCAATTTTGGGTCGGCCAGAAAGAATCATTCTACTGTGGCCTGGATACATGCGAGTGGGGCATGGAGAGCGATTACGATAAGAACACGACTCACTACAAGTGCGAGAATGCCCATTGTAGCTGCATCCAGGACCGGTTCCTGTGCGGCGAAAATGGATCCATTGATCTCAGTGTCTTCCTTGATCAAGTCATCAAAGGTCCGGCCACTTTTTCCACTCAATCGACCGCGAAAGGCACCAAGAGTGTCTTCTCAGAACCCGAAATGAACAACCTTATCAGTGGCGTCTTCGGTGACCCAAGCATCTTCTTGACCTGCAACTCAGGAGAGTGTCTATACAAGACCGATGTACCAGGCTACGAGCGGCCGATTAAACAGATTAACACTCCTCTGATTGCAGGCGTGATCGCCGGTTGTTCGCTCTTCGTTGTCGCCGTGATCTTGCTCGTTTGGTATCTGTCCCGCCGTGCTGCTCGCCGAGGCTATCTCCGGCTGTCTCTGTCCGATGATTCCGATGACGAATCGGCTAAGCTTCTGGCTGAGCATCGGCCTGCGGCACTTCACTGGGACAATGTGTCCTACTACTTGAACGGCAAAGAGATCCTCTCTGGAATTCATGGTGCTTCGGGACCAGGACAGATCACTGCGATCATGGGTGCATCTGGTGCAGGCAAGACCACTTTCCTGGACCTCCTAGCGCGGAAGAACAAGCGTGGCGCTGTTCACGGCAACTTCTATGTGAATGGCGAAAAGTTGGACGACAGCGAATTCAAGAGCATGGTGGGCTTCGTTGACCAAGAAGACACGATGCTGCCAACCTTGACCGTTCACGAGACCATTTTGACCAGTGCTCTTCTCAGACTTCCGCGGGATATGAGCCGAGCAGCCAAGGAACAGAAAGTTCTAGAGGTTGAAAAGCAGCTTGGAATCTACCACATTCGAGATCAATTGATCGGCTCGGAAGAAGGCAAGGGTCGTGGTATCTCTGGTGGTGAGAAACGCCGTGTTGGTATTGCTTGCGAGCTGGTCACCAGCCCCAGCATTCTTTTCCTGGATGAGCCTACCAGTGGATTGGTATGATAGAAAACAAGACGAGTTTACTCTATTCCTGAAACTAACGGTATTTCTAGGATGCATACAACGCGTTCAATGTGGTCGAATGCCTGGTTACCCTTGCCAAGACATACAATCGCACCGTCATCTTCACCATTCATCAACCGCGCTCCAACATCGTTGCTCTCTTTGACCGACTCATCCTTCTTGCGGGTGGTCGCACAGTCTATTCCGGTCCTTTCTCGACATGCCAACAGTACTTTGATCATATTGGATATTCATGCCCTCCGGGATTCAATATTGCAGACTACCTCGTGGATCTCACGATGCACGCGAGTGTAGCCACTTCTTATTCTGACGAAATTGAATCTGCTGTAGATCGACACAATGGTCCGTCCAAGACTGCTTCGAGTAGCCTCCGAGCGGTCAAATCCGTCACGAGTGCTTCCAATGTGAGCATTGAGGACACCTCGAGTATAGCACCAGAACCAACGAGAAGACCAAAGAACAACCGGCGTGTATCAGTCAAGCAGCAACAAGATCGTCAGCTTTACTCCCGACGCAAGGATCAAGAACAGCAACGTCCCTTTACACCCAAGACCGACGAGGAAGATGCTACGCTTGATGTGGCGGAGAACACCCAGCAATGGCTTCGGTTGCATCGCCAACAAGGCAATGTTCCCCCACAGATTCTCGACGATCCTGACCAGCTGCCTCCTCCAGCACCTGGCCAGACTGATCTCGATATCCTGGTGGCCAGCTACGCTAGCTCAGACGTCTTCCGCTCAGTTCAAGATGAAATCTTGACTGCTGTCCAGACCGCACATAATGCGAATGGCTCCACCAACTCGCATCTGACGAACGGGTCAGGGTCAGGACAGACGAGCTATGCTCGAGTCAGTCTGGCTCGGCAGTTCCTCATCCTGTCGCAACGCACATGGCGCAACCTCTACCGTAACCCGATGCTGATGCTCACACACTATGCTATTGCCATTCTGCTGGCCGTTCTTTCCGGATATCTCTTCTATGGGTTGACGGATGATATCAAGGGCTTCCAGAATCGATTGGGTCTTTTCTTCTTTATCCTGGCCCTGTTCGGCTTCAGCACTCTCACGAGTTTGACGGTCTTCTCCACTGAGCGACTGTTGTTCGTCCGCGAGCGAGCCAACGGCTACTACCATCCGGTCACATACTTTGCCGCCAAGGTTGTATTTGATATCGTGCCGCTCCGGCTCATCCCGCCCATCATCATGGGTATTATTGTCTACCCTATGACTGGATTGATCCCTGCATGGCCCGAGTTCCTCCGCTTCATGCTGGTTCTGGTCCTGTTTAACCTCGCCGCTGCTTGCATCTGCTTGTTTGTCGGAATTATCTTCCGGGATGGTGGCGTGGCAAACCTGATTGGCAGTCTTGTCATGCTTTTCAGCTTGCTCTTTGCTGGTCTTTTGCTGAATCACGATGCGATTCCCGCGTCTGCCTTGTGGTTGCAAAGCGTAAGTCTACTCCCCCAACGCTCAGGTTATCCACTCAAGGCTTCGTTTACTAATCTCTCTCTAGCTGTCAATCTTCCATTATGGCTTCGAAGCCCTGATTGTCAACGAGGTCACCTTCCTCACTTTGATCGACCACAAGTATGGCTTGGACATCGAAGTCCCCGGAGCCTCGATCCTGAGCGCATTCGGCTTCAACACGCTTGCTTTCTGGCACGATGTGATTGGCCTCGCTGTGTTTTCCGGGGCCTTTATCATCATTGCATACGGAGCGATGCACTTCCTGCTTATCGAGAAGCGATAAGTCTGCTCGGCCCCTTCCTAGCATGGATAGGGAATTTTTGTTTTACTTGTTGGCACTTTTCAATTTTGAGTTTTGCAGTCCATTCTTTATCCTGGTTTGAATGGCGTTGTCTTTTTTTTGTTTCATGTGAATGGTTCTTAGTTCTAGAACGCACTGGGGAAGCCACCTTGTATGAAAGCACATGTGCCAAGGCAGGCCGCCCAAGAGTGATCCACGAGTACAGCTCGAGTGATATGTATATAGAGACCATGCTCCACGACCATCTATACGATATGGGAAACAGTGTCCTGTGTAGACCAGAGATTTATGACTATGATTATGAATAGGTGTTCACATACTTTTGGGCTAATCATCAGCAGCCATCTGGAATGCAGAGCACGTGTTCGACGTCATCCTTTTGCGACTCAAAATCCGCAACCTTTTTGCTTTTTTGCTTTCTCCGCCTGATCAGTGTCTTATGCCTGATCCACTCTAAATCAGAAAGATCCAGTTCTAACTGCTGTTCTCTTGATCAAACCCCATTTCTTCCGTTGTATATACACTGTACAGTGCCCACCTTCCTCGCTGGCGGATGACGCGCTAACTTTCCGCAGTACTACCAAGTGGACGTAGTTCTGCTCTCCACCGCCCGACCCGTTCAGGTTGGCGAGGTTCGCTAACTAGACTCCCCCCCCCCCCCCCAACCTCCCCCAAGAGCTCTCCTCCACTTCGTTGCGCCCGCTCCCTCCTATTCCTCTCCGTCAACACCAACTGTGTCATTACGCAGGCCCTAATTTGTGAGTCAAACTCCAGAGCTCTCCTCCTTTTTCCATCATCAAAGAGTCTTCACGATTCCTCCGTCTTCCTTGGGGCCTCGGACCCCACAAAACCCATCTCCAATTCCGGCCTCGCGGTCCGCACCACAGCTTGAAACCTTCCCTCCCCCCAAACCCGCATCTCCACCTCTCCTTAACAATCACCACTGAGCTGACCATCTGGAAACGCTTCTTCCAGTCATTGACCCCTAGCTCATCTCTCTGGAGGAGTCGATACCTTGCCCATCATGTCCGGCGAAGCGTGGCTTTACCTGTTGGCAGTGTTGATCAATGCGGTCAACCTGTTCCTCCAGGTTTTCTTCACCATCATGTACAGCGATCTCGAGTGGTGAGTCTCTTGCTCCTGAATACGCCCAGTCTCAAGCCCCAGAAAGCCGTGCCGTTGATCTCTGGAGCAAAGCTAATTCGCGCCTCCCCTTTTCCTTACGCAGTGACTACATCAACCCCATCGACCTCTGCAACCGCCTGAACGCCTACATCATCCCCGAGGCCGCTGTTCACGCTTTCCTGACCTTCCTCTTCGTTATCAATGGCTACTGGCTTGCGATCTTCCTCAACTTGCCTCTCCTGGCTTTCAATGCGAAGAAGTACGTCCCGCCCAACCCTCTCCGATCCCGGCCTCCGCATTCCCAATTCCGGCAACAAATGACTGATCTGATGATATTTTCTCTGGTACTATAGGATCTACGACAACCAGCACCTGTTGGATGCGACCGAGATTTTCCGCAAGCTGAATGTACACAAGAAGGTTGGTTTTCCACGGTCCCCCAGACCTTCACAAACATCTGCGATGAGCTTCGTATCTGACCCATCCGCGTGTGCCATCTATAGGAATCGTTCATCAAGCTGGGCTTCCACCTCTTGATGTTCTTCTTCTACCTGTACAGCATGATCGTCGCCCTCATCCGCGACGAAGGCCATTGACTTCGCGAAAAGGCCGAACATGCAATGCGCCATGGCCCTCCCAACTAGCTCAAGGACGCCGTTACACTCCCCCAATTGCTCTTCGGGAACTATGCATTATCTATTCTCGATCAGTTGCTTGCTTCTCCGGCTTATACTTATCGGGTACGACTGCATCTTCCACGGGGCAGCCGCCATGTCTTATATCGCGGTGTCTCGTTCACCTAGCTTGGGCTGTCCTGGGTTGATGGATACGAATTGATGGGTTCACGTGTGAGGATCTTGGTATCCTTGATTTTAGATTGGCTGGTGATTGGATGCGGCGGGTGTGTAATAGAGATTATCTTCGGGATGTTTCTGCGACGGGGTGTGTGGGTTTTGGTCGACTCTGGGTGGTTTTGTTAGAAGAGGCCTACGAAATCTCTTCTGACTAGTTGCTCAGAATCGCTTCTTATGTTTTTCTTCCCTTACTGTCTTTTCTATGTTGATCTTTGCCATGTCTTTCGGCTTGTGAGCTGTATATATCTCCCATGCGGTTTGGCAATGAAGAGCGTACGATACCCAGGTCTTTTCTTCCAATATCTCGTAAAAGATTAAACAAGAGTTGAGATCGAAATTGCGTCAAATGAAAATATACAGGCAGATCTCTACAATATTTAGAAGACTTCTGCGGGGTGAGGAGTATCGATGCGGACCTGCGAGAGGTTTGCCGCGACGGGCGAGTTCAGCTCTGCACTTCTTCACTTCGCGGGTCTCTCGACGCCCGTAAAATTCCCATCCCCCCAACTGCCAAACCACCCTCCACCCCATCCCAACGCTCTCTCGCAGTCGTGGGTGTTAATTCAAAAAAGTGTTTTCTCTTGACATATTCAAATATGGCGTCTCTATTGGGCGCAGCCTACGACTCGAGCGACGATGACGCCACCGTGCACAACCCTTCAGTAACGACTGCATCTAAGATCGTTGCTGCACCAGAGGTCAATACAGAGGTTTGGTCCCCTATATGCCGCCCTGGCTCCCTTCCCTACCTTGACCGTTACCACTCGCTCCGTCTTAGAACGACCAGATAAGACTAACTGCCCTACAGGACCAAGCGCACTTGCAAATGACCCTCGCTAACACCTCGTCGCAAGCCCTCACCTATAACGCCACATACGATGATCTCACGCGGCCCTCGCAGGGTCCCGCAAACCCTTTCAAGCCAGCAGGTCCCGGCAACGGGGTCAAGCGGAAGAATGTTCCGACTGGATTCGCAGAGGAAGCGGCCATCAGCGAGTCGACGTTCGCCGCTCAACATCGCACGTTCCAGAGCCTGGGATATACGCGCAACCCAACCTTGCCGGACCAGTTCGTTGGAAATATGGACAATGTCGCGCAATTCGGAGGAAGGGATGTCGTGCAGATGAAGCCTACAAAGGAGGCGTCTGCGGCATGGCGAGCTAAGCGACAAAAGAAAGGTGACACCAGTATCGTGGAAGGAGATGGCGCATATCTAGGGCCTTGGGCGAAATACGAGAATGAACAGCAATATGAGGAAATTGAGGTCGGATCGGGAGAAGAGCGCGAGCTTGCCAGTGATGAGGAGTGGGCGGAGGAGGACGAGACTTTGGCTCCTGCGGCGCCCATGCCGGCTATGAGCAAGGAAGCCACCGAGTACCAGGGCGATACGTCGAAAGTCGAGACTACCGAGTTTCATGGCTCCGAGCAGTTCGACTACCAGGGACGGACGTATATGCATGTCCCCCAGGATCTGGATATCGACCTGCGCAAGGAGGTGGGCAGTACCAAGAACTATGTGCCCAAGAAGCTGGTGCAAACCTGGAAGTCTCACACCAAGCCTATTACTTCGCTTCGGTTCTTCCCTACATCTGGTCACTTACTGCTTTCTTCTGCGGCGGACGGAAAGGCTAAGATCTGGGATGTGTATCACTCTCGGGAACTGCTCCGCACTTTCTCTGGTCATTCCAAGGCCATTACCGACACGGATTTCGACCCGACTGGAAAGACTTTCCTGACCGGTTCCTACGATCGTCAAATCAAGCTCTGGGATACGGAATACGGAAAATGTCTGGGGCGCTTCTCCACTGGCAAGACGCCCCACGTCGTCCGCTTCAACCCTGGTGTCGAGCACGCGCATGAGTTCCTGGCTGGTATGTCGGACAAGAAGATTGTTCAATTCGACACACGGTCCGGCGAGTTGGTCCAAGAATACGACCACCACTTGGCAGCCATCAACACCATCACGTTCGTCGATGACAACCGACGCTTCATCTCGACATCTGACGACAAGTCGCTACGTGCTTGGGAGTACGGTATCCCCGTTCCTATCAAGTTCATCGCCGAGCCATACATGTTCGCTCTCACACGAGCCACGCCCCACCCCAACGGCAAGTACGTCGCCTTCCAGTCCGGTGACAACCAGATCGTGGTCTACGGCGCTACAGACAAGTTCCGACAGAACCGCAAGAAGAGCTTCCGCGGCCACAACAATGCCGGATACGGAATTGATATCAAAATCTCGCCTGATGGTCAATTCCTCGTTTCCGGTGACAGCGGCGGCTACGTTTGCTTCTGGGACTGGAAGACTGGCAAGATGTATCATAAGATTTTGGCGGGTGGAAAGGAGGGCGGCGCTATTACCTGTCTGGACTGGCATCCGCAGGAGACGAGTAAGGTTGTTACGGGTGGTCTGGAGGGCGTTATCAAGTACTGGGATTAGGTCACGCATGCTTGCGGGTTTGTGGATATATATATAGGCCGTTTTTTTCAGGCGTTAGAGATGAATACTCTGGTACCAGTGATCTATGGCAACCTCTTGTATTACTTGGTCAAAAACTCGAATCTTTATGTCGCAACAAGGATATCCAAAATGTGATTTATACATTAATCAAACAAACAAGATGGGAGAGTTTCTTTCAAGATGCAAAACTCGAAATTTTCAAAATGCAGCGCTTCGGATCTTTTTCATCATATCTCCCCCAACCCTTCCTTTTATGAGCACGCTACCAGACGCTAGATAGATACCGCAGCGACGCACGGAAGAAACGCACCGGGGAAAAGTACCGTGGGCATTTCCACATCAATATCGATACAGCACCAATGCCGGCGACCAGTGCCGCACTTATGCCAAGACCAAGTAATTCGCTTTGCCTGGCCACAGCCCGAACAACCTCTGAATACCGCTGATTGCTGAAACTCACCCGAGCATACTGTGTCCTCCATCCCAGAGACGGGAGATGTCGGTCAAGAGTTTCCTCAACAGTTTTGCGTAGCTTGTAAAGCGGGGACTTGACACCCCACCGCATCTCGACATAGTTCTCCTTTGATAGATCGTTAATGGCATAGGTATCCTCGCAGCGCTGATCGGTGTAGGCCTGGAAAGCAGCTTGACGTCTCACGCTCCGGGTGTAGACACTAACGTCTGGATCGTAGACGCCATGTTTATCGAGATGTTCGAAGAGGACGCGGACATCTTCAAGGCCAGCGTTAAGTCCTTGTCCGTAGAATGGGAGCACGGCGTGTGCCGAGTCACCGATTATAGCCACGCTGGAGCTAAAGTGATGCGGCTTGCACTTGATGCTGATCAATGGTAGATGAGGGTTCACAACGAATTGCTCGCTCAGCGCCTCCGGCTCAATAAGTTCAGGACACACGCCCGGGAAGTGCAGATCAAAGAACGCATGCAGATCCTGCGGCGAGTTCTCCAACGCCGTATAGTGTACCGACGGCGAAAATAATGTACAAGTAAAGGATTTATCAGCCGACGGCAAGGCGATGAACATGAACTCGCGGCCCGGCCAGATGTGCAAGTGATTCGGCGAAATGCGGAAATTTCCATCCTCGGAGGGTGGAATCCGGAACTCGCACCAGAGCGTGTCGACGTACTCTTGCTGGTAGTCGACACGGGCGAATTTCATCATGTGGAATCGAGTGGCGGAGTGTGCGCCGTCAGCACCGATGAGATAGTCGTATGATACTTCAATTTCCGGGACACGACCGGCTACACCTAGGTTATCTGGCTGGGGGGTCTCGCCGGGGATGCGTCGCTCGAACCAGGCTTTGTTTGTACGGAAGTCCGCGCCGGTGAGCTTGTGGTTGAAGAAGAGCTTGACATTGGGAGTGCGCTCGAGCTCGTCGAGTAGCGCATTGTTCAATGTGCTGCGATCGACTGCATTGATGGCCTGGATTGAATTGTTAGCCAATTGAGTTATCAAATTTAGGCTGATGCGCGGCGGCATGTAGATGCAGGTAAAGATGTGACAAATGTCGGGTCTCCATATGTCAGATATGTTGACCTCTAAGATCCTTACCTGACCATGAACATCATAAGCTTGAGCAGCTTCCCACAGCTGTCCTCGGTCTCTGCCGTGGATCATCCGCCCATGCATGGGGATAGTCTCGCGGAGGACATTTTCGATCAAGCCAGACCGTTGCGATTGCCGAAGAGAGGTGATTCCGCGCTCTGAAATGGCCAAGTTGATCGACTTGGTAAAGTTAAGCGGCACGGTGGTGGGATCGCGGAGATCTACGGATGCACGAAAATTATTATTTGACTTTTGCCTTCGGGAACTTTCGCAACGCGGTGAATTGAATGGGTCCCAAGGGATTTGTGGATGTCGGGAATCGTTTTGAGATCAAATCAAGCCATTCCCAGACATTGTGTTTCGAATGGTGTAGGGGATCGATCTTGTGCGACGTATGGAAGTGGCATGGTATAAAATTTTACTCATTGTCCGGAGGTCATTGCACCGCAGGACGGTGCATGCATCTTCCAGGCATTGATCGGTTTTATCTCTCTGTGCTTTCTTTCTTGGTCGCGTGGGGAGATGGAAGGAGAATAACAGTCAAATCAAGTAGAATTCGAACATACCTCCACGCAATTCGTATACTTCAACTTCATCGCCTCGGGATGCAGCGTACAACGCTGCCAGCGCTCCCACGGGGCCGGCACCCACCACCACCACTTTTTGCCTGGGAGTCGCAGCGGCCATGGTGCACACACTGGATGAGGACAGAATCGAGAGACTGAGATCTCAACATGAAAAGAGACCCTTTCCCCGGATGACTCGATTAGACTCTGTCACGTGAACCGACATCGGCCTTTGCCTAATTGGGAAATCTTTCCAAAAGGATCGACCGGGAGTTTGCTGAGTAATCGGTCTGGAAATTAACCGCGATGATGCCATATTTTCTGCCTTGCTGCCTTGCTGCCTTGCTGCCCTGGTTCTCGCTGCCTTGTGGCCTGGATTTCCAACTGGGATCGCCTACCCACGCTAGTCCTGTTCGGGCCTAGTCAGTACCTGCTCGCCCGAGGCCGCGGGGACTTGAATTTCTTTTTTTGGGAACTCTTCCTAGTGCAAGCACCAGAGTCGATATTCGTGAAACTATCCGGTTAGAAGGTCATTCGCAGAGTCAATATCACCATGGCCGCCGTCGCAACTCGGAAATGTATTGGCGTGGACTGCGCCAAGGATGCAGGCACGCTCCAATGTCCTACCTGCCTCAAGATGGGCACCGACAGTTTCTTCTGCTCGCAAGACTGTTTCAAGCGGAGTTGGGTAAGTATTATGGAGGCAGGCTGCCTTTGAGACAGGGACTACGCGCTACAGTCCTATTACCTAGGGAAATATGCCATGGCTGACCACGTACTGCGGTATCTAGAACGAGCACAAGACCATCCATAAAAAGAGTAATATCCTCACCAACCTCTTTCCTCCGAAGGTAGTTTCTGAACCTGATCCAGCTACCGGTCACTTTAACCCATTCCCGTCGTTCCAATTCACCGGCTCCCTCCGACCCCTCTACCCACTGTCGCCCATGCGCACCGTTCCTCAGTCCATCCCCCACCCCGACTACGCCAATGGCGGTATCCCAATCTCCGAGCAGAAGCTATGGGGCCAGCATAAGATTAAGATCCTGAACAAGGAGGAGCAGGAGGGCATGCGTGTAGTCTGCCGTCTGGCTCGTGAGGTCTTGGATATTGCGGCTCGTGCATTGAAGCCCGGCGTGACCACCGACTATATTGATGAGGTTGTTCACAAGGCTTGTGTTGAACGCGAGGTAAGATATCTTCCATGGAATTTGTGTCAGGTCACGAACTAATCTGCGACTCTTCTTCCTCTCTAGTCATATCCCTCGCCACTGAACTACATGCACTTCCCTAAGTCTGTCTGTACATCGGTCAACGAGACTATCTGCCACGGTATCCCCGATCAAAGGCCCTTGGAGGATGGCGACATTGTCAACATTGATGTCACCCTATACCACAAGGGTTTCCACGGTGATATCAACGAAACCTACTATGTCGGCGACAAGGCCCTCGCCAACCCCGATGCCGTCCGTGTTGTCGAGACTGCCCGCGAGTGTCTGGAGAAGTCGATCGAGCTAGTCAAGCCTGGCATGCTCTTCCGCGACCCCGGAAATGTGATTGAGAAGCACGCCAAGTCCCACAACTGCAGCGTCGTGAAGACCTATTGCGGTCACGGCATTAACCAACTCTTCCACTGTGCTCCTAACGTCCCCCACTACAGCAAGAACAAGGCTGTCGGCACTGCCAAACCCGGCATGTGCTTCACCATTGAGCCTATGATTAACATTGGTACTCACCGTGACCGTACATGGCCTGACGACTGGACCAGCACGACTGCCGATGGCTCCCTGTCGGCCCAGTTTGAGCACACCATGTTGGTGACGGAGGATGGTGTGGAAGTTCTGACGGCTCGACTCCCTGACTCTCCAGGTGGTCCCGTCCCTATTCCTGTGGCGGAGAATGGAAACTAAGTGTATCTCTTGGGATTTTGCATCTATGTTCAGATACCTATGCCTATCTTGAAGCAAAATTTAACGACCTGTCAATGCCCATACCTCTCAATCTGACTTGTGATGCTGTATAGATTAAAGTCAAACTGGTGTAGAGACATTGTTACTATGTATCATTCAACTTTGGAGGGCTTTGACGTCTTCAAATGGGTGAGTTCGGCTCTATAAAACCCAATGTGGGGCCACTGCGAAACGTCTCAGAACACGCAACGAATCGAGTCATGTAGTGCAAGATGGTACAACTAGTGGATCGAACTTGATATAGATGCTTGGAGAATTATTACATTGTATGGACCTTAAGGGATGCCTCTAATGTCAGAGAGTGCCCGACGCAGACAATGTACTTCCCTAGAGTGCAAGTTGGCGAAGCTTTCTGTATTCAGATCGATCTCGAGCTTCAAGCATGTCCATCATAGTCGAGGCGGGTCTCCCACTTCCTGCAAGGGCACACAAGGGCTACTGGCATAATTTCAGCTTGGGAGTTGATTCGTTAAAATGGTTAAGGCTCTCGAGCTCGACCAACAGTGCCCGCATAGGGTGAAGTTTAGATGGCCCTTGGATGAAAATATTCGATGTAGATGTGAAATTTCAAGCTGGAGACATGTCACTGGCATATCAATCTCTGTTTCTTCTTAACGCTCGTGTTTAAATCTGTAGGATTCTAGGGAAATGGGGGTATGACTATGTACAACGACAACTTCGATGTCAAGCTCATGTGGGGCTCACTCCAGAGATCGATCTATAGCTCTCATAGTCTCACAACGCCAAACCTGCAGATAATATGCATGAAATGAAGTAAAGTCGATCTCTACTCCACACAAACTACAAGTTTATCACGAAAAATAGCTATCCAGGGTCAGTCAATTGCAGTTTGATATGTCTCCACAGCCTCAAAAGCAATGCCGATTTTCTCGGCTGTCATGACAGCCCCACCTAGTGGCTCGCCTTACTCCACATGAGCACCACATTATTCTCACTCAGTTCTTCTCTCCCTTCTTCACTCTTCTTTTTTGTTTTTGATAGTTGTTCCTTTCTTATCAGTGAGGAAGACTTGTTCTCGATACCTTTGTCCCACAATCATCTGGCGGGACATATATCATATCCAATCCAATAGTTGCTTCTCGTGAACCGGGAATCCCCCACATCAAGAATGGCCAACCAGCTTCACAGCGCACCGCCCTTCCGGGCTGAGCACATGGGCTCGCTGCTGCGTCCTGATAACCTGCTCGAGATTCGCGCTAAGATCCGTGACAGTGGTATTTCTGATGAAGCTGCTGGCCTGCCCGCCGTTGAGAAGGTGGCGGTTAAGGATGTTGTTCAGCTCCAGCGGGACCTTGGTTTCAAGGCTGTCTCCTCCGGCGAGTTCAACCGGACCCGTTTCTGGGGTCTGATGTGGGATGAGTTCCAAGGTATGTTCATTTAGAGTTTCATTGGCGCATTGCTTATACTGACTGAAAATTCAGGAACCATCCGTCTCCAGGACGCCGAGGCCGCCATGTTCAGACTGTACCACCCTGATGTGGTCAGCCTGATTGAGAAGGACCGTAAGGTCATGCCCGGTGACTCGGTCATTGCCGGCTCCAAGCTCTCTTGGAGTGCCGAGAAGTCTGCGTCCAATCTGCACGAGCTGAAGCTTGTCCAGGCATCGTTGCCCGAGAGTGAGTGGGGCAACATCAAGCTCACCATGATCACTCCCGCCTGGTTCCACATGCGGTACAAGCAGGGCAAGGCGTACACTCCTGAAGCCTATGCCAACGACGAGGAATACTTTGCTGGCGTCGCCCAGGTGTACCAAGCCGAATTGGACGCTCTATACAAGGCCGGTCTGCGCAATGTCCAGTTTGATGACCCCGGCATGGCATACTTCTGCTCCAAGTCCTTCCGTCAGGGCTGGGAGGAGGATAAGGACAACATCGGCACGGTGGACGATCTGTTCGACGCCTACGTCAAGCTGTACAACGACTGCCTGGCCAAGATCCCCGCCGATATGCACACGGGTATCCACCTGTGCCGTGGTAACTTCATCGGCGGCCGCCACTTCGCCGAGGGCTCATACGACATCATCGCCAAGAAGCTGTTCGAGAACCTCAATGTCAACACTTTCTACCTTGAGTACGACACCGAGCGTGCCGGTGGCTTCGAGCCTCTCAAGTTCCTGCCCAATAACAAGAACGTTGTGGTCGGAGTCATCAGCACCAAGCTGCGTGAGCTAGAGGACAAGGAGGCCATGAAGGAGCGTATCTACAAGGCTGCAGACTTCGTTGCTTCTGGTAGCGGTGAGACTCGCGAGGAGGCGCTCAAGCGTATCTGCGTCAGCCCCCAGTGTGGCTTCAGCACCCACGAGAGCGGATACCCTCTGAGCCTTGAGGATGAGAAGAAGAAGCTGGGTCTGGTTCGGCAAATTGCCGATGAGATCTGGGGAGAGGCATAAATGTGTGGATTGACAATCTCGCACGGTGCCTTGTAATGGTTTCTCGAATTTCAACAGCGACGAGAAACTCTGATGATGTGACACGACGACATGTATTTTCTTTCAACAGTTCGCACCCAGTTTTGGAATATCCTTGGGGTTTAGCATGTACATACCTATATATGCCTAGGTAATTGGGGAGTAGTGGGGTGCTTCATTGGTCAGGCGCTTGAATATGAATTTGCTTTGATGCTTTTCATGGAATGATTGAGTTGAAATCGTCGATGGGACTGGCCCCCTCTTTTAAACGGCCAAGCGTGGCCACCAAGGTCGATAAGTATCCGTGCCCTTTGGTAACACCCACCGCTTCCGCTTTTGGGTGCACCACGGTTTACCGGAAGTCACCAAACACCGTCTCTTTTTCAACACCTACCTACAATCAGCTATTTCAACCACCCAACATGACTAAATCTGCTAATTTTGACGAATCTCGCATAGCCGAAGCCTGCAGATTGGCTTCGGGCCAAAAGAGACCGAATATCACGAAGATTGCGCGTGAATTCAACGTGTCTCGCACTACACTGGCCGATCGCGTCAAAAAGGCCAAAACGCCTGCTACACCCACTACACCACTGAAAAATGCCCTTTCGCTATACCAGGAGAAGGCCTTGACCAATTGGATAGTCCAAATGTATAAGTGGAATCTACCACCTACTGCCGGGGTTATCCAGGCGTGGGCAAATCGCGCGCTTGAGCGAGCGGGCCGGGATAGGCAGGTTAGCAAGATGTGGGCGTACCGCTTTGAAGCGCGTCTCCCAAAGCACCTGAATCTAGCCCCAGTGAAGCAGAAGACCAAGGAGAAGAATCGAATCCAAGCTGAAGATGCAGGGCTTCTTGCGCACTGGTACGACCAGCTTGCAGCTCTTCTCTATGGTGTCCCCGCACGGCTAGTATACAACTTCGATGAATGCGGCTTCCAACCCGGTCAAGGGCAATCTCGAAAGGTTATTGGCTCTAAATCATCTTGCCCTGACCTAGCCGAAGGAGAGAGGGGCGAGACTATTACTGCAGTTGAATGTATTAGTGCAGATGGCTGGCTGATGGACCCGCTCTTTATCTTCAAAGGTAGTGGGAAGAATCTTATGGAGGCCTGGTTCTACGGTAGTGAAGATCTCCTACGCGAAACTGGCACTGCAATCTCACCAAACGGCTGGATTTCTGATGAATTAGCCCTATCCTGGCTAGGCTATTTCATTACTGCTACTACCGATCGGGTGAAAAGGGGCGAAAAGCGCTATCTTATATTCGATGGCCATAGCGCGTATCTTACCCTCGAATTCCTACAGAAATGCGAGGATAATGCGATTATCCCATTCGGCTTCCTACCTCATTCAACGCATCTCTGTCAACTACTTGATGGCAAGCCTTTCTTGAATTATAAGCAGCAATTTCGGCTTATGAATAATGAGCTATCCTTCTGGGGTGGCCAGCCGTACGGGAAGGCAGATTTCCTATCTATAATTAGCCCGATTCGATCGAAAACCTTTAGCCAACGAATTATTCGCGATTCTTTTAAAGAGCGTGGAATCTGGCCGGTTGATGGTAGTAAGATTGTTGAAAATCTTACGAATCAACTAGTAATTTCTGATATCTATGCACCTAATCTTCGGTCGCGTACGGCTACACCTACTTCTACACCATCTCCGCCACTAAATCTCTCGTCTTCTAGTATTGAAAATAGCCCTCCAAAATCTATTGAAGCACTAGAGAAGAACCAGGCGAAGATTTACAAACACCTCAATTCTCTTTCAGAGAAGATGCAGCGAGATCTTACCAAAATCTTCGCCCACCAGCGAGAGAAGCTTGAAGAGCTTGCCATGACCCAAGATACAATTCGGCGAATCAGATCTGTACAAGAGCCAGTACGTCGCCAATATACTAAGCGGCAGGTTAAACCGCTTAGTCAAGATGGTATATTGAAGCCTCGCGATGCAAATCGATCAATTCGTGACAGGAAGGCGAAAGAGATGGCTAAGGAGGAGAGGAAGCTGGCTAAGCAGTTCGAAAAGGCGTATGGTTTTAAACCTACAAAAAGGCCTGCTGAGGCTATTCAACGGGCAATTGAGAATGAGGAGAAGGCGAGAGAGCAGGGAGATTTTTTTTTTATTGATAACTAGCTAATTGGTTGATTAATTCGGTGATTTCTTGAAAAAGAGACGGTGTTTGGTGACTTCCGGTAAACCGTGGTGCACCCAAAAGCGGAAGCGGTGGGTGTTACCAAAGGGCACGGATACCCCCGCCTGGCATAGTTTGATTGGTCAGTTCATTGCGGATGTTACGACTATTAAGTCTTACATAGCTATGTGGAAGCTTCACCAACGAACATTATCAGATTAAAGTCTGCCTGATGACGAATCTTTTACAGATCTTTTAAAACCACTTGTTGCTCTTGGCAGTCTGACCGCTCTGAAAGGTCAAACCCACTTCCATCACGCAATTATAGCCCTGATGAGCTCTTTGTCGGAAGCCTCTAAATTCAGCTTAGCATATAGCAACAAGATACTATTGCCTATGAGATGCTTCCTTGCAAATCATATGCCTAGGCGTCTGTTATCATCTTCGGCAACAGATTGCCGAGGAGGCGGCCTGAGGGCCCGAGAACGGGGTGGCTTCTGCAGAACCAAACCTCCCATCGACCGCGATGATTCGTCCGTCTGCCGGTCGCTGGATTTGTCAGAGAGGGGAACATCCATCTTATCTGCACGTGACCTACTACGGGGTCCCGAAAAGAGTAAGCGGTTTTTCCTCGGCCATTTGAGTCATTTCACTTTCTTTCAGTTCTTGAAAGTCATCTTCGCGGTGATCCTGACTGGCGAGACGCTCGTTTCCGATGGCGCCAAAGCGGACTCCCACCGAGACGTCCCCGTTGTTGGGTGAGAGCAACGGGAACGGCGCTGCGTCTAATGGGGCGATTGTCAGCCACGATGCGGAGTCAGGGGAGCCAAGACAGTCGGTGGAGGAGCAAGGGAAGGAGCCGTTTCCTGATGCGAAGAAGCAGCTCAAGTATATTGTTCCTGCGATCTCGATAGGTGTATGAACTCTCCTTATTCTGTTTCAATTATACTTGCGGGTCGTGGCGAGGATGTCGCAACACCTCGGCTAATGCTTGGATTATAGATCTTCCTATCTGCAGCCGATCAAACCATTATCATGGCCAGTTATGGTCAGATTGGAAGTGATCTGAAAGCTCTTAATCTGACCAGTTGGATTGCGACTTCGTACTTCTTGACTTTGACTTCGTTCCAGCCTCTGTATGGAAAGCTGAGCGACATCTTTGGTCGGAAGCCCTGTCTGCTTTTCGCGTATGCCATTTTTGGAATCGGATGCTTGCTCTGTGGTCTAGCTCGTAATATTAATGAGCTAATTGCTGCACGTGTATGTTTCCTTCGAGAGACTCTTTCTGAAATTCTCGAGGGTTCACCGCTAATGGTTCTCTAGGTCTTCCAAGGCATTGGCGGCGGAGGCATGACCACGGTCGTCAGTATCTTGATGAGTGATATTGTTCCCCTGCGAGACCGAGGGGTCTGGCAAGGCATTATCAATATCATCTATGCCACTGGGTCGGGGATGGGTGCACCTCTCGGTGGAATTTTGGCCGATTATATCGGTTGGCGCTGGTATGAGTTATCAATGTTTTACTAGGTGGCAGCGGCCATTCTAACATCATATATCAGGGCATTCCTCGCGCAATTCCCCATGTGCATTCTTGCTTTCATTGCGGTCTCGGTGATGCTCAAGCTTCCAGCACGGGAGAACACCCACTGGAAAGACAAGCTTCGTCGCATTGATTTCCTCGGCGCAATCGTCCTGGTCGGTGCTGTACTAGGCTTCTTGCTTGGTCTGGACAGGGGTAGCAATGTCTCATGGACCTTGCCTCTGACAATTATCTCGCTGAGCGTTTCGGTGGTCCTTTTCATTGCTTTTGTTTTAGTCGAGATCTACCTCGCAGCCGAGCCTTTTGCCCCGGGCCATATTATCTTCAATCGGACATTCTTTGCCCTCTATGGCTGCAACTTCTTCAGCTTTGGAGGGTGGCTTGCGGCATTGTTCTATATTCCGCTCTATTTCCAGGCTGTCGATGGTGTTTCGGCCACTACCGCTGGTCTGCGCCTTCTGCCATGCATTTTGGCCGGTGTTTCCGGCTCCCTGTTTTCTGGGTTTATCATGAGGTGGACTGGAAAGTATTATTGGCTGACTGTCATTGCCTACTCTCTCCTGACAACCGGTTGCTTTACCATTTATATGTTCTCGGGTGGTGTTGAAGCCAGCGTGGTTCCCATGATCATCGGTACTGTCATGTCGGCATTCGGAAATGGAATTGGTGTCACGACGACTTTGATCGGTTTGAGTGAGTCTCACTTTTTGTGGCACCAAGTTGCTCTACCCAAAATGGCTAATCCTTTGTTCAGTATCGAATGCAACTTATGAGGACCAAGCAGTCGTAACTGCGTGTTCATACCTCTTCCGATCCCTGGGCTCCGTCATTGGACTCTCGCTATCGTCGACTGTTGTTCAGCAACTACTACGCGAGGGATTGAGGGAGGGCTTGCGAGACAGCAAAGATATCGATCAGATCGTCAATGGGGTCCGAGAAAGTCTCGACTATATTAAGAAGCTGGATCCCGATCTCGCAAGGATTGTGCGTGGATGCTATGGGTCGTCGGTCAACAGAGGCTTTGCTTTCATGGTCGTCGTTGTGTTTTTTGCATTGTTCAGCGCCTTTTTCATGCGGGAAGCAAAGCTCACCCGTTAAACAGCCTTTGATGCTGCTTTAATAGTGGTTCTCGAACGGAAGATAACTATTCCGCTGCATGGTTGATGGGGTACGAAAATTACATATGAGGTGATGAGATTGATTGAAGGTGCATCGTTCCTCTAGTTGGAGGTTGGGGATGAGAGGTTAAGATTGTCCATAGTGAGCGCAATAGCGAGCTCCAAGATATAGCAAATAACCATTTCTCGAATTCTTGAACTAAATCTGGAATGAAAAGCCAAATCGAGTAGAGCAGCAACTTACTCCAACCTGCTTACAATTCCTCTAGGCGGTAAGAAAGAGGCTGCGGTGACGCCTGAAATTCTGGGGTTTCTGCCCCAAGCTTCCACCGACTTCTCCGTGAAACATCCATCCTTCACTCACCTCACCACCACATCGAAAATCTTATCAGCCCTCCTAACCGGCCAGAAAACTACAGCTCGTACATACGACATTAAACCGACTTGATCATGAGCTCCGCTCGATAACCGTGAGGTCGTTTGTGCAGCTCTCAACAGCTCCATCTCCGTGATGTCTGAGCCGCGCTCGGGGCCAGTGTCCTTAGCACGATATCGGCCCATCCTCTACCTCTTCACCGGTGTCGCTGCCGCATACGCCCTCGTCTACATTCGCAATAATGTCATCTCGTCGCAGTCCTCCTCGCAAGTCCCGCTTCGACGCCGAAACGCCGTGCGCCGCCACAGAAGATCAGACACCGAGGAGCTGAGAATCATAGACACACCATCCTACCGTGCTATAGCGCATTTGGAGCTATTAGAGCGTCAGAATGGTGTGTATGGGACATTCCGTATCGAGACGGAAGATGGAAGGCGGGTGGAGAGCGGACTTCTACCCTCACTCCTCGCGACTCGCGACCAGCTGATGGAAGAGGTCGGTGTCCCCCAAGACCACGCTGAGCGCATGCGCGAGATGATGGAAGACACATTTCTCGAATCTTTCCTAGCGCTTGATTTCCCATCGGTGCATATCTTGCCAGAGAACAGTGCCGAACGAACTTATCTGACGGAGCAGTTGCAACGACGAGGAATCTCAGGTGCGGGAATTGAGAGGGCGCTGACACGGTTCAATGCGGATGATAACTACGGCGATGAACTTCGACGTCGACGTCAGAATGGGGAACGTGTGACTCTCTCCACGTCAACTTTCCCCGATGTGGCAGCGCCGCCCCAAAACCCGGAGGGTGGGGAAACAGTGGTTGATGATCAGAGCGTTTTCTCTTGGAGAGACGGGAATAACGACTCTTCCCCCACGCGGGAAGGTCAAAATCTGCTCAACTTGCTGTACCATATTGCAGAGGACCAGGCGCGGCGGGATGGCTATATCCATCGGGGAGTGACTTGCAATAGCTGCGGCGCCATGCCTATCCAGGGTATCCGCTATCGCTGCGCCAATTGCATTGATTACGATCTCTGCGAGACGTGCGAGGCATTGGGAGTACATATCAAAACACACTTGTTCTATAAAGTCCGCATCCCCGCCCCATTCCTAGGAAACCCGCGCCAATCCCAGCCTGTTTGGTACCCTGGAAAGCCTACAATGCTGCCACGCAACCTGCCGCGTCCTTTAGCAAAGCGTCTCATGCGTGAAACCAGCTTTGAAAACACCGAGCTCGATGCTCTCTGGGATCAATTCCGCTGCTTGGCAAACTACGAGTGGGCCGACGATCCAAACAAACTTTACATGGCCATTGACCGCAAGACATTCGACCGATGCTTCGTACCCAATACGTCTATTCGCCCGCCTCCTCCAAGTCTCATCTATGACCGCATGTTTGCTTTCTACGACACAAATAACGATAACCTTATTGGTTTTGAGGAATTCCTGAAAGGCCTAGCCAGTCTAAACAACAAGAGCAACGATGAAAGGCTGCGTCGTGTCTTTCGTGGATACGATATTGATGGTGATGGATATGTGGAACGGAAAGATTTCCTTCGAGTTTTCAGAGCCTATTACACTCTTAGTCGAGAACTCACTCGTGATATGGTTGCCGGCATGGAAGATGATTTCCTCGAAGGTTGTGCTCGTGATGTTGTTCTTGGTAGCCAACCTATTAGCTCTGCGTTCCCAGGCAGCATTCCCTCTGGTGAAGTCTCACGAATTGGCGAAGGCAAGCGCATTAACCAAGAAGGCGATATGGAGATCGTTGACAACGGGGGAATCCTTCGACGGGACGGCATCGATTCTGGGAATCGACATTCCGTTGTCGGGGATGCTTCTGTCAGAGAGCAATTTGGTCGTACCAGGCCGTTGTTCCCATCCACATTACGTCTTCCCAATACTGCCACTGAGCCTCAGCAACCTGGTCCCACACAGGGTGATGAGGTCGAGGAGGACGAGGACGAGGACGCAAGTGACTCCGACGAGTCAAGCTCGTCGGCTGTCAGTGGCAATTGGCCGCCACCAGAGCACGTCAATGCTGAAGACATAATCGAAGCCCTCGGAACGTACGTGCCCCCTCAGGAAATAACCGACCCGGTCGACAGAGCTCGTATCGTGACAGCCGTTTACAACAGAATGCGTGACGATGACCGGAGACGAATCGAGGAGACCCGCCGCCATGGAATCGATGAACGCTGGCGGCGTAGGGCGTTTTATACCGATGAGGAGGATGGCGCCACTATACCCGACGGCTACCAACCAGACCCTACCTTCAATGATGACCTGACTGATGAAGCCTCTATGGACGAACCATCCGCTATCGAATCACACCCGCCATCACCACGCTCCCGGTCTTCGTCTAAGGTCCGCTTCGAGGATGATATCGCGGACGATTATGATGTGCGGTCCAATCCCTCGACATCTTCTCGTAGTATCCCAGTTGGTGAGCGTTGGGGTGGCTTTGAGATTCCCGAAGTTGAGCGGGATGTCGGCAAGGAAATTTTGTACCAGGTCACGCAACAAGGCTTCAATGAGCTTCTCGATGTCCTTTTCAAACCAAAGGAAGACTTGATGATGGAAGTTCACCGAACGCGGGCCGATCGCAAAATTTGGGCCCATGAGATTGAACAACTCGAGAACTCGCGCTCTCAGAAGATATCACTCCCCGCCAAAGATGGAGTCGTGTTTCCAAAGGATGAAGAGCATCTTCAAGAGATCACAGGCGGCAGATCGCTGGATGATCTCTTGAGTCATGCTGGGTATGCGGTGCACAGCCCGACTTTGGAGCCTGTAGATGCTCAACCGGTCTTGGCACCTCCATTGTCAGATGGCATGACACCAGATGATGATGTGCGACCAACTCATCTTGCCGATCCTGAGCACGAGGATGGACTTGGTCACAATCAGCCTTTTGAGGAGGACGACGACGATGATGACGAAACAGCATCCATTGCTAGCTCATTCGATGTGGCAGACCAAATTTCCATCTCCCAGTACGCTTCTTTCGAGGTGTCCTCCAATGTCGAACCTGAGTCTAGCATCGACGAAATATCCGACAACGATCCCACGCTCCCACAATTCCGCCCTGACTTCGACGCGGTCCGTCCGCGTCTCTCTTTCGTTGAAGAACCTATGGTGGCACCAACCGATGAAGACAGTATCTTGTCACCCTCTGATCTTCCCAGCCGACTCCGCCTACAACCAAATAGCACCACCTCCCTCCCGGCACCCTCCTCTCCCCACTCATCCTCACCAGAAGCCGAGGAAACCGCTCCAAAACCCCCTCCTTCACCTATGCAACCACTTCCACCTCCCCCCAAATCAAAGAGTCCGCCACACAAGGCTGTCGCTCCGCGTCAACCCACTTCACGAACTCTAGCCCGGTGGGCCTACCTAAATCGCCTCGAGCGTGAGGCTAAGGAACGTGGTGGTAGCGGGGCCAAACTCAACTTTGAAGAGTTCTCGCGTCGGATGGCAGCTGATAAGGGCCGTCGTCTAGCTTTCGTGGCAACTTGGATTGAGATGGCTAGCTTTTGAGGTGTTATCATCTGAATGGTCACTAGGATTGGTAGATAGTCTTGGATCCGATACCTGTGTATATTATTTCTCTACCATCATGATCGATGAATCTTCCTGAACAGTTTCACTGGCTTTTTATAGCACGTATACTACCCACGGTATCCAATTTTCTCGGCATTGCTTTTGATAGATGCACTAGGTAGGTACCTAGAGGAACCGTTCTCGTTACTGGAAGCTACCTAGGTAGGTTGTGGTAAGAATTCGAGTTCCGCGGTTTGTAAAGACGAGATCCATTTAGGTCGGTCCCGTCCGACACTTAGCTAGAACTAGATCTCTAACTTGCTTAGGGTGCCTACTCTTGATTGAGGGTCTGGTTGGGCATTTCACTGTGTGCTCAGATACTATCTGTTTCGTGTTGGTTCCAATATTACGCATCCGTTGTTTGGTTCCCAACATCTCGACTTATACCTATATATATACAACCCCCATCCTTATGTGCCAACCCGACGCAACAGGGATTTTCAGAACTCCTCGCTGGACTCAAGACGATTTGGGTTTGATTAAATACTTTGAATAGTGCAATTGACCACACCAAATAACTCCCAAGGCGGAATTGAAGATGGCTCTGGTGAAAATCTGTGAGCTTTCCTGATATATATATATGCTGATTTATATAGCATCAATTCGACCCTTCATACATCAATTGGCCGGATGGTGTAGTTGGTTATCACGTATCGTTAACACCGATAAGGTCCTGGGATCGAGCCCCAGTCTGGTCACATTTTTTGGCCTTTTCAGCCAGCCAATGGCTCTTTCAGGTTGAGTTTGAAGGATTTTTTACGTGGGTGGAGCACGACCATGGTTTAGGTTATGCCAAGGTCACGTGCAGAACGAGTATAACCGTGAATATCGTGGTGTTCTAATAGTGAGCAATAATATCTAATAATAATACACATTCTACAGTGAGGCTTCGGTTTCTTAGCAAAAAATTTCGACGGTCTGGTTGACCAGTAGGTCAAAAAATGTGAGGCGAGAGAGAATCGAACTCCCAATCTTCTGGAATCTCCATTTACTGGAATCAGACGCGTTACCTATGATGATGAATTAGTGGACAGCTAATTGGTTGAGGGACCCACTCTAAGAACTTACCATTGCGCCATCACCCCATGTGATTGGGGTAGAGGGAAATATTAGCGCAGACAAGAGAGAATCTATCAGCGAGCTAATGATTGGCTGGCGGAAGTATAATACTCCACTCCATATTGTATCATCAAATCACGGGGTATGAAACGCGCAGAGCATTCGTTTATCTTGCATATGATCTGGTTCGGAATTGATCGTGATCTTGCTCTTGCTCTTGAACCTTTCAATTATTCGTCGGACTTTTCGGTCAATCTGCATCCTTACTGCAAGGTTTCAGTCTGCTAGGCGTCCAGGGACTACCAAGCTATGATATTGAAATCAAATACAACGTTTTATTGTGAAACAAAAGAATTTTAATATCAAGACTCGGTCGTCTGCTACATGTCATATACAGCTGGATCGATCTACATAAAGTGTTTGATTGGAAAATTACGTAGACGATGTTATGCGCGTGTACAATAACATTTCATGCAGCCTTATGCAATAATCACGTGATCTCGGCATAACCTAAACCATGGTCGTGCTCCACCCACGTAAAAAATCCTTCAAACCCACCTGAAAGAGCCATTGACTGGCTGAAAAGGCCAAAAAATGTGACCAGACTGGGGCTCGATCCCAGGACCTTATCGGTGTTAACGATACGTGATAACCAACTACACCATCCGGCCAATTGATGTGTCAATATTTGAGTTGATGCTCTATCAGACAATCCGCCATATTAACAAGCAGGTGCTGCAAATCTCGCGGTATCATAGTCAATATGCCTATGATACATACAAAACTCTTGATAGTTACACCACGTATGATCCAACTTTTATGAGTCATGGACTCGAAGCCACGGTCCGGGTGGATAGTGCGACGCTCACCTATCAAGACAGAGCTTCTCGGTGGACACATAAGTACTCAGCAAGCGATTGAGTATGCGAACGACTATTGCGGAGCGAAGCAGTGTAATGCATTGCAGTCTGAATACCTACCTGTAAGACGGAATTGCATACATACATTCGATTGGTAGGATAAAGTGATCTTCGTTACTTAACTAGATTTACCATTGTTACGTCAAGAGATCCCGCCTAAGTGCACTTCGCTTTCCATGTGTGTTCATATTTCTTTCCGGGCGACCTCTATTTCGGGTTAGGTAGAGGTTTGCTGGATAACTATTATTACACAACCTTGAAAGAGTTTTCAACTGTATATATTTTCCGCACGAGTAACCCTCCATTTTCACCCTCTGATTTTGCATTCGATCACCAGGTTGCCTTCCTGTTTGAACTTCTTTCCAATCAAGTATCTTCTAGAAGACTCTGTAGTTACATTTATCACCGCCATGCTATAGAGTAGGGAGGTAGCAGAGCGATCTAATTGAGAAGAGAGCTCTTAAATAAGGCGTTTTGTAGTTTTGAACGTATACCTACTGGCCCTTCTTAAGAGCTTTTCCAATCAAATACTTGGTGCCGCGAGCCACAAGAGTATGGTCGCACTTCTTCTGCAACATACAGTGTTTAATGGAAGTCAAGTAGTAGCTCAAAAGGCTCTGATCACATGTGTTATTATAAAGACCAAGATCCAATTCCACTGTATGCTTCAACAGGCATATCGAAACTGGAAAAGAAGAGGTAAGGAGTGGCAAAAGCAAAGGGAAAGACACCTAAATGTGGGAAAGCTAGGCTCTCTACGTGCGACAGATTCTCCTTGACAGGCTAAACTCAGGATAAATAATACTGAGCTCCTTTGCTTACGCACAACACATCTTTGGAGGTCATTACAATGACCGTGTTTTCGATATCCATCATATATCGGAGGTCTTACACTTATCTATCTCATCGATATTTCTATCGGAAGCCTGACTGCCCTCTTCCCATCAACTTCTTGATTCCCCCTCCTGTATTCCCGTACCCTCTGTCCTCCTGTGACTTCTGTTAGGCGGCACAGGACAACGCCCCACTTAGGATTCTGCTAATGCTGATCGAGAGGCTGAGTTATGGGTCTCTCAAGTTTCCATCGGACCCATGCTACCAGTGGCAATTTGACCATGGAGGTATTACCGGAAGTTCACGATTCCCATGTAGTGAGAGTCTATCTTTGCCCCCTGGTGCAATACTGGATGATACGCTCAAAATATTGGAGACGTGGGGCTATATGGCCACTTTCACTGAAGATCGCATGTTGGTTAACTGCACCCGTGGAGTTCGCCCGTTCTGTATCGTACTAGAGCGGCTCTGCCCCAACTCATTTCACTCTGCGTAAAAGAGCATGCAAATGCAGATGCGGGACCGATGACGCCAGAAAAACAAGGCATCGATGGGTTATAGTCCCAATATCAGGTATTCCAATCACTCTCCCCCTCATATGGCCTAGTGGTCTCCCGTCTAGGATTGACCTTTGGGTGTGCCCTGGGTATGGGCAAACATATGGGTACAGGTACAGACCTCTAGTGTTGAGCATGACTCCACGGATGGTCGGGCACATCCCTAGGCGGGGAGAGTGGGCGGGTGGGCATGCGAGGTGGTGATAGCACCTCCTCGTGGAACATGTTTTGAGGTTTTTTCGTTATAATATGTTCTTTCGGCTTAGATTATAAGTGTTTCTATTTTTCTTTTAATCCTAAGAGGGTGCTAGAAAGGTGAGAGTGATACTATGTATAGTTAATCATTGTAAGCAGGCGAAGGGTGTCCTGAACTCCCGGTTCGACGTGATCAGGAATTGGGAGTATGTAATACAAGTCCATGTTTACAGTCCTGTGTTGATAGTATCTCAGAGCAAAGATCCAGCAATTCTCCTCATAACCTTTTTTTTTTATTTTTCATTTTTATTCATTTTTACTTCTCAAAACCAGTATTCGGGGGCTGAGTGAGAGACTGTGCCTTAAGAGATATGATCGAGATTATCTTAAACCTTGGATTCCTCCAACATGAAGGAAGTTGGCCCACATAGATATGGGTACATCCTTTGACGTCTCTAATAATGGACTCGTGGATGACCACATGAAGCAACCGTACAATAGGGAAAATAAGTAATTACTTGATCAAGCCAAGTCGCCGCTACAAGGGTCTAGTCACGGATCTTTGCCCCATTGTCCTTTACTTTGTGAATAAGATGATTACGAAATATGAAAAGTGGAAGTCATAGTGACTCATACTGGAACAACCTTCCAGCGGCTATAGCATAATGCCCCTTGTCTTAAGCGTCGTAACTATATCAAGCCGTGGCTCGGGGAACTGCTCTGCACCAATTTCTTTGTACAGGGAAGCTAATTGCTACTTTCGGCAGTATGCTCGTCCTCGGTCAAATAGAGAGTTCTGCTTGGGAATCCATAGGTCCTTTAAATGCTTTGAAGCTTCGTTCATCTTATCTCTACTAAGAGCCGCCTAGCGCTAGTAAGCCCAAAGGAATTCAAATGCAAAAGGCAGCCAGAAAACGCTGAGACGCAACAAAGTACTTCGAAAGAAAATCCAGAAGGAAAATCGAAAATCAAAAAGAACCTCTAGCCAAATCCAACCAGTTCTCCATCACAGCTTCTTCTCCAATTTCTTCAAGAACCGATTCATCCCACTCTCCAACTTCATCGCATTATCTTCTAACTTCCTCGGCCGTTGTCCAGGAGCCTTCATCGCCTTCTGTGCATACTTTTGTCCATGCCCACCGGCCTCCGCCTCCGTCGGCCGATACAACTGGCTGTGGATATCATATTCAGAGGAGACCGCCGGCTGCACTTGCGCCTGCGCATAAGAATAATTCGAGTACCCGCCAATCGGAACATCCTGTCCGGGTTGTTGGGGCGGAGACTGAGGGGTTCCGTATACTTGCTGGGCGTAGAGGTGTGCATTTGGATCTTGTGGTGGGGGTGCAAAGGTCATTGCAGCCTGACCAGGGGTACTCGGCCAGGACTGACCCGAGTGTAAAGATTGCGAGTAGCTGGGAACGGCTCCAGGGCTCTGGACGCTTGGTTGAAGGGGGAATGAGTTTGTGTGGGCAAGCCCGGCGCTTGGTGGCGGCGAGACATAACCCGTTGGCACGGTGGCAGGCACGCCCTGGGCATAAGTTGGTGGAGGTGCAAATGAGCTGAGTCCCGGGTTACTGCCCATTTGCTGTGGAGGCGTATATGGGATACCTTGGTCGGCTGCTAGGGCGGCTGCGAGGCCAGTTCCCTCGGTGCCATCTGCTGGAGGAGGAGTCTTCTCGCGGTGCTTGATTGGTTCTGGGGCTGCGGGAGCTGCTGGGTTGTATGGCAATGGCGCGAAGCTGGCTGAATCTCGCTTTTCCTCCGCAGGGGCCTGAGATCCAGAATTGACGGATTGCTGGTCGGCTGCTGGTCCGCTCGGAGGTGGAGGGGGAAGCTCATGGTCTGTGGAGGACCCTGTGTAGCTGGAGCTGTCACTGCAGGGGGATTCGATCGGGAGTTGGGAGTTTGTCCATTCTGGTAGGCCGGGTCGGACACAGCGACGTTCTCAAGTTGCTGAACGACTGAGCTCAGAGGCTGGTCTAGTTGAGGATTCGGCCGATCAGTCTCAAGCTGAGAGACCGGCAGCACACGGCCGACCGTGTCCAAGAAGTCGTTGGCATCATCCAATGTCCAGAAATATATATCAAGTGTATGTAACCGATGCAGCTCATGGTGGCCACTGCGCGGGTTTGCATTTGGTAATCGCCAGTCATACTGAGAGACCTGCTGATGGGCCGACCCAGCGGTTCCATCCACGGTCAGAGTGCAGTGAGTTGGGAAGCGGGTCGAGTGTCGTATATGTGCGTTATTCAAGACCCCGTAAAATGCATCCTGGGCTGGCGTTCCAGGGTTGTTGGCAATCTCGACCCGGGCCTTATTCTGGGACGCATCGTGATATACGTATAGATAAGACCCTTTATCAAATCGGTGGTGAAGGGGCTTCGGAGTGGGAGCAGTGAAATAGTAATGGATGTCGGCGAAGCTAAAGCATTCATGCTGTTAGAGCTTGCGCATTGCGGAGAAGCACCTGCGGGGGACCGTTAGCTCGACTCACACAGTTACGAGACGCTCCTCGCCCGGTTGTAGAGGCATGTTTGCCTTGTTGTATAATGGAAAATGCGGAGAAGCGGAGGGAGGTGGAAAGTGTATAGTATGTATGAGAAAATCAATCGGAGGATTGGAGACTTACGACCTGCAGCTACCTTTATAGCGAGGGGTCGAATGATCCAAGCCTGTGAGATTACAACAACCGCCGAGTTGGACTTGGGCGCTTACAGAGTGTGATGTGATCGGAAGTGGGGGAGACCAAGTAAACACTAAGTTCTGGGTACTGACCACGCGCATAGTCCCCACGCGTGGGGAGAAGTACTGAGTACCAGGGCCCGCGGAGCGCGGGTGAAATGGCGAACTGGCGAACTGGCGAGTGCTCGGCCGGAAGCTTGGTTTCTCCGAAAATTTCCATCGCGAAGAGCTGCGGCCTCGCCATTTTAGGATCAACCCCGACCAGTTCAGCCTCGCTCAATTCCGCCATTCTCACCAGTGTGGTGACTCTAACTCTCGATATTCCTCGGGCCTTCCGTGAGATTGGCTTGATCCCGCCTTCGAGTGCCATTCGGCCAACGTCTGCTCGCCACACTTTCCTCCTCCCCCGTTCAACGGCCCCCGAAGGGCCAATTGCTCGCAACAACCACTCAAGATGTCTCTCGTCAACCTTGCCTCCGTGTGCGCCCACCTGAACAATGCCACCAAGGCCCGCCTTGGTCTCACCTCGATCCCCAACAGCAATCTCCACCTGAAGCTGTGCCAGGCCCTCCAGAACTCCGGCTACATCTCCTCCGTCGTCCGCGGAGGCCCGACACCCCCTCCTACACACCCTATCCTCGGCCATCCCACCGCCAACGACGAGGTGGAGGGTGTCGAGGCTATTACTCGGGACAATGTCGCCTCCCGTCGCCTCTGGCTGGGTCTGAAGTACTGGCAGAACGAGTCCGTCCTGCGCAAGGTGAAAATGGTTAGCAAGCCCACACGCCGGGTTCATCTCAATGTCGAGGAATTGCGTCGAGTCGTTCGTGGCGAGGAAGCTGGCTACGTGGCCGGCCTGCGATCCCCCGGTGAGAGTCTCTACCTGTCGACGGACCGGGGAGTCTTGGAGGCTCGCGAGTGTGTGGAGAAGAAGCTCGGTGGCCTGGTCCTCTGCCGGGTGCTATAAAGTCGTGTGATGGTGGAAAAAATGGTGGTCCCTCTTTGCCCTTTGCTTGAGGGACCATTTTTAGGGTCCCTTTGTTCTTTTCTTTTGCATTTACCCTGGAGTTTATCGGTTTGTCGCAGCGGGGTCTCCTCTTGGGATCCGTTTTGTTCTTTGCGACTGTTGGGATAATTGCCTCGACCGAGGATCTGTATATTAGATGTTTGCGTGTATCGCATTTTCCATACTCTGCTCGGGGTGTGTTGCAGAGTTGCCGCTTGATCACGGCGCCGTGTATAGATTACGATTTAAAAACATGTCCAGATCCTCTGCTTTCCATGGAGTGTGCTTATTTTGATATTGTGTCTACCAGTTTTGTTCTCGTTCTGGAAGTAGAATGAACGCATCTGCTGTGGCTGTTGATCCGATCGTGGCACATCACTTTGCAGTCACGCGCCTCTGGTCGGTCCTCGGCCTACTCCCCATTCAAAACCCAGCGAGTATAAGCGCCTCCGCCAACCTGCTCCCTTCGAGGCTTGCGACCTTTCAAGTGTTCGATTATGTCCGAAGGCAATATATTAGCATCAAAGAAGGTCGTCGTATCGGGGGGTACGGGGTTTGTGGGCGCTGCCACAGTGCGCAGCCTGGCTGAGAAACACCCAGGCTGCGCCATCACCATCCTTGATCAGAGTCCGCCTCGGGCCCAACATGCCCTACCAGAGAAGGTGGATTTCGTACGAGTCGATGTCAATTCAATGAGTGAAGTCAGCAAGGCACTCCAAATGATCAAGCCGGACGTTGTCATTCATACTGCAGGGGTTGTTCCACATCTTGCCGACCGGTTCGGGCGTCGACTGGAGCGCGAAGTATGGAAGACGAATGTCCAAGGCACAAAGAACATGCTCGATGCAGCCGTCGAATCTGGCGTCGAGGCGTTCATCTACACCAGCACCTGCTGTGTGACGACTGATGACATGAGGTTTCCTTATCCCAATATCAACGAGGCATGGCCAACATCGCCAGCCTCTCTGATATATGGCGAGTCTAAGGTCATTTCTTCGTATCCACTATGCATTGATTTTGCACATTTGCGTCGTTAAAGACAAAAGAAGCTAACGATAACCGAATAGGCTGCAGCAGAGGCTCTGGTCCTGCAGGCATCCAGCAGTAAGATGGTGACCTGCGCCCTTCGACCTTCGGTGCTCTTCGGACCCGGAGACTATCAGCTGATTCCATCCATCCACGCATGCATTGCCAAATATGAGACTTGGTTCATTATCGGAGATGGATTTAATCTCTGGGATGTTACCCACGTGAGCAATGTCGCCGACGCCCATGTCCTCGCAGCAGAAAACTTGATGACATCTCGCACGGCGGCGGGTGAGGCCTTCTTCATCCAAAATAACGAACCGATTACATTTCGGGATTTCTGCCTGGCCATCTGGGCACATTTCGGGCATGTTCCGTCCTTCGAGGTTCATATCCCGGAAGCACTGGCATATGTGGCAGGGTTGGTGTGTGAATGGGCCACTTGGGCGACGAGATCTTCCACTACTCTAAGCCGTGGCAGTGTTCGAGATGCATGCGCTATGCGATATGCCTGCGGCGATAAGGCCAAATTTATTCTGGGCTACGAGCCGCGGATTGGCATTGAAGAGGGCATCCGGTTGAGCTGTGAAGTAAGCAAGGACCCGACCCTCCATCCAGGAACCCACTCTTTCCCCTCGTTCCACTCCTCCTACTGTCTGTTTGACGTTAAGTGATTGCGAAACCTAGCAGCTGATGGAGACGTAATAGGAGTATGCCCATCGTATTGGAGTAGAAATACCTTCACGACGACCGTAAGGACAGGCGGGTACACCTAGTGAGGTTCCGTTCAGCTAAACTTTCTTGTCGTCTCTGGGCTGAGGAATGGATTCCCTACACAGAATGACTCCGATGGATATGGTTTCCCCCAAGACCACGCTGGCTCCGTTGACTTAAGAGGCGTTTCTTAGCGCAGTTTCAATAATTGCCACTTGATTAAGATATCTAGAACCTAGGACCCATGTTACCCTGGTTTCCAGTAAGACATTGGGCGGACCATTGGGCTGCAAGACCCTCTCTCTCCTGGTTGTGGCTCAAGGCGGCTCTCCACCTCTCCACTAAAGCGAAGTTTGGGGCCCGGGTGATCGCAGTTGCGATATAGAAATGGTCCATGCGTTGATTGGGCCCCAACGGCCGTGCATGCCCAATCGCGTATGATCCTGTATGATCGAAGCCCATGGAAATGCGAGATCCCAGTGAAAGAGGAGTAGAAAGCAATCAAAAGAAAGCAAAGTAGCGCGGGCTTCGACATCACGGAGCAGCATGTGCTTCGCCTCCACCGTCAGGCTCATCTTGTACTCCTTCGCTTCCTCCTCTTTCCAAACTTCCATGCTCTCTTTGCAGATCTTCTACCTGTGCAGTCAGGTCGTCATCATCCAACAATATGCGAAGCCTGAATATCCCATCATGTCCTCCTACCCAACTTGCTGCCCAAGCTTGCGGCCCGGGTCTTTGTCAAACCAGATTCAAGTGGCGTTGGCTTGCCGTTGGTCTTTGCGACCCCCCTAATCAATGAGGATCAGAGCTTCTGGATAGCAAAGTCGATCCCCATTTGATTCAAGGTGGGTTCATCCCCCTTTCTCCCCAGTATCCAAGAGCCGCCCCAGTCCGTTCGAAGCCACGTCGAATCAACGCATTCCATGCACTGGAGTCGAACTCGATCGATCGAGATCTACTTGGAATGCACGCCTTTTTGGCACAGAAGTCCTACTAGATGGTTCTCTGTCCGACTGAGCACAGTTTGATGCTACAGAGGAGCAGTACCTAGCCCACGAGTGCGTTATTTGCCAATTTACTTGCTCCACTCCTTACCTTTGAAGGTCCTCTAGCGCGGCTCTTCATCCACTTGTGGGCTGGGATTTACCAGTCCAGGAGGAGGCGTCAGGCACACCTGCCAAAAACGCTCGACCCGGGTTCTCCTGGCCATATATTACTGGAGATGTGACCAGCCAGCGCTTCTTCCCAAGCGTGGATTCGTCTACCCTGTTCATCCTCTCCCTTCTATGCTTAAAAATAGACTCGACGCCCTCTCTGTTGAATTGCTCCTGTCTTTCTTCATTTATCTGTCACCGTGATCAGCCGGTCACTTCGATCCTTTCTTCATGGTTCCTGCCCTAGCTCCCCATTTTACAGCTGTTCCATTAGGCTTCCAGCCACTATCTGCAACACAAGTATCCATTGGTTCTCGAGTGGGCTCAGTCAACAGCAAATTGGATATTCTGTCTCGCTCTAGGTCAGCACAAACGAAAACTACCCCGTCCCTCCATCGTTTCCAATCTCTACCTCTATTTTTTTTCTTATTTTCTCTCCCTTTGGAAAGTCTGTCAATGGTACTGTACGCATACTCATACTTCATAACAGCGCCATGGCTCAGCATCCTATGTATGCTCCATCGGGAAGCTCTCCTGTTATCCACCGACAAAGGTATTTTCACTACCTATTCCGACCTTTCCCATCCCCGAAATTCATCTGAAAAAGGCCACCGAACTTTCTTTCATTGCAATTGCTAAGCGGTAGAAGGGCGCCTTCGGCACCTCGAGCCTACCTCAGGGACAATCGCCAGCTTGTACCACTAGGAACCATAGATTTCGAGGCGCGTGCCCAGTACCATGGATTTGCAGCCCCTCTTGATAGCCACGGCCGTATTATTCCTCAGCCCACAGGAAGATTATCCTATCCGCCAGCTGGACAACCAATTACCCCGGTTCCAATGTACTCTGACTGGAACCCATCCCCACACATGTCGCATGAGCCACTGCGTCATGATACTAGGCCACTGAATCCCTCGGAGAGCCCGGAATATATCGTGGAGAGAAACAGCCGACGAGCTTCTGATGCAAGCCGCGGGGGAACTCAGTACATTTCCCAGAGGCGGTCCTCAAACCGGGATGAATTTGATGGCCCCCATCAAATCCTGGATGCGCCTTCTTCTCGGAACTTCCCAGCCCGGGAAGAGGAGCTGCCCCAGCTCCCTACTAATCTCGATGCCGCAGAACAAGACAGGATCTTGCACGAGGTCAACGACCGCCTATCGCAGTGTGCGTTCGACTTTTTTGCGAGATACCAGTTCCCTATTCCTATTGAACAAGATAAAAGGCGGGTTCAGGTTCCCTCAGACCGTGAGTGGAATGAATGGGTCCACCTTCTGAAAAGACTGGCAACTCGCCGGCGCATCCCGCGTCACGCCCTACACAATGGCCAGATCAAACAGCTCATTACCGTGCTGGAAAATTCCCTGGAAATGCGCCACGCTGCTAAGCACAGCTCTCGACCCGTCAAGGATGACCGTAATGTGCTACAGCTCATCTCTGCTGGCACGCAGGTTGCCAAGATTCTCAAGGATTCTAGCGCAATGCAGTTCTTCGACTGTCTTTATGTTGACACGGAGAAGCTGATCAGCGAACGCCGCCGTCGGGTGAGATTCGCAGACCACTGAAATCCTGGATGGATATTCTTCCCTGATCCTGGATAAAATGTGGCCTTGTCATTACCTTCCCCTGGATTATCCTGCCTTGGACACCTAGTTTTCTGTTTTTCTGCTCTTTCCACGGATCACATCGCCTTTTCCGCTGTCCACTTGGAAGACCGCTAAAGAAAGTTCCCTATCTCATTTTTCTATTTTATCCCAGGACTTGGCCAAACCTCCGTGGCTCCTCATATCCTTGGATTCCAACCCATGATGGATGCCCGAATACATCAACAGTACCTGAAACACGTATATCCCCACACATACATCCAATCTAGCCTTGGGCGAACCGTTTCCTACTTTGGATGAGCCATGGAATGGGGGGTTAAATATACGACTCATCAGCAGGAACAAGGAAATGGCCAGCTATAGGAAGGACGACATAATACTCTTTGTCGGATTTTGAACCCGTCTTGATTATGTTTGTTGGAGTCTTTTGCTTTTTTGATCGGGTTGGCTGTGTCTTATATTTTGTTTGTCCTGTTTTAACTTCATGTATTATCTGATTGGCATGACTATTATGCACAATTTACGGAATAATATTAGCCATCAATCTGTCGAGAGATAGGTTAACGAGATCTCACTTATCGTTCTGTTTGCTTTCCAGACTTCCTGCTGTCTTCATTGACACCGGCGGAAGGATAAGGACGGGTCCAGTTTCCCAGGTCGGTTCTCAGTGCGAATGATGAAAGGTCTCTTTCGGTCGGTTGTTGAACTACTATTACTTGATAGTCCCTGGACATGGGAGACGAGGGTTTCACTTAGGTTGTAGGACGTGGGTTATTTAAATCTTTCCTCTGTCAACTACTATGTCCTTCCCTCAATTTCTACCGGGAACCGCTCTATCGCACCTGGCTCATCTACCATCTGCAAATGATTGTATCCGACAATGTTAAGTTCATGTGGAGGCTTCCAATAACCCTGACTTGATTGAAGACTGACATACCAAGAACTGACGCACCCTCGCTGCTCTTCGATGACAAGTATGGTGGTTGGAGATGTTGACTGTTCTAGTAGCTCTTCTGAGCTCTACGAAGGGCCTATCTTGACCTTACCAAATACAAAATTCTCTTTTTATTTCTTTATTGACCAAAAAACATTGAATTACGGCTTACCTCGCTGGAAAGAACGCCGCGATGCGTTCGTACAGACCGTCACAATTTGAGTATCTCCTAGAGCTCCGCTCCGCCAGACACACGGCTTGTATATGAATCCAAAACTTGGTTGTATATGAACTAGGTTATTACGCAAATAAAAAGCGCCTTTTCCATGACCCAATCCGCCTTCCTGGAGTGGTTAACATATTTGTCTTTCATTCTCTCTTTTTCAGCACAGAAGCCGGTTCTATTTTTTTTCGCTATCATTTTGCTACGTTCATAGATTACAAATCTTTTGACCCCAAGATAGAAGAACTGCTGCAAATCGACGAGACCATTTGTTAGGATCTTGGCTCTCTTAACGTTATGTGCGCTACTTGTATCGGTCCCGGTCGTGTCTGAAAGCTATGTTCTACATATCTGGTCTTGTGACCTGTTCGGCTAAAAAGTGCGGGCGAAGGTCGTAAGCCCGTAAGATAGGTACAGCCCTTTCCCCAAAGAACAAATCGACCTCGGAAAATATTCACACTCTGAGTGAATGGCATTGACCTACTAATACACAGAGGCAAGCACGGTCTCTCGGTAACAAATAACAATTGACGGAGTGAAATATGCTCAACCGAAGAATGCAAACTTAATCGCTCAATAAAACCATATGCTCTCGATATCAACTCGACAAATATAAAAGCCGCATGGGGAATTCTTGACCTAGGTGTCACGAGGAACTGAAACCTGGCACACGAAACCTGGGGGCAAAGCAGAAACAAAAAGACCCTGAGATAGAGGACATGAATGGCCCGAGAGGACAGCGCGTCATGTGAAGACCAGAGGATATGAAAGCCTGGAACTTAATGAAGAAAAAGAACCAAGGGTATAAGCACAGAAGATTAAAAGGGTTTGTCCCAGAAAAAAAAAATGGAAGTGAGGTGGACGATGATTCTAGCTCAGGGCCAGACTGGCAAAGTCAATGTCGACCGTGTCCGACTTGGCTGGAGCTGCACACTCTACAACTGGGATAGACTCCTTGGGCTCCTGGATCTTCTCGGAGACCTGAGCTTCGCTCAGATCCTCCATGATCTCGGGTACATCGTCAGTGGAAGCCGAGGTCGAAGTTTCAGTCTGCTCAGTGAACACGGGCTCTGCCTTGGAAGTCTCCTTTGGTTCAATGGGGCTGGCATCCTCGGCAACGACGGGCTCGGTGGGCTCCACAACGGCCTCAGAGGTAGTCTCCTTAGGTGCCTCTGGCTCGGGTTGCGATTCCGAGGACTCCTTCTCGCCATTGACCTCAGTGGTGGTTTCAGCAGGCACCTCTCCGATATCCTTCACCTCAGGCACACCCTCCAGCTCAGCAGATTCATGCGTCGTCTCAGTAGAAGAGACCTCAGCGGGAGCCTCCCTCTCCTTGGTTGTCTCCTCTTGATGGCCAGATGTCTCGGGAGCATTCGGGGCGACAGGCTCAGTGGAAACTTCGACTACGGCCTCTGTGGCAGTTGGCTCGACAGCCGGCTCGGTAGGCTCGGCAACTGGCTCCAGAGAGAGCTCAGGCTTAGCTTCGGGGATGGCTGGCTCGGTTGGCTTCTCTACCACGTCATCAACAGCTGCCTTGGAAGTGACCTCTGACTCGGGCTCTTCAACGGTGGCATCGTCGGTCTCAGGGACAGAAGGCTCTTCCGGGATCGGCGCGGGGACTTCCTCAATGTTCTCCTTCTCACTCTCCTGTCTGTTCTGAGGAACCTTCACTTCTTCCTTCTTCGATGGACCCTCCTTGCTGGCTGGCTGAGCCTTCTCACTTTGTGGCTTCAGAGCCGCAGGCTTTGCCTTTGGCTGGGCCACCCCGCGCTCCGAAGCTCGTCCCACTGACTGGCGGGGAGCCTTGGAGGCTGCAGGCTTGGGAGGAGCCTTGACATCGGTCTTCTCGTGGGTCTTGCTAGCGGAGCTAGCTGTCGGACGCATCATCCGAGCAAGGAAGCTTTCGTTGACAGGCTTTGCGCCAATGTCACTGACCCGAGAGCTGGGCCGTTCAGGGGCGGGCTGATGTGGAAGGGAAGGGCGAGAAGACTGTCGCCGCACAGCCGCTGCAGGAGCTGCACTCTTCAGCGAGGATGGCTTTCTCGTGAGAGTTGCGGCTGGCTTTTCGGTCCGTCCCGTCGCAGGTCCAGCGGTTCCGTGCTTGGCATTCGACGATTGGGTTTGTGCGGCCATCGAGTTGGGCAGGCGCACAGGTCTGGTGGGTGATTTGGATCGAGGTTTGGAGGCGGTGGTGCTGGTCGATGGTTTGTGAGCATCAGCGGATGGGGTTGCGCCCCGAGTCGCGCGGGTGGTACTCTTGGTTGCAGGGTTGAGTGAAGGGCGACTGGGTTTGTGGGCAAGAGAGTTGGCCCGTTCCTTTGCGACTTCGCGGGCTGAGGTGGGTTTGGCACTTCCATTATTGGTGGTTGTTCTTGACGAGGTCGAGGTTGTAGTGTGGGGAGTGGGTTTGGTGGTAGCGCTCTGTTTAGCTGTGTGAACATTGGAGGGGCGCTTGCTGACTGTCTTTGGTGCCGCTTTCTCTTTCTCAGATGAACCTCCAACGTCCGCAGTTGTCGGCGCACCTGAAGATGGCTTTTCCTTTTTTGCCGCCGCAGCCTCCGACTGACCAGCACTTTCAGCAGGTGCCACAGTCCCTTGGCTGTCACTGATCTTCCGCTGATTTGTCACCACTTCGGATTTTTCGGTGACTTTATCTGCCACTCCATCAAGGATGCTTGTTTGAGACTTGCCATGGCCATCTGGTGTCGGAGAGACCACGTTGTTCTGACGGCGCAACTCGATCTCCTCCGCATTGATCTTAGGCCCAAAGATGCCAGGACTGTCACTCCGGCCACTTGTGTTCCTGAATGGTGACCCCGGGCTTGACCCAATGGCTCCATCCACCGTCACGAAGCTGGCACGGACCTTGGATAGCGGCCTGGTCGAACCTGGGGTATCTGAGCCAACGGGGGATCGGCCCCGAGATGGTGGGGAGGTAATCGGGCTCTGGCTGTTCTCAAACTTGGCCAGCAGGCTGCGAACACCAGGATGGGCGTTGTTGTCCGACATGTTTTCGGAATGGCGATACAACGTCAAGTGGTCAGGGGCATCTAGGTATCGGATTGAGGGGAAGTCGGGGCACGCGTGGACAGCTCAGGGAGCGCGTCGCTAACGGTGGGATGAGGCTGGATGCAATTATCAAGCCCACTGGAACCCCCTCCTGGGGTAGAAACCGTGAGAGAAGACAATAATACAGAGAGAACACGGTGTTGCGAACAGCAAGTATGGGCGTGGAAAGGGAAGGTTAAAGAAGAGAGGCCGATCCGGACACTAACGCGCTAGCGAATATTAGCGCGTCCAATGGGGGTGAAACAACCTCGCCTTATACAGTCGTAGTGAGGTCCCCTCCCTTTTTTCAGGGGCCAACCCGGAGGTTTCGGGGTTCATCTGTCTGTAACGATGGATTCATGATCTCATGCCGGTCTTGTGCTTCTGAAAACATGGCCTCATCTCGCCTGACTACTGCTATGAGCTGCCTAGCGTTGACTGCAATTAGGCCCGGTGCATGTCCTGTGCAGGGACAAAGCTAAGCCAAAGGAATATGTGCCACATCCAGTCGATCTCGTTTCTGGTGCCATGGTCCAATAGTGCCACCTCCTTACTGGACTTATGCCACATCAAAAACAAAAACCTCCTGCTTGCAGCCAAGTGTAAACAATGGATCGCGTCCCAAACTCCGCCCGCGCGTGAAACCATGGTCCGGGAATTAACTTAGTGCCTCGCCAGCTTTTTAAGAGTCACCATGTACACACAGAACAGTACATCATCCATCTTCCCCTCATGATTATCAGATGCTAGCCATGTTCTAGAAAACTGCCTAGAGTGAGGAATATGTATGTCCCCGCTATATTTAGGGTGATCCTTCTGAAAGTCAAACAGAGTGGAAAGACTCTATATCTTATACTCCGTACTGTGTCTAGGTCAATTTAGAGACACTAATGACCCGATACATACACATATTCCTGCATGAAAGGATCTCACATGAAATTAGTGTAAATGTATCTTTCCATGATAGCCAGGCATGCAGCAGATTTGATCATCGGCCATGGCTGCTTGCATGATTCCCTCGGGCCGGTTTAACAAATTACCGACATTATGTCAGCAGCCATGGAATGGGGGGTTGCCAACTAACTAGTCCTAGTTATACGAGGTTTGTCAAGCTAACCCTTTGTCTGTGCTGATGGATGATCAAAGATGGTCGGAGTACCTCACAGTAGTGGCTGTGCTACCTGCGTGAAGCGTCGCATCAAGGTATAACATATGCGTCCCAAAACCAAGCAGCACGTATACTGACCACGCCTTAGTGTGATGAGAGATTCCCTGGATGCGCTAAATGTGAGAAATATGGGAAACCATGCCCAGGATATGATAGGGGCTTCAAGTTCATTGCTGGGAAGCCTTACCGTACCCCGAGGCAAAAATCAAAGACAGACACTGGCTCATCAAGCGAGGAGCGGTCAAAGACCGGGAGCCCAACCACGAGCGATATTTCACAGGTCGGCCCGCAGGCGGTTGTCTTGAAAGAACAACCGTGGTCTTTGACTTATGGGGATGTCAATGTCATGCAGAGCTTAGAAACTCTCATTGACCAGTTTTCTCAGCCAGGTCCATCCTCCCAGAAGCATCTTGTTTCCCAGTGGTTTGGTTTCCTGCCTTCCGTCTATGGCCACAGCCAGACACTGGATGCTTCGATCAAGTCATTCGCAGCACATCATTTTGGAAAAGTCTTTCAAAATGATCAGATGATTGCCTATGCTCGAGCTGCCTATGGAGAAGCCCTGTACAGACTCCGAAAGGCTTTGAAGAACCCCTCGGAATGTTTCTCTTCACATGTCTTCTACTCAGTTGTATTGCTGTGCTTGTATGAGGTAAGTGAAGGATTGTCTCTATTGATGAGCTAGTACATGAAGATCTGACTCTTTAAAGCTGTTTACCGATACCGAGGATCCAGAGTCCTGGATGAAGCATGCAAAAGGACTTGGCCAGTTAGTCAAGATCAGAGGACCTGAGCGGTACCGCAATGACCTGGATATTACTCTTCTGAAGGTCTCACGAGGCCTAATTGTAAGTTATGCCTCGTTTGAGATGTTCTTTAACCACTTCTGACAGTACTAGGTTATGCACTCTATGTTCTCTGGTGAACCTTGCTTCCTTGCAACCGAGGAGTGGCATCAGATGATGCGACAGCAGCGTGTTCCTGGCATCTCGCCCGATTTCCACAATTCGGTGGAGCAATTCTTTGCGTACTTCACTTATGCCCCGAGCCTGGTGCATAAATTCTACCATCTAAAGCACATCGACATTTCCACGCCAGAAGCGTTACCAATTATATCCGCCACACTGGAACAGGCACTCGACCTACAGAGTAAATTAGCACCATGGTACGAGCAATTTTCCCGGATTGCACCACCTCCGCTCGATACTCTTGCTTCAACTGACGACCCCTTGTACCCGATTATCTTGACATACTCTGATATGAACCATGCGAGCATCTATTGCGGCTACTACGCCTACATGGTTATCATTCATGAAATTTTGAAAACCTTTGGGTATCCCGGTCCACAGGCCGCGATGGTGATATACTACCGTGATCAGATCTGTCGATCGGTTGAATATAGTAGTGTCGGTGTCCTTGGTCCGTATCGACTAGGTTTCCCTCTACGAATTGCCATCGAGGTTGCAGACTCTGCGACGAGATTGTGGATCTTGGCTCGTCTGGAACAATTCTCGAAAGTCTACGCTGCATCAGAGCCTAAGAATTACGAACCTATTATGCCATGAAATATCGAGTAATCTCAATTACCAACATTCTGCAAGTACCCGGAAAGACTGAAAATTTTGTTGAAAGAAAGCCAGAACGGAATATCAGTGCATCTCAGTTTCCAGGCTGCTCCTCGTCGACAGATGCGATGTGCTTCATACCAGACGACCCGGAAATTGGCTCAGCCACAATCCGAGCCGTGATGAGCAAGGAGACAATGAAGATTTCCATCAACAGTCCCATGCCAGCCAAGATGGAAACATCACCATACGCCGGGTTGAACTTGGATGGGCCATACTCTAACAGCACGAAGTAAACGACACGGACTAGCAAGAAGGGCAAGGCACACGCGGTCAGAAGGATACCGCGGTGGCCAGCCGGAGTCAGCATCGTACGGCCCTTGACCGCAAGCCAAGAAACCAAGCCACAGACGAAGACAAACACGACGATGAGAACGATGGAACCGGCTTTTCCAAGTGCGGGCATTTCAATGATTCCGCCCACCACCCCTAGAACGATAGCGACTGCGACTGGAAACCGGAAGCCATGCATCATAATACGCAGTGACTTGGGATATTTGGACTTTCCTGGTCCATATTCAGCAGCCTCGCCACTATATCGGAACGAATGTGTCAGAAATGTCTGCACCTCGATTAAAATATATGCAGCTGTTACGTACCATCGCAGCAGGACAAGGCTGACTTCGAACATCAGCGGCGAGAGGCCTACGCTTTGCATGGACGACTCCGCGGTGAACATTGACTTGGTCGGGCTTGAAGTCGAGAGTATCATCGCGGAGCTAGCAATCCGAACTGTAAATAGATGGTTAACTTAAATGACATACAGTATCTGGTAGTTCTACTGACTCTGGGGAAATATTCCAACCATGCTGAACCAGGAGTAAAGGAGGCATCGTGCTATGCTCTGCCTTTTCTTGTGATGCCAGTATCGCCACTCTTGCATATATCGGAGTGTCAATTGAATAATGTGAATAAGAGAAAAGATGACAATCTCAGCAATGGCAATGTTGCGCTTGTCCGAGATTGGGGCCTCAGTGGAAGAAAGAGCGTTGGATGACATGGTGGATTTTTGGAGTAGATCTTGATGCAAGTCTGCTGTTTATGAGCTCAGAGACCTCAGAGAGTAGACCAAGTCCTTGCTTAAATAGTTTAGGAGACACCCATTGAACTTCTATTTCCATCACTTCCAGCTGTATAGACTTTTGCCCCACATCGCGGTTACTGACTATTTTGGGTTTAGCGTGGATGTTCAGCTGCGTCCTGAACCTTAAGAGCCACTTACATACGTCGACAATACTCCAAACCCGTATTGCTCTGCTAGACTGTTGGCAGATGCCCAAAATACAATTAGACCAGGGTTCAACTCCATGACCTTATTGTTGTTAAGGGCATATGATCGCCAGGCGGTGACAGTGGAAAATTTACGGTGTCTTTGACCTCCATGTCATCACAAATAACTACTTAGTTATGCGGCACTCTTTCTTTTCCCAACCTGGACACCCATGATTCCAAGCTATCTTGGCTTTCTATGGAAAGAATCCTCTTCACAACTTTAATCATGATTCCTGATGCTCGAACGACCTGCTTCGACGTTCGATTGCTCCGCGGCCTTGTAGGTACTATGGTCACCACATATGACCTTGTCCCAGATGGCGCATCACCAGAGTCTACCTCTCTCGCCCCTTCTACCGAACCCTCTCACACTATAACCTCCCCAACAACACCATAGGATTCAGCATTCTCTCCAATAACGGCCATTTCTGCCTCGTCAGAGACCCCTCGAACGTGGGTTATCACGGAGAAACTATCGGAGAGAGCAGCTCCTTTGACAGAACACGATGTCAAGATGGGCCGCGGGTCAGCTAAGACTGTTGGCAAGTTTTCTGTGCCACCTTACAGAGGACCCGAATCAGATAGCGTCCATGCGAATCTACCAACAGATTCCTATTGCTGGAACAGAGGACGCCAGATCCAAGGCGTTTACAGTGAGCCACATTTACGTATTGACTAATTCTTACTGAATGGTATTAGCTTAATGAACTCTAGCTTTTACCTGAACATGGTTCTAGTTTAATCAGAATGACCAAAAGGGGTGACCGGAGAAAATTAGTGACTGGTAGGTCACAGATTACTGAATGGCCTGAATCTCAAGGCTCGATTGAGCCAAACTGCGGCTCGCGGGAACTGTCCCAATCAGGAAGTCCACTGCCGATCGCGCTGTCCGTGATTCTCTCGGCATTTAAGGCTCAACTAGGTATATCAATGACACACGATGTTTGATATGAGTGGATCGTTATGCAAAATACGAGCGCGTAGTCATTGTCCTAAGGCTAGGGCTGATGATCTCCAATCTGCTGCTCGAGTCCTCCTCTAAATCGCGTGCTTTCCTCCGGACCCCGGAGTGAAGCCGGATCAATGATCTTCCTGCGCCGTATACAAAAGATATGACTCCGATGACGGCAACTCATTCGAAGTCAGGAAGCATCCCTCGAATAATTCAATATGGCTGCTGCTGCTCGGACACTCCGCATTGGTACGCCTGCCCTGCTCAATTGCTGGAATTGCTGGTCAATGTGACATTTAGGCTAATTGAAATCCCACAGGTCTCATCCCCGGAGACGGTATCGGACGGGAGGTCATCCCGGTACGTAGCTTCCACGACCAGACCGAAGAACACCGCAATGGGCACTCAATTGACCATCTATAGGCCGGTCGCCGCATTCTGGAGGCTCTGCCTTCTTCTCTGAACCTCAACTTCAGCTTCGTCAACCTCGATGCTGGTTTTGAGACTTTCCAGAAGACTGGCACTGCCCTGCCCGACAAGACTGTCGAGACCTTGAAGAAGGAGTGCGATGGCGCTCTCTTCGGTGCCGTCAGGTTAGAATTGCAACTCTGAAACCCTTGATGACTGTGGTCATGACTGACTGACTCTTCACCAATCTCCAGCTCCCCCTCCACCAAGGTCGCCGGCTACTCCTCCCCCATCGTTGCTCTCCGCAAGAAGCTCGACCTGTACGCCAATGTCCGCCCCGTCAAGACCACCGCCGGTAGCAGCAATGGCAAGCCCATCGACCTGGTCATTGTCCGTGAGAACACCGAGGACCTGTACGTGAAGGAGGAGCGCACCGTGGAGGGCCCCAACGGCAAGGTCGCCGAGGCGATCAAGCGTATCTCTGAGCGCGCCTCGCACCGCATCTCCACCATTGCTGGTGAGATCGCTCTGCGCCGCCAGGGTATCCGCGCCGCTGCCCCTGGTACCTCTGCCCACACTCAGCCCATGGTCACCATCACCCACAAGTCGAACGTCCTGTCGCAGACCGACGGCCTGTTCCGTGAGACCGCTCGCAAGGCTCTTGCAGCCGAGAAGTTCTCCTCCATCCACGTCGAGGAGCAGATCGTCGACTCCATGGTCTACAAGCTCTTCCGCCAGCCCGAGTACTACGATGTCATTGTTGCCCCCAACTTGTATGGTGACATCCTGTCTGACGGTGCTGCCGCTCTGGTCGGCAGTCTGGGTCTCGTCCCTAGCGCCAACGTGGGTGACGGTTTCGCCATTGGTGAGCCTTGTCACGGCTCTGCCCCCGATATCGAGGGTAAGGGCATTGCTAACCCCATTGCTACCCTGCGCTCCGTTGCTCTGATGCTCGAGTTCCTCGGTGAGCCCAACGCCGCTGCTAAGATCTACACTGCTGTCGATGCCAACCTGGATGAGGCTAAGTTCCTCTCTCCCGACATGGGCGGCAAGGCCACCACCCAGGAAGTCCTGGAGGATGTCCTCAAGCGCCTGTAAGAAAAATAATTTGTATATAGACTTTGGTTGGTGCAGATGAGTTTCACAGATAGTAGCAGGAATCAAAAATTTCATGCTCGCGTCCGATGATTATCATGGTGAAGAGGTAGATGCGTCTGTGGAGTATCGATCTCTAGTCTATGCGGAGAAAACAGATAACCCAAGGATCCCTCCAGTTTATCCCTAACTTTGTTGTCCCTGCTTGCCGACCTCTGCATCCTCCCGTTTAACGAGTATGAAGCATACGACTAGGTACGCGCGACCCGTCTTGGAATCTTTCAGAACGTATCGGAGCTCATGATTATCTTCATCCACCATACCCACAACTGGAATGTGTATACCTGGAAGACGGATCGCGGTTTCTATATCGCCAATCTGTCAGCTTAATTTTTCTTCATCACAAATAAAAGACGAAGAATAAATTCCCCGCTTACCACTAAATGACAGATATTGATTGCCAAAATCAGCCAGATACGTCCTCCCACTCTCAAACTCGAAAGAAGTGCGATGGTCCTCCTTCTGGAAGTACTTCCGGCGCTCGTTCGGAGTATCCGGAATCTGAAGCTGACTGCGTTGCTCCGCACCTTGACCCTCAGCGCCCTCTTCAACAACGTAATCTTTCTCCATCAGAACATCATGCTTCTTATCCTTGTCGCCAATACGGAACTGGTTCCACGTTGCCAGAGCCGGACTGTACAAATAAGGCTTGTCGGCGTAAGCATCGCCATCGAGGGACGGATCGATGGTCCATTTCACCACGCGCAGGGCCGCATTGAAGCCCGGGGGTAGACGGTTGCGAAGGGGTTTATCGAAATCGTTTCCGAAGAGCAGGTCATTGCCACTGATATTTTGCTTTGGTGTGAAGGAGAAACAGATCGAATACTGGTCATTGGTGTGGAGGGGATGCTGGAAGTAGGGACTTGTTTTGGGAGAAGAGTCGGGATATCCTGTTTGCTCACATTAGCACCTGTCTCCAGAGATTGCAAGGTTTCAAACCAATGAAAGTACCGGTGTAGTCCTGGATGCGAACATTCAGGTCGAATGTTGCGCGGTCATCGTCTAGTCGCAATGTCTGGCCGTTGACCTCGACTGGTTTATGCGTCGCGGGTTCGTAGTCTAGCCCCGCAGTCACTGCCAGGCGATACTTTGACACCATGGTTGCTTGAAGGGTGGAATTTTGAGTTGAGGGGAAGCTAAAGGAAATGTAGGGGGTAGGGAGTTGATAAATAGTCTAGATTATTCAGGCCTCGAACCAAGATTTACATAGATTGACGTCGCCCGACCATCATGGAACAGCCTTTCTTCCAACATCATGCACCCCCATTTATTCCCTTTTTTCAGGACACCTTGATTCTCAGAGGCTTCAGTATCTTTCAAGACTCATCATAGCTATTTACTCCTTTAGGAGTGAGTGATGTGTTCAGAAGCTCAATGTTATCCTTCACTCCGAAGGCATGACGTCATCCCGGGCTTACTGGGGATCCGGCATGTGACGGTGAAGAAGATCTCACGCTAGAGAACGATAGCTTATGCAAAGAAGGCTGAGTAGTCAACTGGGTCTCTCATTGATTTTTGGTATGCTATTTCAGGAATAATTACATAGCCAAATAAGCCAAGCCCTCAGCATCATCTTATCAATATCTGAATAAAAAATCAAGAGAGAATGCCTCAATCAACAAGAAAGACGGTTGAATTACATTTATAAGAAACAGGAGTCGAACCGATCTGGTTGGACCGTTTCTCGAGTCTCCAGGGTCCTGACTTGGGGGATGCCACTGTAGTTCTATTATGTAGGAGGCTTAACTGAGCCTGGAAATGTTCGATGGAAGGTATCACAAAAGAAAATATAACGAATGAAGAAAATCTCTATACATCAAATGAAATCAGGCACGGGCAAATCAATATCAGAGTCAATTCCACGCCTCAGATCTGCAAGCCCTTCATTTTCAAGAAGGTCATCTTCAGAGAGAATGCCGATCCCACTATCCATCCGACGGCGATTCTTCCCTCTCCCCATCTCCACATCAACGAAGCGAGTCATACTAACGGGGGTAATGGGCTCACTACCCATCATCGTCGTCCCATCCGACATGAGGTCATCTGATCTGAGTTCCCAGTTCGCGGCACGCATCTTGGCGCGCCGGCGCTCTGAATTGACCGACTCTTTCATGAACGCGAATGAGCGTGCCTGCTCGGTCGCCCATTTATCGAGAAGCCCATCACGAGCCTCCATTTCCATCCGCAGTTGCTCTTCGAGACCGCTGTTGACTTGTTGCAGACGCCGAGCCTCTGACCTTGCACCGTCGAGAGATGTCGTGAGTTCGGAGATGCGGACATTCAGAGTCCCGGTCTCTTCTTGATGCTGTTGGTGCTGCTCGTTTGCTGTTTGTGCAAGGCGGTCAAGCACTGCCTGGTGCTCTTTTTCGAGAATTTCCATCTCTGTAGTGAGATCAAACGCCCGAATCCGGTTCTGCTCCACAGTTTCTTCGAGCTGGCGAATGCGGTTTTCGTTTTCAGAGGTCGAAATCTCGATCGCAGAACGTTGCTTGCGCTCACTGACGAGTTGTGCCTTCAAATCGGAAATTCTGTGCCTATATCTCTCCTTGGTGGCCGTATTCTCTTCTTCCAAACGGCTCACCATATCTTCCAGACCTCTCACATCTTCGTGGTACTTATCGAGGGCGGCGTTTAATCTGTCAATCCCAATGCTCTTCTCTTGGTCTTCGTTCTCGAGGTCTTGCAGTCGAATTCGTGTGTGAAGCATATCGCTTGCAGATGACGCAATCGAGTCTTCGAGGTTGCTGATTTTCTCAGCGGCCGCTTCATACCGGTGTAAGAGGTTATCGAATTGTCCACGAAGAGCTCTCTCACGGCCAAGCGAGCCATTATAGTAATCACGTTCGGCTTTCAAGTCAATTGCGAGAGTCTTAACCCGTTGGACCAACGCACCAAGGGTGGCTTTTCCATCCCCGAGGCTTACCTTCGCAGTTTCGCCTGGAACGGCTCGTTCCAGCTCAAGGCGTGCAGTGCGGAAGTGAGTTCTCATATCATTTATCACTTCGTCGGTGCTAGAGCCGGTAAATCCCAGGCCAGAACATTCTTGGCTGATACCCTCTAGGGCTTGGGTGGCATCAGAAGCGCGAGAAAGCGCCATCGTCAGTATTTGGATGACGTTGCCAAAGAAATCGGGAGGTGGGGATGATTGTCGAAGCGTATCGCCGAAACCAGATGCTTCAAAGGTAGAAAGATGCGTCCGACAGGCATTGAAAAGCTCCCTCTTCTCATTTCTGGCAGCTTCCAGGTCAAGTATGAGAGTTTGCACATTTGACTCTTCTGTCGTATTCATAACTTTTGTCTGCGTCGAGATGTCGGCATTCGTTTGATTGAATGCCATTAGGCTGTCAGGCACAGGTGAGTGAGGATCGCGCACGCCACGAAGATCCGGCGAGTTAGAAGTCATCACAGCGGTGTCATTGAACGTGAAAGTGTCTCCGTCGTTGTCAACGGATGCTACTGAGATTTCATCCCGAAGTCGAGGAGTTTCACGCTCGAGTTCGCAAACACGAACCTGAGGGGACATCCAGAAAGACTCATATGAAGGCAGTTGATCTTCCGGAACTTCATGCCTTCGTTTCAAAGCATTCAATTCATGTTGTAGAGCGTCTCGCTCCTGTCGTAAAACATCAAGAGTCTTCTCGAAAGTTGCAGACTGTCGCCTTTCGCGCTGAATGCTATTAATCTCATCGCTTAGACCAAAACGTCGTATTCTCCTCTGCGTGCGAGTGTCCAAGATTTGCCGTAAAGGGGTAAATTGGATCACTCTTTCATTGCTTGACTCATCGAATCGTTCAATCGGGTCAAAGGACCGCTGGAAGCGCGGTGTTGGAGCTGATCGTCGCCGATGGGCTGGTCGACTAGGTGTTCCATTGCCGACCTTTGAGATAGGGTCTGACTCTCGGAACGAGGTGCGTTTCATGGCAGGTGTCAGGCCAGTCGACCAAGCTGGGGTATCCAGCAAGCGAGGACCAGGATCCGAGAATCGGACCCGCTTCCTGGCCTTCTTTGGGGTTCTCGCAGCGAACCTTTGCATGTCAGGCACTGCTTCCCCAATTACACTGTTTCTTGTCCGGTGCGAGACTGGAGAATTGCTCCTTGAATCGGAGATGGAATTGCTCCTGCGCTTGCGCGCAGACTGCCGTGTTTCCATTGTCAACATGCAATACCCAGCCGCAGTCGAGTCAAAATTGTATAGAGTATGCACCAATGTATAAAGTAGTTCAGCCGCTTCTAAACTTGCGTATGTAGTGGTGCGACAAAGTAATTGTCGATGGACTAGGTAAATAGGACAAAAGAAAGAAGCAGTCCGATTGGAGTTATAAAGTCGAGTCAAGGGAGGGAAGTATTAAATACCCTCCTGGAGACTATGGAGGAGTTATAGATCACAACATAAACAAACAAGGTGGGGCTCCTGCAGGCAACAGAGGCCCCCCTTCGCGCCTGCCTCGCGTGCCTGGGCTACTTTCCTAATTGGGTCATGTAAACAAGCTTCTGTTTCTGGCGATCACGTGCTAACTCAAAGCCTCAGGCAGAAAATGTAGCCCCCTCATATTATTCACAGTGTCAGAATTGAATTGATGTATACCTATACTTTCTTGTAATACTGGCTTGAATGATTAGATTTTTAACTAGACTGAAATCGTAAAATATTGGAATTTACAGATAGGGCAACATGCTCGGCGCCGTGTCAACCACTTATCGATGCAAATGGCATGAAAGACATGACCACAGCCTACTCCGCGAACCTTATCTTCACTATTTAAGCCCTCTAGGCAGATAGTGCAGATATCCTCATTGGGTTCCATATGGATATAACCTCTCTGGCTTGCTTGTCTCATTGTGGATACCCCGGAAACGTCTAATGCATCTTGTCCGCTAGGCTCGATGGGCTCACTTGTTTCCCTCTCCCATTGATGATGTTCTGTCGGCGACAATGTTGTATGCGCCTTTACCGGAGGGCTAGGATATGGCTCTATAGAAAACTTTGCTCCGCTAAGTATCTTCATCTTCTCTTGCTGTGCACTAAAGAAATCAATCAATCAGATCTCAAGATAATGCGTGGATAGTCGGATGAACAGGACGCACCTTTCACCGGAATGAAGTGTCTTCCACATGGCATATTCGATGACGGGCATTCTTTCATTCAGATCATGTATGGTCGGTAGCAGCTGTCGTGGGGCTTTGGCATTGGGTCTGGCATTTGGTCGCAACTGAGCAAACAGCTGAGGGACTTGTTCAGCTACATTGTGGCGACGACTATATCTGCGTCGACACAAGTACTGAATGTAGCCGGCGAGACTAACCGACCCGGGGTCAGATTACGTCAATTAATTTGTCTCTCAAATGAATACTGACCAGATACATAGGACCAGAGCAACGCATATCACCGGTGTCATAGATGACGAACTATTGGGCTTGGTGTCCGCAGTTGACATATCTACATCTCGCAATCCCGAAAGAAGCAAACACCAGCTGGAATGTTCTGGGGGAAGGTTCGTTATTTTTAAATAACTCGTTAATGAGGTAAATAAAATCACCTGACGCATTCTGCGGGATTTTTCCGGTCCATTGCTGCTCTACCGTCAATAAGGACAAGCCATGACCTATCTTGTCTTGCCGTGGCTCTCCGAGATGGAATTGGCGCTGTTTCTGAGTGGAGGACCTGACTTCAATCAGAGTAAACAATGATTTTCTTCAGATATTTGATAATTAGACACCTCTGATACACAACAAAAGTGGTGGAACATAAGCCAGAGAGTAACATGATCAAATGCCGCACACCGCCAGGTTGTCGAATTTACAAGTCATTCGAAGCCAACGACTAATTGAGACGAGAGATGTCAAAATACACAATCATGGAGACTGAAGCTTCCCCATTCACCCATCTGTTTGACTCAATACTTAACTCCTAGTCGAAGACAGCCACGCACCCCCCTCCAAATTTTGTCTGCTTCCACTCAACACAGCGCACCTTCTACCAAGCCAACCGTGCAATGGGTCCTTTTGGCCAAAGCCGCACAGCAAGTTTGCGAAGCTCATCCATGCAAAGTACTCCGACTGCAAGGGGAATTGGCAAGAACCAGAATTCCAATGGCACTGAACCTGTCTCAAAAATTTGCTGAAGGCCCGGCTCTTCCGTCACAAAGATGGCGATAGAAAGACTGACCACCATGCTGGCCAGAAGCCAGGGATTGCGGCGCTTCTTCCGAATCGGGTCAGCCTGTAAGATTGACAGTCGCTTGTTTCTCACACTAAGAATATTGCCCCACTGAAGGATGAGCAGGCAAATGAAATACACACTTTGGCCAACAATGTTGAACTGAGTAAGCTCATCCTCAGTGTAACCGTAGAAGCCGTCGGAGTACTTTTCGAATGCGAAGAACAACGCGCTTGCCGGGATACCAGCATATCTCCAGTAGTATAGAAAGAACATGGAGTGTGCACAGACTGTCTGCATAACCCCCATGAAAAGATAGCTCTGAATGTAGACCTTGAGGTTGATCAAATGGTCCCGCTTGTGATTTCGAGGGGGCAGGTCAAGCAATTCAAACTCCTCTTGCTCCATAATGAGAGCGAGAGAACAGAAGAGATCGGTGAAAACACAGATAATAATCATTAAGAATGATGACAATGGGAGAGGAACACCAAAAAAAACATTGAGTAGGACGGGCCAAATCTCTGACCACGAGCCTGCAGGCAGAAGGTAGCTAATAACCTTTTGGAGATTCTGAAACACCAATCGCCCAAGACGGATTGCCTCGATGATTGAGTCAAATTTATCCATTAGGATCAAATCTGCAGCTTCAAGGGCCACATCACTACCAGTGACGACTGCCACGCCGACGTCCGCAGCCCTGAGAGCGGGTGCATCATTCACACCGTCGCCAGTGACCGCGACCACATAATCGCGTGCGCGAAGCTCATTGACGATGCGAAGCTTCTGATCGGGCATGGTTCGACCAAACACAATCTCTTGGTATCCACAAACAAAGTCCCAGTCCTCATCAGTTAGTTGTGAAATTGATGGCCCCTCAAGGAGCAAGCTTGTCTGCGATGAACTCGAATATGTACCCGTCGAAGACCTACTCGTGTTGCACTCGCGACGCTGCACAATGGTTTCGAATGTGTCTGGTGCGGCGTTTCCCGTAAAGATTCCAATGTCACGAGCGATAGCAGCACCAGTGAGGCCGAGATCGCCAGTAACCATGAAAAATTTGGCTCCCGCGCGTCTGCAGGAAGCGACTGTGGCTGCTGCTTCTTTCCGAGGAGGGTCGATAATTCCGAACATTCCAATCAGGGTGAGTTCGGCGATTCCCTGGCTTTGGATCTCGTCGCTGAAGGCGTTGGTTCCCAGCGGCTGGGCGGGGGTATAATGTCGTTCACATAAGACGATAACCCGCTGAGCGTTCCGTGACATGTTCTCTTGTATCTCCGAAAGCATCTTCCTGAAATCTATATCCAGGGGTTGAACACTGTTTTTAGCGCAAGACCAATAGGAGCTGCAGTGTGGGAGGAGAATATCCGATGCGCCTTTCATCAAGAGCAAGTAGCTTCCGGTATTCTCCTCGAAACCAGGAGTCTTGTGTAACGTGAGCATCCATTTATTCTTGGAGTTGAATGGAATGCTGAATACTCGCTGGTATCTCTCGTTTAGATTTTTGATGCACCCTGGCTGGGCCTCTTCCGCGAATTGAAGCACAGCGCCATCAGTTGGGTTACCCAGAACCTTTCGTATATTGATTGGATCCTGAATGGTAGAAGGGTCAAAAATGGCGTCGTTACAGAGAGCAGCCGCTTTGTGAAGATTGGTCAACGGAGCGATATTATTTTCTTTGATTGCAGAGAAAGCCTCGTTGGAGAGGTATAGCTTATCCGCAAAAGCCGTAGTAGTCACACTCATCCGGTTCTCAGTCAAAGTACCGGTTTTATCGGAGCAAATAACATTGACACATCCCAGTGTTTCCACTGTGGAAAGGCCTTTGGGCAGAATATTGTTGTTTTTCATCCGTTTGGCAACCATCATAAGTGTGAGGGCAACTCCAACGGGCACTCCTTCCGGGATGAATGCAACAACGCAGCCCATGACATCGTCAAGCATATCAATGACATTCATGTACTCGAAGTGATGAACTCGGAGCCATCCAACCCAAGTGAAAAGAAGAAGAGCGGCAAGGAAGACAGTAAGACACACGATGATCTTGACAAATCGGGTGATTTCACGCTGGATAAGGGTCGGCTGCTCCTTTACGGAAGTTGAAGAAACAGTAATATGGCCCATGACGGTTTCTTTGCCCGTTAGGACTACCAGTCCCGTGGCACTTCCGTTAGTGACCATTGTCCCCATCAAGGCAACATTGCGGCTTTCCAGGAAATTATTGTCTGTCATTTCAGTGGCTCCGTCGACTTCCTCGGACTCTCCAGTGAGCATTGACCTGTCAAAACGAGTATCACCGGAAGTATCAATGAGACGAAGGTCTGCGGGGACCTTATTGCCCATGCTGAGTTTGACAATGTCTCCCACCACTACATCAGTCGAGGGGATTCGAATAGGCTCTCCTGATCGAATAACGGTGGCCTCAGTCGGGACCAGATCCAGGATAGCCTTCATGGTTCTGGCAGTTGACCAGTCCTGGAATGCCGAGAAGGAGGCTTGCAGAAAAATCACAATCAAGACAAGAATTCCAAGTCCAAGATTGTATGGTTGAGGGTCTGGGTCACCTAGAGGACGCCAGCAAATGAAGAAGATAATGACACCGATCCAAAGAATAGAGCAGAACCCTCCAAAGATATATTTCAGAATTCTCTTGACATAGTTTGGTCGAACGTGAGGCAGTGTGTTCTTTCCATTGCGACTCAAACGGGCCGCCGACTCCACTGGAGACAGACCTTGTGGAGTGCTCTCGAAATGACTACAGAGAGTACCGACAGTCTGTCGGTGGAAATCAAGGCCCTCAAAGTAGTGTGAGTCGTCCGGGATTTCCTGTTTGCTCTTCTTGGCTCCCTTGAGATCGTCTTCAATTTTCTCACGAGTCTCGGATTCCGAAATCTGAAAACTCATCCGCCGGAATTCGATCGGGAGGTTTGACGCAGAGCGAGCATGACTGCGAGATCGCGAGCGAGAGATTGATCGACGATTCTTGGATGAAACTCGACCACGCCGTATAGGGTCGCGCTCGTCAGGTCCAAAGGAGATTGCACGTTGGTTGATGCCCACGCCATACTGCTCCGTCTGAGGTTGATTCGCCTTCTCTCCAGATTCCAAGTCAAGCTGATTGCTTGACTTTTTCTTATGCATGCCAAAATAAAGAAGAAGCGACTGGCTTTGAGTCTGGAGAACAGAGAATATCCAATCCCGCTAGAATCACTTGAAAGTTAGCAATGAAGTGGAGAATGACCCGAGAGGGCAGGCGATGCACCGGTCGAGGAAGACTCACGCGCGGCAGTATCAGTATGCAGGTCGACTGGCCAAGCTTTCAGGAATTGGTGCAAATTCTGTGAATTTATTTTCCTTCGGCGGAAGCAAATAGCACATCTTATAGATCCTAGTCTCCCGTTTCTACCTCGTGCTGTGGTTGGCCCCGTGCTGGTTGTTATTTCCATTTGAAGTTCAACTTACGTTAAAGATTCCAGTTCTTTGGCCCACAGCCTAGAAAATTTAGAAGCTATACTCGAACTTGTTACTAGTGCGCATATCCAGGATAGGGTAAGAAAACTTCTCAGAAAAAGAAACGTGGTAGAGGGAGATGAGAATGTGGGGTTACGAAGTTTCGATGTCGGTATAAAGCTTGCTTTGGCGTATTTTGTCTCCACCCACACGAGCTTGAATAGAATTCTGTCTCTTTGGAATAGAAAGTGACTTTTTTTCTTTCTTAGTCAACAAATCTTCGCTTGGAGATGCCACTGAAGGACAAGTTCGTGTCACCATGAGGAATTATTCTTCTCCAATCAGTCTCACCAAGTGGGGCCAACATCACTCAGCATGGTCCAATCTTGACGGCCATATACCAACTTCACTTTGATGCGCTTTCGGCGCCTCTGTTAGAATTGGTCGACAAGAAATGCCTCATGATATAGCATAGTATAGCAATATGATCATCACGAGCGATTTGTATCATCCAATAGCATTCAATCGCTGCGGAACAATGGATGATTTCTATATTGTAATAGAAATGTATAGCCTAGGCTCTGAAGAAAACAAGTCGTATGTGATGAGAGTCCCACGATTACGTCGACGGTGCGTACGGACTATTAATAGAAGATATTTTGACTCATCTATATTATTCCAAGTCTTACCTCCGACATAGCAATAAGAGAATCGCAGTGATCCTGAACACTAGCTGAAATCATTCAAGGGGAGTTGGGGATGTCGCTGAGCTAGACACCTTTACATAAGTACAGTGCAGATCAAAATCCATATTATTGATAGTCTCATTAATGTTAATCAATAACCTGCTGCTTTCATGCAACCATTCTCGCTTCCCGAAAATATCTTGAAATATAAAGCAGGGGAGGGGGATTCAAAACTTCAATTCACCTGGCTTTGCGACTATCTTGCCTTCTGAAACTCGAACCATACCCCTTTTTGGAGTACCCGAACATGCTGTAAATTTTTGGGGATATGGAAATTTGCTCAAGGTCCCAAGACCGGACATGGCTCGTCCTGTCGAGCCTCTGGGACTCTCTGATATGAGACAGTAGCAAGCTTCACAGCATCTTCGTAAGATCCTAGAAAGAACCTAGAAGGCTTTACGGGTGATTTTGGTAGGGAAGATTATACCAGGAGCAGAAAAAAACTTGTCCATTACTAGCGAGTTTTCGCTTTAACCTGACTGAAGTTTTTCTTATACTGGGCAAAGGCTAGCACCCGTCAACGCTCGCGTCCAGCGGCTGCTCGGGCACGACAACGCGTCTCCCTCGGTAACACTTTTTTCCAATTGCTGGAGCCTGATGACGTATGGAAAGTGCTCTTCACGCAGATAGCCCTAACCTTACCAGGTAGACGTGAATGATAACTCTGTTATGATTGATAAGACAGCACCACCTCCCAGCACTGGAAGTATTCCAAAATCAGATTGATTCCCACAGTTCTAGGACTGGAACTCTTCAGTACGGAAATCGAAAAATGGGGACTTGGCATGAGCTATGCCGTAGCTTACAGGAATGAGAATAAACCTGTGATCCAACATGCACGAAAGGGCATCTAGATTTCTGGAATGGAACTACAGTAGTTTTCGAAATCAGTTTGACCGCTCACTCTTTCGACTTGATTCCCAGAGAATAAATACGGAATACGCTAATCCCGTTTAGGGTCACCGCTCGATAAATTAGGCAGAACTTGATGGTATTGACAATACAGTTATATTCGAAATCAGTTATACTTTACACTCTTGTACAGTGGGTGTGCAAAAGTTTGAAACTATTTCCCACTCACCGCCTATCGCTCACTGCCTATTACCTACCCCCAATACACCCTACTTCCAACGTGCGACCCGTTATATTTTAGGTAATTATCGGTACGACGCCTCACAGGGTATAGGTAATCTTGAGGCAGAAGGCGTAGTATACAAAATATCAGGCTGCTGTGGTTGAAATTTGGCTGCATTGTGAGTTTTTATCTGGCAGAAAAGTCTTGGCAGTAAGAGAAATAGTTTCAAACTTTTGCACTGCCACTGTAACTTCATCCCCCGGAAAAAGTCAGTACGCTAATCCAAATTCAGGCCGCCGCTCTGTAACTTTGTAGCTTCGGCAGTTAGTACTAGCAGTCATCGTTGTACTACCATCATGTCCCGTGGAGACGATCTCGCAAAAGCAAAAGATTGCCCCCCTACTTTCCCGTTTCCGCGTGGCCGTTTCCCCTTCCCATACTTAATTTCAAGTGCGTCGCAGCTTCTCTGGTTATAATACCGAGTGAGCCCAGACGACTGATGAACTTGATTCTACTTCGATCCAATGGAACAAGAGCAACCAAGCCCAGTACAGAAGCCTTTATTGGCTGGCAAACGAGTGATTGTTACCGGAGCTGGAATCGCTGGGCTCGCCTTCCCGCTGGCACTTCGTAAGCAATGGCCCTCAAAGTATGACGCGGAATTTCCAACTATCGTCATCTATGAACGAGATGATCTCAAGACCCAGATAGGCCGAGAGGGATATTCGATCTCCATTCGCGGTGATGCGTTGGCAGGTGGTATGCAGGCCCTGCAAAAAATTGGCATCCTAGAGAAGCTCCTGGATGTGAGCTTAACCGGGCGAGACAACAGCACGCATACAGATGGCGAAACATCACAGGATAGGGGTGCATTTTGCCTCTGGGATCTCAAATGGAATTGTCTGCTAAGAATGACGGGCAAGGCCACTGATACTGAGCTGCCAGCTCCGAGTATGCGTATCAAGCGAGATGCGTTGCGGACCGTGCTAATTGCAGCGGTTGACGCGATAAGTCATGTCACTATGCATTGGCGGACGCCGTGCCTGAGTGCTGAGATCTCACCGGGAGCTGAGCAACCTGTAAAGGTCTGTTTGGCGGATGACCGTGTTGATTATAGTGACTTCTTGATTGTCGCCGATGGCGCGGGGAGTAAGGTCCGCTCTAAGCTACGACCAACCGACACCCTGAACTATGCAGGAATCTGCATGATTTCGGGCACAGCGCGCTTCGGTGAGAACGAGATCCCTAAGCCGATGGACAAGAATTGGGGAGGTGTACTCGGCGGTGGTGGAATAGGGCTTTTCGTGTCCGCTGTTGATTCGCGAAGTGCTCTATGGGCTCTCAGCTACCCAGAGATCCATGCACGAGATCGACTGGCCGCACCTATGTCTGAAGAGCAGGTACAGTCTGTTCTTCAGGAAGCCCTCGAGCTAGGGAGACCGTTCATGGAACCACTACCGACTCTGATCAAAGCTACTGATCCTAGTACGCTGACCGTTATGAATGCTATGGACAAGCAGCCTTTCGCGCATGACAATGGCTGCCCGATTATTTTTATTGGCGATAGTAACCATGCAATGAGTCCATTCGCGGGCAACGGCGCCAACATGGCCCTCTGTGACGCATGGGACCTAGCGGAACAGCTATGTCAATCGGAGACTTTGGAGCACGCTCTTAGGACATACGACGGCTTGAGCATGCCTCGATCTTCTAAAGCTATTGACATGTCACACTGGTCGATCTCTCTGCTTCATTCTCGGGGGTTGAAGTTATTGTGCTACAAATTGTGTCTCGCGGTCCTGAGACTCTTCATTTAATTGCTTAATGTATTCAAACCTGCTACAGGTCAGCCAGGTCGGGCTTAAATAACGTTTCATTCCTTGTCATAAAAGTGTGGGTCTATAACTAAATTCGAAATCCGTGAAGGTGTTGATGGAGGAGGGGCACGAAGGTAGTGCGTGTATGGTAGGTCCGTGGAAAATACTACCTGGTGGTACTACTGGCGTATTGTTCAATACAGTGGCTATTGTAGAAAGCGGTCTGAATTCAAGCACTTAGAATATTATCCAATCAGAACTCATATATTCAGGGTTTATTTTCTGGAAATCAAGTCAAAAGAGTGTCTGGTCAAACTGAATTCGAAAACCAACTGTATCCACATATTCTCAAAGTCCTGGAAGGAAAAATCTTCTGCTGATTTTGATAGAGCTTCGATGGGAAAGAGGGAGTGGGCTGGTGTAGTTCAGAAGTAAAACTGTATGCACCCGGCTCTCTGGATGGATCAGAACCAGTCTTTAGTCTTGGATTGTCTTTAGACATTATAACAATCGCTGTATATAGACTTTGGTTGGTGGAGCCTGAGGCCGGTGCCAAAGTGGAGAATACGCCGTTGGGGGGCAAGCCAGTCTGTACTTTAAGCTGGTCACTTGCCTTTTTGAATATTAATATGGACAGTATCTGTTGAGTCTACTGACCCTCCACCAAGGATATCACTTTGTTTTCCTGGCCTTTTTGAAATCCTCGCTAGTCCAGCCCAATTCCTGGGAAAGGGTCCATTCGTGGAACTGACTCGCGGTACTCGGCCCAGTCCGTGCTATCTTATCAACAGCGACCCCATTCAAGGAACGCCCGCCAGCTCCTCTCTCCAACTCGGTTCTTTGTACCCGGCATCAGAGCCCATCCACCGGGAGTGACTTCTTTGTGTCCGAGTTTTGTCTCTCCTCCATCGACCTTCTTTTACCCCACAGGTACCAGCCGGCCATGTGTCCTCACCACCGTGCCTTCCAGTGATGTCATTGCGTGACTGAAGGAGATTGAGCAGTACGCACCCGTTTTGGTCTTCTTCAACGCCTCACAAGCAATCACCAGTGCAATGGCGGGATCATTCTCCTCTTCGGAGGTAAGTTTATCATTCTGGGAATGGGGCTGGTTGGTTGGGCTTGTAAACTAGGTGAATCTTGACCGAATCTTCCTAGAACTAACAGATTCGTTGTCTAGCACCCGACCGACCGCACCCTTCATGACCACGACCAGCTCATTGACGAGATCCTTCATGAGAGGCACTGGACCCAGATTGCGGGACAGGTATCCATTTTCGATAAACTTCCAGCCGAACTCATCCACCAGATCCTATCCCACCTCTCCGCGCGAGACCTCGCTTGCGTGTCCAGAACGTGCCGCATATTCGCCGAACATGGCTCTGACGATCGCCTTTGGGCCAGACTCGTCAATTCACATCTTCCCTTCCACATCCACGATCCAGGGATGTTCCCGTCTTTTCGTCGACTATACCTTGCCCACCTACGGTACTGGTTCATCCCTCAAAGCAAGATCTGGTTTGCGGATACCGAGGCGCACGGTTGTCTGATCCTAGCTCGGTATGACCATCGACGAGGTGTAATAGAGGCATACCGAGTCATTGCAGACCGAGGCGAACCAAAGTTCCACCTTTGGGAAGCCCATCCGGACGTTATGATCCAGTCATTTGAACCCAAGATCAGCCTGTGGCTAGATGACCCAGTTCTCCTCCTCAAAGACCAAGAGCCATCGAACCCAATCGCCGCTTGTCAGACGTGGAACCCAGATCGCCGGATGCCTATGGCGGCAGAGTCTCACTATGTTTTCAGCTCGCTCATGTTTTGCCCCAAGGAGTTGCCGGGTCAGACAACCATCCCATCGGCCGCGCTCTGGCCGCCCTCGATGATACCTAGTCCGGAGCGAATATATCGAGGTATGTCCTTAACAGATGCGTATCTGCCAAGTTGCGCATCAGAAGCGTCCTTAATCGGGTTCCGCCTCAAGCGATGGGCCAATTTTCGATTTCAGATGACGTCAACTGGCAACGAAGCGATATCTAATTACGCGACCATCGATCCGGAACTGTACGTTCCCACAAAAGAGAAGCCGTATCAAGGAATTTGGATTGGAGACTACTCCGCTCATGGCTGCGAATTTCTTCTCATATACCAACAAACCCAACCTTCCCGCTACGGTCCAGCTGGTGCTCGGCAGGGAAACGACCAGTGGAACACTTTGAGAGCAGTCAAACTGACAGGGGACCCAAATGTTCCCCGTGGAGAGGTCACGTTTGTCGCGCATGATATCGGACCTAATGGCCTTGTACGTGTGGCTGATGAAGAGCCATTTGCCGGTGCCCGCATCGTACACTGCTTTGGACACGTGGCGGGCCTTGGTTTCCGCGATGGTAAGTACATTATACTCCATAATCCTCATTGAAATCGTCCCAGGCTCTCTGACTTGTCCTCTCTCATAACAGATACTTTTATCGCGTCTCAACTCATCCTTGTCTCCACCGATTACATCGCCCATTATTGGGTGGAGATGGGCCACATCTCGTACTTCCGTCGTGTGAATATCGACGAGCTCTTGCAGATCTAAATGCTGCTTACAGATGAACTTTTCGTTGCTTGCATCATGAATCACATTTTTCCCTCTCTCCTCATACCCATTTGTTTCTCGTTGGACATAAAGCCCTTTATGGGTTAGTCACTAGCTCATGAATAAGGAATGATGGTCACATTGCTGAAAATAGAACCGCATTGATCCTCGGGCTGGCGGGTATAGCTTCAAAGACTTAGTAATCCCATTGTTAACAATCTTTCATCCAAACAATAGGGTTGTTTCAGGCTGGGAATAGATCAATTCTGTCTCATATAACATCAAAGAATCAAGTCAGTGATTGATCATTCAATGGCAAAAGCAGATCTTTATTGGAGATTATGCTGTACTGACAATGGAAAGGAAATGAGAATTCCATGATCATTCAAATTAACAGTACAGTCTGCAAAGAAGAGGGATGCTCCACTTGATATAAAAACCTAGTTCACCCGTCGAATCCAGCACATCAAATCCAGCTCCTAGTCTCCTTATCTCCAGACCCATCTAATCTTCACCTCAACTTTAATCATACGGTAATCAAGTATGTCAGTCATGGATCACTCCTACACGCCTCCACAGTACGACCTCCTCCTTCCACCTCTATTCAACGAGGACCCCCGTCGAGGCGTAAAATGGTCCCCCGACTCATGGTGGGCCGGCGACGAACTCAAGAAACTCAAACGTTCAAACCTATCCGCCTCAGAATTCAAATCATGGCGCGAGATCGTGACCCAAAAACTCGACGAATGGGCCCAAAAATGCCGCTGGATCGAAACTAACGTCAAAGACTTTACCAAAAACTATTTCCGGGTTGAATCCGAGCAAATCGTCTATTTTCTTCGGAGTGCTATCGCTGGTAAGTTGTCGCGATTCCGGCCTCGCTTGAAGGGGGAGTATGGTTGTTATATTAGTCCGTGCTTTAATGAACGGCGTAAGGCTGTTGTGGAGGCTTGTGATGGTCTAGCTCAGCAGGTGGAGAAGGAGTGCGAGAGACAGAATGTGATGGTGGAGCCGTCTGCTCAGTTTCGAGAGAACTTGTGCATGCTTTGTGTGGCTATTGGGCGGCTTTCGCTTGAGGGGCTGAATATTGAGTGCCTGGACGAGTTTGCGATTCGTATGACTAGGAATGGTATGCAGAAGGGGTTGTGGATGTATCCGGCTGATCGGTATTTGGGTAACTTTTGGTCTAAGCTTAAGCCTATCGGAACGGGCTGTGGATGTATTCAGTGCAAGATTGAAGCGGGTCAGCAGTCTTAATTTGTGAGAATGCGATTTCTAGTGTTCCGGAGGGTCTGCTTCGGTATAAATGGGGTGGTCGATCTTGCCTCTAAGTTGAGTAATGGTAAAGGAGGAGGAAAATTGAATAGACGAAGAATTATGGAATCGTATTCTGTCTGATTACAGTTCTCTTGCATTTTAGGTATTTCTTAGTTCATACCGAATCCTGCCCTATTGGGGTTGTCGACACAGATATAAGTCAGGCACCATCGAGTCCTCCCGCAGTTTTATGCAAGGCTAGGGAATCTTATCATTCGATCAGTTGACAAAGTAACTAAATGGGTTGTATAATGGTCTCCCTTGAGATTGCCTTTGCCACGACCTCGGCCATTAATAAAGTACTAAGAGTTTATGCTTCCTGTTTGAGCCAGCATCCATCAGATACGAGGTACATACATCATTCAACATATCTCATGGACAATGTAATGGCCTCAGGTAAGAGTGCATAAATTTGTGTGTATGGGTGCAGTGGAATAGTTACAGAGAGTCAAAAGGTATCGCACAGAACTAGAATAGCCAAAGACGCCGTAACTCTGAGAATGAGGCCAGAAAGCTGAGAATCCAGCGGTGGGAGAGGAGTAGGTCGTCACACGTCAGTCCAGCTATGATGTGTGCTCACATATCACACCATCGCAGTTGAATGTCAAGTCGGAAAGGATTGGGGATGAATCATAAAATCGCCATTCGCCCATCTTTCATAAAAGGCGAATCACCGCCGGCGCTCAAACCAGCTCGAGGAGCCCATGACGGCCACGGACTGATCCATCACCCACTCGCCGACACCGAGGTAGTTGTCGATCCAGCGCTTCACTTCCTTGTTCTCGGAGATCTGTTCGGACTTGAGACTGGGGCTGGAAACAACCCACACGCACGCGACCCGGTTCATGGGTGTGCGCGAGGGTTCACCGAGTTAGCTGGGCTGTCTTCTTGTATGGGGGTATGTTTTCAAAAGCTTCTCAGGCTCGAGGTAAACAAGGCATGAGAGTGGAGGTCTGGAAGGGAGGTGGTATTTACGTGAGGCCTGTGGATCGCTTGACACCAGCCAGGAAGGCAGAGACTGTTGAAGAAAGTGTCTGTTAGTTTTGACCGCGTAGAATGTCCAACATACGAGAGGGATAGCTTACAGAGTACCGCATCGAATGCGTAGTGAGTGAGACGCCCGAACTGCTCAGCGCAGGAAGGTTAGCTTAGTCGATCTGTTTCCCCGGTTTCCTTAAATCCAAGCAACGGGAGCTTCCTACCATGGTGGAGAGGGTGATCAAAGTGAAGAGCATATAAACGTTGTACTCATGAGAGAGAGGTTCCAGATGATCCAGATGATCCACGGCAGAAGACGGGGAAAGGTGTCACGTGGATCGCTTTCACATGACAACGGGCGGCCAGCCTGCCAACGGAGTGGCTGGTGGGATGAGGTAAGTGGAGGGAGCTATGGTGATTACCTCATCCTGTGGCTGGGGAAGCACTTTCCCCAAAACGGGGGCCCGGCTTATCGATAAGGCTGAACGCCCACCGAAATCCGTTTTGGCCCTTTTTTTTCTGGCTTTTTTTTTGGGCCATCAAATTGGGTGTCGCTATTTGTCACGTTTACTCGATAAAAGGACTCCAATCTACGGCGCGTAGACCAGCACGGGCCCGTCTGCTCAGGCCAGTTTTGGGATCGATTATATTTTTTCTATTTTTCCTGCCTTCCTGGCGGATACCGCCAGTGGCCGATTGGCTTGGGTGGGAAGGCATCAAACTCGGTGAGGGGCAGAGGGGTAGTGGGAGAGACCGTCGACAACGGGAAGAAGAATCACGACCAACATAGAAATACAGAAGGAGATCCAAATTGGTATTGAATAACTAACTGCACTAATTGTAAATTGTCACCAACTGTCAAAGTGTACGTAAATCAGACGCCAAGCCACCAAAAGCAGTGTAGGAGCAGTGTACACCGGCGAGTAACCTGGGGCAAGGCCAGCAGCTGCTAGTTTTGGGTGTCTGAGAAAAAGCAGCGGCCGTTGGCGGAGATAGCATCGGCCACCAACATTTTCCCTCCCGCCCCTCACCTTCCACTCCATTCCTCTGCTTCTACTTTTCTTCCCCCTCCCCTCGCTTTTCTCCATCTCATCCTCTTCAATTGATTCTCCATCTCTCCCCTCCCCTCATCACTCCCTTCATTAGTTTCGCCTACGCACATTCACAATGGCGGCTACCAGCTCCCTCGACCACCTGTCCAACCGGATGAAGCTGGAGTGGCACTCCAAGCTCAACACCGAGATGGTGCCCGCGAAGAACTTCCGCCGCACCTCCATCATCGGTACCATTGGTATGTCATGCTCGCGACCGCCAGATGCCTCTTTTGGCGTTTGATCGGGTCCCCGTCAATTGGCGCATGGTCAATTTTGATAGTCGAGGGGCCAAATTTTGCTAACGGTCCATCGCTCTATAGGTCCCAAGACCAACTCCGTCGAGAAGATCAACGCTCTCCGCACTGGTACGGATAGCGATCTGATAGATCCACCCTCGGAGAAGATAGACTAATTTGTTTGTAGTCGGTCTCAACGTTGTCCGCATGAACTTCTCCCACGGTTCATATGAGGTAAGAGCCCAATGGGCCCGATATGCAGTCAAGACGTGCCGTTTGATGCTAACATCAAAACAGTACCACCAATCTGTGATTGATAACGCCCGTGAGGCTGCTCGCGTCCAGACTGGCCGTCCTTTGGCCATTGCCCTCGACACCAAGGGCCCCGAGATCCGTACCGGTAACACCGTCGATGACAAGGACTTCCCCATCGCTGCCGGTACTGAGCTTAACATCACCACCGATGAGGCCTATGCCACCGCCAGTGACGACAAGAACATGTAAGAATTCCCATTTTTCCGCTGGCAAGAATTGATCGTGGTCGGCCGACCGTGGGACGAGATTGGGTCGCAGAGACTGACTGTGCCGGATTGTAGGTACCTCGACTATAAGAACATCACCCAGGTGATCTCCCCTGGCAAGCTCATCTATGTCGATGATGGTATTCTGTCATTTGAGGTCCTCGAGGTGGTGGATGACAAGACCCTGCGTGTCAAGTGCTTGAACAACGGCAACATCTCCTCCCGCAAGGGTGTCAACCTGCCCGGTACCGACGTAGACCTCCCCGCTCTGTCCGAGAAGGATATCAGCGACCTGAGGTTCGGTGTCAAGAACAATGTTGACATGATCTTCGCCTCCTTCATCCGCCGTGGCAGCGACATCCAGAGCATCCGTGATATCCTCGGCGAGGAGGGTAAGGAGATTCAGATCATTGCCAAGGTTGAGAACCAGCAGGGTGTCAACAACTTTGACGAGATCCTGGAGGCCACCGACGGTGTCATGGTTGCCCGTGGTGACCTTGGTATCGAGATCCCCGCCCCCAAGGTGTTCATCGCCCAGAAGATGATGATTGCCAAGTGCAACATCAAGGGCAAGCCCGTCATCTGTGCCACTCAGATGCTCGAGTCCATGACGTACAACCCTCGCCCGACCCGTGCTGAGGTTTCCGACGTTGCCAACGCCGTCCTGGACGGTGCCGACTGTGTCATGCTGTCGGGTGAGACCGCCAAGGGTAACTACCCTTGTGAGGCCGTCAAGATGATGCACGAGACCTGCCTGTTGGCCGAGGTCACCATCCCCCACTTCCAGATCTTCGATGAGCTGCGTAACCTGGCTCCTCGCCCGACCGAGACTTCCGAGTCCATTGCCATGGCTGCCGTCAGCGCTAGTCTGGAGCTGAACGCTGGTGCCATTGTCGTTCTGACCACCAGCGGCAAGACTGCTCGCCTTCTGTCCAAGTACCGCCCTGTCTGCCCCATCCTGATGGTCACTCGCAACGCCACCGCTTCCCGCGTAAGTTTTTGTAACTCCAGTATCGCAAGCCTGTTTCCAAGCTAACGAAAGCCCTTCACAGTACTCCCACCTGTACCGCGGTGTCTGGCCTTTCTACTTCCCCGAGAGCAAGCCCGACTTCAACGTCAAGATCTGGCAGGAGGATGTCGACCGCCGCCTCAAGTGGGGTATCAACCACGGTCTCAAGCTCGGCATCATCAACAAGGGCGACCCCATCGTCTGCGTTCAGGGATGGCGTGGCGGTATGGGCCACACCAACACCGTTCGTGTGGTCCCTGCCGAGGAGAACCTCGGTCTGGCCATGGAGTAAATTTGCGACGGTGCCATTTGATGAAGGCCACGAATCTATAGCTCCAATCTTCCTTTTTAGTCTTTTTCTCTTTTCTTGGTTATCGCTGGTGCGAGGGGTTGGATACATACCTTTTTTCCCTTTATTTTGTCAAACTGCAAAAATGTTTCTTGCCATCTTTTTTTTCAAGCCTAGGCTCGTTTCTGCACCATGGTCTGGACCATGGCTGTTTCTTGAGAAGAAATTAATTGCATTGCCGATGTACATGAGAACGAGTACATGAGAACGAATTGAATGCCTTTAGGCCGAGTCTATAGTTCAAGTCATTCATTGTAGGCGAGGCGAATGATAAGAATGAGTCGACCATGTATTTCTGTCCAGGTAAATCCCTAGTTAGTGAGCCGGTTAGTTTTGTCTCGTGCTTGCTCGTCCTTTTCAAGGCGAATGGAAGTTCTGCGCGCATCCATGCAGGTCTTTGGCGCAGGTCTTCTCTCACTGGGAGAGTCAAGCGCAACATGCGACTAATGACCCTACTTCTCAACTGCGAGAACGAAGAGAAGAGGAAGAAAGAAAGAGAGAAAAAAGGAAGAGCCGACGGTCAACCGGAAACGCCTTCTCTTGATGCGGGGGGCGCACGAAAACGCGCTGCCCGACTCCGAGGCCGAGGCATGTGTTTTCCTGCAGGCACCCGAGCAAGTATACAGAGGACTATCTCCAGTGTCACAATGACCCTCTTCATCAAAGAGCCATGTAGCAAGGGAAGACAAGAGCCTGTCAATCGAACGAAGCAGTCAAGAAGAAAGAAGAAAATAAAAAAAGAATTCAAAAAGTTCATTCTGGTCCTGTGGCAGAAGATAATTCCCGCGTGCGGACCCGTTTGCTCCCGATTTTCGCCGAAGGATACACGGCATAGAATTGGGGCCTGGTTTCTAAGGCATGTTTATTGTAGAATTGCGGCTGATATCGAGTGTAGACAAGTAGAACGCTTCACTCTTCTGCATCCTGGCATAATTACTCGTTGTTATTTCCATTTGGAATAATTGTCTCCAATGCAACCAATTGATCCATTCAACGCCCCGATATGTAATATCCCAATTCTCAGTCTCTGCCAAGTTGCTGGCCCCAGCTATGACGAAGGTCAAGACTTGTACTTCTGTGGCTATGTATGGTGGGTTGGGCCCGGCGAGACATAGCCCGAGCCTTATAAAGAGAGACTATGACCGTCAACTCAGTCCATCAAGCCATTATCAAGTCTCTTAAAACATATTCAAATTCTTGTTTATTTTCACCGCGATATTCCGAAAACTTCTTCTTTGACGCTACAGCCCTCAATCTCACCTCCTCCGTCCACGATGTGCTTTGGCTTCGACGGTTTCAGCTCTGTGAAACCAAAACCACCCCGCAGAGGAAAATATGGGCGAAACGAGGAAAAGTATCTTCAGGATTATGCACGCTACGAAGAGAAATACGAACAATATATGAATACAGACAACAGGCGCAGTCGAATGGCAAATTCAAATGCTGGTGCTGTTGCTGGGACATCTGCTGCTATTGGAGGTTGATTAGGTGGTTGGACAAGAGGCATTGTGAATGACCAGACATGAATCAACAGCATTTATACATTTTCTTTGAGGAACATTTTAATATAACCTTCCGAGATAGAAGACGCTGTTCTTGGGAGTAGAACCGGCTATCCAGTCTAAGACATAGTACCTACAATCAACTACATATGTTAAACTTGAAGCGGACCAGGAAATAATAAGCAGAATCATCAGCTTGAGGGACAAACAGCCCGATTCTTAAACATATTTTCCGCTCCTGGGGAATTCTCTGAGAAGACTTCAAATAACCTAGCATAAGCACCCCCGCAATGTATTGCAGTCTAAACAAGCTTGAGATGAAAGGGCGAACTATGCCAATCATCGAAGGTCTCGAACTCGAGAGAGAGAAAAGACGTCCTAGTGTGAATAGTCTTCATAGAGCTAGACTGTGCCTCATTGGTTATCATGAGAATCGAACTGACACCCTGAATGATGCATCATATGTTCGTATTCGCACCAAAATGACAGTTTGCAGAATAACTATCAAGAAGGAGAGAGACCATGCGCTGTTAGGCGGGCGCAAGGGCTAACTTGGGCATGTCGGGCTGGATTGGTGAACATTCCCCACTACAAGTTCAGCCCGCTGCTGAAGATTATTCATCACGCCGACAGGGACGCAAGAAATGCTCAATCAAGATTGTTGAGTCGCCCTGTTAAATGCAATTCAGGTTGCTTGTAGGGAATTAAATTTCTGGCGGGAAATCGAAGGAGTATGGCAGCGGTGGAGGTACATTGGAGGCTGAGTGTGGTAACGGTAGGCGAAACTGCCCAGAAAATAGCCAGATTATTTTGCGCTCCTCCAAGCACAAGGTAGGAAGGAGCTAAATGGACGAAGGCCTATATATGGAGTGTATTATACATGACAGAGAATGTCAATTTATGGGAAAGAGATCACTGAAATCGCCACTAGCGCCAATTTGATGGGCCTAACAGGGCGTCAGTGTGGAAATTCACTGAGAGTCGTTCTGTCGCATCGCAAACAGGAAGCAGAAAAGATAGAAGTGATACAACTATTCTCCAATAATTTTGAAGATGAACTTCAACTAGTTAGTTAGTTAGTTAGGAGTTAACTACCAGGGATGATGAATCATCAATTCCTTTTAGTAGGCAAATTTGGTTTAACCCCAACGTACGATACACAACGCTCCCAACGATATCGGCTCCACAGTCCGTAATTGAGACCTCAACCATCACTCAATATACTTCAAAGCTTTGTTCCAACGCGTACAGTGTCGAAGTCTACATTTATTTAAATTCTTGCAGGCACTCTTCGCTCGGAAGATTCAGGCTGATCTTAATCTAAAGCAACGCAAAATTGGAACGAGAAAGAAGATCGCGATCCGCGACCCAGAACTTGAGGTCACGACAATGTCTTCAGGCAATGATTCCGAGCAAAAGTCTGTCGATCAGAGTACACAAGTCTACGAGGGAAACTGCCATTGCAAAGCTGTGCTTTTCTCTGCGATACTGCCGACAAAATTGGCAGCGGTCTCTTGTAATTGTGAGTATATACAGGAACCATACCTCCCCAGATTTCCCACACCCCGGTTTTGCGTATCAAATCTGTCATTCAATTGGAGATTGCCGGGCTAAATATCAATTAGGCAGTTATTGTCACGCTTCAGGCGGTCTGCATGCTTTTGCGGATGACATAGAAATCCATCAAGGAGCACAATCCCTCAAGGTACGAACCACCTAGACTAACTGCATTTTCGATAACATGATCCATCATTTTTGATCAACTCGAGATATTGTGGAAGGATTAACATCGAATAGGAATATCTGTTTGGCTCGCATACTATCAGAATCTTCTTTTGCGGAACCTGTGGTGCCAATGTGTACAACAGATCAGTGAACCCCAAGTTCATCTATGGCAAGTGTGCTATCAATGTAAGTCAAACCTTGTGCTGGATGACCATCACCCCCGTCTGTGTACCTGGATACGACTGTGCACCACCATCCCAAAGGGTATCCGTAAGCTAACATATATTACTCTTAGATGCGCCTACTGCAGGGAATTGACTTAGAAGCGATACAAGTCACTAAGCGTGATGGGAAGGATTTTTGTCCGCCCCCTTTGGAAGGGAATCCACTTTAGGTCCCTAGGAATTACCTGATAAGCGGCCATGCTTCAATTTATGTGAAAAGGCTCTTCGTTCCCGTCCCGTGATAGGGTTCCTCTCTCTTCAACAATTTCCTCAACTTGCAGACCGTCAAACATACGATCTGTCAATTCCTTCGATTACTGCTCGCCTAGAGGTACATTAGGCTTGGCTGCCTGACTCGTCCAACCGAGTAGAGTGATATTTTTCAATGCATTATATTCCATATTTCAGATGAGAGTGATGTTGCATTTCATGCTTCACTCGGATGTTAATTTACGACGTATGATTAATGCCCACTAAAACAGTGACCAAAGGCAGAAGAGCACGGTTACTCTCGCCGTCTGTAGTATAATCAACAAAAGAAACACTATTTAAGAAATGCGCTTGTAAACATCTCTGAAACTCCGCCCACTCATGCCTGCAATCACACGCGCTAAGAAATAACCCATTGCATATGTGCAATGCCTCTGCAAATCTCGAAAACATAGCTCTTGGGCATCAAGTATTGTCGTCTAGTCATCAATCATTATGGATATATAGTCGTTCATGTATCGTAGAGTCAGGGTCGAATGGCTGTTCATCATTGGAAAGCACTAGCTTCGGGTCCATCGATGGCGTCCAGATCCGTTGCATTGGCAATTTGGTGTTCGCCGTGTGGAAACCGGTACATGGCACTTGGTTGGAATTGGTGCCAGCAACTATATGTTGTCAGAGAATATCAGTTAATCGGAAAGAAATCTGTAAGACATACCTTGGGGCTTGCAGAACATATCTTGCCATCGCCTCACGGAAGCGACTCTTGTACTCCCTCGGACTCGTCACTGTGGGACGATTGCGACCCCCACCAGCAAAGCCTCGGTCCTTGATCCAAGACTCAAGTTTCTTGTCCCAAGTGTACGTGCGAATACAATCAATGATTCCGACCACCAACTCGCTGCGCTTTTCGTCGATCGCTATCATCAACGAGTAGTCCATGACGTTCTGGCGGCCGAGGAAGAGGGTGTCATTCCACACGCTTTGGCTGAGGAGCTTCTTTGAATGTTCTCGCGCAAACAATGGCGTCTCGTAGATAAAATCTACCATGTTCTCATCCAGCAGAACTTCGTCCTGCTCGCCGGTGCTCTCTACCTTGCGGTTACGCATTGATCCCTTCAGATCGAAGAGACGATTAGGCGCACGATCGTAGAACAAATTCTCCATCAAGAGCAGGAACCAGTTCTGCTCGATTCCAGTAACTGGGTTCTTGATGATGATTTGGTAGAAACCAAACATTTTGGCGATGGCAGAAGGCAAGTCATGGAACAACGCTTCAGACATTATTTGGAAGTACGCCGGTGCGAACTTTAGGAAGGCTTGGGTCTCGACGGGTGCCAGTGACTTGAGAACGAACCGGTCATCGAGAGTCTTGAGGAAGATTGACTTTGTCTTGCCGCCTTTGGAGTCCCACTTTAAGCAGCGGGACAGTGACTCCACAATGCGATCAGCAACACCGCACTTTTTGCGAAGCGCCTCGAATTGCTCGGCATAGAATACTTTGCAAAGCATCTTTGCCTGGCCCTCTTGGAACTGATATTTGAGATGGGTTCCGGTCTGTCGCAACAGAGCATGCTCCAGGCGAGCTTCATTTACGGCTACTGTATCGTGCTCAAACTCTGGCGGTTGGCCCTCCATCTCATCATATCGTTCCTGAATGGTTGCCAGCTTGTCCTTGTAGTCAGACGAGTCTAGGGCAAATGCGATAAGAGAGCTTGGCTCATCTTCACGCACAATGATATCACAGTCGGAAAAAACGTGGTCCCCTGCACTAAGAGGATAATCAAGGGCAGTCCATCCGCTGGCGGACCGTTCAGACCAGAAGTTGGTCAGCATCTTCAGTAGAGTCGTTCGTTCATGTTTTGGAAGATCCTTGAAATCGATGGAGTCATCATCCGGTAGTGTTTTAGCATCGTCGTGAGAGTCCACGTGATGAAGGTCCTCGGCAGTATTGCGTTCTTCATCACTGTGTCCATCTGTCTCGCCCTCAGACATGAGCTGGGAATCAGAACGGACAATGCCATCAGGCTCGAATGACCCCGAGTGATTCACATCCGTCGGAGACTTTACAGGAAGTTCCTCAGGCCTCCTCTGATTCATGGAGTCGTCACTTTTTCGTCCCACTTCCTCTGAAGTACGCGGTAGAGTAGTGGGTATTGAATAATCTCCATCTACATGTGGTTCCCGTTCTTCAACAGCCTCTTTCACATTGCGATAAACCTCAACGATCGGCTTTGAGGACGCGAGAGGGAACGCGCGTGAATAACCGCCCCGTGCGGCTCGCTGTCGTCTTTCGCGTTGTCGTTCCTTTTCGAACTCGCGACTCAATTGTTCAAAGTGCCTGGCAAGGTTTGACACACGAGAGCTGCCTCGTTTCGGAGTTGAACGAGGTATCAGAGAATGCCCAGGTGCGAAACGCCCATTCTTTAGGGTTGTCAGTCCAAGACGTTCAGTCAACTTCTTTTCCGATGTTTTGGTCGAATCCCCTCGTGAAGTTCCGGAATCATTTGAATTTACGTGACTCAGCTTCAGTCCAAAAGATTTCTCCCTAACAAGATGGGCAGGTTGGGACTGAGCACGAATTAACGGAGGAGAACGAGTCTTGCCAGAACGCCTAAAGAAAGGCCCCTCAGCAAGCCTTGGAATTGCCGATGGTCGATTTGGAGGCGTAATTGAAATATCGGGAGCGGGAGTCTCTTCGTTTGATTTACGCTTTCTTTCGGGGGAAGATTCGTAGGCGTCAGGAGGTGATGGAGTTAAGACATCCCTGATACTGTGAGGAGTGTCGCGTCCTGCAAGAGCCGCTGGATCATCCAATCTAGAGAGGGGCCGATCGAGTGGAGTGCTTGAGTCGGGTGGCGATCGTTCAGACTGACTTGAGGGAACAGCCAAATCAAGATGTCGGACCTCTTCTTGCAAAACGGCTTCGTTTTGTGGAGAGGACATTTTGCCATCGACAGCCTCAGCTGAGAGCATCGATTCATCAGTTGGGGTAGGTGACGGAGTCAGCTCAGTAGTCTCGGGCGGTGCATCTCGCTGCTTCTTTCCAGTGTGCTCCTCAACAACCGAGACCAGAACGTTCTGGGCCTTTTCGGGAGAAAGAGTCATCCGTCGCGTCAACCTTGGGGTCTGATTGGCGGGAGTGGTCTCGTCCTCCATGCTGGTCGGGGTATGAAGCCCATCCTCAGTAGTCATCGATGTTGCATCTTTGTCCAAGAAGATCTTTTTGAGTTGCAACGTTGCCAGTCTTTTGATATCCTTCTCCGACGGGAAGAAATTCTTCTCGAAGTCCGCAAAGATAGTATCCCATTCCACAACTTTCTCCTGGACTGCGCGAAGGACTTCGTTTAAAGGAATGACCTCCCAGTAACGCGAGCTCGTATATCTGTCCTGTAAACGCTTGTTTAAAGCCGCATGGTCTTCTTGAGCTTTCTTGATCAAGGATTCAATTTCCTTCATACATTCGTCCAGGAGTTCTGGTAGAACGCTTTCCACATTGATGCCCTTCAACCGCACATGAACCGATCTCATGAATTTGTTGAGCCGATCTCCAGTGTCAGAGTAGATTTGGTTTCTCAATTTCAAGTCGTTGTCCACTTTCCAGGTGACTCGCGGGCGTGGAACAACAATCTCAAGAAGATGGATTGCGTCATATTGAATGCGGATGGCAACATCTTTGAAACCAAAGTAGCGGAGATGATCTCTCTGGAGGTCATGCGGGCATACCCCGGCACGGGCATGCATATTCCGGCCCCAGAATGAAACCTCCAAGTATTTGCCAAAAGAGTACTTCCATGTGTTTTCGGACATCAGGGTGACCTGAGTTTCGTTTCCGCAGATTTTGCAAGTGCTCCACATCAACACCGTATCTTGCATCCCTCGAAGCTTTGAAGGATACGGCTGGACCAGCACACTGATTTGAGCATCGCCGTGGACGTATTGTCGATGATGCTCAGACATGCGCTTTTCACAACCGTTTACATTGCAGACAGTGTTCGCTGTATGGCAGAGGTCTTCAACATACTGTCCAATTGTGCAGTCAGGCTCGAATATTGTGTCGTCGCCATGTTCATTGTAGAACTCCAGAGCGAAGATATCAGGACCAGAGCAAGGCACTGAGGTTGCGGTGCATACCAAGCTGTAAAGAACAACAATGTTCTGGTGGGCATACGGATCGAACATGTTAGAGTTGCCTGACACATAGGCCTCCCACTGTCGTTTCTGAGTTTGATAGTGGTAAAGGGCACGATCATATTCTGCGTCGTGTGCTGCACGAAGGACCTCTTTGACCTTTGGAGGGGCATCGTGTGGAGATGCATGGACCATCTCAGGGGTGATGAGAATGAATTTTTGAGGCTTCGTCTTTTCTTCCGAGGTCTCCTCAGAATACTCGACTTGATCACGAAGGCGTTTGAGATATGCTAATCGACGTTCCATCTCTCGGGTTCGCATTAGTAGGTAAGGAGGTTCGAATTTGACAAAAGGTGAGGCGGATAAGATCTTTGTCTGATGATCATGCACCATGTCATCGTGATACGTTGGCATCGGAACATCATCAGGTACTTCGATAATTCCGGTAGATATAGGCACGGCATGTTCTGGATCCTCGGCCGGTTTCTCGCTGACAACCTCAGGCTCTGTGGCACCGGTTTTGCTCTGATGCACAACCAGTTGGGAATTGCCTTTCTTAACATCGACATGAACGAGATCATTTGTGTCATTTTCCGATGTTGTTGGCAATTTGGCAAACTCATCTCGCATGAGATAAGTTTCAAGTCGGAGGTTGTACACAACGTAGACCATGAATTCGGTGATCTGTTTCACTTTACCGAGAATTTCTTCGTCGCCACCTCGTAGGACGATGGTACACCCAAGCTCCTTCGGGCAGCCGGAGATATACATGTAAGTCTTCTTCCGACCACCATGCACGTAAGTTTTGACATCGAAGCTGCTGCAGTCACTGTGGAGGGTTGTTGTCAAGAGTTTGTCCATCGAAGTCACAATTCTGGTTTGAGTGCACCTTGAAACGGCTTCAAGAACAGACGGCTTCACATTGTATGCAGTGGCAATCCCCGCTTGCTCGAGGAGAGCAAGTGCTAGACCAGATACATTCGTTTCGACAAACAGCAAATTCGGATGCAAAGCCGCGATTCGGCTGACAAGGTTCTCGAGGAATTCACGCTCTTGTCGGATGACAGGTTCAAGACTCATAAATTGTTGCTGCTGACGGGCATACTCAAGAGGGAATGTAATGATCAAGATGTTGGGACGTGGAATACTTCTTTGCATGCTCTTGAGAGCTAAGTTTTTGGTGAAGACAAGGCCAGAGACGTAAGAGGTATCACCAGGCCTGCCGCCGGGGATCTTCTTCAATTTGATATAATGCCGGATATCCATGTCATCCCCGCGCTGGACATCTGGGTCCACTTCGTCGGCTGCTTTCAAGAGGATGGGCATGAGGGCTTTTTCCCAGTTCTCACTGCTCGGCACGGAGGCTTCTACCAGTAGCTGACGCAAAAGTTTTTGCACATGCTCCCGGCTGGCCTTGTTGAGCTCAATCGGCGGTGCCCCAATCCCTCTCATCGACGAACTTCTTGTCATCTTGAAGCCAGATTGTTTGATGCCAGCAATAAAAGGCACCCCTGCGAACGTTGGATCATGAGGGAACATGCTTTCTTTTGACGTCCGTGGCGAATGGCGTGCGTGGATGCTGCTGGCCACACTGAGATTCCGACGACGCGAAGGCCGCGGCAAGTTGACTGCTCTTGAGCTGGCGATGCTGGCCTCATCCGCATCTCGACCTAATTGGTTGATGCTGGGGGCGCTCCGATCACCAAATGCAGATCGGCCCTTCTTCATGGCGGCAAGGAATCCACCAAGCCCCGCTGCTCTCTCGGTATCGCCGCCGCTTTTAGAGAGGTTGCCTTCGGATACCGCAGAGAGTAGGCTAGGTTGCTCATCGCCGGTGGAAGCGTCGTCAGACAGATACTGGGCCAAATCAGGGTCAATGATATTGTCTTTATGAAAGGCTGGTAGTCGGGACTCGGCGGTCGAATCCTCAGGATGACGACGCTGAAAGGGGGCACGATCATCATGAGAGGGCTTAAAGCTTCGGATGTACTGTTGACGAGAATGATGGCGCTTGTGACTGATTGAATGAGCTCGAACTCCCAATGAGGAGCGTAATGACCGCGACGAGGTAGGTCTCGTCAGTGGACGGTCGGAGTTAATTTCAAGAACTGCCGACCGGCTATTGTGACCTTCGCCCGCGCGTCGTGTGGCTGGGATAGCCATTGTTGGGGTCATAAGGACGTGGTCGATAGACTGGGACACTATGGAAGACGCATCGTCGTCCTCGCCGGCAGGCCGAGAACTGCTGCCGCCCCAGCCAAGGTCGGAGGCTCGTGGATTCACGATGACGGGGCTCTGTTCACTATCTGAATACTCGGACGAATCGTCATCGTGTGCATTGATCATTGCTTCACAGGGCTTGCAAACACGGATTGTTCCAGGTTGCCCAAACCTGGTGCCAGGAACCAGCAAGGTGCATTTGGAATCAAATATTTGCCCGCAAGTGCGACAGTGATGTTTTCTGCGAAATGTAGTGAACGTCTCTCCACAGTGGAAGCAGTCTTTCGCATTTTCGTCGCGCATCCAAAAGTCTCGACTCAGCAATCTACTTCTGAGTTGAGATAGAACTCCATCGCCTGCAGGCGGAAGGCGGTTGTTACTGGGGTCTTGGACTGTGACTCGTGGAACTGCTGTGTTCAATGGCGGTAAAGAAGACACAGTGGTGGTGGTTTCGGCTGTAGAGGCTCGCGACATTACGTAGCCTGGTAATCGGTTCTTGGCGGCGGGTGTATGTGATTTCCCAGGGAGAGCTGTTGGAGATGTCGGGAAAGAAGACTTTGCCGATCCGCCGAGGTTACCTTCATCTTGAGGAGCTGAAGCTGTGTTATCAGACGCCGAGTCAACAGTATAGGAGCGTCCAGCTTGAGATGTCATCTTTGAAAGGTTGCTTGAAAATGAAGTCGGTGTCGTAGACTCATCACGTCCACTAACAGATAGCCTCGAGTTTGATCCACTTTCTTGAGACTGGATATTTGTGTCCTGGCTAAGCTCGGAATGTTTCGAAGTTCGTGTTGCGGTGGACTGGGACATGTCCTCTAGAGCCCTTGATTGATCTGCATTTGACGACTTTCGCGACTGGCTATCCAATGTGTGGCTCGTTGATATGATAGATCCACTAGCCTCCAGTGAGCCAGACTCCTCTTGTAGACTTCCGTGTGTTTTTGTGGACAGAACTGGTGAATTTGTGAAGCCCGAGTTCATCGCAGAAGAAGTTTGGCTAGCATTCATATCTGTTGGGGCATCCTTACTTCCAACACTAGAAGGCTCGGAATTTTGAAATGCCTGAGAAGGCGCGTTGACTGAACTGCTTCGCGAATGGTGGGGTTGACCAACGGCGCTCACATTCAGTTGCGTGATTGCGGGGTCTGCTGTAACCGAGTTGCCAGAAGACTTTGTCAGTGGGACGAGATTTGCTTTCCCAGCCGGAGCAGGAGGAACTTTGGAGGTGACGCCAGCGTTTTTTGAAGAGATTTTGAGGCTCTTGCCAGCGGTTGAAGGTTGTGAAGGATCCTGACTGGGATGGAAATTTGGTACGACTGGAGAATGCAGTCTTGAGCCTTGTGAGGAGTTTGGGTGCGAGGGTGTATGGTCTGCCGAGCTGATAGTGAGGTCTGAGATAGACTTGGTCATGGATCGCTCGGAAGTCGGGCTTTTGACCGCAGAGCTATCCACAGTACTCTTGTCTGTGACTTTGGATCCACCACTGACGATGTCCCTCATTCCCCCAACCGATGTTCTGAAGCGACTGTACAGCCCACTGAGACCCCCCTGCAGCTCCTCTGATAGACCTTTATCGTCCGACGCGGATGCCGGTGCAGGCGGGCTGGTAAACTCGTTGAAAAGCGTCAACGAGTCGGACTGGTAAGCCGCATTATGGATTTGGTCGAGAGCCGTGTTCATATTTTCTCGATCTGTTTGCGACGTAGCTAGGGAGCCCCTCGATCCGCGCCGTCCAAGTGGAGGGAACCCGGACGATGCGGAGGGGCTTGGGGTCTCATGCGACTTTGGCTCCATCGGTGAGGATGCCGGAGTTGATGCGGTCAGGCCGAAAGCTCATGAATAATGCCCGAACGCGAATCGGGATCCTGCTGGTCGCGGGACATGCAGGGCTAGAACATGGAAGGACCACGGCCTGGGAGCAAGACACGCAGCCCAGTTGGATGTCGAGGAAATATTGTCAAGAGAGAGAGAGGGAGGGAGGGAGAGAGCAGGAGCCTAGACTCTCCACAGCTCATCCAGAGAGAGCATGGACGCCCAACCTTATGACGTGGTGGGTCGCTGAGTCATCCGATCGCGTCCACCTGGCGCGTCTTATCGGTTATCGGAGGCCGTTCGCTCCTGACCGTTTGAACATGCGAAAATTCGCGACAACAGCGCCCTGGACAGGGTCTCTCTGTCAGACATGACTTTGGTGGCATTTCTTCTTGTCATACACTGAATCTGGCTACAATGAGCGTTCCCACCCCATGGCTTGCCCCGCTTGTGGAGCAATGCCTAGGCTCCTACCTAGGCCAGACCCCGCAAGATGGCATCGAAGTGGAGGACGATGGAGCGACATTGCGCTTCAGGAAGCCCGACCTCACGTATATGGCTGCTGTTTCAGAGGTATTTTCTCTCTTGTTGGAATTACCATGTATATGAATGCTAACAAGTTGGTTGGCTTTTTCTACCAGTGGGGTCTAGGTCCCTCCCATGACAGCGCACAGTTGATCGATGCCGATAACCAGATACTCGCGATGTTTCCCCGCGGTCTGTCAGATTCAAAAATTTTCACACCGAACTCACACTCGAAAGAAATGAGCCCTAGAAAGCATTCGATACAACTGCTGGACTTCGCCTTGGTCTTCCCATACTCGACATCCACTCCCGACGTGCACCTGAACGTCAACAGCTTTCGCATCAACTGGGAGGAAGGGCCAATCAAAGGATTGAAGCCTTCAAAGAAGCTGAGAAAGAACCAGACTGTCAAGGTGCTGCTAGACAAAACCCTCCAGAAAGCGAAGAACAAGAGACTCGTTTCCATGCCAAATGGGGCAAGCACCGTACCCGCAAGGCCTCTCAATCAGCATCCCCCCCAGTCACAAAGTCGCGCTCATCATGACACGCAATCACAGCGGATTTTTTCTCAAATCTCGTCTCATGCCCATGATGCTCGGGATCACACTTCCAGTGCGGACCGTCGTTTACTACATGGGGCCAATGAACTTCTTCAACATCTTGATCCGTCTTCTCGGCCAAACTCAAGAAACTCTATAGGAGCATCCATACAGCGACAAGAGCAGACGATAAATCCTACTACAACAAGAGGCCCGCTTCAGGTCCTCCCTGATGGAGAACCCGCTGCGAACGTCGTCCGGCGATCGGGGTCTCCATTGGAGGAGCACTCTGGTCGAGAAGACTCCATCTCATCCCAGCCCCAAACCGACAATATGAACCACCGCGATAACTCTGATATGAATGGCCCTCAATCAGCGATGCTTTCCTCTCCGCGAAGAACCCGACAAGAAACAGCATCTCCATTGTCGGATCCGGACGAGCGTGCTGATGCCCAGCTCTCTTCCAATACCGCCAGTCGCTCGCCTTCGCGAAAACGACACCGTGAGAGTGCGGAACTTGACTCAGAACTCACCCGTGGTGAAAGCCTCTCACTTCCACCCCCTCAAAGGGTCAACCCTGGCTCCCCATCTAGGAAAAGGCAGCGCATCAACGATACCATCCAGGTGAAGTCAGGACAAGCGGTTACACCTGAACGACCGGCAACTAAAATATCTCACTTGAATTTGAAGCAAGGGACTGAGCCAAATGTTAAACCTGTAATCGATTCTCTGCCAGTTATGAAAAACCCATGGCAAGGGTTATCCGAAATTCGTGCGAGTGATGTCAATATCCCCAAGGACCAGCTCGAACTTTTGGATAGAAAGCTTTGCTGGATCCCGCCGGCTACAGGCAATCCCGAACCTCATGGACATGTGCCGGCTTGGCTTCTGAAGCAATGGAACTCCATTGCTCGGCTGAGGCATGAGCTAAACCATAAAGACGTAAGTAACAAAGCTGCTGAGAACGAGCCTGCAAGTCCAGCATCGAGCCAGGGAAGTACACAATCTTCTGAACGTGAATCATCAGAGGACGAAGAGCTTTACCCATGGGAGGGCAGCTCCCCGGTCAGAGGTCCCCAAAATCTGCCACCGGAAAGCAGCCCCGTGAGGCAACCGGTGTCAACACGGAGAAATGCAACTCCGAAAGCCAGCAGTCAGAAAGAAAGACTTGGTGATTCTCCTCGAAAGACACAATCTAGGGTGAACTCAAAGTCTCCAACAAAATTTGCCGGGCATCCTCAGAGCACGCCTCGGACCTCAGCGTCTAAACCTCCTCTGTCAAACGAGCCTGAGAAATTGAAAGCAGGTAGTCCGATGGCCTTAACTCAAGACACCACGGAAGTCCAAGAACCTTCAGCTGATCGGGAAGTGCAAGGCTCTCCTGCTCGTTCTACGAGTCAAAACTATCACCTGGGCCATGTAGGTCCATTGGGCCAGTTGATCTCTGAAGGAGAAGGATCAACAGACTCAGATACCCCAGGCTCTGCAGTCGAACAACCCGAGAATGAGGATCCGTCCAATGATGCAAGTGATGAAGAGTCAGTGATGGAAAATTCGGTACCTCTTGCACTCGGTGAAAGCTTGCCGCCTACACAGTCCAGTCAGGTCAAGCAAGGACATATAGGCTCTGCTCAGCCTCTCTCTCAGCTCACCGAAGATCATGTTCAGGTCGCCGTGACTCCTCTGGTAGTGAACAATCGACCACTGGAGAATCGGGATAGTAATCAGAGCAGGGGCAGGGCTGACTCTTCACACCCGCATTTCTCCTCTCAGAGCAACAAACATTTCTCGCAATCCCTAGTTCCGAACACCTACCCTTATCCGGGAAGTCATGAGAAGAGCCAGGCATCTGATGACCCAACAACTTCATCCTCGCTTCGTTCGGAAGTTAATGCGTCTCGAGCTGAAATTGCGGTGCCTCAAACTCAGTCCAGCAGCACGAACTCACAGTCGCAAGGCACATATGACCCCTCAACACACGAAGTCGTGCTCGAGTCTTCGGGCCCAAACCAACGCTATCACGACGTTCCTTGCTTGGGTTCAAATCCTCCTGCCGAAACCTCAAATCTTCCGTTCGGGACCTCTGCAGACATAGCCTTCTCACAGCTTCATGATCCAACTCAAGAGCCCATTACGCAGTTATCTATCAACGAGCAAACAAGTTCACCACACCCGTCACCAATGAGGCAGCTCAACTCTTCGGTCTCCAGCCCATATCAATCTCCGTCTAAAAGCCCACAAGACACGACAGAGGAGATACAACAGATGCCTCCAACCACACCAGCAACACAAAGCGCTGAACTAGTTGCTCGGCGTTCGGGCTTTATTGGCGATCCTGAAAAGTCAGTTGAGGCGCAGGAAATATACAGGAAATTCTGCAACGACTACCCTGGCTATACGGGTGATTATAACCATTTCACTGAGCTTTGCTCAAGACTAAAGGATGTTCGAGCCCAAGGCTTGCTACGCCGGTCCAACCTGTGGGATGATTTTATTATCATGCACCTTGAACGATTCCCTTCCTATCTAGACATCGGCACCTCCCAGTCGTATGCCGAACCACGGAGTTATGAGACTTACTTCACCTCCAACTTCTCCAAATCTGCGAATCGGAAACGCAGTCTTTCCGGTTACGCCATTGAAGTCGTTGCATCACAGTTCGCCGTGCCTGTTGTTACACATACACAGTCTAGCAGCCAGGTGGATCCTCCTTCTCAGACTACTAGGAGAGAAGCCATAAACACCTCACTCGCATCAAGCTTTGTGGATAGGTTTTCAACTTTTCAAGCCCACTCCTTTGAAGAGCCCGTCAAAAACGGTCTTCCTGTCTTCCAATCCGGTCTCCCAGCGTTGGACAGTCATATCACATCTTCGATGGAAACTGGCTCGTCATCAGTACTTGTAAAGCTCGAAGGTTCTGAAATGGATCAAGATGAAGTACTGTGTACCCAGATAGCTCCCATGAGCTCGCTCATCGAAATACCCGGTCTCGCTGATTCCCAGCCATGTGCCGGCGAGTGTCAACCCGCAGTCAGCCAGATCATCAACACCCAAGATGAGCAGGATGATGTAAGTATGGCCGGAGTTGAGGAGTCGGAGCACGACGAGTTGGACAATGAGGATATCAGCCCTGAAGATCTGGATGCTGAAGAGCTCGACGCCGATGACACCCGCCACGAGACCGCCAGCGTTGAGCTCGGTGACGACACATTCATCTCAGCTGTCTCTCAGTCAAATACAGTTGAAGTTCCTGAAACACAGCCCGAGCGTGAAGACGAGCCTGAAGATGAGAACTGGTTCGCCTCGCTGCGGCACATCTGGTCCAGAGATAAGCCCGTATGGTCTGACCACCCCACAACTCCATTCAAGACCTGGGCGGAGGCCGACCAGAATGTGCTAAGCGAGCGACGTCGTCGCGGGGGAGCTAAGATTCTCCTCGACGAAAATGGTGTCATCCGCCGGCCAACTCATCGTTAATTCGCCCCCCTGGGCCATCGACGCTCGCTTGAAATTGTTCCTCGAGAAGGGCGCACTATCAGGGTCGAGGACAGATATGTTCTGATTGACAAACCGATGAAGGGCTGTGCCCAGGCATCTTTGGTCCGTTCATTCCATTGATTATTCATGTATTCTTACCATGTTATATCCAATATCAAGAGAACCATGCCTTTTCATTCGCCCAGCAACTCATGGAGCAGCGAGTTAGTAGTATTGCTATTGTACAAGGCTGCGCCACAACCCAATTTAAGCAATAGTCGTGGCTAAGATCCACTGTGGAGCTGGAAGGTCTAACGGATGCCCTAGGCAAATTATTGAATTCGATACCTTGCTATTGAACTTGATAAGAAAGAGCCTACTGTTGTTCCACGATGGAGTGGCAGAAGAAAAATCCGCAACTCGAAATATAGGAAAGGTATCAGTGATGTAGGCTATTTGGGGTGTTTATGTTGGGAAATCTTGAAATCTGAATGGATCATTTATTTTGAAATACAATTTTCATCAGGTGCGATTTACAACATATGCAGGTCCATCAGCAATATCGCTGGTAAGCATTCAAGTCATCACAGAAAAAGGAAAGTGGTCGTTAAAAATCATGCAAAAGACCAAGCCCATATAACCAGAGAAAGTCCCGAGCCCCAAACGCCGCGGTATCCCAGTCTCTAAGAACGCTTCACGAGGGTTGTATACAAAGACATGATCGAGGATTTGAAGCCAGTCGCGTCACGCTTAGCTTAGGAGTGGCGGAAGGGCTCGTACGCGTTCGATCGCTGGTTGGTGTTGGTCATGGGGTAATCGCCGCCGTGAGCAGCGGGAGGTGGGTACGAGGTGTGTTGCTGTTGGCCGTAGGGGACTTGGCCAGCTCCAAGAGGCTCGTAAGTGTAGGGGGCCTTTTCGGCAGTGATGCCGCGAGGACCATTGTTGCGGTGGCCGTACGGCGAGCGACCGGAGCAGCAGCAAACGCTGAAGGTCCAGAAAATCAAAGCGGCGAGGGAGAAAGCGACGGCCAACCAGGTAGCAGCGAACATATTCTTGCCCAACGACAGGCTAATTCCGTAGGCCTTGAGAGTTGTGCCCAGGGAAGACTTGAAGATGGAGAAGAGGACGGTCGAGGTAATCGAGGCAGCGGTGGTGAAGAGGAAGGCAAGGAGCGCAAAGAGAGTGGTGACACAGCTGCCCCAGCGGCTGCAGATAGCGAAGAACCCAACCACAATCTCGGCGACGGTGACGCTGAAGGCGATTATGTAGGCGATGAACATCCACTTGGAGACTGTCTTGTAGATGTTCATGACCTTTTTGTAGTCGCTGGGCAACTCGCCCTCAATATCAGAGGAGTCCAGGCCCCAGACCGCGAAGGGGTTGAAGTAGAACTCGCTCTTGGGCTTTGAGCACTCCGTCACGTTTGTCTTGTTGTTGTTGATGTCACCATCGCAGTAGCCCCAGAGGCCGATCTGGTAGAAGTCCGCTAGGGTGCTATCATCCTGGAGTTTGCCGAGGACATCGGAGACGTCCTGAGCGGTAACGCTCGTGATTCCGTATTGTTCAAGAATGTTTTCAACTTCGGTTACTGTGTGAGATCCTTCGCTGCTGATATTTTGGACGTTGATCTATACAAGTCATTTTGTTAGTGGCATGCCCGCGAGGCACTGGTGAGAGATAATTGAGAAACTTACTCGCATGAAGTAAAGATTGTTCAAGGTGTCAGAGCTGGACTTGGTACAGCCCAGGCCGACCATGATAATACAGATCAGCGAGGCGATCGTAAGCACATAGGGCGTGAAGATACACGCGACACGGCCGGCTTTTCCCATGGTGGCTTGAATTTGTGTGGGTGTCAATTAGAGGGAGACGGGGGGTGGGGAGAAGGGGGGGGGAAGGATGACAGAAGGAAGATCGGATGAAAAGGAGAGAGGCTGGAATCGGGGGAGGTCTGTGGATTTTATCCTTTGCATGATCGGCCCTTCAGACGGTGATTAGCGGAGGACTTGGAGTGTACAGCCTCGTCCCACTGGCAACGACGACTCCAGTCTCCAGTCTCCAGCCTCCCTGCGTTTGGTAAGAGGCGCAGGGCAGGAACACGACCCCCTCGGGGCTGGGTTGAGCCAATCAGAAATAAACATAACCGGACCCACTTTGGGCCACGCCACGTTGGTTTCTATTCGTGTCCGAGCTAAACCCAAATAGGCATTACAGGGACATTTCATCGTCATTCAGGCAGGCAAAGCGTGGACTTGGTTCATCAATTATTATTCTTCCAAATTGACAATGAAGATGGCTGTCACGGACGAAGCACATTCTACCAGGGATCCCGATATAATCTTACAAGGTGTCAGAAACCCCCGCAACAGCAACCGATCAAACTTCATCCAAGTCCATCCCCTGGGAATAATCCATCCCCCTGGCCGACCAAACTCTCACAATCTTTACCCGAAAGTTCATTTTCCACGGTCGAGCGCAGGATCGCCATACCACCCGTCCTAATTAAGCAACCCACCTTGTACAAGCCTCGTCATCATCCAGCCCTGTGGACCGTCCGAAATTTTCAATATCCTCTATCAATCTTTTTTTCCTTTCACTGGCTGGCGACCTCAATAACCCTGTATAGCAATCCCTCAGCCCTGCGTAATCTCGTATCTAGGCCAGATAATCGAGCCTAGGCTTCCGCATTTTGCGCTTGGCAGCGGGCGCAGACGCCAATTTCCGCGCACAACGGCCGTAGTCTCCACACGATACCTCACCCTATGAGGATTTATCACACTGCGGTAGGCGGTCTCCGTCTTCATGGACGTGATCCGAGAATTACCCACTGCCGGTGCCCCTAGTTTCTATATTTACAATTTAAGATTAAGTTTTCTGGGGCTTAGATAGCTCTCTGCTCATGAAATAATGTCCCAACCACGACTTCCCAGGCTCTATACCAAGCAATTTATGCCGGTGCCTATTATCAAGGGATATGCACAGTCCACTGCGGTGTACTCTGAACTGACGTACGCATTAGCCACAGGCGATGACGGAGACTCCTGTTGGGGCGCATTGTTGCCAAGACTTAATGTGTCGGTCGCTCTGCTTATCCCCAAAAACGGTGGGACAAGAACTAGTCATACAGAGCTTACAAGTAGAGAACCATTTTAATACTCCATCCAAGGATTCTATGAATTCGTTGTGGATTGAATCCCAAATATACACAGGCCTGTCAAATGACGGATCCGTAAGAAAAATGTAGTTGATCTCTTCACGCAAAGTACGGCTGCAGAGTCGACAGCATTCCAGTATAAGCGACACCACTTGGAGGCTCCATGCCGTAAATATACGTTCCCCACCAAGGCCCAGCCGCCCACCACATGGCGCCCTTCCACACATTTGAGTTCTCCCCGAGATAGTCCAGCATGCCCGTGATAGCAGTCTTGCACTGGTCATTGACACCTCCGGCGAACTCACCTAGTACACCGACCTTGCCATTGTCAATTAGCCACTGCGTCGCATTGGCGACTCGCTCCTGGCCGATCGTTGTTGAGACACATGTTTCGCTGGTACCAGAGCCATCAGAGTCGAGGTACTGATGCATCTCGTAGACAATCTTGTCTTGTGGGTCTGTCAAAGCCTTCAAGTTGTCGTTCACGGTGGTCCAGGTCCAGGCGCCTGTGTACGAGTTGCCCTCGACGAAGATGTATTGCGATGTAGCGCCCGCAGCACGGATACCGTTGATAGCTGCTTGGTTGAGATCAAGCACTAAGGTTTGATCCATATCGTGATACTCATTGTCTAGATCAAAGGCATTAGAAATAACTTTGCGTCGCCACCTGTTATGTGCACTCACTCGTGTCAAAGATAACAAGGTTGTTTGATTTGAACTGGCCGGCAACATTCGTCCAGAAAGTCTGGAAGTCCGAGGTACTCGAGATAATCGCGCCATTGCTGTCAAAAGTGTTAGTAAATTCAAAGCGACACAGTGATAGAAAGGAAGGTCCTACAATCTCCCATAGTTGTGGGGGTCAATGACAGCATGAGCGCCGGCTTGAGTGATATAGTCCACCACCTATCCTAATCAGCTTTCAGTATCAACGGTCGCAAAATATACGACACGCACCGTGGTCAGGTTCTTCAAATAGGCGCTGTCAAAAGAGCCAGTCATGCCGTTGGGCGTCAGCCGTTCCATCAGGAACTGGACTCTGAAGATGTTCATGCCATCATTGATCAACGTCTGGATGGTACTAGTATCCGGGAAGATAAAGTCGGTTCCCTTTATTTTGTCCATGAGATTCCATAACCTAGAAGTAGGCAGCTCTGCAACTGTTTACTCACCCAGACACCAGGGAGATTGCCGGAACCAAACTCAGCCCCAGACTCACTTGTTCCAAACCCTGTAATTCATGAGTGTCAATCATTACCACAAGGGTCAGAAATCACGGCGAGGCGTACATTCGAAAGAAGAAGCCCTCTTTGCATGTTTGGAAGGAGCTGCCAATGCGGACCCTGCCGCGGCTGCCAACAATATAATGTTATTCAGTCTCATATCTGGTGCTCTGATTGAGGGTTGGAAGTGACGGCAATGCAGATTGTTCGGGCTATGAAAGGGTTGACTATATCAGTCTCAACCGGTAGGGAATAGCCCATTTTATACAATAAATGGGCTTTATGCTAGTCGCCTGCCTGAATGCTATGAGAACAACTCCGTTATCGCTTCCAGTAACAGAAAGAAACGGACACGGAGTGCGAAATATTCAAACGGTATCTATCCCGTTCACCCTTCAATCAAGCTTGTCTCTGGCCAGAATCAGAAAGATACAGGGTTTATCATAATCAGGACGTTTCATGGAGTTTCTCCATAACCAGAATTCCCCACCAAAGGGAAGAGCCAGGATAGCTCCACTTTCTTACTACTTATGGAGAGAGATCGCCGAGTACGGCTGAATTCTGTTATGAAGAGGAGCTCGCTCAGTCGCCCAGACGTGTTACGACGATCATGCACTCATTCATGCTGTAGCATGAACTTCACCCACAACTCGGTTTGAGCAATCCTATGGTAACTCCTCCATGCAAGTTATCGTGAGATGCGAGACCAGCTTTTCCCCGGGGTTATACCCCACATTCGTCAGGCACCAGTGGCTTGAGTCCTGCAGCATGAATTAACTCAATGAGGGTAGGGTTGGAGGGTACCGTGGCGTTTCGGGAATCGATCGGCGTGGGGATATGGAGGAAAGCAGTATTAGCATTGCCCCATGAAGAAAATTGAGGGGAATGGCTGTAAGTGAGTCTTAAATGCTAAAACGAAATTATTATTGCGAGGCCACGGCACTAGGACTCAGTGAGGATTGATCGAGATCACATTTAGAACGTATCAGGTAGAGATGTCGTCGGGAATATCTGACGTCGCACCTGAAACAGGAACAGGGGCTAGATCCACCACGAGACACTTCTACCGAGACACGAGGGCAAACGACCGTATCTGGGGAGTATGAAATCTCTGCCGAAAGAGCTTTGGAAAATCCGCTATTGCTTGCCAACAGGCCGGATATTAACACATGACACCCATGACATCAATCTACCACGCCCCAAAGGGATGTAGGGCCCCCTTCATATCTGCCGCTTGCAATCTATGGTACTTCTGTCCAGGGTGGTAGTTATTCCACCAGACACAACTCTCTCCATCATCATTGATACAAGTAGCGTTAGGATATCCGTATTTCTGGGGATGATCCAAAATCTTGGTCATGAAACTCCAAGAGTCGTAGAGAACAGTCTCGACCTATATCCGATTAGTTGTATACGACCTAGATGTCGCGCTCAGGAACTACCCACATCATGATGAGCTGCCTTGAATTCAGCGCGCATTTTGGCAAGGCCGTTGTTATACGCAGTAGTCCATGCGGCATGTTGTTGTGAGACACTCTCTCCTTGGTCGAGGATATATGGACTCCGACTTGCTGGGGGAACATTCAAAAATAGGAATTTGCGCCCGCCATCCGCATAGATTTCTTCGATGAGTGACCTGTACTGAGCCATGAGCGTCGGTACGAGGACGCTGGCGTTGTAGCCTCCGAAGCCCCAACCAACACTAGAACGATAGATTAGTGTCGCCCTCTTCAAAAGTTTAAGGATGTCCTACTCATTAATTCCAATCCAGAAGCCAAAGACAGAATCAGAAGAAGCCCAGGGCGCAGTAGCGGGCTTAGTGCTGTAGTTTCCTTGAAATGTGGCAACTTGACTGGTCATGTCCGGATATCCAGAATTAAGAATAGCGTTGTCAATAGTCGCACCGCCTATAGCCAAGTTGTAGCTTAGAACGAGAGAGGCATTGTCTGCAGTGGTCAGGTATCCAATCCAATTGATGCCACCTCCAGTAGCACCAGTTCCTTTTGATACATGTCAGAGTGACAGGTCAAATATCCCAGCAGCAATCCTATCAAACGTACCGAGCGCAGGGTTTCCCATTGGGTCCGAAGCTGATGGCTGTGTGCCTTCGACATTGAAACTTGTCATCGAGTATGAGTCGCCACTTTAAGAACGGAGTTAGTTCTAATTTCGTATTCATTAAACCATTATTTTTTGTGTAATTCATACAAAGTGAAGAAATAAGTCGGCGATGATCGCCGGTGCGTGGGCACCGCAGCTGTCGCTGCGACGCTCATGAGGAGAGCAAAGAGAGGGAGTGCTTCATGTTGAAGGCAAAGCTCAGTTAAACCTAAAAACAGTCTATGTAGGTAAAGGAACTCTCTTTTAAAGTATTGTAGTATAAAGTCAGCCTTCCTGAACATGATAGGTATGGCTTCTATGAACCTATACGTAACGGATCCTTCCCCAATCGGGAGATGTCGCCGCTTAATGGCGGGCTAGGCGTGCTCATCTGAGGAATTCTTGCGGGGAATCCTTGCCTCACTACTTCACGTCATCTACCTAATATCATTAAAATCTGCTTTACTTCAGATGCGTGCAACATGTACTTGTTTTAAGTGCTCTTGCTTGAATTGTCATTTCTCGCAGACTTGATGCTCTTGTGATCCCACTGCAGATAACGCAACATTTTGAAGGATCAATGTGATTGATGTACATTGATAGCCATATTATACGAGATTACCATGACTTTATATGACTGTCTATGTATGAAACACAGTCGAGTGATACCTACCAAGTTTTCGCAGATGTCGGTTTCATTGGCTGAAGCTTCACACTGATCTCCTCACAGACCAGGATCCTCAATCGGGAACTCCTGCCCCCTTGCAAGGTTTTGAGGTTCAGAATCAAATTTCGGATATATCAATCTGTGAAGAAAAGGGCCGCTGATAGAAAGTTACTCACATTCACGAATAATTCATATAGAGTCCCTTCTCCTTAAAGCGGCGCCTGGTGAGGTCTCGAAGGGGAGCGGGGCTTGCAGGTTTGTAAAAGGCGATCGTAGAAGTATTCCCTTCGCCCGCCGCCAATTAAATTTCTTTATAGTTGCTCCCCTGTATTCGAGTAGCTCGGCTTTATTTTGCTCTGGATATTAGGAAGTGTTCACTGGAAGGAAGTATTTACTCCGCAAACTGCGGGGTTCTAGATTCCATACGTTCCGGGGTGACCTCCGCCATCTTTCTAGTAGTCGTAATAACATGCAGTTTTCATAATAACGCCACTTCTTCATTGTACTTATTCAATGTGGAGAATAGGACCCTTTTAAGCACGGAGCTCCGCCTCAATCGAGGGGAGGAAGGGCTTCCACCTAGTAACCCAGATCTTCAACATAGGCTTATCAAGAATTTGCAAATGAGGTGGCCGCAGAACATCGATGATTCTGTTCATTTATACACTGTCCCGTGAAAGCTAAGGACGGTGTGCAGCATCTATTTACAGACAATTGTTATGCGTCATCTGAAAACCAGGCTCAAAACAACCTGGTTGTTAACATTTCCATCCCCGCCCCGCCGACGAGTAGCTTTCCTTGTATTTGCTCTCCCAAATGGGAGTCAGAACAACCCTGAGAAATAGGATCTCGCAGGAAACTCAGGGAAGCGATATCAGCCACGGCACTATATCTGTCCAACAAAAACTCCACGATAACCCTTTCTGTACCCTGTTTTGTAGGATCCACTGTGATGGACCAAAATTTCACGCGGTGGTCATTGCCAGAAGTCACAAAAGTAAGTCTCGGGACTTGTGGTCCGGAGGTAGTTGGTGTAACTTCCCCTGGGAACAGAACCTTCAGGGCTGTCACTGATGCTGCATGGGCATCTGGGACAGAGACGGTAGACACATGCGCGTCAGCACCAGTCTCATTGGTATCGGAGTGTTTCCTCAAAAGTGAAACAGCTATTGAGCTGTCATCACTTGCAGTCAAAATGACAGTGGCTGTATCAGAAAGAGGCACCAGCTCCATTGCTTTAATGCTATTGGAATGGACTTGATACCTGCTTTCACAGGTAATATCCACGGGTACGATAGAAGAATCTTCAAACGACCGTTTTGCTTTGAGGCTCGATGAAGAGATGTCATAGAATGACTCGAGTGTGTCGGTCAAATCCCAGAAGGTGAAGTAGCCATCAGTTGCGGCTGTTATTAGACTCACCGATGAATTCTTCACCCAAATTTTCGTTTGAGTCAGGCAGTTTGTCATATATCTACCCTGAGCCAACAGCGTAAATCTGAAGTTTGCGGAGGGTGAGAAGTGGAAGATCTAGTCTCCTTTAGTAATCTAGATTCGAGCGAATGGGAAGACTCATACCTTAATCGTGGAGTTGGACAGTGCCAAACAGAGAAGGAATGCCTTTTCAGCATTAGGTTCTTCCACTTCCACCAAGTCAAAACTTGTGATCCGCATTTCAGAGTCTGGCATACTCTTCGGGCACTCTGCCACCATTTTGATGCACATATCAAACGAGGGGATCCAGCGAACTCCCCACACAAAAAGCTCCTCCTGTCCAGCACTGGTGAAAAGGAAGTCACCATCCTTTGACCAGCTTACTTGCTGAATCCCCGACCTATGCTTGTCCAAAATGCGCAGACACTTGAATGAACCCCAAGGGCCTTGGATTGCTTGGCCGGATGCCGCAAAGATGCGTACGATGGTATCCTCTGCTCCAGTAGCAAAGAACGATCTTCCTCCTCGAATAGTGCTCAGTCCATCCATAGTTCTTATTTCTCGTCCATGTCCACCGGCCCGAATGGAACGGTAGATGTCGGTTGGAATGCGTTTAACTTGCAAATGGGATTTTATGAGCCAGGCCAGCGAAGGCTTGCTGGTGTCGGTGCTGAATTGGTATGACCAGATCCTGCGGCTACCGCCCGAGGCTATGGATATGACGTCTTGTTGTCTTGTTTCGTTTCGCAATACGAAATTTTGCGATCGAAATCCGTATGTCATGAGATCGCCAGTTGTTTCTTCCAAGTAAATACCCCACAGGTCGTGGCCCAGACCTGAAGAGGTCTGATCAAGTGTCTCGAGGAAGACGGTATCACTCTCACCCTTGCCCACTTGTAATTCGTGGTAACAGTAATTCCCATCACGTCCACACGTCAATACGTATTCCTGCTCTACCGCGGCTGGTTTCACAGGTCGAATACAAGTGGTGCCTTCGTGGCCATGGATTCGTCTCTTGTCCACCAATGGGTTGGAAGACAAACCAAGGCCTGCAACCTGGTACACTGCCAGACCTCCGAGCTCGGACCCAAGGAGCAAGTATTTGCCATTGTACATCAAACAAGCCGCAGTTATGATATATGGTGCTTTTGGGAGACGGAAGGGTATCGTATCGGTTCGCGGGCAGGTGCTGTTCCACCCTGTGACAGTCACCAAAGTGGCTTCCTCACCGGCGAAGTAGTCCACAATAACCGAAATGTGGTCGGAAGGCATCTGTTCGTGGGCAATTGTAATGCTCCGAGGCCGCCTACCTAGATCCACCAAGTGAGTGATCAATCTGGTGCTGTGACTGTATAGCCTGACCAATCCCTGTGAGTTGGCTATCAAAGCTATTCCTTGCCGAGGAACGCCAGCAATCAGGGAGTATGACCGAAGATCTTCTGCACTGCAAAGCGTCTCCCACGTCACACTTGTATTATCCACCGAGCTCACGTGTCCAAGACGTATCTCGCTGCGCAAAGAGCAAGCAATGAGACAATCCGAAGAGACAAAATCAATCGTTTTGGGTGCATCTGGGTCCGAAGACTTCTTCTGAATCGGAGAGTCATTTTGGCCTGGAGTGTTGTACTTCAAGAGAGAAACCACATGTTTGTTGACTTTGAAGCTTTTCAAAGCTCCATCAGCACCGCCAGTATAGATAATCGTCTCTTCACCCTGCTCACGGAGATCAAGAGCCCAGATGTGCTTTCCCACATGTAGTTCAGCTGAAGACATCTCCCGAAGTCGATACTTTGTGACACCAGGAGCCGGAATCTCCCAGCTGAGTTCCCACACCACACAGGTCCGATCTTCGCCTCGAGACACAAGACCTAGGGTGTTTGGATTACTCTCCTCAAACGAGCATATATTTACGCTCCAGATACGGGCAGAATGTCCAAAAGCTTTCGCAACGCATGACTCAGATCCAAGACCACTGCCATACCCAGTGGTCCGTAGTTCAAAGCCATCTGTAGAGTAGGCGGATGGGTCATGAAGAGACTTGGTCTCACAGTCGGTGATATCCCAAATTCGGACGGTTCGGTCATCACTGCAGCTTGCCAGCAACCTGCCAGAGCGACCACCGTTCAAGGATGAGATATTCGGGAAGATTCGCACTCCAAATACAGACCCATCATGGCCAGTAAAGTAGTGATGGATGGAACCCGCTGCCTTGAGTTGACCCGGTTCACTATCTGTGATAAAACAAGACCAAACAACAATCTCACCAAACGCAGTTCCCGAGGCAATCAGGACATGAGAAGGGGAAAGAGCTACGAGGTCAGCAGCATACAAGATGCACTTCACACTCGTTGCAAGTTGGTAAATGCAGATTCTCATACTATACTGAGAACATTTTCTGTCTTCAACTTTGGTCATTAGAAGTGCATTGTTTGCGGTGATGAAGAACGCTGTATTGAGCTGTCCTGCGATAGCAGCGCATCCGCTCATAATCCAGTCTGCGGTGTGGAACTCGGCGCTAGACACGGCCAGTGTGACTTGATAATTGCGGTCAATGGAGACATCGATAACCCTAAGAGATTTTCCACCCCAAACCATGACAGAGCCGCAGTGCAAGCTATCTTGGCTTCTCTGTGGGCACGGAATGATGATAAAGCCGTGCACATGGTTGCGCTTGAATGCCTGGACTTGGGCAGAGACATCGCCCGTCTGTTCATCGATCACTCGGAAATATGGTCCCTGCCCCTCAAAAATGAAGGTACGGCCATGGCACTGGAACACCTTCAGGGCTGTTATTGGGAGACATGCATCCACATGCTACGAATTTTTGATTCAGCAAGATATCAAGGTATCAAACGAACCCATGTATACGGGCACTAACCTCAAGAAAGACGGGCATCTCCCAAGACTCCACCATGTATTGAAATTTTGACAGACTCTCTCCTTTCTCACCGATTCAATGTCAATAACACACCCTTCAAAAAGACGCACATTGTCGAATTGTGCCTTCCACACTCAATTGCTTACCTAATTTTGATGCCCGCACTAACCCAAAGAAGGAAAATAGGTCACGTGATACCGCGCATCTCAACGCGGCGAAGCAGGAAACTGACGTAACTCACATTCCCGCATCAACTTGAACCCATGAGCCTCACCCCAGTGAGCTACCAGTGAGGTTGCTCACAGTGCTCGAGTCTAGTTGAAAACCACCCACTCTCTGAACCACGATGGGTGTTACCGGGCTTTGGACAGTGTTGCAACCATGCGCCCGCCCTATTAAACTCGAAACACTCAACAAGAAACGGCTGGCCGTCGACGCGTCAATCTGGATTTATCAGTTCCTGAAGGCAGTGCGCGACAAGGAAGGAAATGCGCTTCGAAATTCACATATTGTCGGTTTCTTCCGGCGGATATGCAAGCTGCTGTACTTTGGAATCAAGCCAGTATTCGTCTTCGATGGCGGCGCGCCAGTCTTGAAACGGCAAACGATCGCGGCACGGAAGAAAAGAAGGGAGGGTCGAAGAGAAGATGCGACTAGAACTGCGGGGAAGCTGCTTGCTGTGCAAATGCAGCGGACTGCCGAAGAAGAAGCCGAGGCGCGACGACGAAATAAAAAACGTCCCCAGGGTGAAGGGGAGGTGGTGCCTGAAGCCCCCGTCTACGCGGACGAGGCTCTCATGACCGAGCAGGAAAGACAAAAGAACCGAAAATTCAAGAAAAAGGATCAGTATCACCTGCCGAATCTTGATGTCTCGCTTGAAGAGATGGGTGCCCCGAACGACCCTCGAATTATGTCCCAGGAAGAGTTGGAGCAATATGCGCGACAGTTCCATCAGGGCCAAGATATCAACCTCTATGATTTTTCAAAAATAGACTTCGACAGTCCCTTCTTCCTCAGTTTACCGGCCACGGACCGATACAATATTCTGAACGCAGCCCGGCTCAGGAGTCGACTGAGAATGGGTTATTCCAAGGAACAACTAGATACCATGTTCCCTGACCGCATGGCCTTTTCAAGATTTCAAATTGAACGAGTTACGGAACGAAATGATTTAACACAACGACTAATGAATATCAACGGCATGAACGGAGAGGAGGCATTTTACAAATCTGGACAGCGAATTGCTGGCGAACGTGGTCGAGAATACGTCCTGGTCAAAGATAGCCAAAATGAGGGTGGATGGGTTTTGGGCGTTGTGGGAAATAAAGAAGCAGGACGGGAAGATAAGCCTATTGATGTAGATCAATATGGCCTGCCCGACCCAGTCTCAGAGTCTGACGAAGGGTCCGATGATGACGAATTTGAGGATGTGCCTATCGAAGGGATCAACAGACTACCCAAACTGCCTGCCCTTCAAGAGGGAGTGCTTGACGCCTCTCTGCAGCAGGCTCAAGAGGAGTTGGATTTGCAAAGGGTATTGTTCGAATCGCGCGGAAACAAAAGCCTACCCGCTACCTTGGGTCATTATGCCGATGAAAATGCGCTTTTTGTTCAAGGCGATCATCAGGACGTTCTTTCTCGGCCCCAGAATCAATATTCCGGCATATTTGAAGAAGATGATGATGACGAGCTCGCGAGAGCCATCGCGCTGTCAATGCAGACCAATGAAGATGCAGATGAAGACATGCCTGATATTTCCATCAACCAGCCTTTGCAGTCCGTACCTGCCCCCGAGCCTCTGCAGGAACCTGATTTTGATGAAAGTGACGAAGATATGGACTTTTCAGCCGCAGTTGCGCAGACAAAGGTCTCGGAAAAGAAATCTCTCGTTGAGAACCCTTTCTCTGGGCCGCTTCCTTTCGAATCTATTACACTTAACAAAGCCACCAAGAAGTCTGACGAGAGCCCTGAGGTGGATGAAGATGCCGGCGGCTTTGTTAAGGAGCCTATGAATAAAAAGAAGCAAGCCGAACCGCTTCCTCCGTGGTTCTTTGGGGACAAGTTAAGCGAGGAATTTATTACGGAGCCAACTTTTGAACATGAGGGCAAGGATCAACATAACGCACATCAAGATCACTGGTTTCTCTCAAATCGACGATCCCCGGATATCATTCAGGTTGATGACACGCCAGAAATTAAGGAAGTGATTGATTTAGAGGCAGAGCCGGAAGAAAAAATCCCTGAAGTTTCTATACCCATGCAAGCTGTTTTATCAGGGGATGCAGGGGTAATGAACGCGGAGTCGCCTATTCGCCCATCTGTGACTGCAGAGTCTGCGAAGGGTGAAATTTTTGATTCTTCGCTCGAGATCAACGCCCCGGCGAGGGAACCTCATGTTCTGACCATCGGAGAAGACGTCCAAGAGGCAAATGCACCAGAACCCTCTTCCCAGGCAGAGGCATCTCCTGAGCCCGAGTTCGAAGATGTCATCCCCGCGTCTCCCACTCCTGCCCCGGCCCCAGGCCCTCCTCCTGAGATCACGGTGGTCCCCGATCGCCACACCGAGCTCCTAGAGGAGCCTGCGCCTCCTGAGCTTCTTGTTCAAGATGACGATGACGAGTTCAGTGATCCAGAGGATGAAGATCTCATGCGACAACTGGCAGCCGAAGGAGAGGAGCACGTCCGATTTGCGCAAACTCTCAACTCGGATGTCCTCCTCAACCACGTGGACTATGAACAAGAACTGAAGCAGCTACGAAACCAGCAACGGAAGGATCGACGTGATGCAGACGAAGTAACACAGATCATGATCAATGAGTGCCAGCAGCTGCTCCGACTATTTGGGCTGCCGTATATTACTGCTCCCATGGAGGCCGAGGCGCAGTGTGCCGAACTCGTCTCCTTGGGGCTTGTGGATGGAATTGTTACCGATGATAGCGATACTTTTCTCTTTGGCGGCACTCGCGTCTACAAAAACATGTTCAATCAGAGCAAATTTGTGGAATGCTATCTATCCTCCGACTTTGAAAAGGAGTATGCGCTCCACCGACACAAGCTCATCAGCTTTGCACATCTTCTGGGCAGTGATTATACCGAAGGTATACCGGGCATTGGACCCGTGAAAGCCCTCGAAATCATCACCGAGTTCTCGAGTCTCGAAGAGTTTCGGGAGTGGTGGACAGAGCTCCAGATAGGTGTCAACAAGCCAGACGATGCACACCTGGCCTTTCGGAAGAAGTTCCGCAAACAGGCTTCGAAGATCTTCCTCCCACCGTCGTTCCCTGATACCCGGGTAGATACCGCCTACCTGGAACCCGAAGTCGATGCAGACTCGTCCCAATTTCAATGGGGCGTGCCAGATCTGAATGGTCTTCGGCATTTCCTCATGTCGACGATCGGCTGGAGTCAAGAGCGCACCGACGAAGTCCTAGTGCCGGTCATTCGAGACATGAACCGTCGGGCGCAAGAAGGCACCCAGTCGAACATTACTCAGTTCATGCAGGGATCTATAGGCGCGGGAGCATTTGCACCAAGGGTACGCGGTGGTCCCAGCCGGATGGAGAAGGCCTTCGGCCGACTACGGCAGGAAGCCAGAGGTGGCCGAGAGGCGGCACACGGCGAGGAGTCTACTGCAGCTGCAGCTACAGATACAGCCACAGAGGATCGGGCTGAGGAGGGCTCGAGCTCGGGTAAACGTGGGAAAGCCACCCAGGGCGGCGCCAGTAAGAAGCGAAAGACTCGGAGGGAGTCGTCGGCTACATGAACTGGCGGGCAGGAGAATAGCATATAGCATATCTTACTACATCTAAACTCTTGTTTCATAGCGAAATGACGAATTTATGAATGCATACGAGCAGAGAGCTGCCGCACTTTCCCCTAATAGATTGATGGATCAACACGAACCAGACTGGCGGTGCCCGTTCAGTGGCATCCAGCATTAGTGTACCACTGAAGCTTTCTAGTTCTACCCACTCTATTGTAGCAGCATCATATTCTTAATTAATTTGCAGGCTGCTCTCCACCGAATAAGCAGTGTCCCGGCATTCCTCCCCCACTGACGATCAACCGCCATGATCCACGATATTCAGGAACTGCATGATTATCATTATCTAGATTGTTATATTTTGTCATTCTGTTCTCTTTGCTTCTACCCTCTATCCAATTCATATTTTTCAAAATTCATCCTAGTTGAAAAAAAACCCCTCTTGCCCAAGTAATGCAACGCTAGGCACATCATGACATGGTTGAATCGGCCCAGCGTCCAGGCGATGACATCAGCACCTTCGGGGCTGATGACGTCGGCGATCGCAGCTTTTCCTCTTTCTTCTTCAACCAAAAATGCAACGCACAATCGGCGCTATTGGATCGTCATGAATTTGTGCCCCATTGAACTCTTCTCTCTAACTCTTCCGGTGGTTAGTGTCTTTCTTTATACTTCGCTGGACTGCTCCATGCACGCTACTAACTAGGAGGCGCAGCAGCTTCCCCAGTGGTTTCAGTGGTCCTGAAGAGGATCCGCCAGTGTCCGAAGCTGGAGTTTGCTCCCATCAAGCTCTGTTGACTCCATCGTTCTCAATTCCTGGATAGATCTGCATGATTTCCCCGTCCGCATCATCCACAGCATCCACCTCGTCGTCTGTGGCTTCAAACTTTCTCCAATTGCTCCCCGAGGCTCCACCGAAACGGGTAAGGTGTCTCCTATAAAAGTTGTCGACGTCACCAGGGGAGACCAGCAGAGCGAGTCACCAACGAAAGATATCAGCCCCGACTTCTGCTCCTTCTGCTCCTCCAGGACAGTCACCACGAGCAGAACTGTACCAAATCTCTGCTGCACCTCCTGATTCTACCCCTGTGTCGATCTCCGGTTGCAGTGCTCTTCCGTCACATCCCGTAAGGTCTTCACAGCTCCCCAAAGCCACGGCCCCCTCTTTTAGCTCACGTCACTACTGCGCAAGGCACCATCGTCTTTTTTTTTTCTCTTCTTCCCACTCTTAACTTCTAACTCGGCTGGCTGCAGGTACCATCAATCTCAATCATCCTCTCTCCTCATTGTCTACTCATTCCTCCTCCTCGATCTCTAACCCCCTAATCGACTCCAACCACCGCCGCCATGCATCGCACCTATTCTATGCGCCAGTCGCGCGTCCCGACCGCCTCGCAGATCGAGAACCCCCCACCCCCAATGTCCTCCACCAAATCCAACCGGTGGCTCGGTAAGGGTGGCATTGGTGAGTGGCATACCAGAAGAATGATGATCCTCATAAGCTCAATGGTTGTCGACTACCGGTTGCTCTTAAGGGGAGGTGTCCCGAGGAGCCCGAAGCTGCCTTACATGGCATACACTCCCGGCGGCTCGGAGATCCCCAAAGAGTATTTGAGAAGCACACAGCGAGCAATGGGCAGATTACTGGTTCTGAAATGGTCGCTAACATCTCATGATTACAGGTCATGCATTCCGTAAAAACGCCGCTGGTGCCTTCGGTCCTGATCTCGCCCGCAAGCTCTCGCAGCTGGTCAAGATGGAGAAGAACGTCATGCGCAGCATGGAGCTGGTCGCACGAGAGCGCATGGAGGTCGCTGTATGTATCAGATGAGCTTCCTTGACCATTGAATGGCCACAACGCATCCTCCGAAACTGACGGATAATTTTTCCAACAGCAACAACTCTCCCTCTGGGGTGAAGCTGCCGACGAGGACGTCTCCGATGTGACAGACAAGCTGGGCGTTCTAATCTACGAGATCGGTGAGCTCGAAGATTTATTTGTCGACCGCTATGACCAGTACCGCGTGACCATCAAGAGCATCCGCAACATTGAAGCCTCAGTCCAACCCAGCCGCGACCGCAAGCAGAAAATCACCGATGAAATCGCCAAGCTCAAGTACAAGGATCCCAACTCAACACGCATTGTTGTTCTGGAGCAGGAGCTCGTCCGCGCCGAGGCCGAGTCCCTCGTCGCCGAGGCTCAGCTGTCCAACATTACCCGCGAGAAGGTCAAGGCCGCTTTCCAGTACCAGTTCGATGCGCTCCGCGAGCACTGCGAGAAAGTTGCCATTGTTGCTGGCTACGGCAAGCACTTGCTCGATCTGATCGATGACGCCCCGGTCACTCCCGGCGAGACCCGCCAAGCCTACGACGGCTACGAGGCCAGCAAGGCCATTATTCAGGACTGCGAAGACGCCCTGAGCAACTGGGTTACCTCCAAGGCCGTTGTCAAGTCCAACATGTCTCAGCGCTCGCGCACCCTCTCCCAGCGCCACCGCACCAACGTCAACAAGAGCCGCGAGGGCGTCGATTTGTCCGGCCAGGACCACCCCATGACTGGTGACCGTGACTCTTGGCTACCCGCTGACCAGCACGCGAGCTACCACGATGACGGCGAGGAAGTTCTCAGCGCCGTGGACGGAGAGGCGCGCGGACGCGAGGAAGAGCGGGAGCCCATGGCCGCCTAAGTGAAGGCGCGAGACGATGGCCTAGATTTTCATTGTGTTTCCTATTTTATCTCCTTTGTCACGAATTTGACGGCTTTTTCTTCTCGCCCAGTTTGGAGGACTGCATGGGGTGGGGACGGAAGGGTTGGAAGAAGTTTCAGTTTGGCTTCATCTCGACCTCGGACGTGACCTTCACCCCAATCTCTTTCACTTTCGTCCCCCAATTCTTTAAACATTACACTCGTTTCTGCGTCTCCGCTGTCTTGTGCTTGAGTTCCGCCCGGCTTGAGGAGGGATGGTCTTGGCACTGCATACGGAAACAACCAAATCTCCGCCCTCTAATTCGACGAGCCAGCGGAGGATGAATGTCAGCCGCTCCATTGATGGCTGGCCAGTGCGCCTGGTCGTTACTCCTCGATTCGCCCACGAATTCTCGCATTGAGTCCAACTGATGATCAATTGCCTATGCCGTGATGCAACACCCGTTGGTTATGCTGTTGTCTCGATCTCTTTCTATCTGATCTCGATTCTGGGGAGTGGATGGTGCGCCGCAGAGCCGCATGCCTCGGCCCGTCTCAACCCGATCCCCAGGTTCAAGTCAAAGATATCGATTCAGGCAGAACAGCAACAGCAACTCAGCACGGCCCAAGAAAACGTACGGGGCAATCCTCTTGACCTTTTTTCGTTTCCCAGTTCTTGAATTCCCTTCTTCCCATGTTGTTTGTTTCCTTAATGTAATACCATCTTGTGCTGTCCTGGTATTCTCTTGTTCTTCGTGGGTTTTATATTGGTGGAAGCCTCGTTCGGGGATGAGACTGAGAATGAGGATAGGATATGATAGGATAGGGGTATGGTTTGGACCAAGGTAATCAATTAGGTGTTAATGAAATCGTGCTTTTCCTATAACCAGTATCCCCATAACCATATATACCTCCTCACTTCTTAGCCAAAACCCAATAAAAATCAACCTTCTTCACACTCCCATCCTCCTCCCCTTCCTCATCCTCCTTAACCTCATCAACCTCAATCCCAAACCCAACGTCCGTCAAAACCTTCCTCGTCCCTTCAACCCCCCACCCACTCCAATGCACAACCCCCTCCTCCCCACCCAACCACTTCTCATCAGACGAAACTTCAAACTCGCTCCCCGAAAAATTGGCCAACAACCAGCCCCCGTCCTTCAACCACCCATGAATCCGCGTTAACATGGTAACTTGCTCGTCGCGCGGGAGATGGAAGATCGAATACATAGCCAGCACGGCATCGAACGAGCCATTTTCAAAGCTCAATTCCATCATATCGCCCTGGATCAGGGTGACAGATTCGGGGAGGCGCTCTCTTGCGAGCGCAATCTGCGTTTCGGAGATGTCGTTTGCGGTTACGCTTGTGTTTGGGAGCGTGCTGAGGTGCTGGGTTACCGGGACGCCGGCGCCACAGCCTAATTCGAGGATGTGTTTGTGGGGTTGGGAAGATGGGGCTGCGGCTGCGGTGGAATTGACGTTTTGGAGTAAAGTGTTCAGATATGAGAGGCGGACTTTGTGGGTTGATTCAGTCCAGGTTAGGTATTTTGGCGCGATGGCATCGTAGGCCTTTTTGATGTCGGCTTTGAGTTGGGTAGAAGGGGTGGTGGCGGACATTTTGTATCAAACAGACGATATTTGACGGAATGAAAATGATCACTTTGAACGTTGTGCGATTGATATCATACTCCAGGTACGATCTACGATCCTCCGGTGTATTTATAGGGGCCCTTACCGGGACCCCACATTACCCTGGGCCTTAGGGTATCTTTAACCGTGACTCATCGCATAAGCAACCTTGACTGCTTTGGGACGCCGCATTTATGACTGTATCTAGGTCTTGGGAGATAGTAGTAAATACTCGAGATTCAAGAAGAAGTGAGAATATCTAGAGGTGTACTTCGGCAGTATGTTAGGAAGCTCAAGTAAGGCGGCTGTGCCAGGGCCCAGGAAGGTAGCGTAACTGCCCCGCTTTCTCAGCTCAACAATGACCTACACTCGTATCGCCTCCATAACAACGCGTAATGGACGGTCTCTCAGTGGCCGCCAGTGTTATTGCTGTGATTCAGGTGGCTGGATCTATTGTCAAACTGTGTGGAGGTTACATCCAAGATGTAAAGGATGCTCGGGACGACATCATTGCTCTGCGACAATCAATCAAAGGTCTCGTCAGTGTTCTCGAGAGGCTTGGGGGGTTCTTGATCATCCCAACTCGAAATTTTTTATAACAGCAGCGTTTAAAGATGATATCCGCACTTGTCTTTCGACACTAGAAGCCCTTGAAGGTAAAGTTGATCTGGGGAAGGGCAAAAAAGCGATGAAAAAGCTAGGATTTCGGGCTTTGAAATGGCCGTTAAAGCGTTCAGAAGTCGAAAGAATGATGAATGATATTGAGAGATATAAGTCGTCATTTTCTTTGTCGCTGCAGGCCGATCAGATGTAGGTGTTAGCTGCTGGATTGGGTGTTCCTTATGACTCAAATAAAGCTGACTCTGTTCATCTACCAGAGCAATCATTGCCGATGTAGCTGGAACCACCAACTTGATTGATCAAAACATGGATCTCAAAAAGCTGCCAGTCGCCCATGGGGCTGAATTTGACTCTTACATGGATCAACACGAAGACGAGTGTCTTGAAGGGACCAGAACAGACCTCCAACAACAAATCGCAACATGGGCAGCATCACCACAAGGCAATTGCATCTTCTGGTTGAATGGAATGGCTGGAACGGGAAAATCGACCATTTCCCGCACAGTAGCCCGGTCTTTCAAACAAAATAAGCAGCTGGGCGCAAGCTTCTTCTTCAAGAGAGGTGAGGGGGACCGAGGGAACGCGACGAAGCTATTTACGACATTGACGCAACAAATCATGAACATACTTCCTGAATTGACTCCCGCAATTCGAAAATCAGTCCAAGATGACCCTGTTATTGCGACAAGAGGGCTCAAGCAACAATTCAACAAGCTTCTGCTTGAACCATTACTAGGACTTACAAGCTCGAGTAAAGTCAGAATATTGGTGGTCGTGATTGATGCTCTAGACGAGTGTGAATCGGAGAATGATATACGGGCAATTCTTCAATTGATACCACAACTCCGGGAGCCGAAAGCAGTGCAGATTCGAGTCTTCTTGACGAGTAGGCCGGAGTTGCCAATTCGTCTTGGGTTTTCCAAAATGGCCAATCAGGACTACAAGAATCTCATTCTCCATGAGTTGCCGGAAGATGTCACCGCACACGACATATTATTGTTTCTGAAGCATCGACTAGCTCAGATTGGGGAGGAGCGCTCATTACCTGTTGACTGGCCTGGAGATGTCAAAACACAACAGCTTTTGAGAATATCTGTTCCGCTCTTCATCTTTGCTGCTACCATGTGTCGTATACTCAATGATCTTCAATGGGATCCTATAGACAGCCTTGAAGAGATCCTTGCTTGCCGAGGGGAGAGCGCTAGTCTTGATGGAACATACCTTCCTGTGTTCAGTCGACTTCTTCTCAATCAGAATGAGAAACAAAAGAAGCAGCTTATACATGAGTTTCAAGACGTGATCGGTACAATTGTCATCCTTGAAAGTCCTCTGTCTGTTATTTCACTCTCAGCGCTTCTTGGCATCTCCACGCGTGTCATCAGGTTGAGATTGAGCTCGTTGAACTCGGTGCTGAGTATCCCGCAAAATGAAATCATGCCCGTGAGACTTTTCCACCTATCATTCAGAGATTTTCTTCTTGATCCACAGACGTGCGAGAAGACTCCATTCGCAATAGATGGCAAGGCATCACACTTGAAATTGGCGGTACGGTGTCTTTCAGTCTGTTCAAGTTTGCAAAAGAACATCTGTGGACTTGAACATGATGGAACTCAAAGATCTCAGATTGACACTTCAACTATAAACCATTATCTTCCTCCCGAGGTGCAGTACTCGTGTCGTTTCTGGGCCTACCATTTCACGCAGGGTGACGACCCAAAAACATTGCATAACATTTTCGCCTTCTTGCAGACACATTTCCTCCACTGGATGGAGGCAATGGGCATCCTGGGTCTTGCAACCGAAGTGGTAGGAATCATTGACCTCCTGCATTCTTGGGTGGATGTGAGTTTCTCTATTCAACGAATATCAATGATGGTACTGACCAAGGCAGAGCCACGAGTCCCGTGAGCTTTCTGAGTATTTACAGGATGCCAGACGATTTGCGTTAAGGAATACCGTCATCGCAAATGAATCCCCTCTCCAGATTTATTGCTCGGGTCTTGTCTTTGCTCCAAAAAACTCGATTATACGAAAGGCCTTCTCGAAGTACCTTCCTACGTGGATTTCCAAAGTCCCAGACGTGGAAGCGAATTGGAGTGCGGATATTCAGTCTTTCGATGACTTCTCAGGGCGGATATTGCCAATATCCTTCTCCCCGGATAGCCGGACTTTAGCATATGGTACTCTTGACGGCAGTATCAAGCTCTGGGACGTCATGACAGGAGCCTTGAAGCAGTCTTTGGAGGGGCATCCAAATGATACAGAGGAAGTTTCCTTGGTTTCGTTTTCACCGGATGGTCAATTCCTCGCGTCTGCCGCTATTTATGACCGCACTATTAAGCTTTGGGATCTTGCCGCGGGTACATTGCAGCGGACGCTTAGCCATCCTCGGTGCTCCCCTTGCTGTCCGATTTTTTCCCCTGACGGCCGCTTCTTGATTTCTCCTGCCAGTGATCCTGATCATCCTACAATATTCCTCTGGGACTTGATGAAAGATTGCTTTGAGGAGGAAACAGCCAACAGCCTAGGAGATGTTGAATGCGTATCATTCTCCCCCGATAGCCAGCTTTTAGCGTTGGGATCAGCCGATGGCTCGGTGAAGTTGTGGGACATTGCTTCCGGCAATCTTCAGCAGAGCTTGGAAGTCTCTACAAAGCGAATAACAAGTCTCTCATTCTCTCACAATAGCCGGTTTCTTGGGACTCTATGCGAGGAATATAGATTCAGGATCTGGAATATCGCGACCGGCGCAGAAAAGATTCTTCCAGATCCGATATTCGCTGGAATCTTCTCACCCACCGAGGAGATTCTCGTTACTGTGTCAGACGATTCATTATCCTCCTGGGACCCCGACAAAGGCCTTCGCATCAAGAAGTTTTGGGGAAAGTATTGCAATTACGACCAAGCATTTTCTCCTGATGGCAAATTCTTGGCCCTTGCACGGGACCAATCGCAAGTCATGATATTAGAAATGCCCACAGGTATTGCGCATGCTCCTTTTGGTGCGCACGCTGATAGTGTATTATCTCTGGCTTTCTCCCCAAACGGTCAATTTCTTGCGTCTGCCTCGGAGGACAAAACAGTCAAAATTTGGCATGTTGGTGCAGGTATACCAACGCCAGAAGAGTATTCTGAGGGTCATTCAAGCAGGGTTTGTTCATTAACCTTTTCTGCTGACGGCGAGACCTTGGTCAGTTGCTCAGATGATGGAACTTCTGCACTGTGGCACCCGAAGATAGGCAGTCTGTCCCAAAAACAATCATTGGGAAGAACCCCTCGACCGTACGTTGCGTTAGCACCCAGCGGCAAATTTCTCGTTTCTATTTCAGTCCATGAAGAGATCAAACTGTGGAGAATAGCCAATTCCAGAATTGAGCCAATTCCGACCTTTCAGGGCCTGAACTCTGCAGACGAGCCGCGTGAGACTCGTGTGGTGACCTTCTCTCCCTGTGGCCGCATTTTAGCCTCCCTCTCTGCGGACACTATTCAGCTTTGGGATGTAGACACCATGACAGGCTCTCTCCGTCTGAAACATACTCTGGATGGACACTCAGATTATCCTTGGAGTACTCTATCATTTTCGCCAAATGGCCAGCTTCTAGCAACTTCTTCAATAGACAAAACGCTCAAGATTTGGAACACCACAACTGGCTCTTTGGAGACAACATTTGAATGCCGTCCGAAGAAAGTTTTCATTTGGGGGTTCTCTCCCAACGGCCGATTTATCGCTGTCTATTTGATCGGTAAGAATAGACGGGATCTCTCTCTCCTGGATATCGCTACAGGAGAGCAAAAACAGACCTGGAGATCTGTGGGATATACACGCAGGTCGACTTTCTCTCGAGACGGCTCATACTTGAACACTGATTTTGGGGACCTGGACATCCAGGCCGAATATTTGAACCTTTCCAATTCTCCAGGGGAGGGTGTGGAGATTTCTATACTAAAGTCGCACTGGGTGACCTTTAACCGCCGAAGGAAATTATGGCTGCCTCCTGAGTACCGACCCAGCTGCTTCGCAATCCATGGCAATGTCCTTGTTCTCGGATATGGATCAGGAAGGGTTTTGTTTATACATTTTTGTCCTTAATGGTCTTGTGAAGGAGCTCAAATGGAAATCTCTTATATCAAGTACTTCTTTTGCAGGTCAAGGTTACATATCTGGTTGCATGGTTGTACTTTATAAGTGGGATCCGTCAGAATATACCCGACACTTGGAATGCCCCATCACGGTGTTCTTCTATGTCGATGGTATTTTCATGGTTAACCATCCATCGGAGCGTACGGCCACCAAATACATGGGCAGTGGACTGCGAGGGCAGAACATTAAGGTTTATAAGAGGATATAGTACTAATTTCCCAAGGACAGCTTGCAGAAAGCGCCAAGGGCTAAACAAGATCTTCCTCCGTGCCATTTGACGCCCCCCGATTGTTGACTGCCCCTCACCACTCTCCATAGGGCAGTGGACAGAGTTTGGCGAGTCCTCGTAGTAGGCTATTCCTTCGTCCCATTCCGACAGCCGAAGGAATCTGAAAGGGTGGGGCCTAGATTTACTTGTGGGCTCGACATCGACTCCACTCTCAAGTGCATAAGACGGGCAGAAACTCAAAGTAGATCGCAAGGCCTGAATCGAATCAATCTGTTCTTCCTGAGAGATAGATTAAGTTCAAAGTCATTCCTCTTCGTTAGGCACCTAAGGGTACCTAAAGGCCTCTTTCGCTCAATATCTGTCAGTTCTACATGTTTTGCTATTTTCATAGCAACAGCGCCCTTGAAGTCAGTAGTTCCCCTGCGTTAGTACAGTTCTCATAAAGCCAGTTCTACAAAGCCAATTACGGGAGCACAAAAGCAGAAGCCAGTCAGTCAGAACAAAACACTCGGTACGCACGTAGTTTAGTATGGCAACAGCGTACTCGAGCCTCAAAACGATAAGATAAAATGGAAACCAACTCCCCAAGTAACAACAGCAAAACGATGAACAAGAACCATGCCAGAAGTGGTTCCTCAGCAACAACAACACCACGGCCCAACAACATCCATTCTCTCACCAGGGAGTAGAACCACATATCATGCATATACCCATCTCCAGAGCAATGATTGGCATAAAAGCCGGTAATAAAGGGGACTCAAGGACCCGAGGGGGAAATCGGGTGGTCAGAGCAATATATGAGGTAAAGAGAGTAGAGTGCAACGATGATAGCAAGAATAAAACAAAGATAAACCAAGTAGAAAGAGACCCACAGAGGCAAAGACCATCTCTGAGAATCGCAGAAGCCACAGTCAGACATGAGTCTCGAGCCGTGGAGAAACGAGAAGGAGAAAGGTCGTGACATCGTCATGGGGGGTGAGTGTCTACCAGAATGCCCATCCAGACACCATCATTCATCCCGTGTGGTTTATATAGATGAAAGTGGGACGGAAGCGGAGTACAAGGCAGAATCACACTCAACAAACAGCCAATAGCAAACCAAAACACAAACAGGTCCCTCGAGGAATCGGAGTCGATAACCGCAAGATGGGAAATGATACACAGCCCAGGCCAAACGCAAGCGCAACAGCAACAACCCAACGCACGCAAAGCCAAACACAAAAAAGAAGAGCCAACTTTCCATTTAGCACCTATTCATCAGTGCCGACGCCCTTCTTTTTAGGCTGAATATGTTTTTGCCCGGAGCGTGTGCTGCTCGCTTTTGACTCGAGAGGCGTACTATCCTGTGGGGGCGGGGGCATCCGCGAGGTCGTAGCCTCATGCTTCTCAGTAAGCAAGTTCTTCAGCCAGCGATTCTCCATCTCCAACTGGGCGACGCGAGCCTCGAGGGAGGCATTCTTCTCGGTGGTCTCGCGCACGGTGCGCTCGAGGACCTGCTCTCGCTGCTTCTTCTTCATGCGGAAGCGGGCGGAGGCGGCGGTGTTGCGGCGGCGGCGATCTTCTTCGGCCGCAACTCGCACGCCTTCCTCTTGGTTCAGGGCGGCCGCGATGCGGTCTCCTGGGATGGAGGTTGAGTACTTGATGTTGCCCATTTGGCCGTTGGGCGGGGAGATGGACGAAGAGACGTCCGAGGGGGTCATGGCCCCCGGAGCATGGCCCAGGTCATCGGGCGCAAAGGGAACCGGGGGATAGATAGAGTGTGCCGAGTACGGCATTATGTGGTCGGGAATCGAGTAGTTGATTGATTTATCGCCGGTTGGGCCTGGGGGATGGAGTAAGCGGTCAAGTTTGCGAGGCATGATGGTTAGGATAGATGGGTTCGTATGTATAGGATAGCAGCAGGGAAAAAGGAAGCAAGGAGTCCCAAGCTATATCACCGAATAGTAGGTTGATATAGGCTCAGGGAGGGAAGGATGATAAGGTTGCAAGATGGGACGATAAGGCAGGGAGGAGAGAGAGATGGGAAGCCAAGCAGAATGAGGCTGGTTCAGCAGACAAAGTGACAGAGCGCCTCCCTCCCTGGGGGTCGAGGCGACGAAATGCACACGATCATTCCTCGAGTAGGTCGTAACCCCAGGAATAAGAAAAGAAGGGTCCATGGGGGAGGTGGGATGGAGAGGAGACAATAAGGGCCAACAAGCAAATGGGGACAGGGTAGATGAGCACAACCGCAGGCGTTATGAGCAAATGAAGAAGCCCCAGGCAGCCATGGCGGGAGAGACTGCAGTTTGGGTGCCAAGTTGGCTGGTTGGCCTGCAGGTTGCCATTTGCTTGCGGGATGGCGTGCTCACTATCGACGGGCTTGGAAACGGTGATCCCATTTCATTCCGCACCAGGACCGATCATCCTGCTGGAGCACGAGCTCTAAAAACTCAAAAATCGAGGAATCGGACTCGTCCAAATGTGATCCCAAGATAAAAAGAGGGTAGATGATAATCGGTCCTGGCTCCGGGACAGGGAGGGAGGTGGTTCCAGCGCAGTAGAACGCAGCAACGCATACGAGCAAATCACAATGGAATTCAAAAATAACAAAGCAATCATAAAACAAGGGCATAGGTGAGGAGGCACACTGCTTCAATCACTTCATTCTGCTTGAATCGGCCTCATCTCTTCCTCACGCGCGCGCGCAACCCCCCATATGCGGCTGCTGGCGGCTGCCAGCAGCAGGGTTCATCGAGCGCCGTCAAGGGTACACGCCCAGACGCCGGCACACGAACCACAAGGCCCAGCGATGGCGCAACGGATGCAACCTTTCGCACCAAGTCCAAGCTTGGGGTATGATGTTGGAAAAAGAGGGAAATCGGAAAATTGATAAAAGAAAGCCAAAAAGAAAAAAAAAGGATACTTGTGCACATACCATGATATGGATATCCCCGGAGATCCAGGGAACCGCGCTCATCTTCTATACTATCGTAGGAGCTGACGGAGAGGCCACCCATGCCTTCTGTCTGATCGTAATCCATGTTCACGTTGGCAAACGGGACCAGCCCGGTGTCCGCGTCAAAGGAATACTGGCGCGCAGCCTTGGCTGCTTGATCAGTGCGCGACTGGAGAAAGTTGAAGTTTTCGATCTTGTCGAAGATAGGACCCGGGGGAGGAGGTGGGAATTCCTCGGGCATGATGGAAGAAGAAGAAAGGGGAAAGGGCAAGGTTTTTGAGGGGAAGTAGAAATAGTCCCAAAAAAAAAAAAGAGCCAGAACCACAACCAGAGGTGTCTGCAAGCCTGTCTAGCGTTTAGGGCGGCGGAGGGGAGGGGGGAAATAAGATGATGTGCGCAATAGCCAGTGGTAATAGCCAGTGGTAATAGCCAGTGGTAATAGCCAGTGGTAATAGCCGTGGATGGCCTTGTCCACAGAGTATGTGAGTGGTGATTCTAGAGCTTTGACCGGGAAGGAGGGATGTGAAAGTGAATAATAATAATAATGCTTCCACTGGACCCCAGACCAGATGAGATGGAATTCGGACGATCTTCGGAAGGGAGGGGGAACCAATGGAAAAAGAAAATGAGCACAGCGAAATAATAGGACAAGCAGAGACTGAGGGTTCTTGGGAGATTGAAATGGAGCAGGACCAGGATGATATTGCTTGAAGATGATGTGTGGTGGTGGTGGTGGTGGTGAGAGATGGAGCGGGTTGGCCTGTTGTTTAGCGGCCTCGATTCAACTTGACGACCCCCACTGCCAGTCGCATAACGCGCCACGTACAACACGAATCAGAGTCCAGGGGCACGAGATGGGAAAAGGTCCAACAAGGGGGGGGGGGAGAACAAAGGACATAAGCAGCGACCAGCAGCCCAGCCCAGCCGGAGGCAAAAACATAAATTAAATCAAGAACGGACGAAGTTGGTAAGGGGAGGAGTTGGCGCGGGGGGAAGAGGAAGGAAGATGGACCAGTCGGGAGAAGAGAAAGGAGACAGAAGGAGGAGGAATGATGATACAGTGGCAGTGCAAAAGTTTGAAACTATTTCTCTTACTGCCAAGACTTTTCTGCCAGATAAAAACTCACAATGCAGCCAAATTTCAACCACAGCAGCCTGATATTTTGTATACTACGCCTTCTGCCTCAAGATTACCTATACCCTGTGAGGCGTCGTACCGATAATTACCTAAAATATAACGGGTCGCACGTTGGAAGTAGGGTGTATTGGGGGTAGGTAATAGGTAGTGAGCGATAGGCGGTGAGTGGGAAATAGTTTCAAACTTTTGCACACCCACTGTACTCGACGGTATGGAAGATGTATGGAGAAGACAGCCAAAGAGAGGATGATCCGGATCAACGTGGTAAGAAAAGGTATAAAGCGGTACTGAATTGATACGGCGAGCTGAGCAGCATCGTCGTCTCGTGGAAAATGCGTAACTGGAAAAGGACAAGCCAGCAGATCGCTTGATGATCTGATCCGATGGAGAAATGTCGTGATCGCACGGCCTGATTGGTCCGTTGGCGCCGGTTCCAAAAGACGGAGTACTCACCGCTTTGAGGAAGGGGAACGAAGGAGCGGAACAGGAGGAAAGGACAAGAAAAGAAGAAGAGAAGGTAATTCGCATCGGATGATTATCGAGATGTCGGAGAATACGAATGGAGGAGAGAGACATCCCATCGTCATCCTCCAAGCCTGGCCCGTTTGGACTGCAATGCGGCTAAACTACTTCCCCGGATTCCTCTGGGAGCCATCGCTCCATCAAACTTTCAGGGCTATGAGTAATGATAATTATGTCTTCTGGCAAAAGCAACAATCATACGCCAGTCCACTGATCTCCGCTCGGACAGAATTTCTCAACCCGGCTTGGCCAGGGACACCAAGGACACCTCTCTGGATCATCCTTCCTCCCTCGCTCTCCACTTCGTCCAGCCCGATGACGCGGTCTGAACCGCCCCGTTGCGCTCTCGTAAATGTCCAAAGCTTGGCAATTTCCATGTGTTTTGAAACACTCGCCGACGACCGAAAAAAAAAAAGAAAACAGAAAAACACTGCCCGATGTCGTGCTCGTCCCGGCTTGGATATGCTTAGCTTCGGCCGCAGAATGGAGCCCGCTCTTACCCAAGACTGTACTTTTGTCCGGTCCATCACATCGGTCCAGTATCCACCCACACACACTACTACTACCACTACCACTACCAAAGCACAAACGCTCAACAGCCTGATCCAGACACCAGGCAAACCAGATCTCACCACAGATCTAGATGAGTACTCTATAATCAGCAACGCTCACGATCTCGGCCCCTCACGACTCTCTCGCCCTCGATCCGCAAGAAGCACCGCCGCATCCTCCACACTCGTCCCCCGCTCGCGTGCCCCAACCCGCTCCATCCCCAACACCGTATCCTCCGCAACAACACGATAAACCTCCGCAAACCCGCCATAAACATCCATCCCAACTCCCTCCCACCCACCCTGCGTCTCCAACGCCTCGCCAATCCCCCGCATCTCCTCCTCCCACCGGTACGCCTTGGGGCTCATCGCGATCACACCGCCGCGCGCCAGCGCCGCCGTCGCGGGCGAGTACTCGTCCAGATGGGCCAGTAGTTCTGGGAGAAGCGCTTCGCGCTGCGCTGTCGAGAAGGAGAGGATGGATAGGGCCGTGAGGCCCTTGGTCAGCGCGGCAAAAGTGAGCTTGAGCGTTGACGCGGCGCCTATCCGTGGTGAAACGATCTTTGCGTTCAGCGCGGAGGCCAGCGGCGCAAAGCTCGGCGGGAGGTTGTCCACTACTGGTCCCGATAAAACCACGCTGGGCCTCTTCCATGTTCCGCGGGGTCTGTCTGCGTCTGCCGTTACAGATGCAGACGCAGACGCAGACGCAGACGTAGATGCCGGTGCTGGTACTGGTGCTGGCGTTAGCACTGGCGGGCCCCCGATAATTCCGCCGTCAAGAAAGTGGCACCGCACAAACGGTGTTGACGTGGCGGACTCGTCCTCCACGAACAGATCTGCCAACTCCCCTGCCAATCGGGGCGGCGTCGCATTGAGTTCGAGAAAGTAGAGCGGGCTACGATGCGGGTGGCCGTTGACATCGTCGATCGCGGCCCGTTGGCGGGCTGTTTCGGAGTGTGTGCAGGCGGCCGCAATGCGCTGGGCGGTGGCTAGTGCGTTACGTGGTGGGACTATGGATAAGATGTAGTCTGCTTGGGCGACGAGGGCTTGGTCGGAGGGGAGGGGTTCGATGTTGGCCGCGTGGATGCGGGAGAGGGTGTGGTTGCTAGATGTGGGGATTTTGTGAGAGGGCTTGCCTTTTTGTAGGATGGGGTGTGTTGTATCTTTGTAGGCGTAGAATGGGGTGATGGATGAGGAGGGAGTTGGAGGAAGGGGGGGGGGTTACCTTCGTCCTTCGCTGAGGGTGACGACTCGGTAGTCGTGGGCTTGGAGGAGTTTGGCTATGCCTAGGCCCATGTCTCCAATGGAGATGATGCCCACGGTTATGGCACGCATGGTTGTGGATTGTCTATGGTCAGAGGGTGTAGACGTAGTTTCTATGAAGGAAGCGGTGGTCTATGTAAGTGAAAAGGAGGATCTGGCAGAGCATGCAAGATGTCTTATCAGGCTGGTGCTGGCGTCATGTACGTCTGTAGTGTCATCAGCATCATCTCCATCGGGCCTATCTCCAGTGTAGATGGTGGGATCAGTGCGGGGATAATTTGTCAGCTGGAGACTGAAAGTGGACTTGAGGTGCCCGATAAACTAGTCTGGGGAATGGATGATTATCTTAGGTATTATTGGTCTATAGTTAAGCTAATTCGCTCCTTGTCATCCTTGATATGCTAGGGGTTCATCCGTTCTGTGCAGCTAGCAAGCGTAGCTAACCATTCGGGTCTACAGTACGGAGCTATTGCTAGTGGTAGTACTTCAACTGGCTGTCGCACCGGGAAGACTGCGTTCATACAAGGTGCATGGATGGAACATGGTAGATATCGTACTGTAGCGGTCCAACAGCACGGATCAAGATATCAGAGGAAAGAGTCAAGCCAGATGCGCCTTCTCTCTCGAATGATCTTTCTGAATATCTTTTGAGTTGTCTTCCTACATAGTTTGGGCAAGACTTCTAGATTGATCCCCAAAGTATGACCGATGAAATGATTCTGAAGTTTGATCGAGCTTTCAACCTCATGGACGCCATACAAAGAATCAAAGTGATAAAGGTTAAATATCGAGCCAGCCTCTTCCAAGACCGTCCTAGAGGCTGTTGCCACAAAGGCTTGTTCTGAGCGGGTTTATTCTCCGAAATCCAGGCGAGAGCGTTGGTAGTCAACTGGAGTACTTTCAAGGTACACGAATGATACTTCTAAACGCCGCTATCAATCGTAGTGAACTAAAGTTCCACGTAGGTATCCTAAACCCCGTTCGAGTGCAAACACTACGCCAGTCCAACCATCTCAGGGCCCGGGAGCGTGCCGGAGTGCCGATTGCCCGACGGACCCAGCGACTCCGCCACTGAATTCCCAACTCCGACCTCGTTCGAGAAATCACAGATCACGGCTCTACCAATATCCTCTTAGCCACAGAATCCCAAAGCCATATTGCGCGTTTAGTCCGCGCTAATAGTTCCCCCGTTCCCGCAAGCCCGCCGAGAAAAAAAGTCTTGGCATGAACATTCGCGGTTGACTCCCGGGGGGGCCAAATGTACAACGCAATGCAACAAACGGTTGGCATAACCCCCCGCGATGACATGAATCTTGACGACTACGACTCCACCCATGCAATGGCCACCTCTACGCCGTCGCTTGGGCGGAGAAGAAGCCAGAGGGTATGTGATGTGCTTGTTTGCTCTCTCTTGTCCCGCCGAGTCCCGCTTTCGTTGGATGGGGGCTTGAGGCTCGGATCGATGGGCCCAGATGGGCGATATTCGTTGGGTTGCGTGCTGACTTGGTTGCTAGGCTTGTGAGATGTGTTATCGGAAGAAGACTAGGTGTGAAATCGAGGGGTCTGCCTCGATGTGTGTACAGTGTGTGCGGCGTAGAACGAATTGTGTATTTCCTGCGGTATCGGAGCTGAATGAGGAGGACCAGAGGTATGTATCGGGATAGTGGATATCCATTTTTCTCTTCACCTTGGCCAGGCCAATTTTCCCGGGGTTAAAGAGTAGGGCTCGAGGCTAACAAGGTCGTACAGAGATGAATATGTGGCGTCCTTGAAAGATCGTCTGTCTAGGGTCGAATCCTTGCTCAAGGCAGCCGGCATCTTGCATGAAGGTGATATCAGCTCAGATGAATTATCAGATGATGACTATGAAGTCTCGGATGAGAAGAGAAAGTTATCCGATCAACGCCCCCAGTCGTCAGGTGAAACATCGCATGTTTCCTTTGCGTCTGGTGCATCGTCTGGGGAGGTGGACTACTTTCCCAGCGTAGGGGATATTGAGGTCACCCCCATCTTCAAGTCTCATGAACGAGACGATTCTCGATATTTTGGTTCGTCACGCAACAGGTTTTTGATTTTCGATACTAGCAGTCACTAATGGTCGATTCACAGGACGCTCGTGCTCATTATCACTCCTATCACGGAGCGGGATTGAATGGATCAAGAGCAAGACCGGCGATGTCAGCTTCTTGAAAATCTTAACAACTGACTCCATCCATGATAACCCGTGGACACAGTGGCGCCCCGATGTATTTCACGATTTATTTGCCTCCCAGGTATACAAGCCTCTGCCACCCAGGTCAGAGGTCTTCTCCCTCATCAAAGACTTTTTCAACACGACGAACCGGCTCTTCCCAATCTACCATGAAGAAACGTTCATGAAAATGGTCGAATGGCAATATACACAGCAGACCTGTGAGGATGCCGCGCGATGGGCAAGTATCAATATGGTCATATGTCTGGCATACGAGTTTCGATTCTCGAACAGCTTAAAGCCAGAAAAGGATCGAGAAAGGGCCCGTCTGTACTTCAAGAATGCCATTTCGGTTTTTACGGAGTTGGCTTTGCGCCGCACGGATCTCTTGAGTGTGCAGGCTTTGCTGAGCATGGTAAATCTCCTTTCCATTGACTTTGATTGTGATGACGTTCTGACCTTTTGGTAGGCTTTCTTCCTGCGTGGTAATTCCGGTACTCAATCAGCATTGCCGTTCATTACAGCAGCTATGCGGTCATGCCAGCGAATGGGGCTTCACCGAGATCTTCCAAGGCCAGATTTGAGCCCTATTGAGCGAGAACAGAGGCGACGAGCGTTCTGGGTAGCATTTACTATTGATCAGAGGTAAAAAATTCTCTGTCAAGAAACCCTGTTTACATCTAGGTCTAACGATTACCCTTTAGTACATGCTTGCGTGCTGGAAACGCTCCCTCTCAACATCCCGATGACTTTGATGTACCCTTGCCTGAGGAACTTGAGGATGACCGCGACTCCACTGCTTCAACCAATATTCCCTTCTTCCGCCAACTATGCCGCATGTCGGTCATCAAGAGTCGCATCTTCTGTCAACTATATTGCGCCAAGGCACTGCTCAAGTCACCTCACGAGATTTACCAGTCAGTCAAAGAGCTAGATGCAGAACTCAGGGCGTGGAGAAAGGACTATCCCTTCGAGGAAAACCCCCGGCAGAAGGTCGCTGAGCCCAATTTTCTGATGGGATTTGCGGCCATTGGCCTGCATTTTGTCTACTATAACGCTCTGATTATGGTTCATCGAATACCTCTCCTACTCAACTATCTTATAAACGAACGGGCGGAGCCGAAAGAGTTAAAGGCACTCAGCAAGGCACAGGCGGCCAAATCCAGTGTCATCTGCGTGACTGCTGCGCGGGATACGCTCAGGATGGTCAACAATATGCCATGGGGAGATATTGCATGGGTATGGTATGTATAACACTCATGTTGCTCCTACATTCTGTCTCCCAGTATTAACTAGCAAATCTTGTAGGTCTTTGCTGTACTACGTCTTCCTAGCCGCAGCAACCATCTTCTCGCACATTATCCGCGACACTCGCCACGCCCAAATTCAAGAAGACCTTCAATCCCTCAACATGGCGGCAACCTTTTTCGCAACTCTAACGCATCCAGGCGACGGGCCTGCCCATTATGCCGGCTTCATGACCCGCATGAGTGCCAATCTCGAACGCATTGCCAAACTGGCAATTGAGAGAGAAGAGAAACGAGCCCGGAGTACAGATGACGGTGACCAAGAGAGCCAGCAGCCCAGTGCAAAGCGGCATAACCATCGTTCTTCAAGATCGCACGCAAAGGCTCGCCATCAACCCTCAACACTCCGCACATCTACGACTACCGATTCCACAAGGTCCCAACACCACTCCGTTTCCACAGCGCCACCAGCATCCAACATCTCAACCACAACGCACCCCCACACATCCGCGTTGAGCATTCCCGAAGCTATCGAGGGCTTCCCACCCATCAATTCAGACGGTTATGTCGTACCGCTCAGCCCAAGCGTCACTACCCCCTTCCCATCAACCATCCCCTCGGCAAACTACCCGGCCGGCCTGGGCCTACACAACCTCAACGGCACCTCGACCACCGACTTCCCCACCAATACCCTACCCACCTGGCAACTCGGCCAAGAAAACGTGGCACAAACAAATGAAACCTCCCCGCTAGACAGCACCCAATCCCCCTTCTCAACCAGCAGCACCACACCAGGCACAACCCTGTTTCCCGCATCATGGCAAGTCCCGCTAACCGCGGACTGGCAATTCGGCGACAACATCTGGTCCGGACTCTTCCCGAACGAGACCATCGCCGCCTCCGCACAGGCAGAGAACATTCAACTTCCCATTCTATCTGCGGAATCGTTTTTGAACGTTCCTGCGGAGACGGAGGCTGATCCTAGTGTGACGGGGACGGGATATACGGGGACGGGAATGGGGTATAATAATTACATGCCGCCTCGGCCAGTGCAGGATCAGGGGTTGGGTCAGGATACGGCGGAGATGATTTGGCCGAATGGGTTTTTGGGGCTTTTCTAGGCGATGAATTGATTTTAGCGTTGGATTTTGTTCGATTCTACTTGGTGCCTATGTATATCTCTGCTTGTAGATGGAATGTCATTCGAGAGAGAGATTTCCCCACTCGCTTTTACAGGTCCGAGATGAAAATGTGTGAGACGGTGAATAAAGGCATAATCATTCAAATAGTAAATCGCTCAAGCCCAAAATGAAAACAATACAGACGCCCCAAAACCTAACCACCACAAACTCCGTTGCTCGAGACCCATATCCCTAGAACCGTCCCAATCCCACCCAGCCCCTCGAAAAAATAACATAAGTATATCATAGACCCTCCATTAAAATACAGACCCAGTGAGCATCTGCACAGCCTTGCACCAGACACCATTTCCAAGAGTCTTTCCATCGTCCCGGACCATCCCCTTGCCCAAAATACTCTGCATCTCCTTGCCAGAGAGACCCGACTTGTTACCAGCACCGAAGCCGTAGACTTTGGTGGCGATGACATCAATGTCAAAGTCCAGAGACCCGATCTGCTTCATCTCCTGGACCTCGGTATCGATGCGCGTCCGGACGGTAAAGTCAACGTCGATACGCTTTGCACCAGTGTTCTTCGCCGCGGCACCTTTACGACCAGGTGTGGACGATACAGCTGCATTGCCGAGAAGAGTACAGCGAGCACGCAGTGAGAGCGAAGCATCACTGGGATCTGAGAGAGTTAGACGGGTAAGACCGCAGAACTCGAGCATACGAGCCTCGTTCTCAAGGCCGATGGTGCGGTCCCATGCACTTGAGATGAAGCGCAGGAGCTGCTTTGAGGTAGTCTGGGATTGCTCGATCGTGGCAAGGTGGCGTTGCAACGATTGCAAGACGAGAGATGCGATGAGAGAAATCGCCTTGCCCTTGATCGAAGACAATTCCAGAGAAAGGTTGGTCTTCTCAGCGGGCGAGTTCTTTGTTGCGAATGCAGCGGGGTGGAATTTGACTTGCAGCTGGCCCCGGTACGACATTGTCAATATCGGGCCAGTGGACGACTCGGCTGGAGTTGACGCAGAAATAATTGACCAACCAGTCTGGTCCTCGATGTTCTGTACGGAAGCCTTAAGCTCGCGAATGTCTCGAGCGCTCCACCCACGACACTCTTCCTTGACCCGCTCCGCCTCCTGAATTTGTACAAGGTACTCATCTCGTAGCTCCCTTCCGGCTTCAATGATGTTAGCCTTCTCCTGCACCTCCGCTTGCAACTGCTCGAGTTCTCGTTTCTTGGCTTCGACCTCAACCTCAACGCTGGAAAGCTTTTCACGTGCACCTCGCAGCTCCTCCTGATCACAGCTCTCCATCTCCTCAACCAGTTGCTGCAGGTTGGCTGCCTCTTGCTGAAGAGAGGCGTGCTTCTCTGCCAATGGAGGCACGGTGCTCCCCAGGATCTCCTCGCGTTTAGATAGCAGTTCGTCATCCGCCTTCATATCCTCCACATGCCGGTGGAGCCCTTCCTTCAGACCCTCAAGAAGCTTCATGCGCCACTCGTACCACGTGGCCTTGCTGAGCAGGCGTGCATGGGTCTTCACATTTCGGAACTGATTGTCCATGATCACCCGAATGTCTGGTGGGGCGGTCACATATTCACGGAAGAGAGGGGGATTGTCTGCGTATGTTTCGGCTTCGATGGATCGAATCACTTGTCGACCTTCAGAGATGTATGACTTCAGTTCACGGCAAGACTGGAATATGAGTTAGCAACACAATTCATTACGACGCACGGTACGTATCGGAATAACTTGCGTGTTGGTATAGCTCTAGCATAGGCACCGTGCAGAAGCCAGCAGCTACGCAGTCGTCAAACGTGATCACGCCTTGTTTGACCACGTTCTCCGAAGAAGCCCTGCTCAACCTCCTGGTAGCACTCCCAGGCGCGGTAGTGTGTCGTCTCTTCGTTGTCGTAAGCTCCATGAAGTGAATGTTGGTCATGTTAAGGAAATCTTGAAGTTGGATAGGCTCAACATCCTCGGCTTGATCCTCAACAGCAGCCTCCGCCTCTTCCTCCTGCGGCTGCTGAGAATCAGAAGCAATATGCAAGGCATCAATACCCTTCTTCAAGGGCGTTGTTCCATTATTGGAAAGACCCGTTGGCTCTTGCGTAGGGGTTGTGCTACCCTTCAGGGGAGAAGAGCTGCGAGCTCTGCGAACTGGAGATCGAATGGGTCGGCTGTCATGGCTTGGACCCGGTAGTCGCACGCCCTTGACTGGACTCACAGTGTGGCCACGCAGTCGCTTGGGTGAGTTTTCTGCCTCCTCTTCCTCCAAGTCAAGTTCAGCGGGGCGCTTGCCTAGGATACCACGAGCAGCACCAACATGTAGGCTCTTGCGATTGCCGACCTTGCCCTTCTTCGGACTCATGCGTGAGATCAAATTTTTCAAACTCGATGTGGGATCTAGAGTCACAGGGTTGACTAAAGGAATATGACCATCTTCCCTGAGCTCTTCCTCCTCGCGCTCTCTCTCCTCATCTGCTTGCATCTTCAATGGGTCTTCGAAGCGTACGCCACCAACACGGGGCCGCTCTTGAGGAACGAATTGTGGTGTGTTTTCACTCAGTGATAATCGCTTATCCAGAAGAGCCGCAACACGAGGCGATCCAAGTCCTTCCTTGTCGATTCCCAGACCGGAAGAGCGACGTCCTTCACGCGGTTGAAGAATAATCCGAGGAGTCGACAGGCCAGTTGAAATATCCTGTTCAAAGATGCTCGGACGAGACGATTTCTGTTTCTCAGTTGACTGTTTGATCTCGGGCTTGAACAGTTTCTTCGGAGATGCACTGCGGAAAGTCACATTGGCAGAAGGGGGAGTTTTGCTTGGCGTTGTAGGTCGGGGTTGAGGTGTTAGCTGTTTCGAGGGTGTAGTTGGTTTTGCCAATGCTGACTGCTGGAGAGAGGCCAATTCGGGGGTTCGTGATGCTCCCAGTATGGAGCTACGTCGTGATGAGCGTCTTGGTTGAACACTCGCCAGGCTGGGGCTGCCATTCTCCGAGGCAACTGTAGCGACCTGTAACACAAGAGGTGATTTTGCAGGAGATTTGGAAGGAGGTTGATGGGCATCCTCGTGGAACGGTGAGCTTCCCAGCTGACCGGACTCAGTCTCAAGTTCCATGATCCTTTTGGCCTGAGCTTTATCTGGAGTCTCCAATCCCGATGGCAGAATACCACCAACGGCACCAGTGATTTCCATTTCCATGCCCTCGTCAGAGGCATCATCTCCATCCATGGACATACGATCCGACTTGGGGGTATAGGAGCCTGGTGCTTCCGTGTTGGTGTCGTCAGCTTGTTGGAGTGATTGGCCCTTGTTCAGAACACCACCAACGACTGATGTGAACTCCATAGTCATTTCTTCGTCTTCATTGTTTTCGTCAAAGGGTTTAGCAGGAGATTCCATGGATGCAATACCACCAACCATGCCAGTCATTTCCATGCTCTGATCGCCGTAGTTGGTTTCTTGGCCTAGGGACTTGCGACTGACAGCGCTCTGGCGACGTCCAGTTGCTCTTCCCAAGATTCCGCCAACAACATTCGTCACATCCATACTCAGATCCTCATCTTCATCCATGTCATCCGACGCGGGGAAGTCCTGCGTGGAGGCAGCCTTGGAGGGATCAACATTTTCTTGATCATGGCGAGCACTAAGGTCATCCCAGTCGAAACTTTGTCTCTGGCCCTTTTGGATCCACGGCTTGAATGCGCCAGTGATTTCTTGGTCCGCTATTTCCATCGAAATTTCACCGGTATCGTCAATTGCTTGGGTTCCAGCTTCCTTTGCGGCCTGGCGGAGTGCGTCGTTGAGTCTAGCACTGGAGCTGGAGCTGGAGGAAACATCTGACTGCATGGTGGCAGAAGAACGGGCCGTCAGATCGTCCATGCTCATGGCAGTGCTCTCAGCATCGAACCCATCCTCGGATGCCGAAGACCCGCCATCCTCTTCCTCTTCAACCACGCTGTGAGCACCAGTATCTTCACTTGCAACCGAGCTTCCGCTGAAAGGACTCGAAGAAAGGTCTGCATGGCTGTCGTCTGTCCCATTTGATACCGAGCGATTCCGCATTTGCTGGAGGTCTTGCTCGCGAACGGGAGAGAATCCAAAATCTGACTCGGCGTCATCCGGCAACGAAGGCTCATCCTTTGCGGGGCTGGGTGCGGATTGTTGGTCCTGGTGGTTCGTAAGTGATGACGCGCGCCGAGTGGAATTCGATGCAGATGACGAGGTTGCATCTTCGGGTATCTCGACAACGTTCCAGGTGTGCAGTGTGGCTTCCGGCGCGAATGAGACACGACGATTTGCTGTTAGGCATTAGAAGTTAGCAACGAGCTGTGCTTATTTCTCTCCGTAATGTACATACCCATGGATTTTCGCCGGGCTTCTCTCTTCTCCAGGATGGTCTGGCGTTCGCGCTCCCGGCGCTCCTTCTCGTCGCGTTCTCTCGTTGCAGCCATCTCGTCGCGAATGGCAGAGGTCGCATTGAACGTGTCAAAGGGGTTATCAATATTGCCGTCTCCCGTATTAGCGGGCTGCGATGGCGTGCCAAAGTCGATCAGAAGCCCCTCCTTTCCTTGATCATTGCCGGCGGCATCGGCCTGCTGAGTTGATGCGTCGCGAGCAGGCGTGCGCCGGCGTGTCTGTTCGAACGATGGAATGTTCCGCACTGGTGATACGGGGACTGTAGGTTTGAGAATTGATTTGAGAGGAAACGAGGCGGTGGACTGTAGAGGAATTCAAATCAGCTTGTTCTATCTTCTATGCGCGCGGGGGAACTTGGGGCGACAGTTACCTTGCGACGATTGCCATTAGAATGTTGCAGCGCATCGAGCCCTCCAGGTCCTAAGCTCTTGCTTCGGGACTTCTTATCCTTAACAGCAGGCCTTGTATTGGGCCCAGAGGGTACCATTGCTCCAATGTCCGCCGTCGCATTCTCCTTATCCAGACCAGACGTCATCTTAGATCGCGGGACATGGGCAAGGGAACGGCGCGAGCGCGGTCGCGTGGCCGCAGAGTCCGGTCGAGTAGACATTTTAGCAGCATCCACAAGATACCGCGATCAGCTGAACATGATAAAATTCACAGGGTGGGCGTGGGTCAACAACGAAAGCTGGTCGCATTCTCTTCGATCATATCTCATGCACCGCTACACGTCCCCCGACCCGCGGCGCGTTGAATATATCACGTGATGGCCCAAAACGTAAACAAACGGCAAGCCCTAACCCGCACCTGCACTAGGCCCAAAGTAGACTAGCGGGCACACACACAAGAATCCACGCCTTTAGCGAATCTTTCTCATCCTCGACGTCCTTATCCCGATACCCGACACGCCAACTTTTCACCCAGCTCGACAACGCTTCCTCGTCGACACACACCGCAACCATGGCGACCGAGTTGACCGTCCAGTCCGAGCGCGCTTTCCAGAAGCAGCCTCACATCTTCCAGAACTCGAAGTCTCAGGCCAAGTCCAAGAAGGCTGGTCAGACCCGCCGCTGGTACAAGGATGTCGGTCTCGGTTTCCGTACCCCCAAGACCGCCATTGAGGGCAACTACATCGGTATGCACGACCTGCGATGCGAAAAATTGGGCGACAAGGCGAGATCTACGGCATTTGTGGTAGTTTTCGATGAGGGTGGAGATTGGGGACAGCAAGTGGCCAGCCAGGGCAGCGTTATCGGCCCGTGAAATGCGATGTGAATGGTGTCAGGCATCCGCGAGAGACTCGTGGAAGCAGATCTTTTCTCTTCTCTTTTCAGTCGCCCAGTGAATGCCGCATCCTCCGCCCTCGAGAAAACTATCAGCGATACGAAAAATCTTGCCCGAATCGCCATATCCCTTTGAAATGATCAACCAACTAACAGACTGAACTGTACAGACAAGAAGTGCCCCTTCACCGGTCTCGTCTCCATCCGTGGCCGTATCCTGACCGGCCGTGTTGTGTCCACCAAGATGCACCGCACCATCGTCATCCGCCGTGAATACCTCCACTACGTCCCCAAGTACAACCGTTACGAGAAGCGCCACAAGAACCTGGCTGCTCACGTCTCCCCCGCTTTCCGTGTTGAGGAGGGTGACTGGGTCACCGTCGGCCAGTGCCGTCCTCTCTCCAAGACTGTACGTTTGAAATCTCGAATTCCTACGCCGAAACATCCATATCCAACCATTGCGCTATGATGACTGGCTGGTCATTCTCGACTATTGTCACACTATCTAGCCGCATGCCTTCCTTTTCTCTCATTACTTCGTCTCGGTTTTCCAATTGATTCCCTGGCTAACTTGAACTTCCTTCACAGGTCCGCTTCAACGTCCTGCGTGTCCTGCCCCGCACTGGCAAGGCCGTCAAGTCTTTCAGCAAGTTCTAAGCGTTGAATTGATCTGGGTGCTCGGAATGGACGATACGGCGAAGGAAGCGGTTTGAACTGGATATAAAGGAAATTCTTGGACGGGGGTCGGGATAGTTTACGAGTTTCCATGTCCCAGATACCTTGCTGAAGAATGTGTATCCACACAAAAAGCAAAAATATTTCATCGATCCTCCTGCCATGGAAACCGTACATCTGCCCTGAATGAGAGCTCTCTCCGAAATTACTGGGATGACGCACTCCGGGTTTTCTGCGCTTTTAATCTGTTGTCATTGATACGATAGGGGGAATCGATATTTCCGTTTCTGGATATCTCTGCGGTGTATGGATGTTTCGTCTTGTTCGATCTTGGATTACACCTGCCTGTAGAACACAGTAGTGAATAGGGCGGAGGGGCTCACTCCCTGATTCCCATGCCTGTGTCTGTCACAGCCCATTTCGAGGAGTTGGGTGTATGTGGCTGGGGCCATGTAGAGGGCTGAGCGATCGAGTGGGACTAGAAGTGCAACAATGTCTGGTTTCCAGGTCGGTGGATATGTGTAGGCCGATACATGGGGGTAAAGTTGCTTGGCCAGCCATAGGGTACCTATTCAAGCAATGACTTTGACACATGGGCCTCCCTTAGTTAGCTGTCTTTTGGTGACACTACTACGACAATCATACCCACCTGCAGCAGTCTAACCTGATAAACTAAATCATATTCCTTCCATCCTTTCTTACATTTGTACGACCCAAGTCACTTGGGACTGATTTCCTACCTGGCTCAGAGTGTTACGGTTCTTTTCAGCAATTTGGGTATTCCTCATAGGTTAATGGATGCTACTGTGTAGGTTTACAGTCCGATTGCGGGTTTCAACCTTAATTGCCATGGCGAACTCTGCTAGGCATGGCTCGATATATATCGTGGTGATGCGGTCGAGCCGTCTCAACAAAATATGGATGTTTCAACAGAGGTGACTGGGAGATGGAAACAAATATGTACTTTCATAGGATAAGCGCGGTAAATTGCAATAAATCACAGTCCATCCGGATCAATTCTTACATATTATTCATGGTCTATCCACTGGCAATGTTTCAATGCCATGCACCAGCCGATCCTCGTGCTGGGGAACGGCGCTATACCCGATTGGGGGGCTGCGACCCCGATGCCTAAGCTCCGCCCACCGGCCTGAGTTGTCCCTTGGGATCACAACCTCTCGACACTATCCTTAAACCTGCATTCTTACACTCGTGGTTGCGGGCTTGCCCTGACTGCCAATTGACAATCCGGTCAATCCGATTGCCCCTATCCTCTTTTACCGTAAAGCGCCGACGTCCCTCCCTCCCAGGCTCCCGCCATGGCCCAATGAACCCACCCCGTACGCGTTACCAGTGATGATTGAGACTCCCCCCGCAGGTCAAAATCATAGCGACATCTGAAGCGGGCTCTTCAGTCTTATCTTCGACGTCTGTCTACCTAGACACTTGTGTGCCCCAACTCAATCGACTTGGACTGGAGCGGGCCCTCCTAATCTGCGGTCCCAACGGCAATGACCAACTTCGAGAAGTCGGTAAAGGGGGCTACTAAGCTCAAGGTGAGTTTTTGGTCTCAATGGCTTTCTGAGATATTCAAGCAATAACACGTCTTTGCGTACAGCTTGCGGCCCCTAAATCTAAATACGTCGAAACAATCTTGGTGGCGACTCATACCGGCGAAGCAGGTGTCGCAGAGATCTTTCGGACGCTCCAGCATAGGCTCCGAGACTCAGCATGGACAATTGTGTTTAAGGCGCTCATCATCGTTCATCTTATGATTCGAGAGGGCCAGCAGGATGCAGCGCTGTCGTATCTTTCGGACAACCCCAAGAAGATTGCTCCCAGTAACTTTTCCGAAGGTAAACACTACAACCCACGTGGCATCGATATTTGTGTACTAATAGTATGAGTAGCGCAATCACAGGGACATAACATCCGGCGATATGCCGAGTATCTCATGACGCGCGCTAAAGCGTTCAACGCCACCCAGACCGACTACGTGCGGAGCGGACCCGGACGTTTGAAGCGATTGAGTGTGGATAGAGGTCTTTTGCGAGAAACGGAGGTTGTGCAGAAGCAAATTCGTGCGTTGCTGCGATGTGATGTAAGTCAACCCCCGCAATCGGGTTTCGACGCAGCTACCAACGAACTACGCAGCTTTTGACAGATGAACCCGAGAACGAGATCAGTTTGACTGCATTCCGCCTCCTGACACTCGACCTTTTGACGCTTTACTCTGTTATGAATGAGGGAACCATCAATGTATTGGGTAAATTGCCCATCCCCAGCCCCAAACGCTGCATCAATTTCTAACAATCGCTACAAATAGAGCATTACTTTGAAATGTCAAGGCCGGATAGTGAACGTGCCTTGTCAATCTACAAGACATTCACAACACAGACGGAGGAAGTCGTACAGTTCTTGGGAGTTGCACGGCACTTCCAGTCCGCCACCCGGCTGGAGATTCCGAAGCTCAAGCATGCTTCCACCGACTTGGCGCGCCTGCTCGAAGATGACTTGAATGATCCGGACTTTGACCTTCGCCGGCGAGAATACTTGGCTGGGAAAGGCATCAAGAAGGCGGGGCGCGCGCCGACTTCTGGCGCCGGGTCTGGCTTCGCGGAGGCTTCCTCCAACGACAAATCCCAGCCCGTGTCAAACCCGCCCAAGCAGCCTGAAACGCAGAAGCAAGCTCCTACGGATTTGATCGATTTCTTTGACTCCATCGAACAGAATCAACAATCAATGGCTCAACCCGGGGGAATGCCGTATCAACAAACGGGCTTCCAGCAGCAACAGCCACAACAGGCTTTCTATCCCCAACAGGCTGGTTTCCCTCAGCAGCCCCAAGCCACCGGATACGGTCAGCAGAATCAATATGGCCAAGCCTTCCCTCAGCAAAACACTGGCAATCCCTTCGGCCAGCAGCAAATACAGTCGCAGCCGCAGCCGCAGCCGCTCCAATCGATGCCCACTGGGGCTGGGTTTGGTGGATATACCGCGCAGCCACAGTCCTATGGGTTCCAGTCACAGCTAGGTCCTATTCCGCAAAATGCGGTTCCTTCATTCTCCCAGCAGCCTCAACAGCCGCAACAGCCCCAGGCGTTGCAGCCACAGCATACTGGCACCAATCCGTTCCGGCAATCAATGCTGTTGAATAACCCCACGGGTGGTGCGCAACCTGCCCCTGCCGCCCCTCTTCAACGGCAGAACACAAACCCCTTCGCGAAACGCCTTTCTATGGCGCAGCCGAACTTTAATCAGGGAGCGGCCGAGCCCGTGCCCCAGGTTCCTCAAGTTCCCCAGATCCCCCAAGCGCAAGCACAGCCCCAGGCACTCCAGCCCCAGCGCACAGGAACCAACCCATTCGCCCGGAGCTCGCCCGTGCCCCCTCAGAATGGGGGATTGCAGCCTCCAGCCGCAGCGCCTCTGCAACCCAACCCGACTGGAAGCACCAATCCCTTCCGGCAGAGTCAGTTCATCAACCAACAGACTGGCCAAGGGTGGCAGACTGGGCAAAATGGTACAATGGGTGGGCTAGAGCAGATGGAAACAGTCCCTATCTTCCCACGACCGGGCATGGCCTAAGGACCAAGATGCAAGATTCAAGATTCAAGATTCAAGATTCAAGATTCAAGATTCAAGATTCAAGATTCAAGATTCAAGATTCAAGATTCAAGATTCAAGATTCAAGATTCAGGATTCAGGATTCAGGATTCAGGCATGGGGAACATGGGGTTGAGATGGTAGCGAACTCTCCTTGCAACTACGCTCTTCCTTTCTCTCTTTCTTGTTGTATTTTCAATTCCACTTCATCGTTCCATATTGCCCATCCACCTCTTCCACCCCTTCTTCCATGCGTATAGCCCTGCGGAAGCAGGCTACTGACACGTCGCTCTGGGGCTGAGTCGCCGCAGCGCTGACTCGACGCTGACGCTGTATCGTGACGCAAATAGATGGGAGTTGCATTCAGCCCTGGCCACGGAGTTTGATATAATCTAGCGATACAGTATTTCTCATTTGCTTTTTAATTTCCCCATTGAGTTGTCAATCTCTAAGCGAAGTGGCAAAGAAGTACTCTGTAATCCATGTACAGTGCGGACTACGGAGGCCACGGACGAAAGGCAGCATCATCGCCGCCGATCCCGATGTAGTGCTTATATCAGCCCAGATCGGCCCTGCACAGGGCTCGAGAGGCGCTGTGGCCACTCGATCGTCGCCCGCTGACGACACTCGGTATATCGGTACCCGTAAGCTTGACGAGGTTGGCACGGATATGACTAGTACAAAGTACGGAGAACGGAGTATCTGTAGTTTTACTAGTTGACCCCTTCATCTGGCATACGCCCACATGGCCACTCAGCAAGGTCCCAGCATTTCCTTTGCCCCCACCCGTTAGACGGGGAGATTTTCCCCATCTCATCCTCGTCATGCAGGCACCGAGTGTCCCGAATCAAAGCCAAGTTCGACATAAGACGTTTCCTAGTGTAGGCTTGCTCGGCGCGATGAATCGGCGGCGATCCTCCTGCAGGATCACCGGTTGACGTAGTATATAGTATTTTGGGGTATGCCGATCCTCCATGATGATAATATCGATGGCTTCTTCCAGTAGCAGGACATTGCTGATTTTTTTTTTAGCTGATAGGGAGCTGAGCTGTATAACTTACTAACTTATACAGGCCCCTAGAGTGCACAGTCGTGGTGTGTCCACTGGACGGTAGCTGGGGCCGCAGTGTCTCGCACTAGCGTGTCTGGACGGACCCAGTGGAAAGGTTCACGCGCAACCGCCTCAAGCACCGTCCATTCTTAGGGTGGCACCGCTTCAACGCCGTTTTAACACCGGCGAGAGACCCGGTCGGGATTGTAAATTAAGTTGAGTCAGTTGGACGGGTCATCGCAATGGCCCCCGGGATAAGGTGATCCACGAAAGGCGAGGATCAATGTCGGCAATACGCCGCTCGGATTTACGGAGTTAGTGAATTGCGGGCTTGATGTGATAGACGGTTTAAGGGATTTGAACCTTTTTTTTTGACGGGAGCCAAGGGCCAAGTTCTTGACTAGTCTACGAGGATCGAGAGGGTCGAGACTGGGTGGGGCCGAGATCCAATGATTCTTGGAGATTGCCGGACGTGCCAATCGCAGTGCGTACCGTAGCAACTCGGTCTCCAGTGAAGGTCTCCAGTTGGCGTTGGCGGAACCGTTGGAGGCGCGCAGGGAGAGGAACAGATCGGGTCATGATCATGGTCATGGTCAGGGTGTGTGATGACCGATCATGCCGTACAGATGGGAAGATAGGGGGGCACGGAGCTTTTTGGAGAAGACCGATTGTTGGAACATGTCAAGGAAAGCGTCCGTTGATTAATATTGTACCTCCATATTATGAGGTCGCTCAATGAAGTTAGGAACAGAGACCCCCCTTCACCCCCTTAAGGAGTACCTTCAGGCGCAGACACTCCAAAGTGCCTTCAACTTGCGTACACAGTTTTAGGGTTTCGGGCCCGCCGCAAAGAAGAAGCAAACTGCTTTTCTTCTTCCTCTTCTTCTCCTGCGCATTCCTCAGTTCCTTCGGGCCCTTGGGGTACTATCTCCACTCCTCCACTCCTCCACTCTCCACTCTCCTCTCTCTCCCTCTCCCTCTCTCTCTTTCCCCCCTCCCCCAAAAACGTCACCCGCCGGGCCAAAGAAGGGGGAAAGAAAAAAAAAAAAACCAAGAGACGCGATCTTACAGAATTTCCACTTGCCCCAGCGCAGACCCCGACTTTCTCACTAGTGATCTGAGCGGGGAGTTCATGATTCGTCGGACAATGCGATGATCAACGTGAAGAATCAAGCCTTCTTCTAGCGGACGAGTCAGGGATCTTTCGCCGGGAGTCACTGTCGCCGGGGACTTCTTCTTCATCTCAGCAACCTCTCCTTTCGAATCTACCCCCCGCTAGTCCTTCCAGTCTCGTCCTCGGACTCACGCGAGCTGCCCCTTCAGCTTTTGAATTCCTCCACCCGGGTCCGATTAAGCTCGTACCATGGATGCCAAGCAATCCTTCCCAGGAGGCTACGAGCAGGCACTTCCCATGCTCACTCGGCCTTCAGTGGCCGCTGCCTCAACATGGTCTGAAGCCGTTCCCAATCTTAACACAGACCCCTATGCAACATCAATGCTATCGCATCCTCCAACTACGGCTGCACCGCCGCCTCAGGCTGCCGCGCCAGCTGCAGTGCCCAATGCAGCAGCCCAGCAACCAGCTCAAGTGACAACCACGGCCACCACCACCACCACCACCACAGACCGCAATGCCCCTTCCAAAGTGCGCAAGCCCCGGAAGGCGGCCAATGCCTCGGCGGGAAAGTCCACGCTCTTCTGGGTCAATTCCGACCAGGACTCAGCCGCCTCGGGAACCAAGGAAGAAACCCTGAAGCGCATTCGGTCCCATGTCATGTCAGAACACAATCGCAAGAAGCGATTGGAAAACACTAAGAAATATAAAGGCAAATCCTGGAAGAACCTGGCCTTTCAGCCTCCAGAGACGATCCCGGGGGGGATGGGTCCACCCCGACCCACGGCGTCCATTTCCTCATCCTCGTCGAGCAGCAGCCGCTGGGGCTCACATGTTAGTGAGTCGCCCCCGCCGAAGCATGAATTAGTTCCTACATCGTCTGCCGTGGAGTATTATACGCCCGCGACAACCGCAACGGCATCATGGGCAGGGCAAACGTGGAGCGAGGATTCATGGGATGACGGTAGTTATGATGGGGCCGTGGATTACCCTGCTAAACTGACACGATATTCTCCTTGGTCGTATGTGGGATCGGGGGTACATGACCCGTTCAATACGGGACATACACAGCTGACAGATCGTATGATGCGACATTTACAAAATTGTCGGTTTTTCTCTCCACTCCCCAGATGACTTGTCTAATATCAATCAACAGTCCTGTGGGATTTGACCCAAGAAGCGCACCCATTGCAAACGCGGTATAAACCCAAGTTGCAGGCCCACTGGGCTGCTCTCATTCAGAGAGACCCCGCCATTCTCCATGCGGCAATTTGCATGTCCACTTCCAACGCGGCCATGCAACGGGGCGAGTTGCCCATTCGGGATCCGAATCAGCATCGCAGTGCGCTGGTGGTGGATACATTCCACCATCGAGGCGAGACGATTCGATTGGTGAATGAGGGTCTATCGGATCCGGTCAAGTGTTCTAGTGATGAATTGATTGCTGCGGTGTCTACGTTATTAACCATCGAGGTGAGTGGGAACGTTTGATGTCGCTGATGAATCTTTGAGATTAACAAGATCAGATTGCATCGGGTAACCCCGATTATCTAAAGATCCATCTGGCCGGCTTGCGTCAAATGATTGGAATGCGCAAGAACTTTGCCGACGTTCCACCTGACGTCCGATTCCAGATAAATTGGTAAGACGTTCTCTCCTCAGGCATGACCCCCAGACATATCGGCTGACGTGCTAACCTCCCACCAGGACGGACATCCGAGTCGCGTGCATGGCGCTCACCAAACCCATCTTCCCCTTCGTCCGCTGCACACGTCCCCCAGGCCTCTCGCTCCTCCCACCCAACGACGACGTCGCCCTCTGCGCAACCCGTCTTCTCCCACTCTTGAAAATCCCCGGCATCTTCAGCGACTCCTTCTCCAAGATAATCTACGACCTCCTCGAACTCTCCTGGTACGCCGAGTGGATCAAAGGTAGCAGCGGCTACAAGGAATTCGACGAAGAGACCGAGGACTACTTCAACTTCGAAGTGCTCTACGTCGAGTACTCCCTCCACGCAGACCGATACACGCCCACCGGCCAAATCAAGGGCGACAACTCCATCGAGGGCTGCACACGGCTTGCCTGTCTCTGCTTCCACAACAGCGCCATCTGGAGCTTCTACCCCATGCTTGCGCCGCTCCTTCCAAAACCCCTCCTCGCCCTGCGCGCCGCACTAGAAGCCACCATCCACTCGGGCCTATTCGCGCTGTGTCGCGATCTCCTGATCTGGGTGCTTTTCATCGGCGCTGCATGTAGCCAGGTGATGCCCTCTGAACGCACGTTCTTCGTCACCGAACTCGCCTCCGCGGCGACGCTGCATGGTGTGACATCCTGGCAGGAGTGCCGGTCTATTCTGCTCGGCTTTTTCCATGCAGACCGGGTCCATCTCGTCACATTGAGACAGGTGTGGCAGGAGGTTCAGGGACGGATGGACCCGGCTGCTGTGTGAGGTTGTTGATTCTACCCTGTTTTAAAATAAACTCCTTTCAATGTAATGTAACTGATATGTACGGGTTTGTGGATGTGAGTGGATATTGGTATGTACAAGGTATCTGGGATAGCCTCAATGAATGACGACCTTTAGATTTGTTTCTCATTCGGAGTGTTTTGTAAAGAGCGTCTCCACATGCTTGGTTCTGCTCTGGAGATGTTATCTTAACCTAGAGAGATTCCAAACTGCTCAATACGCTTCGCTCCTCTTGGCCTCTGCTTTCTGCAACCTTTGCCCTCAGCGTCTTGCCGCTTTTGTTTTTTTCTTATTATAAAATGACAGCGCACAGTGGTGTTTCATGAGTCTTCGTCTACCTGGTGACTAGGCGGTTGGGAACACCACTGTAAGATAGGATCCCCAGGCATGCCTGCGGGAATCTTTGCTATGACTTATTATCACCACCGGACTCCTCCGCCTCCCATTTCAACAAGTCCTCAGCGCGCTGCAGGAATTTAGGATGATCAGGTCCAAGTACCCGTTCCGCCCTGGCCAAGCAACGTCGCAATAAACCGAGAGCATCAACCGTCTGACCGAGCGCTTTCCAGGTAGAGGCTAGAAACCCCATGGCTTCCAGGGTAAGCGGGTGATCATCACCAAGCTGCACCCTCAGAGTCTCCAGAGCTTCAATCTGAAGACTTTCTGCTTCCTCCCACTGCTCCATCCCCGCAAATGTTAACGCAAGATTACATTTGCTGATCAGCGTGTCTGGATGATCCTCGCCCAGCTTGTCTATGTGCTTCGCCAGCGCAAACAAACCCAGTTCCCGCGCCTTTTCCAAGTGGCCCAGTGCTCGCAAGTCGATGGATAGATTGTTCATCAATTGTAAACTGGGATGATCTTGGTTGACCTGAACCATCGTCTGCTCCATCACTCGTATCTTGAGCTTGGCCGCGTCCAGCCATCGCTCCTGGGTTGAATATATCCATGCTAAATTGCCCATGAGCTCTTGTGTCTTGAGATGACTCTCACCGAATTTGACCTTGAAACTCTCTATTATCTGTATCTCGAGATTCTCGGCTTCTGCCCATTGTCCTGCTGCTAAATATGCTTGTACTAGTACCGAGGCGCTTGAAAGAGTTTCCAGATTGTTGGCTCCAAGGAGTTTCTCGCGTTGTTCCATCGATTTTGACGCCATTTCCTTTGAAGCTCGGATATCACCGGCATCGTGTGCGTGCATGGCTCCTCTACAGAGCATACCTGCCCATTCTTGGAGTGACCAGTCCGATGTGGGCCATTGTAGCATTGCCGCCTTGATATGTGGGAAGAGTGATCGGCACTGGTCCTTGTTCTCGTGATCAGGTATTGATGGAAATGTCTCATATAAAGTGTGGATAAATTGTTCTTTGTAATGCTCCGGCTTGCCTTGCGATTTGAGCCAGGTCTGCACAGATAGCTGCACGAGTCGATGCATTGAGAACGTCGAGCCATCTTGACCGATAGATATAAGTGAATAGTCTCGTAAGATTCGGAAATCCTCCTCCAAATCGAAACTAGTGTCGATATCAGAGACACTGTTACTTTCGTCACTAACATGCGCCGCAATATTATCAGAGGTCGGATCATTATTGTGCTGTTGGTCTCGACGGAAGAGAAGCACTTCCATAGGAAAATCGCTGAGCTAGTGACGACCCAGTATATCCCCGCATCATCTATCGCTAGCTCTATAACCACACGGGCTGGTATTCTACATACTGGGGTTTCGAGGGACATGGTCGACTGTTGGACATCGGTGGCGCCCAAAATTAGATTGGGTAATTATAGGATACTCTCTATGAAGAATATCCTGTTGACAAAATAGAGTTTATAGTGCATAGATCCCATTTACTTCTTGACTCAAGCTATCTCTAGCTCTGTATAAACAAGATAAATGTTTACTGCATTAGTGTTAGATCCGAAGGCACAGAGAACTTCCGCTACCCACTTGACCCAAACCCCACGATTCGACTTCTCAACTCTTCTCCTTGGACTCTGATCTCGGCGCGTTCTTGAGTGATTGCTGGTAGGCCCTTCGTGTAGCTAGGTTTCGAGGGACCGGGCAACACAGTGGGTGCGCTGCCGGAAACTTTCTGGATAGTTACATCACTGAACACGACTTCAACGTTTTCGCTCCGCCTCATATCATTCAAGCCGCTCTCATGGTGTTTCGAAAATCCAAAATTCTCGGCATGCCTTGGTAAAGTCATCGTGGCCAGCCTTTTACTTGGGTCGATTATGATGCAATTTCCTTCGCCTGCTGGTTGTCCAATACAGAACGCAATGCTGTTGTCGACAGAAACATGAAGCCCTGCAGCAGGATCGGGAGATAGCGAGTCGCCGGCAATGCTGATGTTGTGCAAATGGAATCGTGGTCGAAGCTGGAAGAGAAGTTGCACGTTACCCGTTGATTCTGAGGGAAAGTAAGCTCCAAAGACTGTGGGCCTGGAAGTTGCTGTATCAATTCCTGTGACTAGAAGTACATGAGGGCGAGCATCTTCTGCCAAAGCTTCAGTGACACGCATTGCCATCGTGCCCTCCTCTTCATCCGATAGTGAAATTGGATCTTCCAACGCAATGCGTCTGTCATCTCTTCTAGACTCTGTAAGAGTGGAGACTACTGGGTGAGGAATGAATAATGAGATAGATCCAAGGATTGAGCTTGGGATGCGACTTGGATCTGGGGGACGGGCCTCAGAATCGACTGCCATAGAAGGCTGGAAAAGAACGGCCCACATCTGATAGAATCGGATATTCAAATTCGGCTATGATAATCAGCAAAGCAATCATGCGAGGGCCGTTGGAAGTGATTCCTGGTTAGAGACGGTTATACTTACTAGGAGATGCATTATATGATTGACATGCTCAAATTCCAAGTCCTCTTGCCTCTGATCACCCTCTAATCCATTGAGCAAGATGTTGGCTAGTTCATCGTCACCAAGCTCGGCCTGCTCAAAGCTTCCGAACGGAAAGCTTAGCCCCCAACTGTCTTTAGACAATTGTAGACGATTGAGGATGCTCAGCAGCGTCGCCAAGTCTTTTCGACTGACTCTATACCGAGTTCTGATCAAATTCTCACCAAGAAGGCGTCGTGCGGTCGGGGTAAGTTGATGTTCATGGGGACCATTGTGCATGAAGAAAGGCTGTGTCATAGCCAAAACATCGGCCGTCTCTTCCACAATGTGGCTTGATTCATCACACAGCTCAATAGACAGCTCAGGTGTGCCAATGCTTCTGAATATCCTCTTCAGCTTAGCCTGGTGGTAGAGATTATCGCCGTCGAACCGCCAATAAGATTCGATCTCTTCTAAAATCCCCAGAAGATCGGCGCCTTGGGCAGCTAGCATTGTGGCAGCGCGTTGGAAGGCTTCCCAGTCAATTCTCCCTTTGGCAGTATTCCGTGGAAAAGGGTGGTATGCATAGAAGTGGAAACTTCTCCATAACAGCCGCATCGCACCTTTGGAACTTGTAAGAAGCGGATTTGTTGTGCTAATATGATCCTGTAGACTTTGCTCACTCCAGACTAGACAACTTTTAGCAAAGAGATATAGAGTAGGTGGTTGGTTCATGTTGTAACTCACAAAGCTCTTGTGTAGAAATATCCTTATGGGCATGAGTGTTGAAGATTCTTTCTAGACTCCTGATCTCCGTTTTCCTCCGGCGAAATGCCTTCAGTAGATCTCGGAGGACAGACTCTAGACGACGAGTGTCAGTTTACTCAAGTAAACCCGTCCCCCAATTTATATCTTGTCATCTATTACCTTGTGTTGTATCCTGTAGATAACCGGTCACCTCTCTTCTCTGGCCAGTTTGAGCCACATATTGCAAGACCCCGCTGAGGCTGTTCAACATCACAGCCGTTATTCTGTAGCCTTTCTCGGGATGATTTTGCCGAAATGATGACCAAGATTAACTTTTCCCAAAAGAGAAACAAGATTCCATCAATCCTATGTGACACGTTTTGTATGCAGATGAAGTGGGGTAGAAGAGGAACAGAACAGTTGGCCCCTCCTGGGATCAGACCACGATCCACGATCCACGATCCACTCAACGGAGTCAATGCACGATCTGCCGAGTTTATGCAGCTGCCTAATTAGATAACACTCGAGTATATAACTTAGCGAGGTGCATTGAAATTGTGAAGATCAAAGCTCCTCGCAGGCAAGAAGATCTGAACGGACAAGGGTCTTAAAAAACAAAATGTGTCTCATAGACGGGGCTCAAGTTATGGCTTCCGACCATTTCCTTCGGTCGCTAATTCCACTGAATACACAAGAGGTATCACCAATGCTGTCCCTGCCATGTCATATACACTTGAATCATTCCGATGGCTGCTTAGCTTTGGCCAGAGTCTGGATCATGTGGTCATCCCTCGGCTTCCTTGCCCACACTCGCCGGCTGTACTCTCAATCAGTATAAGATCAGGCTTTGAGATTGGCGAACAAACTTACGCATATCCGTAAGCATGGATACGGTTATCCTTCAATTCCTTCCGCACGTTAACCAGATAGACCTCAACCTCCTCCTTGGTCCATGGAGCCGGCGCGCCGAACTTTGTCAGCAGCCACATGGCATATCCCTCCAGACCGGACTTCCAGTGCTGCAGGTTAAGCAGACCAACCTCCTTGAGTACCTTATCCTTCGCCCAGGGACCCATGGGCACCTTGTACAAGCGCTCATGCACATCGACAAAACCGGCCGCCTCGATAGAAGCTCGCATTGTCTCCTGGGTTGTCAGGGATCGGCCAGCTCTTTCAGCACAGCCAATGAAGTTATCACCCCAGCCAGCCAGAACGCTATCTGGTGGCAAAGATCCGTCATCACTTCTCACTCGGACATCAAATTCGATTTGTTCGATCCAGCCACCGGGCGCTAGGTTACTATTCAGAGAGTAGTGTGTTAGCTCTTAGAGACACCCCAGTTGAGGCAAGCGATACTCACTTGAAGCATTGTTGATATAATCCTTTCCATCCTTCCGGGGTGAATGATCCAAGCATTTGGCGTAGATGGATCAGATCAAAGGGTTCTTTCCACGTCCATTCTTTTTGAATATCGTCGACTTCAAACAAGCAGTTGGGGGGCACCCAGGTCACCGGAGGAGGGAAGAGGTCCGTCCCGCGAACAGTTGCTGTGTTTGTCAGTTTCGGGGCTCATCAATGGTCTGCAGTAATGAGGCTCTTACCTTCCGGATATTGATCTGCGACATCTCTGTCCATGCATTAGTGAAGTTTCGCGATCGAGGGGCCACAAATCTTACATAGCCCAATTTCCTTTGCCAGTTCCAACATCGAGAATGTGCTACGATTTTAGTTAGAGTGGTAAGTAATGAACTACCGGAGTTGTGTTCGTACCTTAGGGTTGTCACCGATTGGAGCCGAGAATAGAGGGTTGGGTCGATGGTAGTCTAGCATGATGCATACCATATGCCTGGATTTGCATGTCAGACCACTCTCGTCCACTCTACGGCGAGGACTGATGCTTACCCAAGTTCGAAGGCTTCGAATTGTTGTTCATCTGAAGGGCTCCTGTGGGAGACAGGATTAGACGGGAAATAGTCTTATCGTTTTCTTGAGCGATTTCTTACCAGTAGACATCATCTTTCAATGCCTGGTATCTGTTATATCTGGCTAAGCTTCATGTTATGCAACTAATGTGGAAAGCCATTCCTACCTGCGGCCATTTTCTATGCGGCCTTTGGCAATTTGCGAAGCGATAGATGTTGTATCGCTTGGTGGGGCATTAGTGACCGTTCAGTCTTAATCGTCGGGGAGATACACTCACGACTCGAAATCCTGAGTTGCCTCGGATTCTTTCAGGATGTGGAGATTCGGGTCCTGGTAGATCCAGTCAGACGAAGTATGGTAGAATAGCTGAAGAATATCCCCTTACCACATCGATGCGTTGATCCGCCATGACCAAAACTTGTTGTGGGGAGTCGGGGCGAGAGATCCACGGTCGGAAGAGGAGTGAGGAGAAAATGGCGCAGTTTCCAACCTTCTCAATGGGAAGCCCACCTAGTATCTCGGATTATTAAGGGGGCGGGCCCTGTCACCCGCTGTCAACCGGGTCTGCCGATAGCTTAGTTCAAGGATGGATTCGTTGAGCCACGTGCCGCCATGGGCACCATGTAATGCGCGCTTTATGAATGGCGAAGATCTCCGAAACAAGTCACTCTGTGCGTTATTATCGCGCTAGCAGTGTATATAGTTAGCGTGCCGCCGTTTTGGGTGCAGCAACTAGCAGGCTGAGTACATTTTGGCTTATGCAGGAAGTTGAAAGAGCCCACCAGTAGTTCACAGTGTTTACGTGGCAGGGATTGTTACTAGGGATATTCATGGAGAGTGCCCATGAATGAGGGTATGTGTTCTGCTTGTTATTATAGGTTGAAAGAATAGTGACACTAGTTTATCGATACAAGAAAAAATGCAACCTCACCACGAATCGGCCGTTGAATAATTGGTACGGTACAGTAAGACATTCAGCAGTTTTCAACCCCTCACTAACCCAGACCTATTAGGTCCGACCGTAAAGACATGAAGAAGCATGGAAATTTGGCACCATTAGAATTACTTTCCAATCATCACAGTACCTTGTATGTTCGTAGGCCAGCGTTTGGAAATCGATAGCGGCCTACTACAGCGGGGTTGGGGAGCTAAGTATCAGCTCTTCTAACTGTACTAAGAAGAGCAACAGTCTCCGGGTCACGCAGGAACTATTGGCGGAGCATGAGTCGGCCATTGAGGGTTAGCAATATGTTATTGATTGTGGCCATTTTTGTCCTAGATAAGAAAAGGGTTCTAACCTGGAATCTGTCTTTTCTGACATGAACAGGTATCCGTGAGCAGTGTTAGGAGATCCTGCCAGCCTGACGAGTCTTGCTTCAATGTATATCATCAGTCATTTGTTGTCCCTAAGTGGACTCACCCAAGGTCTTCTAAAGCAGCGTGAGTTTCGCCGTAAAGGGCTAGAGTGAATAAACCTCCAGGTAGCTCGCCGGTCTCGGCTTCAAATGCTCTTTGCGTATTCGCTTTCAATTCTTTGGCAGTCAAGCCACAGTCAGAGAGGTTGTCAGAAATTAGCGTAACAACGGCAGATAACTTGTTAATCGGCGCCGAAAATGGCTCCTCTTGACGCTATTCTAAGCGTTCTTTTTGCTAACATGTAGCTTACATATTATTGAACGCACACCCGGCGGAAGGGTGATCTGTATAGGCTCACTAGTCCCGTACGTTCCGAAGTAAGTGATCCCAGATTATTCCAGGGCTAAGCATTCATGGTTCCTTAAGGATGAGCTCATCCTTCACTCAGGGTGCGCTGTAGTATTGACAACCAAGAGAGTCGTCATAGCCCGTCCATTAGGTTATCCGATTATGGCCGCCAACTGCCTCTCCTCTCCAGATATGGTTCCTCTGAGAGATGACAGTTTCATACATGGCTCTTGACCGTAACATTGAACTCAATCGTATCTGTTTATCCATTTCCAAGCGAAGGGCCGGGCTAAAACTCTTGCTAGTCAAAGCTACCTAAGTACTCGACAATACCACCGCTTTGCCTAATAATACACGACTGAACGGAGCAAGACTTCCTCAGCTGGAATGAGCTGGGTCTCGCCGACGTAAGGTGGCCAACCGATGGACCTGTCAATTTACCCTGACGAAGGAGCGAACGAGATCATTGAATCTAGAACTGCTAGGATGGATCCACACCCAAACCCGAACTACCTGGAGAATATGGATCAAGCGCCAAACCCCGATTGACAAGCCTTAGGGCCAGATGGAGAAGATGATCGTCACCTATCCGGACGAGAATTTCGACTAAAAAGTGGGTTGCTCGCTAGACACCAGTTTCTCCTGTGTCTAAGATATAGAGCAATAAGCCCGAGATATCAAGATGAGCATTCATGTCCAAAAATTGAAAACCAAGGGGGCTCTGAGCTTCGAAGCGCCACTGGTGGCTGTAGGCGAAGTAGTATCAGAGCTAGACCGAGCCGTACCGGCGGTGGTTATGGCCGTAGTTGGCGTTGAGGTTGTAGAACTTGCTGAGCTGGTCGATGATGAGGTGCCCACGACATCGGTTTTTGTCGAACTTCCCCCCGTGCTGATGGAGCTCACATCGTTTCCACCGTCGCCACATTGAACCACAGTTTTCCAACCACCGGCAAAGGTTTCCTGCCAGTATGATGATTGGTTACAAAGAGCGAAGTAGTTGAAGAAGTATGCCGAGCCAGGTTGCTCGTGTGCGTTTTGGTAAAACTTGACTGCACACCCGTCGCTACAGGGGAAGCTGGTTCTGGCCCAATCGTTGCTTTCGGGATAGGTCAAGTAGCAGTAATCAGATCTGCGAAAATGTAAGCACATCTACAGTGAGAGAACCAGATATACGAAACCCACCCGTTCTTGGCACAGGATTGGCCGTATTTGTACTGGAAAACCTCGCCCACCGTGGCCACGGGAGCCTGATAAAGTTCCTTATTCCCGCTAGCAACTCCGGCTAGATCGCCATCGCTGCCGCATGCAGCCTTGACATTCTTAACATACTGGGACAATGAATCGCTGCATGTCGTGGTGCACATAGCTTCCAAGTCCGAAGATTGCGGGTTGAAGTCAGGATCCATGGACGCGACGATTTTGAGGAGGGTGTCATCGCAGTTGATGCTGGCGCTGTAGGCATCCTTGCAAGCCTGTGATGTCGTATCTGCCAAATCCTTGGTCGTATAGTCCCAACTAGGACCAGAAATATTGAGACTGAAGGCAGCAGTCGCCTGGCCGAGAACTGCAGACAGCGCAAACAGGCGGAAGATCGTGGTGACGGAGGCCATTTTGCTAAAGTTAAGAATGAGTAACAAGGTCGGTTGAATTAAGTTGATCGTAATAGTAAAAATTGAAGAGACGGAAGGGAATCATCAGGAATAGGGGTTGTCTTTGAGGCTGTAAGCAATTGAGGCTACAAGCGAGACATTGTGAAAGTCTAATCCAAAAGTCTTGTGTCGACCCACTCTCTTCGCCAGTACCGTGAGGCTGTAATGTTGATACGCCCCCGTAAAATAGTTCCAAATCAACCAATGGGTCGAATCAGCCCAAGCCTTGGGTACGCGATCAGGTTCGCTCAGGAGAACCCTGTGCCTCGTGAGCCAATCGCCAATCACTTCCCGAGCCGGCAGTTATACCATCAACTACTGAGATGTTTCTTTACTTGGTCAAACAGCATTCCACGAATTGACAGGGTCTGGAAAGCGTCTTCTAGACCTCACAGGCTGTCTATCCCGCCAACACAGATGCGCAGTCGAGCAACAAAAAATCTCTGTTCTGCTAATCTTGTTTTGCTGTAATTCCAGTGGATCAAGATAGTCAAAACTGGACATGTTATCCTATTGCGCATCCCTTTGGCTCTAGCCATATTTTTCAGGCTACATATTACTCTAGCTATGTACCGTATAAATAGTCCCTGGCCCCCAAAAAACAACAGCCGTCGAATTCCACCTCAAACCCCACGAAATCTAAGGGCTGAGCTCAGCTTCTACAAACGGCCGGACATGGCGAGCAATGAAGAGTGTATTTTGGTCACTGGAGGATCCGGCTTTGTAGGTACCCAGTGCATTATCCACTGCTTGACTGCAGGCTACCGAGTGAAAACGACAGTACGGTCGCTAGACCGTAAAGAAAGCGTTCTACGCACACTTCAAGCTGCAGGTGCTCCAAAGCCGGAAAGCGTCTCATTTGTGGAGGCCGATCTTACCAAGGACGATGGCTGGAAAGAAGCGGTCCAAGATTGCAGTTATGTCCTCCACGTTGCTTCCCCCTTTCCAACCGAGGCACCAAAGCACGAGAACGATCTGATCATTCCCGCCCGGGATGGTACGCTCCGTGTATTACGGGCGGCCAGAGATGCTGGAGTGAAGCGTGTTGTTATCACATCGTCCTTTGCCGCAATGGGCCATGGTCATCGCAACCGGGACCCGACGAAACCGTTTACCGAAGAAGATTGGACTGACGTTAATGGGCCAGGAGTAGGGGCTTACGAGAAGAGCAAGACATTGGCCGAGCGCGCCGCATGGGACTTCATCGAGAAAGAAGGGGGCAGTCTGGAACTGTCTGTCGTGAATCCGGTCAGTATAATGGGGCCTGTTCTGGGCTCAGATACATCTACTTCCATCGAAGTCGCCATTCGGATGCTGAATGGTGCGGTGCCGGGATGCCCCAATATCGAGTTCGGCATCGTCGATGTTCGAGATGTGGCGGATCTACATCTGCTCGCTATGACCCATCCCAAGGCTAAAGGGGAACGATTTTTGTGTATGGCACCGCCAGCAATGTCAATCAAGGACATGGCTTTGACTTTCCACGAAAGGCTGGGTCCGAAAGCAAGAAAGGTGCCGACAAGAACTATCCCAAACTTCGTGTTGAGGTTTCTTGGGCTGTTTGACTCTGGAATCGCTCTGGTCGTTCCTTTTCTGGGTGAATCTCGTCCTGGCTCGAATGAGAAGGCTAGAACGCTACTCGGCTGGAACCCCCGCTCGAATGCTGATGCAGTGACTGCCTCTGCAGAAAGTCTGATTCAGCTTGGTCTGGTGAAAGTATGAAGGATAATACTCGCTTTCTTGACTATGTAGCTCTTTCAATGCTGTTGAATCTTTGAATTCACTAATAGAGTGAAGAACCATAATCAATGTATTTGTTTTGATGCTATTGTGGTTTACTTAACCGCACACACTAATCATGCCCATCTCTCAACAATCCTCAATCCCCTCCATCCAAGGAAACAACCACGTATACTTGAGACATTCATTTGAGCTATGCTTGGAATTGAACAGGATCCCTTCAGGTTCGACTTTCACTGGACACATGAAACAACTGTCGAGCTCAAAACCGCGATCACTGCATTACACTCACGAAACAGTGATGGTCGAAGAGCCACTGCTCTCATAACCCTCAGTGGAGACAATCTGGTAGTTGTGGCTACCCAGAGGCATGCCCAATGAAGCCCAAGCATTGAAGTGGTTAGCAGTAGTCACGGTACCGCTAGAGCGCTTGCTTTGGCGGATCGACCAGTACTGGTTGAAGGTTGCAGTGCCCTGAATCGAGGGCTGGTTGACTTGCTGGTGTTCATAGATGTCGTAGGTAGCGCCGTCACTGGTAACAGTACCCTTGTGGGTCATGCTAGGACCCGGGTTGTAGGTACCGTAGTCCTCCAGGATGTAGTACTCGACGAGTGGGCTAGTAGTCCAGCCATAGACGGCAAGGTAAGCATTACCCGAGGGATTGAAAGATCCCGAAAAATTAATGTCCCTAGAAAGAGGCGGCAATATATTAGACAGGGAGTTACTCATGAATCGTTGGTACACATCTTACCGGGCGGCTCCAGTGCTCCAGCCCTTGCCGGAAGTGAAGTCACCGCAGTTCGTCCAGGAGACACTGTACTCTCCAGCAGCACCATTGGTATAGTCAACGGTACCACCACCATTGGTCCAGAATGAGTAGTAGTAGCCGTTGTTGGTTCCAGTCTGGCTGGTCGTGATCGTCTGGCGCTTGTTCCAGTCGCCGGGAACAGCGAAGGCACCGACTATGGTAGAGCACGCCAGGAACAATTGGGTAAAGGACACCATGATGAAAGCTCTAGGAAGAGTCCTTTGAATGATATAGTAGATACTTAGTGGACAAGAAGGTTTTGTGGAGGGTGAATGACGCTGGATTGATGAGATCTTTTGGTGTTTATATTCAGGACTTGGGGTGAAATCTGTTCATCTGTCACCTCATCACTAACCCTTGATTTAATTTAATTTAACCGGAACCCTATTATGCTAAAATAGCAGGTTGTGTCAGGCATCTCGCATCGGGGTAAACATGCGACACTAACAGTTCCACCATTCTCGGAGACACTATTCCAAACAACGGCGCAAAAAGGAGTCCCACCAATGCCTTTCGGCTCAAAACGGACATGTCTCCGACGGAAATCGCCTGAAGAACTTAAATCTGGGGTGAAAAGTGTTTTATGGCACTAGCAGGGGCCAAATTGCCTAAACAATAACAAAGGCTGAAAGGCGTTGCTGCAGAATTCAGCCGTAAGCCTTCGCCAAAATGCGGGGAATCCACTAATGTAAGGCTTCCCAGCCCAGGTGGATCGCCCGCTTCTAATAGCGGATACAGCCACAGGGTACACCCGTGAATCATTACTATGTGAGTGGATGAACATAGGCATGTTGTGTATAGAAGAGAATAAATTCTGGTATCTCGTGGCTACTCTAATCATCTATCATTTTTCTGGTCGTAATGGAAAGCCCAAGGCTGAAGTCTATCTGGCAGCCAGGTTTTCTAAAAGAGTGACATCCAAAGCGTATTCTCATAGTCGACATTCTCGCTCACGCTCTCAATTCGATCACTGCACGTGCCAAAAACCCGATCCCAAACGCGAGTTTGCTTGCCATAGTTATGGCTCTTGCGCCAACCCTTGCGATGGTGAAGATCGTGGTCCTCGATAACGAGCTCGGCGTTGAACATTCTCATCAGCCAGGTGAGAGGGTTTGGAGGCGATGCATGAATACGAAGACCGCTGTGTCCCGCCAACTCCGCGAACATAACATAGAGCTGGCAAATGTGCCATTCGTAGAAGCCCATCGGGAATCCCATGAACTTCATTGTCAGATAGGTCATGATAGGGATTCCCGCAATATCAAAGAACTCTTGTTCCGAGTCGGCGTAGATCGTAAGCAGGGGATTCGGATGCTTCGTCAGGTGGTGTGTGCGATGATACTTCCACAGTCTGTTGACGTCGTGCATGATACGATGGTACCAGTAGAACCAGAAGTCGAGAACGATACCATACAAGCTAACCTCTAGGGGAAGGGACTGCCAGCTTAATGATATAGGCGCTTTGTCGGTTTGATAAGTGAGGTAAACCGTCATCAAGGGGCGCACCAAGCCCGCAAGCATAACTGATGTCAGAGCCTTAGACACACCCTCATCAGGCACACCATCTCGCTCATGCTTATCACCGTCCAGGAATCCATATTTGTGTCCAAGCTCTCGCATGTTGCGCAGTTCGCGGGTCGTAAATATTCTAGACGCATAGTAGTAGAAACCGAAAGCGACAATAGGCCCAAAGTTCTTCCCGGTGAAGTAGACGTATAGTTGATGGAGGAGTAGTGGAATGCCTGCGTGGACAATGACCCAAATGTTCATCGACCAGTCGGAAAGATAAGGCACTTTATCTTGCTTTGAGTGAACTGGGACTTCTCGGTCAAGGTCGACGTGGTAGACGTTGGCCCTTTCGAAGATTTTGTGGGGGATTTTCCACTGGCTTCGATCCCATCGACGCCAAGTGGATTTCATCGACTCTTTTGCATTCGGCTGGGCACTCATCGTGGGCTGATTTGTTCCCCAGAGGGTTCTTCGAGGACCGCGAGCATAAATAACTTGCGGCGAAGAGCCATTTTATCTAGATGATGCTGATATTCACAGGATTGCTGAAACCGAGGCTGATATTCTTGCGTTTGCATCATTTTAGGTTCTCCCACATGTTCGGATTTACCAAGACTGAGGCAGCGCCGTCACGCGTGGAGCCTTCGCAATGGATGCCCGGAAAGGAATAGTTTGGGTGGATCGTGAGGGCGATCAGACCCAGCTATGGTTAGATGCTCTACTTCTCCTGTGGTGAAATGCTTGGGGTACCAAAAATTGATCTGGGGTAGTCCAAAGAAGTGTGAGAATAATGCCGAGTTTATCGTCGATAATCTACTTTTAACGGACCTGGAAAATCTTGGAAGAGAGCGTCAGTGATAAGGACCTTCGAGATTCGATAATCTCAGCCGAATCCCAGTTGAAGAAACAAGCCGAGGTTAACACCCACTAGTAACTTGTCATTGTGCAAACTTCAATTATCAATCTCTCAGATCTCAACTTCTAGCAATTTCGTTCAATTAATCCAAAATTATCCAAAGACTGGCTGAACTATGCAAAGTCATCACGGTAACGAGGTCGATATTGGCAGGACAACTCAGTCTTGCTCACCTGTGCCGTGTGCAGTAAATGCAGTCAATCTTGACCATTGAGTTTTCAGATACCGGCATCTCAATAAAGTCTCTTGGAATGGCCCTATCAAAATATAGCTACCTGCAAGAACAATACTTGTGATTATAGCACTCGCATATGGAGACATATCTTCCTCGTATTTCGTTGTAGCTTGTTGCCTAAAACCAATCTTTCTCGGCACCCCCGGGGAGGACGAGAGTCACGAAGGTGGCATAACAAATGCAGTCCCCTATCAACGTGGAATTGGAAACAGAAGTTCACCTGCAGAATGGCCCGGCTGTCATTTCAGTCATCACCTTGACTCGTGAACTACGGCCGCCGATTTGGTTGTCTCTTAGAAGATATGTTTTGACGGAGCTTTTATTAGCTAAGTCAAACCCCCCTATGACGGTAAAGCTAGCTTAAATTTCCTATCTAAGATCCATTTGATGGTGGCTGCCTTTCTGGCGTTGATCTAAACAATCTCTTTGTCGGCCAGAGGCGATTATGGATCCTTGTTCCACGATTTCTTTTAAGGTCGGGTAGAAGTCGTTCGAAGGTAGGAAGAAAAGTGTGAGAATGACTTATTCTTGAGTATTTTGGCTCCGCAGATGCTAGTTGGAAGATATCATATTTCTGATGGTCCAAGCAAGGTCCTTCTAGCCTAGCAAACCAACTGCCGAATCTTCCTCTCTAGACTTCATTCTGCCCCGGCACAAGATCAAAATTAGATACGGTTGCCCTGTTGGCCAAACTCGGGGCAATTGTGGCCTTTTCATCTCGTTGGAGTAATCTACTGCCATCGATCAACGCACTCCCTTTTCAGGAACTAGTTCAGCTGACTCACAGCAATTGCTCTTGCCATCATTCTTGAATCGCAGACATGTGAGCTTCGATTCAAGGTCCTGGACATGTAGCTGTACTTAGGCTAGATTGGTTCATACAAAGCCCAAGTATGCGTCAGATGACCCCCAGCCAAGTGCCCTTTTCGTGATATGTTGGTAGTTTCGCAATGAGGCAGACTATGCAAAGAGAGCCTAAATCCGTACTTTGGAAAAATACAAGTGACGAGTAGTTCCTGTTCGTATATTGACAATAGCAAGGTGGTCAGGATAATTTAATTCGTGAGAAAACAAAGTACTAATGGATCTAAAATTAAAAGGGACATAATCTCTTTGTAAGTACCCTAGCCCAGTAAGAGACATTTCTCTTTTCACAGGTCGCCTTGTCTCTGACGCAACAGGATCACCATCTCCGTAATAATGCCAGCACTACCCCGATACGATCGGCCAGTTTCCGAGACCTATCTACAGTTTCAAATCCTTTCACTTGTCCAATAGTGGGTCTTGATTGCTCAAACCACCAGAAAGTAACGGGCCTATCAAGTATACTGCCATACAAGCGATTATGGCGTGATATACTTTCTTGGTGTTAGCTACGTATCCCAGGAACGGTCTATTGGAGTGAGTACAGTTAATACTTGCAGATGAAAATATGTACCTAACCTTCCTAGCTTATTTTAACAGTAAATAATTGGGCGAGTGAAAGACTGATTACTCTAATCTGTCGAAGCTAAAATGAGTTCCGCAGTGACACGCCTTATAGAACCCCGCTGATGCCATCAGTCCTACATATCAACCCTCCACTTCTATTCCGCCTTATATGCACCTGCTCGGAAGCTTGAAAAGACATTGGCCAGGAAGTATTTATTTTCTTCCGGACAAGAGAAATGAGCAAACAAATGCCTACGGACACCAAGGTCCCGGGGAACACGGTCAATGGTGTGGATGGGATTGATATCGACCCAAAAGAAGAGAGAGCCCTGGTGCGCACTTGCATCAAACATTCTTTTGGCTTTCGCAATGTCTAATCTTATTTCAAGGTCTGGCGTTTGGATCTCTTTTTCCTAACTATTGGATTCTTGGGCTATGCATTCAAATACCTCGATCAAACAAATATCGTGAGTCGTCTTGGTCCATGTGTGGAAACAACATTCTAAGACCTCCCCCAGAGCAATGCCTACGTGTCGGGAATGCAGACAGATCTTAAGTTGTATGGAAACGAGCTGAATTACTTCACTACTTACTTCAAGTATGCTTGCTCTATTCCATCTGTGTACCAGGACTTTTCCGACTTATACTGATTGAATTTGAATAGTATTGGATACATGGTGATGCTCTACCCTTCATGTGTTCTAATTTCACATATTGGTCCATCTAAATGGTTACCTACATGCGAGGTGAGCTATTGTTGAATGCAAAGTCGCTTGAGGAAGGTTTCTCTAACCGCGGTAATAGGTGATGTGGGGGATATTGACTTGCTGCTTGTCAACAGCTACCAACGCCAAGCAGGTCAGTAGCTGGAGTAAAAGCTTGAATATAACTGACCTGTCTACCTCTAGGTCTATGGACTTCGCTTTCTTATCGGGTTCTTCGAAGGGGCAACTTGGCCAGGGTATTTTACAATCATCAGGTGCCTATTCGACCGGATCTGCAATAGAAAATCAATTCAACTGACCCAGTTTAGTCAGTGGTACATGCCTCATGAAATGGCTCTCCGCATGAGCTTGTATAATATCGCACAGCCTGTCGGGGCTATGCTCTCTGGAGCAATGCAAGGCGCGCTTTCTACCAACCTCGAAGGTTCACTCGGCCGGAGCGGTTGGCGATGGGCCTTCATTATCAATGTGAGCTCATTCATTTTCTACCAGGTCTATATGATACGAATTGCAATCTGATCAAGCAGGGTATTTGTACCATATTTGTCGCCCTGGTCGCTTTCGTTCTTCTGCCAGGCTTTGTATGAACCTCTCCTCTGATAGGTTTCTGATGTCCGCTGATGCAAGGTGTCTAGCCTGAACGCCAGAACCCACTCTCGAAGTTCTATCTCAGACCTCGAGATATTGGTAATTATACTTTCAACACAGATGCGGTAAACCAGTGCTAAAGATACCATTAGAGATTGCCAAGGAGCGCAATAGACGACTCGGCCGGGATGCCCAGGTTGGAATTACCCCGAGTACGTTCCTGCGGGCGTTCAAATTCTGGCATGTTTGGATATTTTCGCGTGAGTTTCTTTCAATCTTTGGTGACTAGAACATCACTCACGAAACAGTCGCATGGTCCATTGGCACGAATCAAACGCCTTCCAATTACTTCAATCTATGGCTGAAATCGCTGAAAACGGCAGACGGGTCCAAGAGATAGTGAGATATACCACCTTCAAGCAATATCTCAAATACTGACCATCTATCAAGCTCGGTCGCTATGCTCAACTATTTGCCCATCGCGGGTCAGGCTATCCAGCTTGTCGCCGAGCTTCTATTTAGTGGCTTTAGTGACTACTTGGGTGTCAGACTGCCATTCTTGCTTCTTCACTCTGTATGCAAGAGACCGCGATCAAATTGCCTTCTAAGCTAATAACAACCTCAGGTCGTCAACGTCACATCCCTCATCATCCTGATCATTCGTCCCAGCAATGACCATCTCTACATGGCTGGATGGTATATGAACTACATGGGCGCGTGGGTTACTTGATCACAACTATAAAAGTATTTCAGAAGCTAATCCATATAGTGTATCTACCATGCTCCTCTGCGCCTGGGCAGCCGCACATCTCGAAAAGGAACCTCAAGTCCGAACAGTTCTCTTCGCAACTGGTACTCTGTTCTCATACCTATTTAGTGCATTCTTGCCCATTGCTGCATTCCCGGCCTCGCAGGCACCACATTGGCGCATTGGCGCGAAGGTATACCTCGGACTGGCTCTTCTCGCAGCCTGTCTTTTTATCAGTATCGCCGTTATCTTCAGATGGCAGGAGAGAGGAAAAGGAAAAGCTGAGATAACAGAGGAAGAGAACGGAGCCCTTGAAAATCAGAATTGATCAAGGTCGATCGTGCTAGAGCCGATCATTTGATGTCGGCTCTGTATCAAAATATACTCGTCGGGCAGTTTGGATGCCACCAGGTGTTCGTGCGCTTTCTTGGAGAACGTACCCCAGAACCTCCTTAGGAAGTTTCCCCTATATTCAGGCGCGTCTATGTCATCAGCAGTTCACTCTCCATATTTCCTCATAAACACTCCTTGAAATAAACATGCACTCCAACCCGACCTGTCTCGGAAATCCCGAGTCGAGAAAAAGCCCATCTGTCGCGGGTATAATCAGTTCCGGATCTTTCTTATCTCCCCTCTGAAGACCCCCAGGAAATTCCGGCCAACTTTCCTTTGGTCCGGTCAGCAACCGATATCGCACATAGTGATCTGATTATAATAGTCAGGGGCTGTCCCCGTGTGGTTATGCAGGTCTTTCACCACCTGCCCGTTGCAGTATGAGAAGCAGCGAATCAAACACCCACGAAGCCAGACAGTTCCGCTCGGCATGACCTGCGCCGGCAGACCGAGCAATCACCGGCTTATCTGGGATGGCCGAGCGTGGGCCGAGTTTGTGCCGGGTGGATCTCGGTGATCGTTCGGGCTGCAGTAAAGAAGCAACTCACAGTTTCAGCTTAGTCTTGGGAGGGGAGCCTAAATAACTCCTAGTCTCCTTTTTTCCTACATCTAATGCTCCTCTTTTTCTTACACCGTTGTTAATTCCTCATTTCATGAGGACATTAACTCTCGTGGCAGTCCTTCACTAACCACCTCCACATCCAGAAAGAAGGCCCTGGGTAACTAATGGCCCACTTGGGTACGCTCTCCTATTTACGTTCGCTCGCTTTGGATACTGAAAAATAGAGATGGTTAACTTTTTTTTTGAATAGGAAGTGACTTCCCCTCGACCTGGACTTACAAATTGTCAGACTATTGCTTAGTCGCTGGAACGTCCTCCATTAATATGATCTCCACTTGGATGTGCCTGAGCGGCCCCAAAATATGGTCTTTTCAGAGACTGCAGGAGAATATATGGCGTTGATGACGACCTGAATAATGTTATCAGGGGGTCAAGAGCCTGAACGAAATCATTATCTGGTGCTATAGTTCAAAGATTATGACATTGCCTGGTATTATTGCTGTGTTCGTGCTGTACCTGACCATATACTTCTTGGCTCCAAGCCACTGCCGAATATGCATACAAATCATGTTTTCAACTAACCATCTAGATCAGTCACATCATGCTCATGCAGATATAGGCATCGACAATGGCATGCATGCTTGCGCTTATTTGGATCTAGTCACTTTTCATTGCATCGCTCCATCACACCTACGCTCGTCACTCCCAAATATTCTCGCCCACACGGCTTCTCTCACTCGCCATACATTCCATCCAGCCACGTGCCTCGACCTCGCTTTCCTGCGCCACAGACCAACTTGAATATCCACCCAGACTCCTCCAGCCTCGGATGTCTCGATATGCAAGTGAAACAAGCCTGAGATACTACGCACTAGACCAACCACGAGGTACATTACACAATACCGAGAACAATCATATCATAACATCAGTGGATTATTAACTAAGTACGCAATTCACAGGCAAGGAGACTAAATACAACAAGGAAACAGGGGAGGGTAGGACCACCAACGATCCTTCTCCCCGTATATAAATCCGCACCCTTCGCGAAGCAACATCCAAGGATGCCTCGACGAAGATACGAACCGTTTTGTGCAACTGCCTCCGCCCGACCGATCAAACCCAGACTGAGCGGAAACAAACAACTCCGAGCTTTGGACAAGGAATATCAGAAAACGGACAAGGGCAATCTCTCGACCATTCAAACAGCGCACCACCGACAACGAGCAAACGCGTCAACAGAACCCGCACGGCAAAACGACTCGAGATCAAAATCCTTGGCCTTTCTATCTCTTCCTTACGGCGGCTAGGATAGTACAAGCATGGAGGGGGTATATCATCACATTACACGCGACCCAAACGCGCACATCTCCAGGACTCAACACTCAACATCAAACATTTATGCCAACTCACGCTCGGTCTTGCCACGGCGGCTACGGCCAGTGGGGGACCAGGGGAAGTGGGCAACGGGGATGATGAAGAAGCTGTTGCTGTTATCAGCCAGACCAGCCAGGGCGTTGTACCAGGCCGCGAAAGCAGCGAGGAAGCCGAAGAAACCACCAGCCTTGGTGATGGAGGTGGTAGGGGCGCCATCGGTGCGGACCAGGTACGCAATACCCAGCAGCAGGAAGGTCAGGTCCAGGAAGAAGAACAGCAGGAAGAAGGCAACGGTCGAGCGGAGGGTGCAGAAGAGCAGGATGGTGGTGAAGATGAACCAGCCCATCAGGAACAAACCCATCGAGTCATAGAAGAAGTCGGCACCGCCATCTGCCTCGAGCGAACTCACAATCTCAAAGCCGCCAGGAGTCAGGACGATAGCGAAAGCGATCCAGAAACCACCGTACGAGGACAGAGCAGTGGCACCGAAAGTGTTACCGACAGCCATTTCCCTGGAACGAAACGAATTAGCATTGGTTGTGCAATGTCTGGATTTCTTTTGGAATTGGCAGGGCCCAATTCCGCAAGGAGATGCGACAACTTACCACATACCAGCCAACAGCTGGACGAGACCACCATAACCGAAAGCGAGGCCGACAACGATGTTGGGCGCGGTAAGACCGCGAGTACCCATGTTGACGGCACTCAGGACGAAAGTAGTGAGCGCGAAAGCGCACAGGCCGAGAGGAGCCGGGTTGGCGAACTTGCGGTTCTCAACGGACTTGTACAGACCGGGCTGGAACTCACCACCGAAGGGGCGGAGGCGAGCGTCCTCGGTGTTGACTTGGGCCAGAGGCCCATAGCCGAAGCGAGCAGCGGCGCGAGCAACTTCGTGCTCCTCGGCCGACATCTGCGGGTGAACGGGAGTGCCATTGTCGACGGCCGCAGGAGCGGTGGTGCTGAGGTCCTTCTCGACGGCTCCGTTGTTGGTGACTTCGGTGGAAGACATGTTGATCGCGAATCACTGGGATCACCGACAAACAATTGATAATTAGGTGAGGTTTTCTTTTTTTCAACAAAGGTATGACAACAAAAAAGGGGGGGGAGTTCAGCTCGCTGAACAATAAAGGTATAACACAGTTATACTTGGAAGGGGATAGAGGAAGGATAAAGCGATCAAATCCAAAGCCAATCAGCACTGCTGGATAGGTTTGATAGAGATGAGAAGAAGAGGAGGAGGGGAGAGAAGAAGAAACTGGAGGGGAGGTGTAGCCGGAGGTATTATACTCGCGCGAGCGTGCGAGCGAGGAGTCTGGCGTGGCAAGTGCTGCAAATCGGTCTGCCCAAGTTTCTTGGACCAGCGCGATTTGGGGAAAAACGGGGAACGGGACCCAGCAAGGTCAGCTTTTTTCTTTTCGGCTGCAGACCTCGGAGTTGCTGCTGAAGTTGCTTGCTAACCCGCTCAGCCGGCCATACACGAACCCTCCTCAGTTGGACGAAAGGAGAAAAGAAAAATAAATTTGGGAAAGGAAAAAAAAAAAAAGAAAAAAGAAAAAAGAAAATAGGGATTTCCAAACCAGAAGGGAAAAAAAGTGGAGTTGCTTTCCACTGGGTCGACTTACCCGCTCGACGTGGGTGATTCAATAAATCGCAATGATGTGCAGCCGCTGGACGAGTCCCACTGACGCTAACGGAGGTTTATTGAGTTGGTAAGGACGAAGGAGGGCAAGAAAAAAAGTGGAACACTGAGTAATGAAAGGAAAAGAGTTGGGGAATCAGACACGAAGAAATTGAGAAAGAACGAAGCAAAACGGGGGGTTTTCTGGTCAAAATGCAGTCAATGGGAGCTGGGTTCTCGTACTAGCTATATAAGAAAAACACATCTCGTAGCAATGCATGGCACTTTGTTTAATTGTAATCTCCTTGCTGGCGTTCCAGGACGCCTCGTTACATGGATTCACGAAGCCTAGTCAAGACAGAGAACGGGATAGCGGAGCAGGGATTACTTAGCTCGCTGGTTGGGATAAATGTGCATAGGCCATTATGGACGGCTTTACGGAGATCAGGATTATTAGCCTATGGAGTACATGCTATTCAGTAGCCCACACTCTCTACGGTACTACAGTGAGTACGCATAAGTTTTTAGACCCCCCCGCCCCACACCCCCTATATTACATAATATACTGCCGGAAGCAAAACCTCCGCCAAATTCCATGCACCCTATAGGCCTAGTAAGGCGTATACCACCCTTTTGATTCAATAAATGCTTGCACCCTATTGGGCATAGCCTCAGAAAGGTGTTGTAGTTGCTTCATATCAATATTCTGCCAAGCAATCTGTGCAGTTTCTACCAAAATTTGCTTGGTCTTATTGTTGTTCTTCATTTGCATAAGATCTTACTACGCGTATCTAGTAGGCGGTCGGAATTAGTATGGGCGGTCAGCAAAGTGGGTCCAAGGGGGTCCAAAAACTTATGCGTACTCACTGTACTCTGTGTGTTCCTACCAACGCCTCAGCTATGGATAGCGAACAAAGACTGGAATACTGGAGGATCGATGGCAACCAATCTGTACTGTCAGAAATCAATAATAACACCCTTTGGATTACCTCGCGCATTCGTATCTGACATAGAGGATGTGCAGGATGGCCCTGGGGGTACGACCACCTATGCTAATTGGTCACGGAGGTAAGGAAACCATGAAAACGAGGAGGAATGGCAAGAAATGGCAACAGAAGCCCGGGGAAAGGTCCCAAAAAAGTGGGGGCTCATCCGGGGACCCGGCTTGACTCGTTCAACTTGTCTGTCAGACAGCCATACTCTTCGTACTGGCGAAGAAAGTCATTCTGATTGGCAGAAGGATTAGCAGGTAATTTACTCTGGCAACTCCCGTTTTGTTGTGTGCAGCAACCAGAATGTACCTAATTATGGCCTCGATGTGCTGTGTTCTTCTTGATGAACGCAAAAGTACCTGGACAAAGTAGAGTTTATGCGATCGACTTGCCAGTTCACGATCCTCCTCCCCTGTCATACATCATAGCTTTATCCAGACTCCAGTTTCAGTCGCGCTCCAATTCCTATCCCACCCCCTTACAACTTGATCGACGCATGCAATTAAGCCTCCTCTCCTTCCTTCTTTTTGGTTCTCTTTGCCTTCTCAGCGCCATCCGCCTCCCAAGGCTTCCTCGGGGAGAAAGTGGGTCCTCAGGGTCTTTTACTCGTGACTCTCGTTCTCGCGGTAATTTACCAATCATCTGGTCATTTTTGCCCTTCGTTCGGCATCCCCAGCTGTAGCACGAGAGAGAGACTATGGACATAGTGGAGATTATTATTCTGGGGATACTGAGAAAGAGTACGGAGAAGACAGTACATAGTATATGCTCATCCCGAGCTAGAGACGATTTAGTTCCTCTCGAACGCCAGGCCTGTTCTACAGTACCATCCAAGTGGGGGGATGCTTGTTGATCCAAGCGGGGACAGGTATCATTCATGAATCCTGCGAGAAAGATTATTCAGAGCATGAATGTGAGTTTGCAGTGCACCATTGACCAGGCAATAATATTGGGGAACTATTCAATTGCCAACTGTATATGCCGTAGTTAATGACCTGATTGTAAATTTGTAATCATTGCGACGATCATTGCTCTAGTTGGTACGGCGTACCCCAACTAGCTACATACCCAGTTTACAACATACTGTACGCCGTAGTACATATGTACTTTGAGTACTCCATAGCTCTTCAATACACCTATCACTAGTTCATTGACCATGTCGATGGCTGGCGATAACTCACCATTTATTGCAAGCATGATCTGTCCTTGTACTTCATAGCTGACCACTTGACGGCTCCTATTGTTTTCGGACCAACTGCTGCGAGCCTCTCAGAAGCACCCTGTGGAACACGACTCTCAAGGGATCATCAAAACAAAAAGCGATCCACCGGCTAATATGGGTTGCTTGGCAGGCTAAAACAGTCCAATACCAATTACGCACCAATGATGATTGTTGACGCTCAGAACAGAACCCATCAAAACGCAACAAAGGCCTCGTCGCAACGAAGATAGCTCTTAGTGAACTCGCTAGTCCGAAATAGTAATTTCGTGACTTCGCACTTCGTGTGTACAAAATAATGATTATTATTCTAGTGTATTTTTCGTGCCTCTACTTATGTGGGCACATTATGCAACCAACATAGACCAGCCTAGATCAGCCCCTCCTACCGTTGAGTGACTCTGCCCCTTTTTGAGTCTGCTCGGGTCATACAAGGCACGAAGCAGGCACTAATTACGCCAACTCAACGATTTTCATAACAAATCCACGTCAATCATGCCAATCATGCCAACTAACGTTAACTCTTCCTTCAGACGCGTGGAGAACAACATTTCAACGTCCCGGCCCCTCTACCGCCGGGCTGTGCCAGTCAATCCTCATTAAACTATGTAGGCATTGCCGTTCGCTGATTGAGATCTACCGGGTCAGCGTCTGTCATTATTCTCCTAAACACTGGACGACCGACAGGAGGGCGCGTTCGAAGACCGAGCTCTGATTTGGAAAGCCAATTAGACTTTTGCGTCGGCCGTGTCGCACCACACCCGCGACCGCCGCTAGACCTTGCCAGGCTATCAGTCCGGTCCTGGCGGGGATGGCCCAGCTGCATTCAGATCGGCCTGGCATTGGTAGATGGGGGCCGAGACTAAGCCATGCAAAGACTAGGCATTGTGGTGCATGTGCATCGTGTTTTGTTTTGTTTTGTTTCTTCTCTTCTGAAGTTACCCTTACAAATTTCGTTGGGGTCGAGTGATTCCCACTAGTTATGCGGGTTCAGCCGTGTATCGTCTTCAGAGTGGGAATTAGACCTTGGGCCTGCCACGCCCGACTCCACAGAAAGCCACGCCAAGAAGAAAAGCCCTCGAAGCTCAAGCTCCTGCGCCTTGAGCCACATGGTGGATTCTGGTGGATACGGTGGACTCTGCTCTCTCAGCAACGCTTCGGATTCGGCCCGTGTTCGAGGTTATTCCCCATTTGGACTCCGAACGGCTTGCGTATCAGATCGACTCACCCGGTCACAGTCTCACGATTGACCATACATGTCTAAGGGGTTCACTGTGTGTTCTCCGAAGCTTATGTGGACCGAGTGATGGGACCAGACGGGACGAGGTTTACGATGGGTCTTTGTTGCTTAGTTTATTACAAAAGAGTTCGCGCGGAAGAGGTCCCGTATGTCAGCCGCAGAAACCACTTGGCAATTGTTAGGAGCGTTGCAAGCGCAGGCGCGGTGGACATGCTCCAATTATTGCGTAAAATTCAACCACGGAGAAAACAACAATCGCTAAAAAAGCCCAGACCTAGGTGAGAGAGCCAAAACAATGCCAACAGACTTCCAGTGAACCAGAAATGAGTGACCTTGAGCACTACAAGCCTATCCTGGCTAGTCGTTCCAATAGTGCAGACCACAGCTGTGAAATTTGATAATAATAGAAGAGAAAACGAACAGGTCAGTAACGTAGTCACGATAGGTCGGCAAAAGAAACCTCTCCGCATAGCGACCAGTTCAGCATTTCACCTTTCCCTTCGTCATCACGGCCTGTCCAATAGACTGGGAACCAGCCTTCGTTGCGAGTCGCGACATGCTGTATGTACATACAAGCACCATGGACGCGATCATCTCGCGCAGTCCCCTTCGCCCGGGGTTGAGTCTATCTAGGGGCGCTGATTGACGGAGTTTCATAGTCCTGCATGCATTTCGTGGCGCGCGGGACTGGCTGGACTGGAGTAAGCAGGTCGAAATAGACGTGTACACCACAAGTCTAGGCGAGGCCAGCCATGGGATGGCGGTGGCTTGCCCAGTAAAGTTAGGGGGCCAGCAAAACATGTATCAAGTTTGCTGGTGGGCTTGGCAGGAGTTTGGACGAAGCACTCCGTGCTTTGTTTTTACTAGTCAGATTGGTTGAGCATGGTCTGTATGAGGCTACAAGCCGTTTGTGCAATTTCTGAATCTGCGTCGTATTTGTTTCAGACCCTGTTGGAAATTGGAATAATGCCGTGGCGGGTCTAGGTTAATTGAGTTGATCGAGCCTAAGTAATAGCGTTTGTGTTAATTACTTCTGCTATTGTTATTCGTGGATTTAGGCTGTTCGGGCCGCAATGGTCGTGAATGATCCTTTGGTTCCTTGGTGGGATGATGCCCTGGAGGATTTATCGCAGGATGCGGAGTGCATGCCAGCCTTGCCTCGTCTTGACTCGACTCTCTGGTCGCCTGTCCAGGCACCGAGGGGTTTTGGGGTCAGAACATATGAATGGGATCATTTCCCCGCACAGAAATTTGGGGAAAGAAGTGAATGACCATTTTTTGGGGATCTTCCTGTGTCCTCCAGTTGATCTTGATGATGCAAGATACCAAGCATTGAGGCACTTTCCCACGTGTCGAAGCGATCCTATGATGCGCCCGGCAAAGCAATGCAGAATTGAACCTTGATTTGGAAAACCGATTGAATCTGGATCGGGAAATTCTAATACGCAATAACCCAGAACTACCCCGTTCAGAAACTTGTATCCAGTTCAATAATCGGTCGATTAAACTCAAAAAACGAACCACTACTTCAATCCGTTCAACCAGATCCTCACTGACCGCTACAGCCGATCCCCAAGGCCCACAACTTCTTCGACCACCATCATCATCATAGAGCCCAAATCTGCAAAATCTGCAAATCTGCAAATCCATACTGGTCAATCTTCCTCCAACCAGGAATTGGGAACTGGCCAATTCCCAACCAGATTCAATATTTGACGATGATCACATACTCCGCTTCTAGACGGAATTGTGCGGGGAAAGCTTCATCATCCCTGTACCAAGATGCACCGCACCAATGAGGCCGTGATGCGCAAACGCATCGTGCCATCCTTGATCTATTATTTCGGCAGATGAACTAACTAGCGAACGCAGACTGCTAGTCGAATGGCTCCAGGTCACAAATCATCGTGGATGGTGGCCCTCCTTGGTCTATTCGAGGTTAGCGAGTCTGACATTCCTCCCCCACAGTCTGCTCATCTGACCCTGGAGATTGTGCGGGGGATCAGCCAACGACAACGACGCCACGAAAGCAATCAAGACAATCCCAGTTGCGACCTTTTGCAAGACTCAAACGATGTCAGCATCATTGGCGCAGCACGACTACCCAGGCCGCGTATAGCAGTCAGCATCACGGCGGGACCGGTCCGGATTCTCTCGGCTCCGGGGAACGTCCTCCTCCTCTTCGCCACACGTGGACAAAGAAAATGAACCACGGATGAGTTACGCTAGTCGCACAGTTTAGTATCGTATGATGCCAATAAATTCCCAGCCCAAAGCCCCAAGCCCCACGCCCCCATACTTACAATCCCCCCCGAAGGTCAAAATTCTGGAGATTAACCCACCCTTGGAACGCTTCGAAATGGCTTCCTCGGCGACTCATGTTCGGCTGCCAAGGCCTCGCCCCCCGAATGAGCCCCAGAATACCCAGATGAAGCCCATCTCGCTGCTTTCGGCTCGGCGGAGCGGAAGGGAGTTCGGGTACGATGTTGTTCGGGCTCCACCTTGTCCTCTGGTAGACTTGGTTCTGGTCTTTGGTCCCAGCCGCATCCGTCGGGGTCGGGGAAACCCCAGAGAAACCACGTTTGGGGCGTTTGAGCCGTGGAAATTATCTCCGGCTGTGGAGGATTGGAGTGTGAATAGAGGAGCCTGGAATAGTGTGTCGTTGAGGGGGGATGAGAATGCGGGGTTGGGGTAAGGGAGCTACAATGGTGAAGCTGTTTCCAAAAGTCGTAGCAAAACCTTTGAACATGGATGATATTAATAGTACTGTAGATCGGAGTAAAATAATCAAACAAAATGAATGCGAATGACTGCAAATTTCCCCGCATATGCATGCTAAGCTAGATGCAATATCACGACGAAAAGAGCAGTGCCTCAGACTGATCCTAGCTGGTCAAAGCGAGTCAAGGTTGTATCCAGCCATCTGGATTTGCGGGTTCTTGCTACGGACATGCAACTTGCATCTCGCATCGATGCTAATTGGGCCTCTAGATTGGACTATTGTACAGTTGGAGATCATGTACCGGCTCCAGAACATACCCTGGTCAACACCCTATCCATTCACCATCCAACTCTGGGGGCTAGTAGTGAGGGCCGTCAGTCACGGTGGAAACACATATTGGAGATCTCTGCTGGGCAATCCCAATTGGACCTGCGCGACATCATATTCCCACTAATCCAGGTGCCACTGGTTATCATTCTACAATGATCGACAACGCTGTTGAGTGGAGAAAAGGTGATGAAGATCATGCGGTGAAGCATCCCAAAATTGAGGACTTTCAAATGATCTGAGTGATGTTGATGAAATAGCTCTGGTCTTAGGCGAATTTATTCTCATCCTTTCGGGCGAGAGATATCATTTGCATGAATAATCTCGTCTGTTGACCCTTCCTTTTGACTGTGAATTGACTTTCTACTTTCATATGGACGGCTTTGAACTCCCGTCTTTTACTCTTATCAATCCCATCGTCTTTATCTTCGATCAGCCAAACTCCGACTTGGCCGGTGGCTTGCACGAGAGACATCTATACCTCCATCCTATATCGAAGCGTTTTGAATCTCCTATCTTCGAGCTTCCCCTCTTCATCTCCAACTTCTGTACAAAGATGCGGGGTCCGCAGCACAGTTAGCTCCTCTATCCAACACCACCTTCCCGATCAGGTTTAACGGCATAGCCGACAAGCCCCTCAGCTCCCATGCAAGCGACGGGTATCTGCTATCTGTACTCTTTGTGGAACTGCTCTCTTGCCGCTGAGCAACAGAGCATAACCAACCATAAACAGGCGATCGGCAGCACCTCCCTATCATTGGCCGTACACCCGGCGCCTTCGCATATCAATGAGAGTCCAAGTATTTAGCTTCTTGATGAGGCATCGCGGCGTGTGTTATCAGTTGCAATGGATGGCACTGCTCGGCAAATGATCGTTTCAAGTGCTTCGTTATCTCGAAATGTTGCGTGCGGGAGTAGGTGTCGGGAGGTTGAAATGGGCCGGTCTCGCACTGGGTGTCTGGTTCTCCAGAAGTACCTCTAGACTAGCAGAAGAACTTGTGAAGATCACTCTGTGGTAATCAGAATACTTCGGAAGCTAATTGAGATGGGATCCCTCGAGGAAGAGCGAACGCACTCGACTGCGCATCATTCGGTCGATTACGAGACCAAGGATGTCTCCCTACCAGATGGCAAGGCAGATGCAGCCTTCGAATTCCTGCGTGATGAGGACATCGCGATCGCAGTTGAAATCAACGAGAAAGCTCTCGTTCGCAAGATTGATTGGATGATCATGCCGTTGATGTGGGCAGCGTACAACCTGCAATACCTCGACAAAGTACTCATCAACTACGCCTCTGTCATGGGCCTTCTAAGCGACACCAATATGCGGACAAACCAGTTCTCTAATCTGACCCTAGCTTTCTACGTGACCTATCTGTTCTTCGAGCTACCGACTGGATACTTTATGCAGCGCCTGCCGACTGCAAAGTATCTAGGCTTCAATGTCATGCTATGGGGTCTGATGACAACGCTTAATTGCTCGGCAAAGAACTTTGGCGGTTTGATGACGCTACGAGTTCTACTTGGATGCTTTGAGAGTGCCATTGCGCCGGCTCTGATCTTGATCACTTCCATGTGGTACAAAAGGAACGAACAGCCCACGCGCATGGGAATTTGGTATATCGGCACTGGGACGGCATCTATCATGGGCGCTCTAGTCTCATACGGTCTACTCTTCTACACAAGTGATCGCTTCAAGCCGTGGCAAATCATGTTCTTAATTTTCGGGCTGATCACAATCGCCGTGGGCGCCTGCATCGTCATCTTCCTCCCAGACAATCCCATGACATCGCGATTGACGCACGCCGAAAAGGTTCTCGCGATTGAGCGGCTGCGCGAGAATCGCACCGGTATCGAGAATAAGCATTTCAAATGGTGCCAATTCATCGAGGTTTTCAAAGATCCGCAGACGTACCTGATCGCCATCGTCGTGACGGCCATGGACGTGCCCAACGCGGCAGTCAGCAGCTTTACCTCGCTGATTATCAAGAACATCGGTTTCACCACCAAGGAAACTGAACTGCTGAATATTCCCAACGGAGTGGTAAGTATTATCAGTATCTGGGTAGTCACGTATCTCGCAGCTCGTTACGACCAGCGCTGCCTCTGCGTTGTCCTCGCTTTGGTGGGCGGTTTGCTAGGTAGCTGCCTTCTCGCCTTCTCGCACAAGGACATGAAAGCCGCCCAGCTGGCTGGAAATTACCTCACTCAAATCACCGGTTCCGCTTTACCACTCATGTACGCCATCGGGGGCGCCAATGTCGCCGGGCACACGAAGAAGATCACCATGAATGCCATCCTGCTCATGTCCTTCTGTCTGGGTAATATCCTGGGCCCGCTTACTTTCCGCACGCAGGATGAGCCTGACTATATCCCTGCAAAGATTGCGCTTGTTGCTACTATCTCGGTGGCGATTATATTTGTGATGATTTTGCGGGGTTATTATGGTTGGGAGAATCGGCGGAGGGATCGGCGACATGAGGGCGAGGCGCATGTGCAGAACTCAGAGTTTTTGGATCTGACGGATCGAGAGAATCCAGAGTTTCGGGTGAGTCGATCATGCCTTTTACAATTTTTTAATAATGGATGCGTTGCTGACTGCAGTTATAGTACAAGTTATAGGGTGATTGTTCACCAACCTCAAACTCGGGAGATGATCAGTACATTATACAACCTAGAGCCAGGAGAGGAGATGCCCGTTCATATGTAAATGAGTTCCAGTATGAACAAAGTCTATACGTGTATATTTCATGATATATCTATCATCATCAAACGCAATGCTATGCAGTCGTAACCAAGTCAAGGAAATCCCTGTATATCCAATCCAAAATCAAGCCGCAGCCTCCACAGCCTTCTTATACTCAGCACTAAACTCCCAGTCATTATACCCCTTAGGATCCTTAACAAGATACAGCACCTCCCGCTTATGCGGCACAAGAGGAACATTCTCCTTAATACGGAACGGCAGATCCGGGTTCGACGTAAACGGCCGACCAAATCCAATAATCACATCATGATCCTTATACTTCTGATCAACCGCCTCCTTCGCCGACACAGGCTGATACCCACCAGCAATCACGACGGGGCCGGCATTCTGGTACGCATCGAGGAAGAACTGCAGATCCTCGGCAGAGTCGACATCCGCATTACCAGCAACGCGGCCCTCGACGAGGTGCGTGTACGCGAGCTTCAGCGGAGCCAGCTCGCGCGCCAGATAGGCGAATTGCGGCTGCGGGGTTTCCATTCTCATTCCCTGGAAGGTACTGTAGGGGCTGAAGCGGATAGCCGTGCGGTCAGCGCCGATGGCATCGGACACGGCGCGGGTAACTTCGATCGCGAAACGGGCACGGTTCTCAATGCTACCGCCCCAGCGATCGGTGCGCTTGTTGGTGACGTCCTGAATGAACTGGTCGATCAGGTAGCCATTGGCACCGTGGATCTCGACACCGTCGAAGCCCGCGGCGACAGCATTGCGCGCAGCCTGCGCATAGTCCTGAATATAAGACTGAATCTCTTCCTCGGTCAGCGGGCGAGGGGCAGGCGCTTCGCTAGACACGGGGATATCACTGGCAGACACGAGGTCGAAGCCAGAAGCCTTGAGGAGATCTGCACTTCCGACACGGCCCAGCGCCCAAAGCTGCATGTAGATATACGAGCCCTTGGCGTGGACGGCGTCGGTGACTTCCTTCCAGGCAGCGATCTGGGCGTCGTTCCAGATGCCGGGGACGTTGGCGTAGAGGCCGGCTTGAGGGGTAATGAGGGTTGCTTCGGTGATGAGGAGGGTTCCTGGGGTGGAGGCGCGCTGGGCGTAGTGTTCCTTGACGAGGGGGAGAGGGACGTGGTCGTCGTTAACGCGGAAGCGAGTCATTGGGGCCATGGCGATGCGGTTGGAGAGCTCCATTCGCCCGACGCGCAGGGGGGTGAAGAGATTGGTCATTGTGGATGGAAAGTTAGTCGGTGCTTTGTGATGGGAATTGAGACTATATAAGTACTCCAAGAGGGGGGGAGGATAGAAGAATCAATTGCGAGCCCAATTGGGGTGATAGGTCTCAATGAAGTATATTTTATGGAGGAGAAATAGAATGCGCAAGGTCATTATATAGATAACGGGTCTTGAATACACGTGGGATTGGAAGCAGACCCATGGGTGGTGATTTATAATGGACAATCTAACCTACTGTACGTAAAGTCAGCACAAATTATGATCAAGCAATAAGAATGGTAGATTTATGCGGATAAAACATGCTTGAACCAATGGGAAAGTCTCCGAGTCGGCAAATGCGATGCCGACTTACACTTTTTCTTCCACTGCGTTCCATTGGACTCTGCTGCTATCCACCGCAAGTTCATCCCGAGGTGAAAAGCTTCCCGTCGGAAGAGAGGATCAATTCTTTAGATTATTAATTGTTATTAATTCCAAAAACTTTGAATTTTTCAAGGTTCCAATTCTTCACTTGCTGGAATTAACAAACACAACAAACTCGGGCTCGGGCCTCGGATCGATGCTCGCCACTGGATTTCAAGGATTTGGTATCATTATTGATACAGTAAACAATAGACAACAACCTTGACACTGCAAACACATTACTCAACACGTAGTACTCGACTCGTGTGTACAACAGAAAACGCCATGCCCCGTCGCTAACTCGCTCCAAATTGGTATCACGACATCACGGTATCACGAATGACGAATGACGAATTGACGAAAAATGACTCCAGATAGAAACCCTCTCGTAAAATACAAATCACGACCGCTCCAGGCGCCGCGCTGTTGCTTCAAGTTGCTGGTTGAAGGCACGAATCTGGTTCAACAACCCTCCTTGTGAACCAGGAGCCCGACAGCTGACATCATCAGCCACGGTGCGAAGCATGAATTCAAGGTCTGCCGGGGAGACCTCGGTGCTGGGTTCAGCACGGTGCTGGCTGCGATCGAGCACCATTTCGAGGCTATGCAGCGAGTTGTTGATAGTATTGCGAGCCTGTGGGCATGATTAGTCCTGCCACATAGGAAACTTCACGTATATCTCATGCAGAACAAATGAAATGAATACTCACTGTCTTTGCATTCTCCTCCTCCATATGCTTGGCGCGGACCGCATCCATTTGTATAGCTATACTCTCTCGCTCTTTCCGCACCTTGTACAGATGGCTCCGTAGATCCATCATATCACGCTTCGCCTTTCTCAACTGTATCCCGAGCACAAAGTTGCTGTCGAGGATCTCGCTCAGGTCCAAAAGGCGATTATCCAATTCCAAACCAAACGCTTCCACAGCTTTTCGCTTGCGGGACCATTCGGCACGTTTTTGGGTATTGGTCTCGTTTTCGATCCCGGTCTTGAGTTTGTCGAGCGTCTTTTCTAACGTCTCGCGACAAATCTGACCCAGCACGTCGGCCGGATTGACCCCGCCACGAGTAGGCAATTTGGTGCTGAGACGAGACAGAACGCCATCCCGGGATCCCTCATCTTCATCGCCAGATCCCTCGGCAGAGGCATACATCGCACCTAGAGCGGAAGCATTTGCCAGACGATGAACAGTGACGGACACAGTTTCACCCCGGGGTTCTCTTGTCTTCCGTCGCGGCTCTTGTGGTGCCTCGGAGTCAGGCTGCTCTTCTGAAGGTGTCGCCTCGGGTTCTGCACCTTGCTTGTCTTTCCTTTTAATTGACCCGCGGCGCCGAGAATGAGAAGGACCAGCTTCTGTCTCAGTATGAACATCGGCCTGGGGCTCTGGCTCCGGTTCTTGACTCGCATCATGCTCTGGCTCAACCGATCTCCGCTGCGGCTGTGCACCTTTTTTCTTAGTAGCTTTACGACGGCGCGGGGCTGCTGTAGATGCCTGGTCCGTGGGAGATGTAGATCCAGCCTGGCTCCCTAAACGGTTTTTCGCTTCTGACGGCTTTGGTCGAAGTCGTTTGGTTTGAGGTCGTGACTTGGACAGGGCAGTTTCGGGGTCATCTGGCACTTCAGCTTCAGCGTCGTTGATAGCCTTCTCTGCATTCGTATCTGTCGCCGTGGGGGCAGGAGAAGATCTCCTACGAGTACGTTTATTCTTCGATGTTGCTTGAGAAGTGGCGTCCGCCGGCTCATCACGCGTCTCAACGTCAGGGTCTTGTTCTGGTTCTGTTCGCGTAGTCGCATTCTCTGCGGGCTGTGAGCTCTTGTTCTTGGTATTGCGAGCCGAACTGGGCTTAGACTTTGGCTGGCCTTTATCTCGGGGTGAACGCCTTTGGGCTCCATAGGTACTACCTTCCACATCCGTAGTGATGGGGCGAGTAATATCTGTCTCTCGCTGTTCAGCGTTCGTGCTTTCATCGGCTACCTGGGATTGGCCGGTTTTGGTAGCGTTTGGATTCGCCTGGTTGCTTTGGGCAGCTGGCGAACTAGAGTTCCTTGATGACCTTCTGGCCGGCCGTGCTTCGCTCTCTTTCGGCGAAACTTCGTCTTGCTGCGGAGACCGACTCTTTCCGCGCTTCTGCTGCGATGAATTGGAGGGCTGAACAGGATCGACAACTGGCCGTTTCTCGCGCAGTGGCACTTTGGATGGCCCGGTTCGGTCGGGCATTGTTGTGCCATTTTGTGGAGGATTTGAAATAGCTGCCGGGTCTACCTCTCCTCTACTGGTATCCTGTGTCCTCTCCGTCCGTGTATTTCCATCGATCAAGGTCTCTGGTTGAGGATTTGTAGCTGATTGAGCCGCAGGTACGAGGGTCCTCGCCACAGGAGCTTCCATGCTCCGGGGTGCCTCTGTGTCGCCATTGTTGGCTTTTCTTGAAAACCAATTTCCGGCAGCAGATATTTGAGGGCCTGAGGGGGTATTGGATTCCTGACTTGGTTGGCCTAGCAAGATGACGTTAGTAGACAGGTCTTGCTCGCGCTTCTTCGGTCATAATCATAACACACTGATTTTCCTCCTTTTGTTACTGCGCAGCGGCGCAGGCCCATCGTCGGTGGGTATGTCGTATGGCGAAGGGCGCTCTGGTTGTTGATTTCGCGCGCTTCCTGGTGTGCGCTGTATCCTGCCATCTGCTTGCGAACCTGGGGGTGTGGTCGTGGACGGCGCAGTCTCAGTCTGCGACGGTTCTTGGGGCGCAGGAAAAAGAGGGAGTGCAGCTGAATCTGAGGACCCAATCGCGCCTGCGAAAGAAAACCCGAAATCAATTGCCTTTGTCTTGTGCGTCCTATGCAGCGGATCAGCTCGTGAGTTCTTATGTTATGATTTCGCGGGGTAAAGGCGCGTACCCAGCTCCGCGCTGTCGCATTTGTAGCCGCTCCTCTCGCGCTGTCAATGGTTATCAGAACATATGTATCATGTCTCGGGATTTTTATGTACATACTGGAAGCCATGGTGGAGGAACGGCGTCGAGTTAGACGCGTCGTGTTGATGTTGGAGAAGCAAAGATGGCCGCTGCGGTCGGGCCCAAGATTAGGTCGTCCTTCATGGCCGATCCATTTTTGTCCCGATTTCTCCGCAACCCTCTGAACAAGCCAAGTCGCCTTTCTACCCCCTCCACCTTTAATATCATTGTCCTAAAATTGATTCCCAATGGGCCGGTTTTGGGGTGACAACGAGAGTGACCCTGTCAAGAAGCTCGACCCAGGCCTTCGCGAGTTCCTCGAGCAGGAGACGCCCGATAATTATGTCCCTGCGCCCGATGTGAAGCAACCAGCACCTACAGCCTCGCCCTCGCTGTCCCTCAGCTCACAAGAAGCCGACCATTCATCAGAGCCTAAAGTCCCTGCTGCATCTCTCTACCAGGATGGTCGCTATGCCGATCTGTGGAAGACCTACAAACCGCCGAGCAATATGGATGGTCGCACCTCTGGCGTCCGCGGGGCGGAGCGAGTGGTTGAAAAGCACCATGAGCGCGGGGATACTGTGCAGCGAGCAGCAATGGAGAATTGTGCTCTGGAAAATGAGGCTTTGACCTTTTGCTTCAAGAATGGAGACTGGAAGAAGCAGATTGAGTCCCGGTTGACGATGTGCTCCGCAGAGAAATCGACTTTCTCGCGATGTTACGAAACACAGAGCGTGAGTAGCTCGATTTCAACAGTTTCACCATGTTCAAAGCTGAGACCATACTAATATCTGCACAGAAATTCCTCCAGGCGCTGGGCTACGCCGCATCCCTCGAATACGATGCCGAAAAGGAAGAGCGGATTCAAGTGCACGCCGACAAGCTGTACCACCAAATGCTAGACTACGAAAAGAAAGTGAAGGAGGCAAAGGCAGCTGGAACTGAACCTCCTCCTCTCACCTCCCTCTTCAATCCCGACAAGAAGTCTCATGTTGAAGGTGTGGCGGGCACGAAGGTTGAGATCCCTGGCGGAGAGGCCGTTCCACCTGGTTTCAAGCCATCCAAGCCCTTGATCAAGCTCACACCTCACGAACGTGAGCTGGAGATCCGATCCTACAATGCTCAGCGGGAACAACAGAAGACATATGTGGAAGAGGCTACCCCATTCATTAAGAGCCAAGCGGAGGCCGGGACGAAGCGACAGGAGAGGGCTGTCAGCTGGTTTGGAGAGACGATTGGAAAGTGGATCTCATAATGGAAGAATAAGCGTGAGATGAACCTGTAATTCTAGTTTTTATGCAAATCCTGTAACTATCTGTCACTATATATCCTTGGGAAATGGCAATGGGGGCGTTCTAAGCCGATGGAGATGGCCTGGCCTATTGTATATTCTGCTGTCATGGCCGCTTTTCTCCACCACGATCTGTTCTATTGACCTTAAGCCATGAAAATAATGAAATACAAAAGCTAACTCTGAATCGATAGCCACCACGTGTCAATACTTATTGCTAATTAGGAACATGCTCTCTGTTGAAAGAAACCAGGGCTCCTCTTCTCACCAATCGTGGCTGGTGGTGGAAAATCCAGTGTCTTTCACTGGGCGGGCCTATCTAATCGCCCGGTCGCGTTCCCGCGTCAAACAACTCGAAGCATCATCACCACCGAACGCTCTTCCCCAATCTCTCTTCCTTACTCTCTCTCCCCCCACCCCGTTCTTCCTCTTTCCACCTCTCTCACCTCATTGCCCCTTCGATCTTACTTGTGGCTTCACTTCTCTCCCCCTCCCCTGGCTACAAAGACCATCTCGTCAACCGACCGAGACCGGGGAGACCCCGTTCCATCCTCTTAATTAAACCCACCGTCGAGAGCCCATCGAGCACTTTCTCTGTCCCTGAGATTAGCGGTTGGCAAAGCAGAGCTCGCTGAGCTCCAGACAGCACTATGAAGGCTTCTCCACTGCTGATCTCGTGGCACAACGACAATGCCCCCATCTATTCTGTACACTTTGATCCCAATGGCAAGGGCCGCCTAGCAACGGCTGGAAAGTAAGTGCTCTCGCTTTTGACAGGGAGCATATGCTTTGAACTAACGACGAATAACTAGCGACAATCATGTTCGAGTACGTTCTCGCCAGCCCCCGCATCCCTACTACCGTGACCTTCCTCCGAAGCCTTGTCTAACACAACCCTTCTCCAGCTTTGGCGACTTGAGTGTACCGGGGAAGATCGAAAAGCGACGTATCTGAGTACACTGGTGAAGCATACACAAGCAGTTAATGTGGTGCGATTCTGCCCGAAGGGTACGAGCTCCTCCTCTTCTCACAGAGACTCTAAGGCCCCATAGAGCCTTCTAAAGCTGACAATGGTAATAGGTGAGATGCTGGCATCTGCCGGAGATGATGGCAATGTTTTGCTATGGGTTCCCTCGGAGCTCCAAACACAGCCTGGACTTGGAGAAGACCGGTCGGACGACAAGGAGACCTGGCGAGTGAAGCACATGTGTCGTTCCTCTGGGGCCGAGATCTACGACCTGGCCTGGTCCCCCGATGGAGTGTTTATTATTACGGGCAGCATGGACAACATTGCTCGAATTTACAATGCTCAAAATGGTCGGTCTTGCCGGCAACAAGAGACTTGATTCACATCCGAATCCAAAAATGCTGACCCTTACTTTCGCAGGACAAATGGTACGGCAGATTGCGGAGCACTCCCACTATGTGCAGGGTGTCGCATGGGATCCGCTCAATGAATTCGTCGCGACCCAATCGTCTGACCGATCGGTTCATATTTATAGCTTGAAGACCAAGGACGGCCAGTTTACTTTAACTCCTCACGGTAAAATTCTGAAGATGGACCTCCCAGCCAAGCGCATTTCATCCAGCAGCCCTGCCCCAGAGCCGACCAGCCGGCCCTCGCAAAGCACCGCCAACTCCATTGCTATCGCATCCCCCGCTCCATCTACACCCGGAACCCCAATGATCTCTAATCTGCCCATGGATCCTCCTCCGGTTTCTCATAGCCGCCGTTCCTCCTTTGGCTCGTCCCCCTCGATTCGGCGGTCCGCATCTCCTGCCCCATCTCTACCACTACCTGCCGTGAAGCCCTTGGAGGTTTCATCCCCAAGCCTTCTTGGCGGCCTTGGTGTGAAAAATGCCAGCATCTATGCAAATGAGACTTTTACATCATTCTTCCGGCGACTGACATTCACACCTGATGGAAGTCTTCTGTTCACACCAGCTGGCCAATATAAGACTTCTCATGTCTCGACCAGCGATCCATCAAAAACCACCGACGAAATAATCAACACTGTCTACATCTACACGCGGGCTGGTTTCAACAAGCCCCCCATCTCTCACCTCCCTGGTCACAAGAAGCCATCTGTAGCGGTCAAGTGCTCGCCTGTGTATTACACCCTGAAGCAAGGTGTACAGCCGGTCAAGAATATGACAGTGGACACATCAGCAGGAGGGGAGGCAATGTTTCCTCCTCTGCCAGATTCTGTCGTGGTCTCGAATACATCGTCTACCAGCAAGCCTTCGATGGAGCCGCCATCTTCTAATACCACAGGTGGCGATGCATCAAAGTCTCAGCTCTCACCGAAGACCTCCGACAACACTGGCAATGATACAGGAACGGCACCAGTTTTCGCACTTCCGTATCGCATAGTTTATGCTATTGCCACGCAAGATGCCGTTCTGGTATATGACACCCAGCAACAGACACCGCTGTGTGTCGTAAGCAACCTTCACTTTGCTACCTTTACAGACTTGAGCTGGTAAGTTTTATCTCTCTGTTATCAATTGCAGGGACCTAACACATCACAGGTCCAATGATGGATTGACATTGATCATGAGCTCTTCTGATGGGTTCTGCTCTACTCTTTCATTTGCCCCTGGAGAACTGGGTCAGGTCTACACCGGCCCGATCTCAGCTGGTTCGAATCCAGTCAGTTCAACCACCCCTTCGACCAACATCACACCTCTGCCAACCCCAACAAATATTCCATCACCAATCAAAGTGAATCATGCACCGGCAAACAGTGGAGGCATTGCGACAGGCAACAATGGCCAAATGCCCCCGGCGAGCCCTGCACGGTCTAACTCGGCGGGCTCAGTGGGGACACAATCGTCTACGCAGCAGTCTGCAGCAGTGATCAATAACCCGACGCCGACTCTTGGCTCTGTGCCTTCAGTCACAGCAACACACTCTTTGCAGCCTTCTGGCCTCCCTCTCACGACGCCACCACAGACTCCTATGGCAAACGCCGCTACCCCGTCTATGGGCAGTGTGCTGGGCAAGCGTGACGCACCTGCGACCAGTGAATCTGAAAAGGAGGACGGCAAAGGTCCCGAGTCGACGACGGCGACACAGCAACCGAAGAAGCGCCGGATTGCCCCGACCCTGATTTCTGCTGGTACTGCCGGCACTGATTCAACCTCATCCAAAGACCAATCCCAAAATTCTAATGCCGGGAGCTAAACCTTGAAAATGACACTCTAGCACTCTCAAGTGCATTATCAATGATTACCAAGAGTGGCTGGCTCCCAATTCTCCTTTTGCTGTCCCAGAGAGGTCCGCTTAGACGGCAGAAGAGGAGCGATACGCTTCGCCAAACCCTGACTCCTCACGATTTACGTTCCTCCAAGTTCATGGCCTCAGTTCTCTTCTTGATTCAGAATTAAGTGTTCGCAAATGCATCTTTCATTTCGGTTGTTGATCCCTGAACGGGCTCGGTGTCAAGGGGCTCCTCTTCCCTGCTTGATACCCTATCTCTTGCTTCACATGTTCGATCCCATCGTGATTTTGAGTCGTGAAGCACAAATGCAGGATTCTTGTTTTTCAACATGTTCTATTCCCCCCTTTTCACCCTGGGATGCTGTGTTTCGTGGATTTTCTTCGGACCCCAATTTCTTTCATCGCTGGAGTTCTCTTGCTAGCTATTGTTTTGGCACCCCGCCATTGCCCATGTATTTGTTATTTCCCATTATCCTAGAGTGGACCATCCACCTTGTTTGGTGTCGTGTTCTCATATTTTGACTGTTCATGCGCTTGCTACTTGAGCTTTCATTTTCGGATGACAGGGATTCTTTGAGTGAGAAAGTGAAACTAATTGCGAAATTGAATTAAAAAACACTTTAAAATATTGAATAATAGTTATTGAACCATGTAGGGCTAGAGGTCTATGATGTACAACTCGGACACATAACTATATCCTGTATGTTGTTCATGGCATCGCCGTCAGGTAATAATGACCACTCCCTAGGCCGCCAGTCTCATTAGAAGGCAGTCATCTCAGACCGGAAACATACCACCCGTCGAAAGCACAGCCAGAAGAATAAGAGTGGAGAGACAAGGGATCAAAAACACCAGAAACCTATAACCTAGTCATCAACCATAACATAAGACCCATCATCCTCACCATCTGCCGCCTGATCCGGGCTCAGCAGTGACCGTAACACGTCCAAGAGGGACCAGCCATCCGGCAAGACAGCTCTCGCTTCGGTGGAACGCGTACCAGTTGCCAAAGTAGTGACTGCGGAAGTGACTGGAGTAGACAAACTGAACGAAGGAAGCGTCAAGCGATTAGCCCACCGAAACAAAGCCTCGTCAGCCCTCGCACCACCAGCCACGAAGACAAAGTTCGGTAAGCGTCCACCAGTTTTCTGATCCAGAATCATGGAGGCTGCAACAGCTTTGGATGCATGAAATAGCTCCACACTGACGGCGCCAGCGTCGCGAACAACCCGGATTGTTTCGCTGCCTCGTGCTCCATTGATTTGATCCGCTAATTCGGACGCCCGGCGGGCTGCTACATCCTGGTGGATAGCGTTTTCATGATGGAAGGTCAGTGAGCACCGGCGCTCTTCGATGGCGCTGCCTTCAGTGCGTTCGTGGAAATATTCCATTACCTTTCGGACACTGGCGCGCCAGTTGTGGGTACGATCAACGTTGACTAGAGCTTTCCACTCGTCTGTGTTGGCGAGTTTGGAAAAGCAGCCGTTTTCTGCGATGAAACCAATTTGACGTGGGAGTGTTTTGACTGTAAGATCGAGCTGGTTGGGGCTGTGACTGCTGGTTACGTAGACAGTATTCTTCGGATCGAGGACTAATTCTTGTAGGATATCAGTTGTTTCAACGGAGGGTTCGGGTGTGTTTGAGTTATACAGGGAGGAAAGGGCGCCGTCTTCCAGGAATAGAAGGCGAGATTTGGCTGCATTGTAAGTTGTCAGGAGGGTTTCTAGTTGGAGTGGAGAGACGGTATGTGTGTGACGTGACTGTTGCAGGCTGTGAGATTCTGTGAGGGCGACCTGGAGATTTGAGAACCAGGCCAGTGCGGTGTACGGAGATTTACGATCGAGCAGATATTGCCAGTTGCGTTGTTTTTCTTCCGGCGACATCTCCAGGGCCTTGTTGATGGCATTGGCGCATTGCTTGTGGTTCCATGGATTGACTAGGAATTCATGCCCATGGAAGATCGACGCGCTGCCAGTGAACTCACTCAAGATCAAGGATCCATGCTTTTGAGAAGCTAGCTCGCCATCTTGGCAGTGAATAAAGTCGTGACTTGTTAGGTTCAGGCCCTCGCGGAGATTTGTAGCCATAAAGATGTCAGCCACGCTGAGAAGCGCAAGAAACTGCGAGTTGCTGATATCTTGCTGTAGGAGGACTAGAGGTTGATGAGTGAGCGTGGAATAGACCGAGTTGATGCGCATCGCGATTTTGGACACCTGCGCTTCTAGCTCAGGAATCTCGGAGGCCGACGACGCAACTTGAACGAGAACAACCTAAGTCATGTGTATCAGTATTTATCCATCGCTGAATCAGTGTCTTATGGCCAAACTTTCGGGCCCTTACATTTTCCCGCCATTTGTGATAGGTTTTCAGAAAGAGCTCGTATGCAAGGAGCTTCTGCTTGATTCCTCCAGGAGCGTCCAGTCGATCTCGCGCCACAATCAAATGCTTCCCTCTGTACCGGTTGGTAATACTGGTGATCCAGTCTTTGACCTCGAGGGATTGGCGTAGCAGGTTGAGTGACTTGTAGTCAATCCCCAAGGGACAGCTTTTGACACGAACCAACCGATCATTGATCTGGACGCCATCGACTGAGACCTCCAACCTTCGGATTCGGCTGCACGACTGCAGGAAATGGTTACGGTATTCTTCAGTCTGAAACCCAATCAAGTCTGCACCGAGGAGACCGTCTAACAAAGCTTCTCGAGCGTTCAAGCAGCGAAAGATCTCAGACGAGGGAAAGGGTGTGTGCAGGAAGAAGCCAATCTCAGCATGAGGCAACCTAGCCCTCAGTAGCGCGGGCAAGCATAGGAGGTGGTAGTCATGCACCCAGATGCGGTCGCCTGGTTTCCAGCGACTAGCGATTGCGTCGGCGAACGCCCCGTTCACTCTAAGACATTGTTTCCAGGAGTAGTCATCGTAGTCGGTATGCCGCGGGGTTTCTTGCATTTGGTAGTGAAATGCAGGCCATAGGACCGAGCGGCAGAAATGGGCATAATGCCCTTCGAACTCGCTGTCGCTCACAAAGACGGTCAAGGACTCGTAGTCGTCCCGGAGGGTCTCATCGATGACATTTCGAACCAGTTCTGGTAGGGAGTCGGTTGGCATGCCCAGTGTACCCACCCACATCTTGCTTTGCAGGACCCCCGCTTCCTCGGCAGCATGTATGGCGTTCTGCAGGCCGCCATGACCTTGCTCTGCAGCCTTGACTGCCCAGTCCACCGCGGAAAGCACTGCGCGAGGACTCTCTGCCTCATCCGTAGGTAGCCGACCGGTTGTGCCATCCATGAAACCATCCCTCCAGTCTGGCCGTGAATGGGGACGATTTAGGATGGATGGCTCTGGGTGGGTAGTTGCTTTGGAACGGGGCTGGTTGAACCTATTACTGCGACCCCAGGGGACTGCACGAGGTTCGCTGGGACCAGGCCCTTTGGGGTCATCAGCGACGGAAATCTCACTCGCCGACCGTGATGCGTAACCCTTGAAGATCTTCTCGTCTTCAGTCGTCGCTCCGGGAGTTAACGCTATGCTGCCAGATCGGAGGCGAGGGAGGCGACCGACAATGGGACCAGAGTTAGAGCCGTCGACGGCTCCATGGCTGAGCGAGGATCTGCGACGATCAATCCTCGAGCCCGCTGTCCTGAAATCTATGGTGTAGGGGAGAAATCTGAGGATTAATTGTGAGAATGCGAGACAGTTGAGGGTTCAAGTAGCGCGGAAACAAGATTCAGACTCACAGAGACGCGATGAAGACGGGCATCGTGTTGAGATGACGCTGACAGAATTCTCGCGGACGAAAATGCTGTGGCTAACGATGCGCAAACATATTGAGTACAAATGGGTGAGGGATTAAGAAGAAGAGAAGTTGCGCTCGGATGAGGGGGTTGCAATTTCAACGGAGCGTGGTTGCCTCGAATTCTTTTTGGTGAGGCAGTTATACTTCAAACCACCAACCAAGTCCTTGGCTGCCCGACGGAGAATAATACCTCGGTCTGCTATACATTAGCTCTGCTATAGTGCCGTCTACTAGGTATACCCTTGTTAACTCTGCCGCAGCAGGCGGTGTTTGTAGAATAAATATCAGGCTCTCCCCTCCAGAAGAGGTAGGATAACTGTGTTTGTTCGAGTATATTCAGTGGCAAGGTATGAGTACCGAACCAGGCGCTATTTAACTGATTCAATAATTGTATCGAGATCATGGATCTCTACCAGGGATATGGTCTGTGCCCGTATTGTATGGCGAAACTCATATCCCGAGCTAGCATCCCAGTCAGAATATTCGAGTATAGCTTACTCAAATATCATGATCAAATGCGGATAAAGGATGCTACCTAGGTAATGGAATCATATTAGTATGCAGAGCTGAATTATCGTTCAAATGGAATAAGCAGAGACTATATATGTGGGCGTTTGAAGGTTCAAAATTGCTCCATGATTGAGTTACCAGGGAATATACAAATTGAGATAGTCATCAGATATGCAAGCAAGATGACGGGATGGACGCAAAAGCGAAGAGCGTGGAAATCGATCTATTCACTTCAGGCGCAGTAATAATATAGAGACCGAAGAATCTCACTTAGAGAAAGACATAGATAGTCGTTCACAGCGACCATGCAACGAGTCCACCCTAGCTTGAAACTTAGGTAGATGTTGCCTCATATTTGAGAAGACGGATGGATAGTCACTCGGAATCATCTAACCTAGTGGCAACAAGCTAGAAATCTGTTAGCTTCTCCAAAGGATTCAAAATCACGCTCCAACTCTTCTGGTCTAACAGCAAAGTCAACGACCTGCACCATCACGACGCAACACTGCTGAATAATCTCATGGCGAATATGACCACTGCCACGTATGCTATCACCGTGCATCACATCGCGTATCAGATCAGACGCGGCATCGACGTAACAGCGGCGCTACTGAATTAATAGTCCCAGACTTGAATCCACGTTAGTCTATCGCCTAAAAGGAAATGCAAGAGTCCAGGACAAAAAGATGACGACGGTCAAACAACCCGCCTTATCGCAATGAAGTAGCGTGAAGGATACTGCAGAATGTGGCAATCTCATGCATGTGAAAAGACCAAGCTCAATATCCCAGAGTATGGTGAAGAAACGCTGCAGGAGAATCTGCTACGTGCCAATCCCAAGGTGAACGGTAGTCATGCCTATCACACGTGGAAGTCTCTCCGAAGACGTAGGAAGAATAGAAGAGCTGTGTAAAAGAAAACCCATTTGTACCCACTCTAGCTCAACTCAGACAAGTGGACTGTTGATGAAGCCTCTTACCTCTTTCCAGATCCCTTCATCAAACCCGAAGCCAGGCTAACACGAAACTGGCAATTTAACAGCACGAAAATTATCCTAATCCGGATGGTCTCATGGCCTAAAAAGCTGCTACTGTAGGTCTGTAGGGCTATCAGCCCCGCAAGGGAGCTATGTACGTAGACGCGTACATGGCAATGCCCGCAAAGTGCTCAACAGGGTAAGGTATCGTATGGACGTTTCAGGCAAACGACTCTAGTCAGTGCGGTGGTAAGCAGATTGATTAAAAATCCTCTGGATCAAATTGAGCGCACGTAAGTCGGCCAGCGCACTCCAGCAGAGCTAGGAGCTAGTAGTGGGTGACGCGGAAGCGCAGAGCTAAGGCGCGGTAGCGCGCGAGCTGGTGGACCGAACTGACAAGAATTTTTCCGTTAGTGTCGATGGTGTCTTGTGGTTAGTAATTTCACACGGAAGCAAACACCCTCGTTTCCCTCCCCATCTGTTCCATACGTCATGTAGGTTCTTGGAGTGTAGGGCCGAAGCGATGACGTTGAAAGGCTCTGATCATCCACTACGAACCCCTGACGTGGCCGAGGATTTGTCAGATAACTATGGAACAATAGGTTCGCATGTCATCTCCGCTGGGTTGCGTGTCGGTGTACGGGGTATGTACTTGGCTGGTGAAAGGAGTGAAAGGAAGCGATAGGATGCCCAGGAAGAGCGTCGCAATGCCCAGCCTTGATGCTGATGATGGTTGGGTTGGGCTGTTGACGTGCCAAGGGTATGCTGCGAGCTCAGTTGGGGTTGTGCCCATGGAACACGAAGCGGAGTCGATGAGCTTGGGGTTTATCTGTCAAAGAATGGTGATTGAGATGAGATTGTAGCGTGCGGCGTACGTCACACAGGCATAGCGAAGGCGTTGGATAAGCAGCGCCCTCGCCTTTTGCATTGGATATGGTCCATGCTCCCAGTGACGACGATGACAGATCTTGACTGCTTGGCGTGGGGAGAGCATGTGGCCCCAAAATAACCAGCGGTATAGAATTTATCCCGATGCATGATCATCTGTAGCCGGTTATCTGCATCGTCCTTCATGACTTTGTCGTACTGCACGCCGAGGACGCGACATGCACAGCGGAAGGCGTCGAGTTCCTTGGATGCTGCGCGTCTCCAGTTTAGTGGAATGTAAAGTCACAAAGTCAAAATTGTCACAATCAATATTGAATGTCGTTGTAATGCAGACTCAGCGCATTGTGACTCCGTCATGGTATGGACATTATTTCGCTGAAATTTGGTGGTTGGCCCCCAGCTGCAGAAACCGCCGGGCGTTTGGCGTGAAATTACTGGGGCTTGCGCCATCCAAGCTAGAAGTGATCCAGTGATCATCGGCTATGCCGAGCAGAAATTCGGGTAATGATAGCATTCAAGATCAGAAAGTTTTTATTTGATGTGCGCATGGCAGTGCATATATAGTGTTGAATTATTGAGTTATAACTATAAGAGCTATGGGCAAGGGACACGACCCCGAACAACAGGCAAATAATGTATGAGAATAGCTACAAACACTGCTGCATAGCCACCGCGCCCCGAGGCTGAAGCGGATGCTGTGGGTTAAGCTTGAAACGCCAGCTAATTCCCGGGCAGCCTGGGTGTGGGTTAAAAAGGATCAATGACAGGATCCGTTACCGTACTGGAGCTAGCAAGGCATCAACTAGTCACAAACTGATGCCAAGTACGCGTCTTCAGGGTCATTCAAGGACGGATGGCTTATTTAGCGATCGACGGGACTGCGACCGAGTCGAAAGGTTTGAATCGGCGGATATAGAAGTTGCCATTGAATTATCTGTAAAAAGGAGAGGTATAGAAGAATAGAAACACCATAACAAAATTAGAACCAAACGCTCAAATGCCTACACGCTTGTACCATCCAGCGAATCTACCTGGATGAGCTTGCAAGATCGTCTCTATAGTACCGTGTATTCTTCATACCCCATCCTGTGATACTCAGGAAAAGAGGGTCATCTGGATACAAACTACGAACACAGGCGGAGGGGAGACGCGTCGGTGGATGAGGGTGTCGGAACGAAGCGATAGCTTGCGAATCGCGTGGGACTAGCACCAGTTGCGATGGGGCGACCTTGAACCCGTTTGACCCTCATCTTTTCAGGGTCTTTTGACCGTTCGGAGGATTTCCACGGACGGTGATTGGCGATCGAGTTTGCTGGGGGATTGCGTCAACCAACGAAACTGGACTAGAAGAGTAGGTGATAGACAAGCCCAACTGCAATTCTATACGGACTGGTATCGTTAACCGCGTGGACGTGTAAGACAAAGACCAACCATGATTGAATAACTGGCCAGTCGCACCCTTCTTCGAGAGTAGTCAACTATAACGAGATCTCCAGATTGGTTGCATCCCGATCGACGGGAAAATTGGGCCATACCAAGACCAATCCACGCAGGATATTCTGGAGTGCGACCGAAGCATTATGATTCCAGAGTGCCAAGCCCCCTGGGAGCGAAAGGAGCGAAAGGAGGGTCCACTCTCCACACCACCCAGCCATTGACAGACGGGTACGGTGATGAGCTCAGCAAGAGACCACGACAGCGAGGATGTCAGCGTATCCCAAAGCAGTTTAGCGGGAGGACTGCAGGACGCAGAGGAGGTCGAGCAGTGGAGCCCAACGAGGCTCTAGCCCGATCGTACAGGCTGCCAAGACGGACGCTTGCGCGTCTCCGCCACCGGGGCCTCTCCTGCCCCATCCAAGCCCTGCGACAAGGAAATTGAAGAGGCTTCGAACGCGTAGGCTGGCGTGGGGTGTGTCTGCTCCCCCCGACCTGGGCTTTTCTGGGACGAGTTGAGACACGGGACGATCATTCGAGATCTTCCAAATTTCACTTTGTCATGCTTTCATGTTGACAACACCATGCGATCGAAGACCCTGAATGGGGTGCAGGGGTGGTTTGATAATAATAGTGCTAGAGAGGAGAGAGTCTGGAAAGGGCAGAGGGGGGATTTAAAGAGCCGTAGAAATAAGCAACATAATAAGCCTCTCTTGAGGTTGGATCCGAAGCCTTAGGGATCCATCATATTTCAGGTACGGATGTGAAGGAGGAGTGCGTAAGACGACTTCTTTCACAGAAGTTGTACAAGCCTTTTCTGGGTCATGGGACGTGGGTGGACGCCAAGACTGGGTAAATACAATACGCCTGGTTACGAGAGACCCTGAATAGGCTACCAAGTACGAAGTCCAGTGACGTGCCATCTATACGGAGTAGAGAGTGTAGAAAATGAGAGTCCAATAGCATCATAGAATGGTCATTGACCTTGTGATCTTTTTTGACTCTGTCTTCTCGTTGAAGGTGGTCTGGTTACGTGTGCAGGAGGGGGGGGGGGGAAAATAAAATACATAAAATCGATGTCAAAAAGGGTCTTTTTTTTCTTGGCCCGTGGTATACGCGGCTTGGGCGCGGGGCCCGTGATTGGGGCGAGAGGCTGACGACGCTGGACGGGGGTCTCTTTGCTGGACACACTTCGTCCTCTCCCAAGGCCTGGCCCACCCTTTCCCTTTTCCGCCTTTCCCCCCCCCCCCAAAGGCCCTCTCTTGACTATCATAGTCAACTCTCTGACTCTCTCATTCTACTCCCTCCTTTAACCTCTCGATCTTCCCTATCCTCTCCAGCTGGATACTCGCCCTTTCGACTACTCCCGTCTCCTATCACCCATCACCCATCACCCTGGAGTAATTTCCATCGACGTCGCCCCGCCGGTGACTTCCACCGAATCCAACCATGGCGGACGGCAGACCCCATCATCGGGCCGCCCAGCCTGCTTCAATCACGAGCAACACCACCACATACGATGCCACCTCTCTCAGCAAAGACTTTGAACAGTTGATGCGCACCAAGCGATTCAATCAACTTCACGATTCTGCCCAGTCGCGAGCTAGATCTCAGTCGCCGGCCCCTTCTCACACCAGTCACTCGATCCCGCCGCCCTCACGAGCGCCGCCACCTCCTCCTTCCCTTGGCACCGAAACGCGCCCGGCCTCGCAACCTCAACTACAACCATCCAGCCCAGCTCTCCGTGGCCTTCCGATCATGCCATCTCCTCCTCACGATGCGGCTTCGCTCAAGTTTTTTAACCTGCTGAAGGGACTCTCGGTTACGCCGACCAAGTACGAAAACCCAGGTCTCCTCGACGAGGCTCTGTGCACTCTTCCACTCGATCGCCTGTATTCCGAGGCCGAAGAGGAGTCTCAGATCATGCAGGCTCAGGCTGCCAGCGTGGGAGGCAAGCCGGAATGGGGATATCAGGATTGTGTGATTCGGGCATTGTTGAAGTACGTTCGGGACCCGCCATAGACCCTCCTCGTTTGGCACGGGCCTTTGTTTTCCTTTCTGCCCATACTAACATCCCTTGTTCTGCAGGTGGTTCAAGCGATCCTTCTTCCAATTCGTCAACAACCCCCCATGCTCCAAGTGCTGCATGCCCACGATTGCACAGGGCATGACACCCCCATCACCCGACGAGACCGCCCGTGGCGCCACCCGAGTCGAGCTGTACCGCTGCTCCGACCCAAGCTGCGGTGACTATGAGCGATTCCCCCGTTACTCCGATGTCTGGCAATTGCTTCAAACGCGCCGAGGTCGTGTGGGTGAATGGGCCAACTGCTTCAGCATGCTTTGCCGTGCCGTTGGTGCCCGCGTTCGTTGGGTATGGAACTCTGAAGACTACGTCTGGACAGAGGTGTATTCCGAACACCAGCGTCGCTGGGTGCACGTGGATGCCTGCGAGGAAGCCTGGGATCAACCTCGTCTCTACACTGAAGGATGGCGTCGCAAGATCTCGTACTGCGTTGCATTCTCCATTGACGGTGCGACCGACGTCACCCGTCGCTATGTCCGCAATTTCTCCAAGCACGGCAGTCCTCGCAACCGTACCTCCGAGGAGGTCGTTCTTTGGTCGATCCATGAGATTCGCCGAAAGCGCCGTGAGAACATGCCCAAGGCTGACCAGCGTCGCCTCATCAAGGAGGATGAGCGTGAGGAACGTGAGCTACGTGGCTACACGGCTTCCGCCCTAGCGGCCGAGATTCAGAACATCCTCCCTCGCAGCTTGGTCGGACGTCCCGATGAGCAGAAGCACGCGGATGCTCGCCAGGAAGCCGCCTCAGAGTGGCTCAGTGCCCGTTCCCATGGTCACTCGGGACCGGACCGTTCCAACGGTGGACCATAAATTTGCACGACTCTTTGGACTCCTCCTTATCACTATCATTATCTTGTGAGGTTCTCTAGATCCCTTTCCTAGGTTTCTTGATCTTCTCGAACGTTCGGGCGACCCGATGATCCTCTCAGCTCATTGAGCCGATCAAAGAGGACCGGGTGCTCGACTATCCACGTCCATATGTGGACACCCCCGACCGGTCGGAGTCACTCCGGTCGCGCCAGCTCGCGCCTTCGAGTGCATGGCCTCCGACGACAGCCACTGCTGGTCAGATACCGGCGCGCGACCTTGACTTGAAACTGGATCCCGTTTTGGCTTCTTTGCTCACACGCACACGCACACGCACATCAGTTTGGACTGATGATTTGCTGAAACGCGGTACCCATTGATCATTTGATCTTCAAAACCACCATACCTCTTCTACTACGATCGACCAATGCCCTTCACGCGAGATCTCGGCTATTTCATCTCACCTTTTGGATGTCATTGTCTAGAGCATGGCAACATTAATTCTCTCTTTTGAGTCTCCACACCCTACCAATTAGGAGTTTCTCTTTCTATTTCGCATCCTGGCGTGTGGCCTTCTTTTGCACGGCGCTTGGTGATGATTACCTGCTTTTCTCCCTTTCTTTAACCTGGGAATTCATGCCTGACGGCACATGTTGTACGAGACACGTTGCAGCCATTTCTTTCCTTGTGATTTCCATGTATACGTCGCAACCCATCCCTCTGGACTGGGGGGCGACTACGTTCTCTTTTCTCCCGTTCCTGGGATTCGCCTTTTCCATTTTCCTCTACAGAGTATACTCATGACTCTCTCCCACTTGGCTTTCTTTCCTATCACCTTGATACTTCTTACAACAATTCTTAATACTTTTTATACATATATACAATTTTTATTTATATACCACTTTTCCCAATCGTCATTCGGACCCTGACTCGTACCATGTCCATAACCTGGTAAACCCGGGAACAATTCCTGCCCAACCTACCAGGCGATACATACCCAAGATTACTGTACCTGTTTGATTATGATGTGCGCTCATCCCCCGCGATGATTTCCTTGGCGCCTGCCCACCTCTAGCCCGGTGGACCCGACGATGTGTTCACCGTCCAGCCGCGGAGCCGTCTTTGTCCCATCCAAGGACGAACAGTTGTATCTGACCTAGCACAAGAAAAAAAAAATTCAATTCCCGGCCCTCGAATATCGTGACTTCTGCCAGATCTGCTTTGGAATGGCTTAGCTGCCACTTGTTTCATCCTGAAACGGTCATAAACAATTACCGTGTGTATCAGCCCTGCCCCCATCTGCACGGACCTTGGGATATTTTTAGGAGCCGTGGGCAAGGGTGGGTCCAGGGTCCTGCATGGAGATGCTCGAAATCGGGGCCAGGGCTGGCCGGTGGAATAGGGGTCCGAGGGAGAGTTGGAGAGGAGATAGTGAAGAGGTGAATTAGACGGTAAGCGAGTGTAGTCACTGATGTTAATTAGAAGTGGAAATCTCGCACTTGATACTATCAAGTTGATTGTCGATAGTTAATACTTCGCGGGTATTATGTTATTGCGTATCTGTTATCTTATCTTATCTGTATCTCTTATCTGGTCTGTTATGCGATGAAGCGAGAGCAGGACGATGATGTCAAGGGGAATCTACAATTGTAACTATGCAATTCAAGACCCATGGAGGATTCCCTATGCTTATTATTGATTCTCTTAACGACGTGCATACTTGCTTTTTCTCCATAAGAATGCAGCATATATAAGTATCTCTTTTTCGGTCAATCAGATCATGCTAGATATGCATCGCTGCACAAATGGGTATAAGGAAACAAAGGGCAAATCACACTAACAACACTGCAGTCAGCGGAGCCTGCAGTCGGGATCATCTCATATCGTCGAGACCCAACAATCAATCCCCCTCTGCCAAAGATCCACCGCAATCTGTCTCACTTCATGAGCATAATACGACTGGCCCTGCAGTCGAAGCTCCCACGTTGCCAAAGCAGCATCACCATCACAATCGGAATCACCCTTGCTCAGACTCACTGGGCCCATCAATCCGGAATCAAAACAGGAACAAGCAGACCCCTCAGACCGGAGACTTGACGCCGAGCTCCGCGTCAAATGAGAAGAACTGGACCTCGACTCGAAACTCACCCTCGATTCACTCGAGCTCATCTCCTCGCCCAGACTACTACTCCGACTCCCCCTCTTCCACTCCATCAAGTCCACCTCCACCTCCATCTTCGCTCGCAGCATCTTATTCTGCCTTTGACTTTTTCTGTCCTGAACAACCCTCAACCCAGACAATGGCTCCAAGAACACCGGCAATCTTTCCACCGGTTCGCTGAACCAGCTACTCCCCAGCACGAGCACGAACGACCTCAGCTCCGGTAATTGTTTCACAGCACGACACGTTTCCATCCACTGTACCCGGCCGGCGGAGACATATATCGAGCGCACAGGATCTTTCGTCGGTAACCAATGGCCTGGAAATGACCAGCGTAACTCCACGGCTCGGATACACTCCCAGTACTCTGGTGGGACCGTCGGTTGTAGGTATGGCAGTGACCAGGGGATACTGAATTCAAAGGCATTGGTGGCATATAGGAGATGGATGGACTCGGTGAATCTGGCGTAAGCAAGTCAGTGATCTCGAACGGAACAAGAAAAAGGTACCAAGAGAGATGAAAACAGCCCACGCAAACCCTCTCCTCGCCTTCTCCAGTGTCTCGCTTCCAACAAGTGCAATTGGAAGCCTAAAAACACAAGGGAACTCAGCAGAAGAGAAAAACAGCAGGCCATTTCTCCCAATATCACTCATACATTTGCCGACACGTCAAGACCAACCCAAGCAGCCCATCCCGTCCACGTCCAGCGCCTCCACTCGCCCCCGAATCGCCCTCCTTAACAGGCTGCGCGATCCCCGCACCATGACAGATCTCGCAAAACGCGGGGCCCACGCCCCGGCCGATCTTATTCGAGTAGTCTAGCCTTGGCCGAGACCCGGAGTCCGGCCCAGGACTAAAGCCAAGGCCGAGGGGACAAATGATGTGGCCGAGACGTTGGTTGCTGCGTTGGATGATGTGTAGGCGTTGGCCGCCTAGGGCCATTTCCCAGATTATTAGGCGGAGTTCGGGGGAGAGGCGGGTGAGGAGGGCGCTTTGGGGTTGGGAGTGTGGGGGATGAGGGGAATTTGCATTGTGGCGGGGACGGGGGAGGGGAGGCGGTTTGTTGTCTGTTGGAAGTTTGGGGTTGTTAGTCGTTTTGAGGGTATTTTCAATGTTGGATTGGTAAAGAGAGGAGGTCTGGAGTTATAATGAAGAGTGAGACTGTAGATCGCTCGGGGGAAGTCAACTCACTCTGGTATCGTTGGGCCAGGACATCCTCCCACGAGAACACGCCCTTTTTAGTACGGGCCATGGGGCAGAGACGGAAGTAATCAAGAATTGAGCCGTCAAAGAAGAAGAGCGAGGAGTGAGTTGGTATAACCAGAAAGTATAGCTAAAAAGGATAAGACTGTCGCGTGTCTCGTGTCCAGGGCAGGACTCTGATCTAGTCTTATACTTCCCGGTTCTTGGGTCTGGCGCTCTTCAATTCCGGATTGAATATGTCCTGGTGATCAGTTCAAGCCATGGTCTTGGCCAGGGCCTCATCCGGCCCGGTAGTGAGTTTACCGGAACTATAAATACAATAACTTAAAGAGTAATGGAATAGGGGGAGAGAGAAGAGGGGGGGGGGGGAAGTGGCTAAGAGTTGGAGTCGGTGAGCGGTCGCGCGATAAAGGATTGGGGCCTTGCACTCGAAGAGTAACAGATTAAGTTACTGATAACGGGCAGTCCACACTACGGAGTATACGGAGAGGACGGAGTAGATCACTCCTGGAGAAATACATGAGTCATGTACTTAAATAGCTAGTACTTGGGACAAATGCATTGTAACGACCGGCGTTTGTAGTGTACAGTACAGACCGCATAGACTGCGCGATTTTCCATACCTTGTCCAACTTTTCAATCTCATCAATCTCACCTCCTATTTCCGGCGATAATGTAAGCAGACTAATGACCAGATACGCGCTCCTTTTCAGCAGGGCACCCAGCTCACGCGTACCCAAAAAAAGTTCACACGGACCCAAAAAATTCTGACTAATTTTGGGTACCCATGAGGTACCCGACCTCGCACGTACCCAAACCTCTAGATTATATAATATTTTTTAATGCAGAAAATTTTTTAAACACCTTATTTTACCCCTTTTCAAGATTGTTACCAAGTATCGAATTCCACAAGATGTCGGCGTCTTTACTCTCGCCATCGCTATTCGAGGATTCCGATTCTGACATATTTATCTCTACGCAATCTACTACTAGTACTGCATTAGAGATTAATCAAATTCTTTATAATCTTCCATCTGTGAGTGATCGTTTTATAAATAAGAGCATACATAAATCTTATATTTTATATCAGCGACAACGATCGGCCTCTGAAACTTCAGTGTACCAAGATTGCACTAATACATATGAGTTATCTGATGTCGATTCTTGTGAGGATAATGAGGAAAATACTAGCTCTCTATGTTCTACACCTTTTACGGAACGAAACCAAACAGGTATAGAAACAGACGGGACCCAAGTAAGCATTAGCTCTAGAGATGCTGTGATCGCCTACGAAGTTCAGGAGCACCTTATCCTCCCAGAGTATCCTGATACAGACAAGAATGGTATTTTACATATCATTCATGCCTCCAAAAATCCACTTGAAAATGTGGAAGACACCGTTACTGCTGTCAACCAAGCTACTTCACAGCTTATGTCGTCGGTATGTTCGATATAATCCTAGCATATGTCTAGCATATGCTTAGCATATATGATAACTAATTATCCTAGGTTCAATTCTCGATTAAACAACTCAAATCGGCCAAGAAAATCTTCACGAAACTCCTCCAGAAAGACTCTAAAGACAAAGAATCAAGATCATGGCATCGATCCTTTCAATGTACAGGGATTCAACATTGCCACCAAGCTCATCCTGATCTTATTACCCCGTCTGAAAGCTATAACCGTGTTAAACCAACACTTTTCCGCGAACTTCAGGCTCTTGCTGCAAAGCCTGTGTATCACACTATTGCGCAGGAAATCCAGGAGCGAACTAGAGAGTAAGATATATCCCTCCCTAGCTTTAACCTCTATTAAGCTTACGCTTAAGATAGATTTTACTTCGGATTTCTCAAGACGTGGGATATAGAAGGGCCATGTATTTATGCACCTAGTGAGCGGACATGCAGAGGTCAAAAGCCAACAGTGTGGCTTCGAGATGGAGTAAGTGCATATTATTATCATGTACTAAATATTTGTTAACTATAAGTAGTTCACCTTTATTGGGTGTCCGAACGCGCAGGTCGGATCCCAGCGTTGGCACTACTGTCAGCACGTTCCACGAAGTGCTGCAAGGATAGACACCGCGTTTCTAAAGCTTCTTTGCGATAAGGATGGCTTACGAGATACTGGATATGGAACCAAGAACTGTTACTTCGTGGAGCATCGTTCAGCTAGACGTCGCCACTGTGGTATGTTTTACACTAGATATGCTCTGGATATGCTGAACATATGCTAACCCTGTCCTAGACTCAATTCATGCAGATGGTGTTGGTCAGCTGATATATAGTGTTTGCTCTGTGAAGATTGACCTTTATATCCCCTGCGTATGGGATCGTTTTCCTTTTTTCCTTCTCGTTTGTCGAGGATCTCATTCACATGCGCCGCCACCGCCTACAAAGCTACCACATGATATTGGTCAAGAAATCATTGACGCAATCAACACGCAGGATATCCTAGGATTAACTGCACGTAAATTGATGGTCTCACCTACTTTTGCGAAGATTATACGTCAACATGGTGATTCTGCGCTTCGATATATCCACAAGAGCTTACACATTGAGGATAGAGTAACTGCTTTGATTCATAAGCAGAGACTACTATATTATCCAGAAGGGACGAATCTTGCTGGGGTATGGCGTGAATACCAGTTTGATCTAACTAAACACGTGGATGATCAATGGATTCGTGAAGTCTATTTCTTTGACGAGAATCGGGAGCATTATCTGATCATATGCTGCACATACGAACAAGCTAAGCTTTTTCAGAGTGTACGACATCTGGAAATGGATCTTGCTTTCAAGATGGTTCAGGGAGCAACCAAGCTTTTCACAATTTCAGGGTGGAATGAACAGGTAAAGAGTAAGATTTTCTGGTGTTCTATATATGCTAAACATATGCTAACCATATGCTGACTCTCAGGGTTAAATACCTATGTCTATGCTTTCATGAATCTCGAAACTCGAGTAGCTTATCGGGTTCTTTTTGAGAAAATCTTCAAGATTCTTGGGGATGTTGGACGAAAACCAATTAGATGGGCGTATCAGCTTGGAAGGGATGATTCTTGTGAGGGAATTCGGACGGTTACTGTTGACATGTGTAAGAAGCAAGCACCTGGTACGCTTCCCATATGCTTAACATATGCCTGAATTATACTCACTTTCTATTTTCATTTAGGGCTTGGAGATTATCTTGCTGGCCTAGATCCTCGTTGGACATGGTCAGAACATCTGCAAAATATATTGATCCTATGCCAAACGCACGTTAAGCGAGCCTTTCGGAAAAGGTTTCCTGGTCACGAAGCTACTACGTCTATTGATATGATCTGGAATGCAAATTCAAAGGCAGAGGTTATTCGAATTATGGATGAAGTTGCAGAAAAGTGGCCAGAGACCGAAAAATGGTTTCAGAATAAGAAGGTTGATTGGATTCTTGCTGGAATAACCCCAGAGGCATCTAAGATTCCTATTGAATGGTGGACGAATGCATCACATCATACTGGAATTAGTGAAAGTAGTCACTTTCACGATAACGAGGCAGTAGGCCGAAAGCAAGCTTTGTTAACAGCAATTCTCCGGTATATTACCCGATTTATCATGTATAGAGCATATTACTAATCTCTTTATTACAGATGCAAAAAACATGTACAAGAGATGATCCAAAAGAATAAACTTGCAGAAGAGCTAGGTCTCTTCCCAACTTGGCGATCTCAAAACCCTGTGTATCGTATTGCCAAACAAGTTCCGCAAGAAGGGTTTGTTCCATATGTTCAACATATGTTACACATATACTAACCTTATATCAGACAAGCGCTACAAAAAATCTGCCAACCGTCGTATCAATAAACCATACCAGCCCTGGAACGTGATCAATCCTTACGATGACCTTAACCCGACGATGCAACCACCTGGGCTTCCAGATATTTCGGACATAGTTTCGATATCTACTTCAGAGATAACTGACATAAGCTCAGTATATGGTCAATCTATATCTGCACCGCTATCTACCCCTCAGGGTAGTTCAGTTCTTGACGGATCGTCTAGAATAGCGCCGCATGATAGTATTTCTCAGCAGTTAGGCTATACTCAGGGATTCGATGATGAAGAGGCACGGCTACAGCAAGAAGTTGCGGAACTTGAGAGAAAGCAAAGGATCTTAGCCCTTCGAAGGAAGAAGGAGGAATTATTACGGAGTATAGAGTCAGGCGAATCTTTGGTATAAGTTAAGAATATCTTGAATTTACTTTGAGCATAAGTTTAACATATGTTCCGTATAGACAAATAACAGAAAATTCATACAAAGAGACCTACGCCTAACTAAAGGGACTCAAAAGCATCAGAGGATGAGTCCTCTACCTCTACCTCTACCTCTACCTCCTCCTCCTCCTCCTCCTCCTCCTCCTCCTCCTCCTCCTCCTCCTCCTCCTCCTCCTCCTCCTCTACCTCCTCCTCCTCTACCTCCTCCTCCTCTACCTCCTCCTCCTCTACCTCCTCCTCCTCCTCCGAGTCTTGCATATGGGGAGCAGGTGGGCCACCTCCTCCATCACTATTGTCTCCATTACCGGCAGTGGGGCCAAAACCCGCGAAGGGAATAGGATTCCCAGGGACGCCAGGTCCACGCTACATACTATTAGCATATGCTTAACATATCATTTCTTAAAAAAAGGGGACTTACCCGGCGGCTGCGATGACCAGAACTCGGGGTTGCTGGGGCCTGCCAGCGGTGGAAACGAGTGCCGTATTGTGCGGCAAACTGTGCATCGGTAGCTCTATACGGATTGTTAGCATACGCTAAACATATGAGAGTCATATGTAACAAGTATATCAATCTTGTGCAAAACGTAGAGTACCCAGAGTACTTACGCAATTCGCTCCAGAGCGGAGGCCCAGTGTCCAATCCATCCATTGTCAGGGCCGCGTCCAGGCTCATGGAGGTAGCTAGCATCCCGCCAGCCACCCTGCAGGACCCAACGCTTGATGGCGTTTTGGCCCGCAATAATCTCCAGCTGGGTCTTTGCTCGCCGGCTGGGGTTGACGACTATATCGTAGTCATATTGTTAGCATATGTTCAACATATCCAACGAATAGACACTTGCCAGCTCCGGAATGTTCATTGCGGATGTGTCGACGCAGAGCAGGTCCCTCTGAGAAGACTAGACCGCACATTTGGGACGGAGGGTTGACGACAATATCACAGCTGTTCCTCTCAGTGTCAGCATACGATAACCATGCCCTCAGTATATTCAGACACCACGTACACTCCTATGTTCTCTTTGTTGAGAACCTCGGCCGGATTTGGAGGCGGGGTCGCCGCGATATCAGCTGCCTTGATGTCGTAGTGGCGTGCGCCTGCAGCTAGAGCTGCCGTATACGCAGCTGGCTTCCAGCCACGATTGTTGTCTGGAATGGGCCCTACATATGGTCAACATATCAACAGCATATGCATCTGGGAAACATACCATGTGCATATCCCAGGAGAGGGTCGGGGTTGGTCGCGTTTAAGACTGTGGTGTTGTCAAATTCAGCCCGGGTTGGACCCAGGCCAGGGAAGAGTCCAAGATTCGACATGTTGATGAGCTGGAAGTGTTCAGCATATGCAAAACATATGGAGAAACGCGTCAGGGAGTAGAGTAAACAGGTGTTCTGACCTTTGGTAAACAAAGTGGGTGGTGAGGGAAGAAGAAGAAGAAAATGGTGTTGTGTTTGTGTTGAAGATATATCTCTCATTTCTTTGTTGACACTTTTGATTCATGACCCCAAACAAACTATATTTTTCTTTCAACACGTGTAATTTACTAGAAGAAAGACTACCTCTTTTATATTATTATGAATAAAAAATAGATAGAGTCTTTAAGAGTATAGTATAATCTTCTATATAGAGTTGTAAAGAGATGTATAGAGTGATAGTATATTTTAGTGAGGTAGGGGTTCAACTAAAGTTGAACCCCTACATAATTATTAATCATATGCATAAAAGTAAGTATAAGAGCTCATCAGGACCCAAAATAGTTTGGGTACGTGTGAGGTCGGGTACCTCATGGGTACCCAAAATTAGTCAGAAATTTTTTGGGTCCGTGTGAACTTTTTTTTGGGTACGTGTGAGCTGGAACCCGTTTTCAGCACACCCCCTTCCTATATCGCAGACACTGCTCAGTGCTCCATACTCACACCCGAGCGACAAGCGTCGGACTACTCGTCCCGCTCACGCCCAGCGTATTCGTCGGGCAGGAGACCTTCAAGCCCTGCGACAGCAACGCGAGCCCAGCCGGCTGGAGCCGGTCAATCGTGGTTGGCGCCGGGAGCGTCCCTACGTACGCATTGAAATTGTAGATCCCGCAGATGCAAGTATCCACGATGTCCTTCAGACTAGTTCCCGACAGGATATTCTGTCCATTTCGGGAGACCGCAAACTGCTGCTTGCCCACGCCCATTGGGGCCTGGTGCGCACTGATGCCTGCGGGTGCGTCAAAGGTTGCGGATTGATCGCCTGATTGTACGGTCACGAGAGCAGGGGATTTGAGCAGAGAGACTACAAAGACTTCGTCGGCCATTGACTCGTACCCGTTCGGTCGACCGGCGAAGAAATCGCCAGTGGCGTTGTTGGCGTTGCCCTGCGTCGTGGTGTCGGTGCCATCGCAGTTGACATCTTTCTTTGTAGGTCGGTACCAGTACACAAGTTTCTCCTCATCGATAAAGGGCAGAGCGTCGGTGACGCCGGCCTTGTATGCAGCGATGAAGGGCTTAGCCATGTCTAGCCAGCCATTATGCGGCCTAGACCCGGAGCTGTCAGTCGACAAGAAACCAACGCTATTTTCAAACGAACAGGCGCACTTACATGTCCATCGCCCACTTTGATGCCCCGTCGTCAGTATGTGGTGATGAGAGCGGTCCAACATAATGCGATTCGCCATAGTCATTCCATGTGATAATCTCCACAAAGCGAGAACCAAGTGCTAGGATCTCCTGCCAGCGGTCATACCACAGCAAGTCAGAAGGAAAGACCCAATTCTTGCTATACGAGACCTCGCTTCCATAATGGGTTGAGAACCACGGTGAGACAGCTATAATCCCCATTAGCTACGTTTAGATATTACATCTAGCACTCAAATCCAGGTCAACTCACGCGCAATATAGGGTTTTCCTTGCAATGCCGTGCTATAAGCTTCATCACCCTCGGCAACGCTGACATTCTGCCCCGGAGTCGGCGCCTTGTTATTTCCATTACTCGGCCACCCCATCCAATTCAGTGCGCCCTGGATCTCATCAAAATTCCCCTGACCCGGGTGGAAGTTTGGCGCGAAAAAGATATCCTGTCCCGCGGCCGACTTGATAGCATTGACATCGACACCGTCGCCAACAAATGACGACACAAACACCTTGCCATCGACCTTGAGTTGAGCGGAATGATCCGCATACTGTTGGACCTTGGCGCCGACGGCGCTGCCCTGGCCGATATTCCACCAGTTGAAGTCGAAGGAGAGGAAGACCTGCATTCCGTTGTTTGCGGCTGACTCGTAGGCGAAACCGAGTTGGGTGTCTGTGAAGGGATCTGTGCCGATGTTGAGGGCAAAGGCATCTATGCCTGCGTCTTTGGCGCGTTTCATGTCATCGTCGTAGTCGGTTGCGCTTTGGCGGTTACTGGTGATTCCCATCTAGAGTGGAAGATCGATTAGCAAAATGCGTCTTGAGTCTTAAATTCTAATTGGGTTATCTCACAATAAAGTGACAAAATACTAGCCTATCTGTAGTTCCTAGAGTAGTCGGCGGTGTCGACGAGAGGTCCGTCGTGGAGGACGTCGGCGTCGGACATGCCCAAGAGAGAGGCATCATCAGCCCGACTAGGAGTAGTGTGAGCAGCTCTCGGAGCATGCTGGATGAAGTGGTGATGGTAGAACGTACAGTTGTAGGAAAAAAGTATAGGGTATGCAAAGATCTTGAATAAGTGCAAGGCTTCAAATCGAGTAATAATCAGAATGTACTTGAAGAACCTTGAAATGCGAAAAGGACAGTCAGACCAAGTCTATCCAGGAAAGAAGGAGCGTTATAATGAAAGAATGAAGAATCTCTTCCTCTAGGGTTAACTCACTCTTCACGAGATCTTTTGAGCACCCCCCTTCGAGATTACCACTCCCCCTGTACAAACAGGCCAATCCGACGTCTGCTTATTCTGAAGGGGACCCTGCCATTCAAACTAGTCAGTAATCAGGATCTATGACGAATGGGAGGAGCAACCGATCATGGGGAAATTTCCGATTTCTTCAATGCTACAGTATCACCCTGTCAGACAAAGATCAAAGGCAATTAAACCCCGAGAATGAATCAATTGGCGCGCGGGATGGACGCCACCGGCGCGTCGCGTGCGATCCACAAACCCCGTGAGTGGGACCCATGGGCGAACACAGCTTTGAACCGCGATCTTACATCGGTAAATATACTGAATAGATCTATGCAATTTAAAATGTGGAATGGACAGAGTTTCCGAGTACAAGGCTGACCGTTCAGAGGGGTTGCTTTGACAAATGCGATAGGTGGTCGATGTGGTCATCAACGCCCACTGTCAGCTACACGACTGTATCCAAATTAAAGGATCGACCCACGATGAATGCCGGTTTGACATTGATCTCGGTGGCTGTCACAGATGCCCAGTTTTTGCGATAAAACCTAAGGCCCCGGAAATCTGCGGCAGGGCTAACGGGTCCAGGGGCAGACAAAGAATCTACCAATAGCGATAAGATGACGGTGCCTAGTACAAGGGCAAGGTACTTATTGATGACTTTCTTTCACATTCTTATCACTTTCGCAGTGCTAGCTGCTACGCTTACAACAGCTCGTCATCATGCCTCAGACTAAGACTCTGCATAGGCGGGATGCTCGATCATGGTTTGGGTGTACAGACGGACAGTGTAAAACCTTATTGAAGGCTAAAGAGGTGAAACAGGCAATGGCAAGAAGAGAAACACCCAATGATAAAATATTCTAAACTTTATTGTGTTGGTTTCACCATGTGTATATACTTTCTTGACCCCTCGTTTGTCTTATCCAGGGTTAATCTCGATAGACCAATCCCGTTTAACCGACGGACCTGCACTTTTGAACATGAATAAAGAACGGATCTATAGCCCGATATGTCAGGTGCATGCCACATCCATTAATCCAGCTTTTACAACCGAGCCTGTTCAAGGAATGATTGGATACTGATCCTGTGATGGAGGGTGCCATTAGATATCAACGGCCGAAGGGAATGTTACTTCCATATGCGAGTTAGGATTTGCATCGAGGCACATGTAAGACCCCATGGCCCAGCAGACTTTTGAAGCAAATGAAAAAAAAGAAATATGCATGGAGATTGGCTTGATGATCACTCGCCATGTGAAAGCCTGGAGGAGTTCCATTGCTGACCCACACTTACTGAAGAAACAGCTTTAGGTATGGTGGTTTCATTGCCCCCCTAACATGTGCGTTACTCATACCGGTCCTGAGTACGACAGAACATGGAGCTCTGTGTCAGATCTGTTGGCTTGTTCGGCACACATTGGGGTCATGAAGTCGGCCCGAATGAATCACTATCGGCTGGTCCGACTCCGGTCTGGTCCGACCTCATTGTGACAGGGTAGAATGACCGGGAGCCCTCGGTCCAGATTTACATGTCTTTTAAATCAGAAAACCTACATGCAGCCAATCCTAAGATTTTATTTCATCCTTCATCATTCCCTACTCGAGACTGGTTCATCCTAAATTCCATCTCTGTATCGACTTGTGAAGATTTACAAACTCGGGGCTTCACACTACGCGCAACCAATGCTTATCAATCATTTTTTCAAATCCAACCAGGCCTTTAGCTACGAAGCTCTTCGGGCTGCTGGCTATAGTAACCATGGTGGGGCAGATCTTGGTGAAGTGGTAGCTATCTGCTCCAAGATCCGGCCAGGGAACGAGGATGATTGGGAGCGCGAATGGCAGAAAGCTGCCGAACGAGCATTATCCAATGCGAAGCACTCGGACTCGGCGAAAAACAATAAAAGTGCCTACCATGGATATCTTCGTGCATCGAATTACTTCCGCACCGCCGACTTCTTTCGCCGAGAAAATGTCAATGAGGACAAGAAGTCGCATTTCTTATACGAGAGGTCAGAAACTGCCTTTGTAGAGGCAATGAGGCTGTCTACGTTTACTTACGAGTCGATCAACATTTCCTACCAAGGGACGTCATTGCCTGGCTACTTTGTTAGTCCTGACAGTACACAAAAGCCACGACGAACGATTATTTTCAACGGTGGCTATGACTCAACCATGAGTGAGGGGTGGTTTGCGATTGGAGCGGCAGCCTTAGAGAGAGGCTATAACTTCCTCGCATTTGATGGTCCCGGACAAGGTGCAGCTATTCGTCAACAGCATATGCACTTCAGACCCGACTGGGAGAATGTGCTCACCCCCGTTGTCGACTATGCTTTAACCCGCGTGGACATTGATGCCAACGCCATAGTCATCTTTGGGTGGAGCATGGGTGGATATCTTGTGGCACGAGGAGCGACGCAGGAGCACCGGGCCCGAGCTATCATCCTGGATGATGGTGTATACGATTTTGGCTCTGCATTCCGAGCCCATCAGCCGTCCTTTGTTCAACGGCTGGTCGAAAAGGAGTACGATTGGTTTTACAATTGGATGTTTCACTGTGTACAATCTTTTTCTACGGGAATCCGGTGGGCCCTGAACAATGGCAAATGGACCTTCGGCGTGGCATCTGCTGGGGATCTGAGTCGCGCAGTCAACAAATATACCTTGGAGGGCATTAGTCAAGATATTGTGACGCCGTGCCTGATAATTGATGCTGAGAATGATCATTTCCTGAAAGGCCAACCAGAGGTGCTTCGAAGAAATTTGAAATGCGAACACCAATTTGTCAGTCTGCGAGCAGATGAAGGTGGAGATACCCATTGTCACCAAGGAGCCTTCTTTCGGTTGCATCAAGTTATTTTTGACTATCTAGAGCCGCGCCTCACCTCACATGAGCCACTGTGATCCTTCGGTGGAATGTGCTCTTTTGCTTTCACATGTTTTTATCACACCATTTGTAGTGCATTATTCGTTGTTACAAGAAGTATATTGCCTACGAAATAGAAGAGTTCACCATATGTCCCCGTGGGTTATTTGATCCTAGACTGACTAACTCGTTCCTTTAGATCTTCGATAGATCGTTGCTTTTCTCACTTCAATGAACCTCATGATCTGTTTTCCTTCCTTTCCTCCATTTCTATCATATACCTATGTAGTCGGCGTAAACGTGGTAATACTGCTGCTGTTATTTTCTCTTCGCGGATTCGAGGCTTGATGGTGCGTATTACATTCATGTGTAGTCTTGCCATAGCCAATGAGATGGCAAGCTACCTAGTGCCATTCGGGTCAAATTGGCTACAGAAAATTGACCCCCGAAGATCTTCTCAGAAGAAGCTAGCAAATAGTTAAACTCTAGGAATCATGACTTATTATTTGACGTAATCAACCTTAGCGGGCTCCATTCGGCCCGATTCCACGAACCTCCGTATTCACGTGATTCGCGCCGAACTCACCATTCGTGGGGTAAAGATTGCTATTTTGGCTAGATATCGGACCTATTGCCATACGGAGTCTAGCAATTTTGCTTTGAAGATCTCCAAATGACCGACGTGGTAAACACTGTTAGGCGAGAAAGCAACGGAGAAGCTACCAGGTCCAGGTCATCCCCATCTATCACAGCATGTTTGCGGTGTCGAGAGCAGAAGGTGACTGAGTGTTGATAACGGTCTAATTATGCTCCCCTTGCTGATACTAAACCACTCTCAGCTCAAGTGCGGTCGCGAGCGTCCCATATGCGCTCGATGTGACCGACTTAATGCGACGTGCTACTACCCTAGCCCCCCAAATCGCCGGGGTCCGCGAACTCAACGGAACAGCCTTCGGCTACTACATAGGACAACCGAACGCGGTCGAGATGCAACTCGCCCTCGACATGCTGTTCTTCAGCATCCTCCTATGGGGCCAGTGTCAGAACAGCCTTCTACTAATAACACACAAAGGCCCAATGTGACCTCGCGACATAGCATTGTGAGCCTCAGTCGCAATGATTCCCTTGGAGATATACTCCCTGGTAATGACGCCGAAGCGGATAACATATCTGTGCCACTAGCCACGGGAACACCTGTACTGTCTGAGGTACGCACTGATGCATGCATCTGTCTATGTGAAAAGGATTGAACTCAGATGACTGATGATCCTTTACTAGTCCTATTCAACACAACTACGTGTGACAAGTTCATTCACAACAGAACCAGCCCCTACCTCGGATCAGCCACCCTTGCCACCAACCGCCCTTGGTCTTTCGTTGCTCGAAATATACTTTTCACGCGTGTATAACGCATCTTTAATGTTTTATAAGCCTGTTCTCTTCCAACAGTATCTTGCAGGGGAACTTCATGGCGCTCTTCTGAAAGCTCTATTTGCGCTAGCAACACTGTATGTCATGGTCCATGCCGCCAACGCCTCTTTCTGGGAAAGTCAGCTAATATTATCTTAAAGGTTCCTTCAACCGACAAATATAGACGACGAACGCCATGTCGCAGGTATGCATTCGGAGTTAAAAGTTTTAAGTGCATACCACTCTTGTGGCTTCCCCTGGGCGAAAGCTGCGTTAAGAGAAGCTCTGATGTTGGCTGTGGAAGTCCCATCTCTCATGGTAACCCAAGCTTTGGAGTGTTTGCAACATTTTTGGTTTGGTGTTGGTCAGCCTCACTCAGGAAACTTATGCCTTGGTAAGCTTTCGTGTGTATGACCGACGTTACCCCATAGATGGGCGTCTTTTTAGAAACCCTATGTTGACAAATCTACAGCACTAGCCTATCGGTCCTGTCAGCTTCTTGGATACAGCAAGAAAATTGCTGGCAGTACTGGTGGTTCGGATTTGTCGCTCGAATCAGAACTTGGCCGTCGGTGCTTCTGGGCTTGCTGGACATCTACATGCATTGTGATGGAGCCAGAATCATTTGTCAGATCATGCTGGCAAGAAGTTGCCGGGGTACCGCTCCCAGGATTGATTTTCAATACTTCGTCAGGTCACAAGATACTCCATACCGAGAAAATGGATGAGAATTGGCATTCCAGTGTCCTAGGATTTGTGGCAAATACCGAGACTCATCCGGGAGTCGCAGCACAGTTGGTGAAAATGGTTGGGATATGGTAAGTGAATATGTTGACCTGTAGAAGTTGATCTGCTTTGGAAATCACTCAATATTTGCTTCAATAGGGCGAAAGTTCAATTCTTGTGCAAGGATTACTCTTCCTCTTCAATCACTCGAAGTTTCGACTCAGCTCGAGAATTATCTCACTTGGCAGAGTCGCTTTTTGATAACGCTAACTCATTAAGGAGCCCCGTTCACCAAGACGGCTCGTCATATGAAGTACAGGTCCTGTTTCTCGTGCATGATGCCATTTACCATCAATGCCAAATCACAATCCATTCAATGATCGTTCCTTTATTTTCGGGAATTCCCCCTGATGCGAAGATAGGCCTTGGCATGCAGAAAAAAAGCGCAGAGACTGTTGCAAAACATGCAGAGCTCTTCTATACCCTATTGGAACCATACCTCTGTGGGCGTTATCATGCATCACGTCTCCCACCTCTCGTTGGCTACGGTGCTTTTGTCGCTGGTATTGTACTTCTGGCTACGGAAATATCCTGCCAGGAGAGAGAGACCAGTGGCTCGTCTGCTCAGACCGTGAAGGAGAATTACAGACTAGCTGCTGTGAAGTCAATATTGCGCCTATTGGATAATATCAGAGTCTATTGGACGGTGTTGCAACGTCCGGTAAGCCATATCTTTCATCGACGTTATCCCTTAGTGTCTTGCTTTAATGACAAGAATCTGCAGTGGGAAACCTTGTATGCAGCGTTGCAAACAGAACTTTCCAAGCGAAAAGCACAACTGAGGCCAACAAACTCACGGGGTAGTATGTCGAACACGCATGTCCTTAGAATATCTCAATTCTCGATAAACTAATGAAGCTCCAGACCAATTGTCGGTACAAGTCGATGATTACGAACCTCCCGAGATATCAGAAACATACAACCAAAATATGGATATTTCAAATGAACAGCTGCAAATTTTGGCGGCCGATAGTAGTGGAGGAGGACGAGGACATGAAACCCAAGTCGGCTCCCATCCATCTACAGTCATCGACGATCGGCTTGAAGCTCAAAGTGAGATGGAAGAAAGCGGCTCGCTGATGGATCAGATCAATTTACCACAAGACTATAACTGGTACAGTTTATCTTTCGCGGAAGCTGGAGTAGAGCAGTTTGCCGGGCTCGATCCTTCTACGCTATTCCTACAAGGCTGGAGGACATTTGGTTAGCTGTGCATCAACCAAGTCTGTCTCCCACAGATCTGATCGCAACAATATATGAGTTATCCAATACCTTATTGGCTCTCTTGGTCAATTGAAAATATTCCTCCAATGTAGATCTGTCGGAAAATAGCTCGTTCCTCACATACTATCAAAACCATTCCTAGTTGGGTTTGCGCGACAATATTCAACTCGTAGTATTTCGGAGGAATTTTGACGGGCAACACAAGTGACCGCCACCGAGCTACATTACTCATCAGGAGCGTGCACGAACCGAGTGTTTATATCCTTTGCTACCGTAGCATTTGCGTTCATCCGACCTGAAGTGGTTCTCGTTCGGTCCGACTTGATGTGGCCGTATCGGGCCGAACCTAAGATCTCCCCACCCTCAATCCCCCAATCAAGTTCAAGATATTCTGGTGTCCAAGGCATTCGAGGCATTGAATTTCGCCGAGGGTTCCCGCTAACGCCTCGGTATATACGTACATACTGTAAGAATGGTCCATTTTGGTCGTCTAGTAATACCCACTTGGCGAGGTTGTCTACCTTTTTGCTTGTATCAAAAAGCAAGAAACATCCTTCAAAGCTTGGCTTCAGTCAAACACTAATGATTCCGGGAAACAGACGAAACAAGATGCCCAACCAACAACGTGACATTCAAACCATCGACGCCGCCAGCTTCCCGTATATATTCGAGCAGAACGTGTCTATACCTTTAGGAAATGGCGGGGTAGTTCGCTGCAATGTCTATAAGCCCAAGACAGCCTCGATGGAAAATAAGTTCCCAGTCCTCATGACATACGGACCATATGGCAAAGATGTTCCCTATAAGCGGTACGGAAACAGAGTAATCTGGCAGAGACCCGTTACGCTAACCTATATAACCAAAGATTCAATCCGAAAAGTTTCTCGGAGGTCGACTCAGCACATCAAACAGAGCATTCTGCATGGGAGACTCCGACGCCTGTCTTTTGGACAAATCACGGATATGTTGTCGTGCGAGCCGATGAAATCGGCACCGGACAATCTCCGGGAGTCTTGGACGTCAAATCTGCGACTTCAATTGATGGCTTCTGCGATGTCATTGAATGGGCTGCTCAGCAACCTTGGTCAACTGGAAAAGTAGGCCTTCTTGGTGTGAGCTATTACGCTGCCACGCAATGGCAGGTCGCCGCTCGGCAGCCCAGCGGCTTAGCGGCTATTGTTCCTTGGGAAGGATTCTCCGATGCTTATAGTGAATCCTTGCGACATGGCGGCATCCTATCGAACAAATTCTTCGACATGTGGTATGCCCGTCAGGTCGCACCGAACCAATATGGGCTCCCTGGACGCGCCGCACGTAACTGGGGCCCCGATACCATTGAAGGTGATCTCACAGCCGACGAGCTCAATGCAAATCGACACCGAGCTGCTTTGAATGAACAGCGATACCGTGATGATGAACAACTTGCGGCTCTCAACTTCAACCTGGAAGATATCACCGTCCCCATTCTCAGCGTGGCCAATCTTGGTGGCAGCTTACTGCATCTACGAGGAAATGTGAACGGGTACCTATGGGCTGGATCGGAGTTCAAATACCTTCGGTTTATCGTTGGAAGGCACGACCTCCCCTTCTACTACCCTGAGGAAGTAGAAGTCCAGAGGAGCTTCCTTGATGCTTGGCTAAGAGATGAAGACCGGGATGGATGGACAACCAAAGGAGCACTTCCTCCAGTAGATCTCATTCTTCGCAAAGGAAATGTTGGATACAACAACCCAGCTGCAGAAAGAACCTTTGCTCGGCGAAAGGAAAGTGAATGGCCGTTGGCCAGGACAAACTATACGCCCTTTTACCTGACAGCAGACCGAGGGCTCCAACCTGTCCTACCGGACCAGCCACTGCCGAGGAAGCTCAGTTATAGAGCCCTAGGCGAAGATCGACCGTCTGATACTTTGACTTTCATGTCATCACCTTTCGAGTCAGACACGGAGATTACTGGGCACATTGTGGCTCATCTCCATGTCTCAATCAGCAGGGACCGATGGGGAAACTCTCCATCTGACCTAGACTTGTTTATCACCATACGTCATCTATCATCATCCGGTGAAGAAGTTCTCTATACGGGCTCTGCTGGAGAGTCTGTCCCTGTGACCAGGGGATGGCTCCGTGTGTCTCTTCGCAAAACCAATCCTCAGCATCCACGCCACCGTTCGTGGCTACCATATAGGGATTATTATTTTACAGATGTTCTTCCTGTAGTCCCCAACGAGGTTTATCCCGTTGATGTGGAGATCTGGCCAACGAATGTTGTCATTGAATCTGGGGATCGTTTGATTTTGGAGGTGAGCTCTGGTGACACTGCGGGAACTGGATTTTGGGGTCACGATGACCCTATTGACAGGTAAGCTGTTGACATAGGACATGACTTTTGACCGCTGCGACATATTGATCTAACAATTCTCAAGGTCGGAAAAGGTCTTCAAAGGTCAAAACTGCCTTCACTTTGGGCCAGATTATGTCAACTACATTAGTCTACCACTCATTCCCCCAAACTGATGAACTTTTCTTGGTAAATTGTCTTGAACATGTTGGTGTGGTCCTTACAGCAGGGTTATTGGAAAGCAGATCGAACTCGTTTTAAATCATACGATGAATTGTTGATACCAAGTTCCTCTTCCAGAAGCCTAAGAGCGACAATTGAACACCAAAAAGACAAAGATTCCTACCACGAGGCTGCTGAACTGTTTATCTCTGATGGAATATTCAGGAAAGCGAGGTTCGTATTGAGACCTAGGGCACCAGGTCTATCACCATGACCAGCTGTATTCTGTATGCGACACTAGATCCTATCAAAGGATAAACACCAAGTACGCTCCAACAAATGATCATCACACATCATGGGGTATAGTTTTCAAATCCACTTGAGAAAACTCTTATCGGGTCACTGTCCGAACCGAAATTGAGCTTGACGCTAAAATGTAGATCACGATAGTGGCGTTCGGGGCGGGGGCCGAAAGTTTCTCCCAACGAAGTCAATAAGCGTATCCTTTATAAAACCAGATGAAAAGAAAAGAAGAAAGATGTAAATGCAAAGCGTCATATGCAATATATGTCGGGAAACGGTGAAAACGACAGGAAGAATATTAAAAATAAAATAGATCACACGACATCGTAGCCCGGCACAGACCGGTATCTGGGTGACTCGGTACCGCTGAGTTCGTCCGACTTATTGCCGCCAACGTTGGGAGGCGGCTTGGCCAACCGCAGCACCCAGCAGAGACAGTACTCGACCGGGAGCAGCAGCAAGAACACGCGGTTGATCATGAAGCACACGGTGACTGAAATTATGGCCATGACAGCATCCAGCCAGTAGTGGTTTGCGGTTGCGACAATAACGCTGAGAACCAGCAGCGAGTATGCGAAAGCAAGCACTGTATAGATGACTTGGGTCAATGTGGATTTGCGAACGGGCTTTCCGCGCAGTCGGCGGAAAATTTCTGAATGGTAAAGGAATGTGCTGCTGATCACAAAGGCGTAGGTGAAGTGTAAGCTGGGCATGGCCGCGAATTGGTTCACGGACTTGCTGTCGACCCAGACGCTTTCGGCATGCTCTTGACGGACGGTGTCGAAGAAGTGGTAGGACTCGGGGAGAAGACGGGGCGGCATGCACGGGTAGACGCAGAAGACTGCAAAGGCGAAGAAGTTGCCGAGTGTCATGGTGCGGCGGACGAGGGCGAAAGTGTTTGCGTTGGGGGCTTCATGATAGTACCAGGAAATGAACCTATGGGAAGTTAGTTTTGGACTTTGTATCTTAATGATCGAATTCTTGATCGGGTCACTCACAGTACAGTCCCGGGGATATGCACGAGCGAGTAGATGCGATTGAAGAAAGTCATGATGGCAGGGTGACTTCCCAAGAAATAGCCCTGGAAATCCGATTCCAAGATCGGGAACATCCATCGGAAAATCGACTCATGTTCAAACCAAAGAATATCCTCGCCATGCCGTTGGGCGACTTCGACCACGCCCACCTGAGCAGGTACCAACCATTGTGCCGTCGCTTTGGTGACGGAGTAGAATAGAAAGTTGACAGCCCAATAGAACATCTCCACCAAGAAAGGGAATTTGTACAAGATGCGACTGTGAATATGGTTCGCCCAACGCGTGGAGTCCGGCGTGGTGATAGGAATGCCACAAACGCGCTCTGCTTTGCTCGGGTTGGGTGACTGTCCGCGGACTTCATCAATAGAGTCAAAATACCCACGGGGATTGCGTTCATCAATGGCTCTGTTGCCGAATATGCTGTAGTTTTTACGCCTGTTGAGCACGAGAGAGCCAATCATGATGCTCACGACCACCTATAGTTCATCATATCTATTAGACATGTCCCATGAGGGCTTCAGCTAAGTGACCGAGTCGAGGCGCTTACCAGTGGTTCCAGCCATGAGTGCGAGGAGAACTGGGGTTTCCCCATGTCCGGCGTAGTCGCCGACATTTTGAAAAAGATAAATCCAAAAGCAGACCCTCTAGCGAATGAATTATGACCCTTTCACCCAGCAATACCAAAACAAGGGCGGTCAAATAATAATAAATAAGATGGCGAGAGCAAGGGATGGAAGGAAAGGAAGAAGACCAAGAAGGAGCGGAAAGCGGAGGGCGGAAATCGACGACCACGAGCAGGTTAAATGATGATGGGGTTATTCAAAGGATCGACAAGACAAGGAGCAGCGAAGACCCCCCTCCCTTTAGGAATTTTAGAAAACAGGGTTAAGCTATGGGAGGAAACCCTTCTCAGCCCCAAACAGTCGGAGTCGTCGGATGCGTGTCTTGGCCCAGGGGTGGCTTGGTCTAGAAGAAATACAGTACGGGCGAACTGTTCATAACTACAGTATCTGAAGTACGCCTCTCAACGGAGGAATCCAATCAGCGGGCTTATAATCATCTTTATTGGAAAGCCGAGATTGATTTGGTATGGAGTATGGAGTCTATGGACCGAGGGGGGGCGCAGGCTCATTATTGACCGATCCGGTTTTGGGTCGTGTGCTCGATGCGATTGGGCGTTCCTTGGCATCTCGACTCCATAGTTTACGGGGATTGCCCGCTGGAACTGCTTAACTGATGGGCGTCCGGCCAGCTAATCAGGCAAGATTTTGTCTCGGGCCATTGACAAAGAGGTAGGGGGCCCCTCAGAACTCGAACGTCTTGTCCTTTCCCAAGAGACAGACTAAAAAAGGAGATTATGGGGCTTGGTTGGGACGCAATTACGTATACGGCGTGGCCCCGGAGAAGGGAGGCGCTTACTTCCGCGTACATAAGGCTCGGATGTATGCCCACCCGTATTCGTATTGAGTCTTGATAGACGGAGAACGGAGCAATGCCAGTCGCTGGCCTCGTTTACTTATCCGACCCGGTAAGGCTGTGTCGATCCGTCGTTGACTGGAGACGCTGCCCATCTTGCTCTACGGCCGTAAGGAGAGAAAGTCTCTACTCATACCGGATGAACAAACCAGGTTCTAAGGATAGAGCGAGTGAATGATGAGTGCCATGACAATAGCACCATGGAACCCCTCCGTACTGCGACAGTATTCTTGACCTGGATCTGATTTTGATTTGATTCGAAATCCCTGCAACCTTTGCAGCGCCCCACATCGTCGCCCTGCCTGCTCCAATTATTTATTGGTTTCCAGTACGGAGTACAGACAGCTTCCCTTCTCGGCGCAGCGACCTCCCCATTTCGACTGGTTCAGAAAGAAGCCACAAAATCACCGCGACGGTAAATATTTAGGGCCTCCGACTGCCTCACACAATGGTCACATCTAATACACAGTCCGTACGGTGTGGGCTCTGGACATCCAACTGCATAGCCACAGGAGCCAGCCATGGCGCTGCCATTCTTCGCCATTATTTGACCGTACCACGTCAGCTCTGACAATCTGATCTGATCCTGCAGCAAAGAACCGAAACACTGGCGGAATCGGGTCCATGACGGGTGAGGCGTCCAACTTGGCGTTGCGACCGGGTGCGCCCTTGTGCTCAGTTTCCCGTTTCCCATTTCCGAGAGCGGACATCCACCTGAGCACCAGGACTCATCCAGTCAAGGCTATTCTCCGCTTACATGATTCCCGCTCAAAAAATTTCTTGATTGAGAAAACGACTGCGACGAATGAGCACAGCGCAAATGATGCATAAGATCTTGCGAGTCCGTTATCCCAAATAATGCACCGAATCGTCTCCTGAGCTCCACTGCCTGCTCCACAAGCGCCTATGGAAGAGTCGGTCGTCGGTGCTTGGCACCGGCCGGACTCCGAACCACGCGAGTATGAATTCCCCGTTCGGCGAAGGAACGGTATTGTAACTGGGGAATAAATGAAGGACCGAGGCACGATAGAAGGGTGGTTTATTCATCATGATTGCAAACTTTGTTGAAAATCTCGCCGCCACTTTGGTTTCAACTCCGTAGGCTCCGGTGACAGTCAATTTCTCTGCTATTAGGCCGAGGGAAGGATATTCAACGAGTTCAGTTGACAACTCAGGGGAGTGACACTCAGGTTTTGTACCCACTTTCAGCCACCATAGGCTCAAGGGGGTTAGAAATTCTATAGAAAGGCCTGTTGAAAGGCCTGTAGTATGACTATCAATAAAAATACCCCGACTGGTATGGAGGAGCGATAAATAAAGCGTACAGCGCAAAATTGCGTAGAGACCTTCATAATTCGTGCTTGATGATTCCTACAGCGACTATAGCAAAAGTAAAGCTCTCTTATCTTAACTCATCCCTAAGCCCCTTCCGATAGCAACCACATTTCTGAGTATACGTTCACGATTTGCCAGTCCACTGGTAGTATACCATGTTCGATTTGAGACAAGACACATCAAGTCAAGTCGTAACATCTGCCAATTCACCGGAGAGCTAGACTTCCTGAGAATATCCAACTCGAAGAATAGATTTTCCCGTAGCCGCCTTCGCCAAAACCAATCAGGCAACGTCCATTGAAATGCGGAAAGCATATTGCGCAGATTCTCAATATCATCCAAGGTGTAGTCAACTGGGCAGACCCATTCAGATACGAGGACGGCGATTTCTATCGGAAGTTTGCTGAGACAAGGGTACATAGAGTGGCATGTTTCTGCGCGGGCAATCGCTTCTTGCAGTGCTGGTATGACTACTGGATTCTGGTAAATATCACAGCCGAATTCAACCTCTGATAAAGCCTCTTTCGGCTTGACCCAGCCAACGTTGCAATCGTATAAGCCGTCCAGTTTTTCCTTTCGCCAGTGGTTTCGGGAAGACTGGATAAATTTCCTTAGCTTGATTTCTGTCGGCATCGCGCCCAGAGCTCGGCCAAAAAGTACCCAGCAGTGAGCATGAATAATAAACCCCAGTGGCTTCCCTTTAAACCGGGATGGCTGTCTTCCCATTTTCGCCGCGTAGACCTCGGTGAAGACTTGTTTATCGTATCGGGCATATTTTCTCCCTCCGATTCTCGCGACAGCTGGGTCTTTCGGGAGGTGGTGTGGATTGGTACTTGCTTCTTGTAGCATATTAATACCCGTGAGACGATACTTGGTATCTGACTCTTTAATTACTATACTAGTTATTTATATTTAGCTCGAAATTATTGTCCGGGACTTACTAGCTCGACAGAAACATGACCATAGTCGAGGAAATTCGCCAAAGCATGCCTCTTCTACCTGGGTGGATGGCACCATCACATGTTTTAGACTGGATCTCCAGTAACCTCTCCATTGATCTTTGAGCAACCGATTGCGCTCCGGAGGCTCATGATAAGTCGGACTTCCTGCAATTCCAGAATCGCCCGTTCTTGGGATTTCCATCTGGCATAGGAGGCATGTTGGCGGTGGGTTGACGCCTGTAGTACTAGGGGTTCGGTCCTTGCCGCGCACTATGTACCTTTTCACCATTTTCAAGGGAAGAATATACTGACAGTATACAATAACATTGGAGATGAGGCATCTTCTAAAAATTAATTTTTCGTCGCGGAGAGAGATACTTAAGGATTATCGTGAGCTGATGTAATAATGAATGCTTGACTCGAAAGAGTTTATTAGGAGTTATCTTGTTTGACTTTACCTGGCACGTCAGCAAATTGTTTAAATACTGAGATATTGTATTTTCTACTGCCAAGCTAGGTCAAAGCTGCCATATTAGTCAAAGATGACGCTGTTCAAACTATCCTACGTGTGCATATGATTCTTTCAGATAGCAAGAGAGTGAATAGATCATTGTTCATTGTATCATAAAAAAAGAGTGAAAGGACACTCGCCCGCCTAGAGAACTGCCACGGCAGAGACATAGCTAACAGAACTGTCCATCACATCCACGGCATCCGAGCTGCGCTCATACCGAAGGAAATGGAAGAGGCCGTTCTTGCGCTCGGGGTGGCTCGCCGTCACAACCTCGAGCGCCGCCATGATCACTCCAATCGGATGTCGACCGCAGACCGTATTCCCGGTACGCTCAATAGTGTCGAGGAACGTGCGAGCCGATCCAGTCGTGATAGCCGTCATGGTCGCAATATCAAATGCAGAAATACTCTCGTGAATAGCAGGCGCCGTCCCCGAGACCCAATCGCGCCTCTGCAAATCATGGCCCACGCAGACTGAATCGATGCTCTCTAGGATGTCGTCGGGATCCTGTCCTGGCTGGGGTAGCTCGTCACTTGATAATGGGAGTACTGGTCCTGGATTAGGCGCCTGTGGCACGTAGTATGTGTAGCGGAAGCGGAGACCCCAGTGGCAAAAGTCCGAGCTGATCACAAAGGCATTCGATGGATCTGCTAGGTACGGAGCTAACAAGGCACCGAATGCCTGCTCCGTCGCGGCAGATGTACTTCCAACCATGATGGGAACGAGCGGTGGGTACTGTGCTGTTGGAGCGTTTGGAAACTGTAGCTGCAGTAGGCGATGGATGTATGGAAGGTGCATTTCGATGCTATGCTCATCCTCGTCGACAGACTGGCTCATGGTGGTAAACCGCATCTTGGATCCATTGGGTTTGGTTGCTTGTGCGGTCAGGAGCTCGCTGATAAGCTCCGTGTCTAGTGGCAGGGGGTCGTTAGAGAGCGGGGTCTCGTATGAGGTGACTTCGGGGAGAGCCAGCGTTGACAATGAGTAATGGTGCGATGGTCCCAAGACAAAAATGCGCTTTCTATATTTCAAGCTCTGTGTGAGACACATCATGCTCTAGTACAAGCGCTGTGGGTAAACTCACGCCTTGGACAGATCGAGGGCCTTGTATGCAAAGGCTGCACAGGGTCCTGAGTAGGAATATCCCGCATGTCTATTTCATTTATCAGCTTCGGCTCTTTCTGACAAACATTTTGTGGTATTGGTCAGTCAATATACGTACGGGGCAATGATCACTCGGGCTCCAGGCACTGGCAGCGATCCAACCGTATCCAAGGACTCCGGCACTTGAGCCAACCAGTCATCCAGCTGGTGAGTCAGGGTTCGGGCAATATCAGAGTACCAGGCCCCGGCGTGAGAGGCGTGTCTGGTAGGCATGATGGTGGGTGTATCTGTTTTGAGTGGGGATGGTCTGGGTGAGGTTCAAAGGTTGAAGGTTGAAGGTTGGGGGAAGGTCCGGCCGAGGAGAAGCGGGGGAGGAAACCGTCATCAAGTGGAGCACAATGCGGGATGCCGAACGCTCTGGACTACGGTATCCCGATCATGTGGAGAGATCATAGGGTGATAGAGCTGTAGGTCGAGCTTTGATATGGATTTGAGACCTTCGAGACGGTCACTAGTGCGACGACCAACCGCAGAAAATGGTTTACTTTAGTCGTCCAATCATCAACATATAATGACGTCGTCACGAGGCCGAGACTATACAAGGACCATCCTCAGCTAACCACCATTCTCATTGTCGGGCGAGATAATCTTTAGTTTCTCACTTTATGAGCTTCAATATGATGGCTCTTTAGTAGAAAAGTTAATATCCAATTTTCTTACAGTGGTCAATAATGTTGACGGTGATCTGATCTCGAGCATTCCGGCAGATGGTCCCTGCTCGATCCGACCATGCAGTTCTCGAGCAGCCAACCATAAGTATTTCTTGTTAAAGCAAGAAAGAATATAGCCATGGATATGCCCAAGCTTCATATTCTGCTAGCGACAGCCCCTCGTATCACAGCCTCCGCAATAATCCCCAAGGCCCAGCGTGTTGTGTGCAATGCTGCCCATTCCGGACTAGCGTGTCCTGGTCAACGCGAAACCGCCAACCAAGGACGCGCCCAGCCAATCAGCATGCGCGCTCCAGCTCAAGCCTTTTCCTTCTCGTCCAGATGCAACTCTGCAACTTCCACTGCCGACCAGGGCTTCAAAAGCTGCAATCGTCCCCTCAGGGTTGCCATCCCGACTACCCAGAACCTCTCCTAATCATATTGCCGCTGAAATGCCTCTCAAGCGCAAAGCTTCCTTCTCCGCCCTCCCGCCTAGCCTGGCGATGCCCACGCCCAGCGGATGGGGCATGTCCGATAGCTCCAAGGACCTTCCCAGCCGGACCCGAAAGCGCTTCCGGAACGGCCGCCCAGACGACGACGTGGTATTCGGTACGTGACTCCCATCTATCCAAAGACATGTCTGGTATCGACCTTGGCACACCATACCCCCATCATGTCCTGCCTTGCTCTGTATAGACAGTGGAACAGCTGCTGACGAGAGCAGAGAAAACCCTCCGTTGGATCTTCTCCGCCCAAAATCAACAGCAGCAACAGCCCATCACTCCAATGGACACGACAGACGATGCCATGATGGATGCAGAGCCTAGCATTCCCTCCCCCGAAACCGTCGACCCGCGCCAGCAGACCCTACTGCGATTCTTCCAGCCCCGCGCGGAAGCATTGTCGCCCTTCAGACCCTCCCGCGAAGCGCTTGCTGCTCGTGCCAATGAGACGGCCATGGACCAGGAAGAGATTATGCGCCGCCAGGCGTTTGCGCAGATGAATGTGGCTGGAAGCACGAGCGGAAGCGAGTCCACGAGCTCGAGCTTTTTCCGGACTGAGGCGGATGTGGACATGGAGATGGATGGCGAGGAGAGTAGCGATGGCTCCAATCCCGTCGCCAAGTGGGCATTTTGGAACGGAGGTGCTTGATGCTTCTGGAGGGGGAAGAGGGAAGTTCCGGAGCTGAATTGGCTCTGCTTTGAATTGAGCGCTGGTCGCTGCACGGGAGATGGCCATTGCTTCTTCCCATGATATTATTCGCATTTATTTGGATTTTTGGGAAGATGTTTGGGCTTGTACCTGTTTCGTCCGTTGTTTACACCGGGTCTCCGGGAGAACCAGGCGTTGTACGGAATTGGCGTTTGCGTGTCTTTCTTGGATGGATCGCTGGAAGGGAGTATTAGGGATAGCGATGCAAGGTGTAATGTTTCAATGAACATACTTCATTAAATAACCTCTGGTGTATCATTGCCGTGGTAAAGATGTAGAAGTTGAGCGCTCGCAGTGGACGTTCGAGGATGGCATCTAAAATATCTTGGAAAAGAGCAGGAAGTATAGCCTGAGCTTTAATATCACCAAGCTTCCGTACGGCTAAAACATAATATAACAGAAGAGAGTGTGAATGTAGGAGAAGACAACGAGAAGAAAGCTTGAGTCGAGTTATAAGCTCTGTTGACCTGGTACCTAATGAGCCTTAGGCACCCGCGATTGATGTTTGGTAGCCCAGCCACATTTCAAGACGGAATCGTACATCGCTTCTTGGGCCTGTTTATACTAAAGGACGAGGGAATTGGGCTCTTCATCTTGAGAAGGCAGCTGAAGAGTTTACTATTGCCAGGTCTATTGATACGCTAGTTCCTTTAACTCGTGCCTCAGTCATGTATATGACAGAAGGAAAGAAAACCACCGTCTCAATTAGTTAAAAAAGCGATAGCTGGAGAGCCCCTTCCAGAGCTTTCCATGCCTCTTTCCTTGCTCAAAGACAAAAGGAGTCTGTTTCGTATACATCGTTTCAGGTGAAGCTAGAGAACAGGCGATACTGGAGGTGGGCCCGCCGATTGATGGCCTCAGGCACCAATGAGCTGCTGCCCGAGGTGTTTGCTACTGGACCAAGTAAGATGGCGACCTTCCCCTCCAAAACACCAGCGAGCGATTGGTAATGAGACCACGACTGCGCGACTTTGGCTGATCACAAAACTTAAAGCCACCTCTACCTTCCCTCAGGCCTGAAATCTGCCACCCCAGTCACTCGCGAGGCCTGCGTTTAGTCGACTCCCATCCTCGATCTTGCTTGCGCTGACCCCCTCAGACCATCACAGCGATTGGGGCGTCAACACCTCCAACGACAATGGAGAGTGAAAAGGCAGTCGAGTATCTGAGTGACCTGCTGGGTCGCACTTTGCGTATCCATGCTACCGATGGTCGCATGTTTGTTGGCCTCTTCAAGTGCACCGATGCGGTAAGCAATCTTGGTGTGATACTGATTGAAGAGCAAGAGTACATAGGTCGACTATGCTCAGCAATACATGGTCTCTCGGACAGTGCTAATGCGGACACTATTACATTATAGGAGCGAAACATCATTCTTGCCAATTCTTTCGAGTATCGTGTCCCGACTGCCTCCGCCATCCAAGAAGCCGCTGCAAAGGAGACCGAGTCGTGGGACAAGACCGACACCAAAGCCGCCACTGTCAAAGTCAACATGAGCAGCCGACTGATTGGACTCATCGTGATCCCCGGTCGCCATATTACGAAGATTGAGCTGGAGTAGAGGGTTGAACTTGGCCAGCGCCCATGATCACGAGACGATCAGCTTGCCGCCCTTCCAATGAGGTGCAGTGCAGGACCCGGGAAATCCAGGACTACGAGAACTCTGGCGGAGCCAAGCCTGTGGGATATAGGCCAATCCGTTCACCCGGTATCTGCCCTATGCAATTACGGCTACAAAATTCAGTATAGCACCTGTTTCTGTGATTTGCCTCTCCGTTGGCATGAGAGTTGAAGGTGGGGCTGCCAAGGACCAGTGCTTCTGGCAGATGTGATGCTTGCTGCTGCTCAATCAACGTGGCCCGGGGCACACAGCAGCTTTCTCACATGGTCATGGACGCTTGGCCAGCAGGTCCGTTGTGCCGAACCATCCATTTAGGGACTTCTTTTGGAGGGCCTGCGAGAGGAGAGGATGAGGGGGTGGAGGGTGAAATGGCGGTGTCTCCGCCATGGGCGATGCCTTGGCACTCGTGCAGTGGCTGTTGTGCAGGACCAAGACTGTCTGCGGCTCCTAAGCCCCTCAATCTTTGCCTGATCAAGCCACCCCTCAAACGGAGCTGAAATTGCCTTTGTTCCCCGACAGCCGTTGTGCTTGGTTAGTGGGTCATGGCACCGAGACCTTGAACCCTCCTTCAAGTATAGACACCACGTGAGAGCTTCAAAGCCCCTCAACTTTGTTTTGTTTTTCGTGTAATCTTTGGATGATGGAACAATATGGTGGCTGGCCCGGCAAAGGAATACTGCAGCCCGTTTCCCCGCTAGTTGTGATAGGATCATCGGAGGGGTAAGCGGAGGTCTAAGCTCCATAATCACTGATCTGCTACTGGCTAGGAGGGGTCGGGTAAGTCAGTCGGGGCAGACTCTATCTGCACTGTCGTTCGCACTGTCCTTTTCCATTGGACTGAATTGAAATCGAGGGAATGTATGCGCAAGATCATATCGCGATTTCGCTTATCAAGAGAAACAGCCAGGGCCTAGACAGACTCCATCGTGGATAGACTCGCGCTTTTCTGTCTACCATGATGCCACAATGCAGCTGGATTTTTTCGTTATGACTTATTTTTGAGATATCAGTTGCCACTATCTCCTAGATTACACCAGTAGCCAGCCTTGTTGATTGGAATCGTAGCAAGTCATGAACGCATCAAAGACCGACTATAAATACACCGTGGCCCAGACTCCTCGGGCCGGGGATGATCCGGCGGCTGTGCTTAAGTAAGGTCTGTGGCCAGAACCGGAGCATGTCAGCTCGTGACCCAGTCAAACAGACGCAACGCCAAAAGTACCAGCTAACTACGGAGTACTTGGGAGTCTGGTCCAGTCAGCCCTTTCCGGTACTGCGAGGTACCCTTCTCATAGCACAGCGGTGGCGGAGTACCTGCACCCTACATGTAGCCTCTACGACACTACCCTTCCCCTCTTTCCTCTCTCTCTTCTTTTTGGAAAATCAATCCAATACTCAAATCTTCAATCGTCTATCCCCCATCATCGTGAGTTTCGTTCGTGTCTTTCCCCCCTCTTCCGACTCTCTCCACTTCAAGTGGGATGCACCACCCTGGCCCACGATCCCCATACATAATGACGCATTCCTTTCTACCCGCTCATCCTCCACCACCCACACCTTTTCAACTTCCCTCAACCCTCCCTTGCTTTTTCTCTCCAATCCTCCACATACCCCGTTGAAAGCTTCAGCTCCAGTGGAGTTCAGTTCTGTCGATTCAACTTCCCTCGGCGCCTGACTGGATCATTCCCGTTGGGCAGAGAGACTAATCCCGCGTGCAGAAGCTTCCTGTCCGTGCAGCCTCGGAGCTACGCCTCCCATCTCTTCCTTCGTCCCGACCCGGCTTTGCCCAGCTTACTCTGGATCTCCCTTCAAATCTTCTGTAATCTCTCGCCTTGACTGAAACCCGCTGTGCTATCTGCTCTGCTTGACAGAGTCCGGTCGCTTCATCGCCCCGCCTACCCTTGCGCCCGTCTTATCCTCCCTTCGCACGTTTTTTTCGCCTACCTGGCCGTTCTTGGCTAGTCCTTACACTTCAAAACGCCGCATCCTGTGGTGAACAGCTGCAGCAAGCCCTCGCATTCACATTGCCCACGCGGTGTCGGGTATCTGCAAGCTTAAAATATTGGTGGTTGGAACATTGCACCCTCTCCGGCGCAAGGAAGCCAAGACATTCCACCCCCAGGGGGACCTTTCTCGGCATCGCGCTTGGAACCTCTGTTGTTCGTGCGATCACTTCGCGCCCCCTCGTTCCTAGCTTGGCAGCTATCCTAGCCTTGCAGTGATGGGTCAATCGCATTCCAAGGGCAACGCCAACTCGGGCGACCCGTTGCAGTCGTACCCGTCCTTTTCGAAATCTGACACCAAAGAATCCCTCCGCTCGTTCCGCGGCTCGATTCGCTCCAAAATCCCCGGTGCCCGTAGCAGTGACAGCCCTCGTGGCTCGACAACTGCCCTTTCCCAGACCGAGAGTCAAGGTGACAAATCCGACGCGGGGTCGGTCAGATCCGCCAGCAGTCGTCCTGGCTCTGTCGCTGGTCTCTCATCCCCAGGCTCTGAGAATGTCTCACGCACAGGCTCGCCGGAGCCTCCACCATCGCCCTCGTTGTCAGCCAGTTTGAAGCGCGGCCATAAGGATGTGAATGCGATGCAGCAGAGCGGCGAGGTGGACCATGTGTCTGATGGCCCTCCATCCCGCGGACCCCCCGCTGGAACTGCGTTGAAGGCGGGTGAATCGATTTTGATTAAGCGTGAAAATCAACTCAACCCTATTCTGGATTTCATTCTCAACGCACCGCTCGAAACCTCCGGGTCTCCCGGAATGGGCATGGGCGCTTTGAAGTCTATTGACTTGGATGATATGATCTCGAGACTGTTGGATGCCGGTTATTCCGCCAAGGTCACCAAGACCGTTTGCCTCAAGAATGCCGAGATTACTGCCATCTGTTCAGCCGCTCGGGAGCTCTTCCTCTCCCAGCCAGCCCTCTTGGAGCTGTCTGCTCCGGTCAAGATCGTTGGCGACGTCCACGGTCAGTATACCGATCTGATTCGCCTCTTTGAGATGTGCGGCTTCCCACCCGCGTCGAACTATCTCTTCCTGGGTGATTACGTCGACCGAGGCAAGCAGAGTCTGGAGACGATCCTCCTGCTGATGTGTTATAAGCTCAAATATCCGGAGAACTTCTTCTTGCTCCGTGGCAACCATGAGTGTGCTAACGTCACGCGGGTATATGGTTTCTATGACGAGTGTAAGCGACGCTGCAACATCAAGATCTGGAAAGGCTTCATCGACACTTTTAATTGCCTTCCTATTGCCTCTATCGTGGCCGGCAAGATTTTCTGTGTGCACGGTGGATTGTCGCCCAGTCTGTCGCATATGGACGATATTAGGGGTATCGCCCGCCCCACGGATGTTCCGGATTATGGTCTATTGAATGACCTCTTGTGGAGTGATCCGGCGGATATGGAGGAGGATTGGGAGCCGAATGAGCGTGGTGTTAGTTATTGCTTTGGCAAGAAGGTGATTATGAACTTTTTGCAACGACATGACTTTGATTTGGTGTGTCGTGCCCACATGGTGGTCGAGGATGGGTATGAGTTCTACCAGGACCGCATTCTGGTAACCGTCTTTTCAGCACCCAACGTAAGTAAAGTTTGCTCTTCGTTATTGTCGTTGATTGGAGGAATCTTGGGATCATTTGAGGTTTTCTGGATCCTTCAGAAACATTGCTGACACTTACGTCCCTGGCAGTATTGTGGCGAGTTCGACAACTGGGGTGCTATCATGTCAGTCTCTGGCGAGCTTCTCTGCAGTTTCGAACTTTTGAAGCCTCTGGATTCGACCGCCCTGAAGAACCACATCAAGAAGGGCCGGAGCAAGAGAAACAGCATGTTGAGCAGTCCTGTAAGACGCCCAAACCCCCTTTGCTTTTTCTCGCTTTTCCATTCCAAGCGAGTCCCATGGCGCGGTGCCACAGTGCCGAGGATCCCACTTTCATTTGCAGTGGTGCTTCGTTCAATAACTAACGCATTACGTTCCATATTTTAGCCGGCCCTGCCTTCGGCTCAGAGTTTCTAGTTTGGATGATCGACAACCCACGAACCCCGCTCTCGGGATCCGGTATATGCTGTCCTCGCCCTTGGCGCAGACCCATATGCATAACCCGTCAGAAATTGAAACCTGATCTTCACCTCCACCTCACCAGCCGTATGGTTGCGGCTTCATTTCTGAAGGCTGGATGAAGACTGAAATAACTTCCACTGGGATCTGCCTTCAATACGCTCCAACGAGGGTCTCTTCAGACTTTATGTCTTTCCTGACCGACACAGTTAATCGTGTCAATCAATGCCCGTGGTGCCAAATCTCCCACCCTCTAGTCTGTGACGACTCACGCCGAAATACTCCAGACTCCATGCAAATGTGCAGGCAGATCTCACTTACGACCAGACATGCAGAGGAAAATAGGCGTGGGGTTGCCATATTTGGGGCAGTCCCTTGGCTACACACCGGCCTGTAGGCTCGTGCCTTTAGCCATGTATGGTGATCAGATACAGACACGCCTGCGGCCCCGATGCCACTAGGCGGCATTCTTCTCCCGCTTCTGGCCGATTTCTTCTGCTCTTGTGTATCTACTCTCTTCTCTCTATCTTTTAGAAATTGGTGTTTGGAAAGGTCGTTAACCCTTATCCAAACTAAGTTATTATTTGGTGGCGGTAGTCTCGCATTGATATCTTTACTGCTTTCTTCAATATTCTAGTGTTATGAAACACCCTGTTCTACTGTATTCGTTCTATTCTTCATGTGAAGATAAATCTTTGTATTCTGGTTGATAGGCTGAAGCTGTAGATTGAAGTGCATCGAGTCCTCCTAGCATGCCGCAAAGCACTGTAATTCTTCTTTGAACATACCCAATCTAACTAATCATCCATCCAGCGGCTATCTATACACTTTCCCAACGCCCGCCCGACTAATAACCAACTCAGCCAACCATCACCGCTGCATCAACAATCCCCGATTCTCCTCCCAAAACACCTTACACCCAGTATGCCCCCAATGCTCTGTCCACCACTCCCCAAAACTATCCTGCACATTTTCCTCATCAACCCTAACAACCCTCTCATCCCTCCTCAACGCACAAAGCGCACAAGCATGCCCCGCCTTAATCCCCCCCTGCTCCGACTTGACAGTCACAACCCTTAACGCTGCCGGGTCCGGCACCGCAGGAATCGGTTTCTGGCCCGCCGCCTGAACGACGGAATTAAACAGCGACGCCCGCTCGCGCCAGAGCGCTAGCACGTCGACGGCATCTTGCTCTTCTTTCACGTCTTCGTGCTTGTTGACGGCGCTGAGTTTCATGCCGCCGGGTTTTCCGGCGCGGGCGGGGCCGATGCGCATGCTTTGCGCGAGGAGCGTGTCGCGTTTCCAGCGGTGGGTGCGGCCGGCGATTATGCGGGCTGCTGTGTGGAGGGTGTTGTGGATTTTTGTGGCTGTGAGGGCTTTTGGGGTGTGGGTTGGGTTTGGGCGGTTTGGGCTGCTTTTTGGAGGGTTGTTAGTTGGGTTAGGAGGTATTCGAGGAGGATGGATGGGGGTGGGATGTTGGTTGGTCGGACTGTTGGGGGTGAGGTTGGTGTGTTGGACGTAAAGCTTTGTGAGGATGGTGTTGTTTTTGTTGTTGTGGATGGTGATCGTGATGGTCGTGATGGGGTTGGCTTGGGGTTCGATGGTGCTAGGCTATCGTTGAAGTCGGCCCAGTCCTCGAAGGCGTCATCTTCCCAGGCTGGTTCTTGAGAGTTGGGATTGGTGGATTGCTTGGTAATTGAAGCCTTTGGCTTGATAGAAGGGGTAGCCTTGGTTGATATACTGCCGTTTTTTGGGGTGGCAGTCTTTATAGATGTCTGCTTCTGGGGGAAGTCTTTGGGGGCGGTGATTTGGTGGATGATTCGTCTGCGAAGTCACCCCAATCTCCAAAGGAGTCATCCTCGAGTAATGGATTTTCTTGCGTCTTTCTTTGGATTGGGAATTGAGGTGTTTTTGGTGGCAGTGGCTTGGCGGATTGAGCTTCGGTGAACTCGCCCCAGTCCCCAAACGAGTCGTCATCCCAGCCTGCTTGAGGTGGAAGATTGCCAATTGGATGTTGCGATTGTTGACTGGGTACCGGTGTAGTTTCAGCCATTGAAAGCCCACCGAGCATGTCGACAGTGCCAGCGAGACCTGGATTGTAGGAAGATTGGGCCGCTGGTGCTGGTGCTGGTGCCGTGGCTGGCGCATTTGGTGTTATAAACGCCGATTGCTGTGGCTGGCTCTGCTGAGTGGCCTCCGGGCCTTCAAATTCACCCCATTCGTCGTCATCGGCCTCGCTAGTTGGCTTGTCTTCTGTAGCATCGAACAATACATCACTGTCATGCGGTCGAGGGAGATCAAATGATGGATAGACAGCAGGTTGTGCGACTGTGGGCGCATAGTGACTCTGTGGTGTATATATATGAGGGCCTTGATGTCGTTCTTGCGAGGTCTTTGAGGCATCGCCGAAGAAAATGTCATCTGATTGGCCAAACCCGTCGATCAGGGAGTTTGTTGGTGGCCGTGCTGGCTGAGGCGGGTGTTCAGAGCTCTGCGCGGGACCAGAACCCTGGCCGAACTCTGCCAGCAAATCCGCAGACATTGGGAGGTCAAGGTCGTGAACCGCTGTAGAAGGGCATCAGGTCGTGACGATAGTGTTATCGTCGCACAAAATTATGCACCCTGTTCCTCGTGTATCACTGAGATCTTGGGGGTTGGGGATGTTGTAATGCTCCGAGCGAGTGACAACAGGGCGATAAGAGCTCGTGCCGCGGGATTACATTATCGCCGCTCCCCTCACCTTACCTCCTCTCCACAATTCCCTTCAAACTACCAGCTTGTGAAATGCGAACCCTTGAGGAGACAAGGTATTTGTCCATCCAGGAAGAGCATGGTGAAGGGGTGAAATTTGACGGAAGCTGACACGCTCTTCTCTACTTGTCCAGGAAGAGATGGGAGACATTGTTCCTTGGGCGTGACACCCCCTCTGACCTGCGGGCAGCATTGCGTGCGGAGCAAGGAGGAAAGGTGTGCACCGATGGACTGAGATCGATATGCTGGAAGGTCCGTGGATTAAAGTACCGCTTGGATATAAGTTCAACACTCATCCCGCCCGCAGGTGTTTTTGCTATTTGAGAGTGTCGAGCGCGAACAATGGTCCCAGAAGCTTGCCGAGTCGCGAGAGGCGTACAGCGCCTTGCGTGCCCATTTTCTGAAATATATCGAACACCCCGATGATCTGGAGTCGACAGTCGATCCGCTGGCGGACGATGAGGAGGTATGCCAGCATTCTTTTTGATGTCCACGCTAGGCTGGATGCGCTCAAGCAATGATCGGTCTGACCCAGCCTCTTGCCCAAGCACTAGTCTCCCTGGCAAACCCTCCGAAACGATGAAAAGCTACGGGCTGAAATCGTGCAAGATGTCGACCGTTGCCTCCAAGAGAATTTCTTTTTCCAGGAGCCCTCAACGAAGCAGAAGTTGACCGATGTCTTGTTTGTTTACTCGAAACTCAATCCGGACGTTGGCTATAGACAGGGCATGCACGAACTGCTGGCTCCCATTCTGTGGGTCATTGATAGGGATTCGGTTGAGCGCCCAGCTCCGGATACACCTAGTTCTACTTGTAAGGAGGATTGCCTGATGCTGGATCTCCTTGATCCCCGCTTTGTGGAGCATGACTCCTTTACGCTATTCCTCAGTGTTATGCAGACAGCTCGCACATATTACGAACATGGCGAGACAAAGTCTTCAAATGGCCAGGTGGATGTGATTCCGATTGTCAACAGGTGCCAATACCTACACCAAGAGGCCCTGACAATTATCGATCACGAATTGGCAGATCACCTTCAGACGGTGGAAGTGCTACCGCAGATCTTCTTAACGTGAGTGTATCAGAAAGCTCGACTTGCCAGATCGATGGTGCTAACTGCATGCGTAGTCGTTGGATGCGTCTGCTGTTTGAACGAGAATTTCCATTCGATGATGTCCTAGAGATGTGGGATTTACTGTTCGCACACGGGCTACGATCCGACCTGGTGGATTTTACATGCATTGCAATGCTGCTTCGCATTCGCTGGGAATGTAGGTATCTTGCCTGTGATGAAGAACCTCTACTTCCATTGAACCCAGCTAATCAGCTCACAATAGTACTTAAAGCCGATTACTCTGGCGCACTGTCAATGTTACTACGCTACCCACCGTCTGAACCACACTCACCGCAAGCTTTTGTGCATGATGCACTCTATCTCGAACAGAACCCGACAGCCGAGCGGGGCAGTTTTCTCATTTCAAAGTACTCGGGCAGACCCCCTGAGTCATCTAAGCGTCGCAGTCGCTCTGGAATCCGGCCGGCCATGAAGGCCCAGCTTTGGGAGGACTTCAAGGGCCGCAGCGAAAGCAGCTCACCGGGCTCCTCTCCCGCACGGAACAGTCCCAAAAGTCTGGAGGCACTTTTCCAAGACGTTTCCCAAGGCATCCAACGCCGTACCGAGTCTTGGGGAGTGGCTAAAGCAGTCCGAGGGGCCGTGACTGAAGCTCGGAAAAATATGCAGACCATGCATTACGAGCCAGGGCCTCGATTTTCCGCCGCACATCCAAAGCCAGTCTCTACCATAGCCGTCAACGGCGCGCCGCAGAGACCAACGCCCACCGAGCTCGGGTTACAAACAAAGATCGATCGGCTGGAAGAACGAAACCAAGTACTAGCGACTATCTTGAGCGAGGCCTTAAAGGATCTTCGTATGCAGCTAGACACGGTGAAGGACATGGATGCAAGTGTCAACGATACGGTCAAGCATGCCCTCGATCGAGTACAATCCGTGCAGAGCTGCCTCGAGGACTCTATGCTCCCACCTCTAATAGGGTCTGCCTCTCATCCCGCTACTGTAGATCCGGTAGCATCTCAATCGGCGCCATTGGTCTCAAAGACTGCCAACGATCTCAACCCGTCAGAAGTGGCCGAAAAGCAGGATCAGCAAGACGTACGACCATCCCGTCTCACGGATGCCCCCGGCGCGAACATGAATAGTGGGACTGCGAAAGCTCTCGGTATCGCCACGAATACTGTGACGACCACCGAGGGGCATGCCGATGCTGTGCGGGAAGGCCCCCGGACAGCAGTGCGACCATCCCTATCGGATGCAGGGTTCTCCTGGATGTTGGGAGGCAACCGGAATCTTTCAACCTTTGTCAGCCCGGCCTCAGTGCCTCCGGAGCAGACGCGACATCAGGAACAACCTCGCAGCAAAGGCAGCAGTCCTCTATTCGGCAACCATGGGGATGAGCACCCCCGGGCAGACGAAGTCGAGCACGACGAACTGGCCCTGCACAGTTTGTCTGGTACTCGAGGGCCGCTGTAAGGGGGTGGCGGTGGGGTCAGAATAATCCCGGTCCAGATCGCATTATGCACGTGGAGATGAGGCGCACTGCAAGATGCAGGATTTTGATTCAATGGTTTGTGCTTGCCTTTATTGAAACCGCCATCCATACTGGCTATGGTCAGGGTGATATCGGTGGGGGAGGGAAGTAGAACTGGAGATCCACCGGAGGAACAGCTTTCGGATCTGTCGGCGCAGAACAGAGCCATCGAAAATGGTCCTCGTTGGACGAAGCCCTCCCTTCCAGTCCCAGTAAATCTCATTCACTGTCAGTGGACGTGGGAGTGGGGAAGAGGAATGTGCACTGCACCAGTGCGTTGTATGGATACTTCTAGCCCGAAAGACTTAATGTGCTGCCCCGAATCGAGTCTCCTGAGTGGTTTCTCTCGCGTCTAACTAGTTGGGATTCTCCATAGTTTCCCCTCTTCGGAAACCTTGGAACGAGCCGTTGAGAGTACTGTAGTCGTGGTAGTTTTCAATTACTATTGTCCTATTGTATACTTCCCTAGTATGTATACCGTGTAATAACTATAACAACTCCGTCAGGAACTGGCTTGACCAGGAAGAAAACAAAAACCATACGAAGCATATCCCACATGGCGGCCCAACTACCGTGCCGATCGGTCGATCAGAATTCCCGTCATTCTTCTTATTCTTACGTCCACAGTCTCGGGGTTCTGGACCGGAGGACAACAGAGAAGGAGGGGAACAATCGAAGGATCCGATGTGAAAAAAAGACTAACCTTCTCCAACCACCACCTTCCTCCAATCCGCCAACCCTCCAACCTCCAACCACCAACCCAGCCAGACCAAACGAGCACGCCTATTACATCACCCGCACCCCTCCCCTTTCAGAGACTACGCCTCTACTCCCCACCAAACCCCGCCGGGCTTTCCCTTTTTTCTCTTCTCTTCTCTTCCTCGTCTTCTTGCCTCGAAATTCAACTTCACCATCCCGCGTGCTTTGCCCGCGACGCCACATATGCCGGGCGCGTTTCGAGGCAGCTGCCCTCTCCTCCTCCCGGTCGCTGCCCGCTGACTCGAGCGGATGACCGTTCCCGCCTTTCCTTGAATCCCATGTCGCATTCGACTCGACACTCCCTTTAAGCCGCATTCCTTGTTCTTTTACATCCTACCACCCCCCTGCCGGTCACTAGTCGTGAGGACTAGGGAGCACAGAAAGAGAGTGAGAGAACACACCTCCCTCCCCCCAACGCCCAGAAGGATGGGGTCAGCACACAATCCCGATGGTAAGTCATACGCACATGCTTGCCCCAACCCTGTCCGCGTTCTGGTTTTCACATGCCACGGGCCACACCGTCCAACAAGGTGATGGTAAGTTGGGGACGAGCTCCAGAAAAGGGAAAGGACAAGATGCGCCTGGCCCATCCCGGCGTCGGGGCCCAAATCAAGAGTCGACACCCAAGGTCATGACGGTAGTGCAAACATTCCCAGGTCTCGGAAACCAGGACTACGCATGATATCTTCACGAGTCTGTCAAGTACCTCAGCAGCTCCAAAAAAGTCCTTTGAGCACGCTATTCCTGGAGGATGCCTCTGACGAAGATCAACGGCCCCTCCGACCCCTTCCCGCCATCACTTGAGACGATCACATTTTCAACATGGCCCGTGGAATGGAACTCCAGACACGCGCCGATTGAGTTGAAAAGAAATGAAACAGCGGTGCAGAATGCTGATCCCAATGCTCCCATAGGCGAACCGAGTCCTCTGTCGTCTCCCTTGGGGCCCCTCTCCGAATCTCCCGAGTCCGAGTCGTCGGGCTTTCAAGATATTTCCTTGCCGACCCACCAGCCCTTGAGAGGTTCGGTAGACAGTCTTTCCTCGGGATATGAATCCCTTACAAGGTCTGTGATCCATTCACTATTCTCTCACTCACGGTCTCGTCTAGGTCCAGTTCAAGAAGCTGACGGATTCACCGCATTTCCACCAGATCCCCGCTATTCGAGAGTGATCATGGACTCGGTCCATCCGGGCTGGATCGTATTCGCCAGCAACCATCGCGAGTTCTGACCCTTCCAAACCTATCGACCTCGTCCCTAGCTCCCATGGCGACCGCGTCGACCCGTCCTACTCCCTCGACTCGCTCGAGCTCTTCGTCTCGAGCCCATACCGGCCATATGTCAATGAGCCAGAACTTTAGTGATCTGGAGGACCTACACCGATTTCCGTTAGAATCCCTGCATTCCTTTTCCTTCGCTCAACAGTCAGAGGAGCTGCTACACAGTCGACAAAACCTTTTGAAGAGATCGATCGACTTCATGCGCGACCGCATGGGATGGGCGGCCAGCAACCAGGCTATCGCGAATGCACAGGCCAACATGAGTGGCGATGCGGATATCCAGGGTATGATGGATCTCTTGGCTCGGGCCCAGGTTCTGGATGAGGATAATGCTGCACACCCGCGAGGTCCGACAACGGGACCTGCGGATGTGAATGGCGACAACATCTTCGAGAGGGCCTTTTCGGATCGTGGTCCATCTCCCATCAGCACCCGAGATGCATCTCAGGAACTTTCCCTCCCTCCAGGATCCCAGGCAACTTCCGAAAGCTCCCAACTTCTGAGCCCAGTCCCCAGTGATCGTATCCCGCATTCCCGGAAGGATCTCTATTCGGCACCCTCATCCAGGCGCGTAAGCTTAAAACGTACATACACGGACCTCACCGCTGCCTCACTCAAAAGCAAGCTGATGGACACTCTAGCGCAACCATATGCCTCGACGGATCCTTTCGCCACCTTGGCTTCCTCTACCACTGGATTGGGTCTTTCCATTCCCTCGGCCTTGCATACCCATAGCAGCAAATGGACCCCCGTTTCGCAGGCCGTTTTCCGAACCGAAGCCAAAGCACCATGGACAATCCTCGCGGCCAACGATCTCTCATGTCTCATCTTCGGGGTCACTCAATCCGAGGTCCGTCGACTCAGTATTCTGGAGGTCGTACAGAAAGAGCACAGGCAGTGGCTTGAGGCCAAGCTTCGGGACCCTAGCACCGATGCCGCTGCCCGAACGCCACTTCAGCCGGAGAGACCCAACATCCGTGCGGTGAACCCCAAGTTCCGAGGACTCGGAAATGGAGTGACGGCCCAATTGCTCAGTAAACCTTCCTCCCGCGAAAAGTCTCGGAGAGCCCAAACAGATGATGGATACGGCTCCAGTACGAGAAACAATCGCAATGTGAACCACCCGGCCAACAAATCGCGGGGTGTCTTGCTATGTGGCGATGTCGTGCCTATTCAGAAGCGCAATGGTGCTAAAGGGTCCGCAAGCATTTGGGTGATGGAGAAGCGCGGTGGTCTTATCTGGGTGTTGGAGGAGATCACAGAGAACATTGCCTCTGTCCGCTGTGATGATTCCTGGAATGTGGTTGAAGCTAAGGGCGACCTCGATAAGATTTGGGGCTCACATGTAGTTCGTACGGGCCAGCCTCTTACCGAACTTTTACCCCGTTTGCCGTCCGAGTCCCTCGAAACTTCTCCCGAGAAGGGCCTAGACAGAATTGTCGCACTGAAGCATTTTGCCGCTCGCACCGCCGCTGGGGTATGCATCCCAGTGACTATTGGGAGGGTGGATGAAGGTCGAACCTTGCAGGTGTCGAGTTTCCCCCATGTTGCAGGCATGATGGTGCTTTCATCCTCCACGTTGAACGTGATCAGCTCAAATTCCGTGTTCTCTTCAGCTTTGTTCGGCCAAGAACGCCCCGAAGGCCGCCACATTACGGAGTTGGTGCCAGGATTCGACGAGATTTTGGATGTGTTAACCGAGGAGGACAACGTGCCATTGGTGGATGGTATTGTGATTCCTGAACACAGCTTTCGCCGGGCGCGTACACTGTCTATTCTTCGCGACGGCAAAGGAAATGCGGCATCTGTCTTTACGGAGCCTAGTGGCTTGCTGGCCAAACATCGGGATGGATCCACGATCGTTGTCGACGTGCAACTGCGCGTGGTCAAGAGCAGCACATTCTTCTCCAAGGAACAAGTGGAGAGGCTCGAGGAGCGCTCAAGCGACTCGGATGATAGCGACGATACTATTGCCGTGACTGAGCTTGTCTATGCCTTGTGGATCACATACTCGCGACAGATCCATGCTGCTGGCTCGGCAGCCAATTTGTCACCCTCCACGCAACCTATATCGAATATTACTTCCCCCTCGTCAGGTGCAACCCTCGCCTCGGAACAACCCTCTACTGCTGCCACCACCACCAGGGAACCCCCCGATGTCAGCAAGAACTCGGTCGAGGTTCAGTCGCCAAGCTCCACGCTCAGCCAACAGCTTAGCGAAGCCGCCTCCGAGCCCTTGACCGATCGGCCGGTGCAACTGGTTGCCGAAGTGACTGCAGCCGACGCCAAGAAAGAAACGCCCCAGAAACGAACCATCAACGACTATGTGATCCTGGAGGAAATGGGACAAGGTGCTTACGGACAGGTCAAGCTGGCACGGCTGAAGAAGCAGCAAAACAAGAAGATGGTGTTGAAGTACGTCACAAAAAGGCGGATTCTGGTGGATACATGGACTCGTGATCGACGACTAGGCACTGTGCCCTTGGAGATTCACGTTCTGGACTTCCTCCGCCGGGATGGATACAAGCACCCCAACATTGTGGAGATGGAGGGCTTCTTTGAGGATGACATCAATTATTACATCGAGATGATTCCACATGGGCTTCCCGGCATGGATTTGTTTGACTACATCGAACTTAAGGCCAACATGGACGAGTCGGAGTGTCGAAACATCTTCAAGCAGGTGGTTAGCGCTATCCATCATTTGCACACCAAGGCGCTGGTTGTTCATCGTGACATTAAGGACGAGAACGTGGTACTGGATGGAGAAGGTCGTATCAAGTTGATTGACTTTGGCAGTGCGGCCTACATCAAGAATGGGCCGTTTGATGTCTTTGTGGGGACAATCGGTGAGACTCTATCTACCCTTGTAAATTGCAGACTCTCTTCGAAAGATCTATACTGACCAAGGTTGCGTCTTTATATAGACTATGCTGCCCCCGAGGTCCTCCAGGGCAAATCCTACCGCGGCAAGGAACAGGACATCTGGGCCCTCGGCATCCTGCTGTACACGATCGTCTACAAGGAGAACCCATTCTACAATGTGGACGAAATCCTCGACCACCCACTGCGCATTCCCTTCCTACCCTTCTCTGAAGCCTGCGTCGATCTCGTTCGCAAAATGCTGGACCGCGACGTTGACAACCGTCTGACCATCACCGAAGTGCTCGAACACTCTTGGATGGTTGAAAGTGATTGAGCAACATAGAACCGACCCGACATTCCCCAGGAAAGGTCCTTTCCTCTTCCTTCCATCTCGCATCATTCACGCCCATAAATGCTCTCCTCTCCATGTCCCCCTCTTTCCTTGATGACCGAAAAAAGAAAACCACGATACCCCATGACGTTTTGATTGCTTTTGCTTGATGATGATGCGTGCTGCAGAATTGGGGAGGTTTCTTCCAGGGATCATGGTTTTTTGTTTTCTTTTCGATTATTTTCTTTTCCAACTTGGTTATTTTCAGACCCCAGACCGGGTGAGAAATGACAATGACAACGGGGTCTTCTTTTCCAAAATCATCCTTCATATCCTAACTGTCCTATTCATACTCTCATATCATGTTTCCTACACATGTCCACGGCCTCACTGATCTATTATTCTATCAACCATTTCCCTTCTCATGAGTGCGACCTTGAATTATTTGGGGAAACCTCTTTGCATGACACATACATATTTCGCTTTTTGCTCGGAGTTGCTGTATTCCCCCCACTTGTTTTGGTGGACGATGATGTACTTAGACGTGAGACGCGCATGGCAGACGGAGATCTACATATGAACCGTGGTCGGTTAGACAGTACTTGCGTCGAGTCATCATGGAATGACGACTATAGGTTTACATGCTACTTCCACATCTATTTGCTCGTACCATAACATTCATGACTTGAACATCTCAGATCTCGAAACCAACACCCGCCATTTCTCCGCATTCTTTCTCCCCTTAAGCGAATTAAGTGGGGGTCGTTCATACTTTACGGGGCAACGTGCCTTCTAGACTTCTCCGTTCGCATCTACTCCAGTACAGTACTAGTCTAGCGGCTCCGTCCTTGGCTAAATCGGTCTAGTCTCAACGGGCGTGGAATTTTAGATCCAACTGTACCGAGCGCTACCGTAGTAATGGTACAGCACTACAGTACTAGCGGTGGAGGGGGGATTTATGTACCACTTACTTGGTAGTGGGGTGATGGAGAATCGAGAGGGTGGAATTCCGGTGCGTGTGTTTAGTCTTGGAGAGTGTTTTGTATGTTTGTATGTTTGTTCCAGGGCTTGAGGATTGTTATTTGTTAGGTTTGTGGTGGTGGCGATACACGATGGAACCTTGTTCATTACAGGAATTACTTGTCGGTATTCCGTCATGATGGGCGATAGGATTCTAATATTATTCTGTTATAGTCTGTGATACTGTACTCCGTATATATACTATTATACTATACTCTATATCACTACTGTCTATATAACTGTCGTTCTAACAATGTAGACTCCCTTCGGGTGCTTTCACCATAATTAGCTGGTGGACTTAGTCCGCGGGGTTAAATCGACGGATCCACCGCGCTTGGAGCCACCCCCCCCGGCAAGGCCCCGCCCGGACACTCGAGTGATCGAGTGAGAGTCCAGTATGTCAATGGAGGAAATGGGAATTCAAGCACCGGGAGATCCAGGAACTGGTTCCTGGTTGTATTCCCAGAGAGATCCACTCGGTCAAAACAAGAACATGATCAGATCAAGGGTTTCTACGATCTACTCGACTCCTCCGAGACCGTCCCCTCGTTGGTCGTGGAGAACTCGGGGGCGTCGTCAGCCGATGAGTCGCGTGGGTACGGTCTGTGCCACGTTGGGCCTGATAAGCTGAGAAGGAAAGATCAAGAAGACGAGTGAGTCGGTTGACTTCGGCACTAGTCAAGTAAGGTTGGAGGAACGAATCGGGCGAGGACTGTCCAGTACTGGGAGTAGGCGTGCTGGAGTCCTGTCGTTGGTCAGGTCGAGAGGGCTCAGATGCAAATCTCCAGAATGGGCGGGGTACTGGAGTGGTACTTGTCGAGGGTCCGTCTTTGCTACGGACATCTAAGTCCCTCGCGAGTCTCTCGACTGGTCCATCTCGATCACGCATTCCGTTCCCGTTCTTATGGTCTTATCGGGGTCTCTTCCCCTCGACTCGGTGGTCTATCTTCCTCTCCTCCTCCCCCTCCCCCTCCTCAACTACTCTCTCCTCCTTCCATCGCACTTCCTTGATTCTCCTGCCTCGTCAGTTCCCTCGGTACTGCGCACGTCACTTGGGTTCAGTCCCGCCGGTCCAACTCGGCGAGTGCCACGGTTCGCTGGCCGTGGGCCCCCGAAAAATAAACGAATCCGACGGCCAACGACACTTCCTCCCCCACCACCGGTCTCGGGCCTCGTCTGACACTTCCTCCTCTTCTTCCAAGTCTGAGGACAGACTCACTCTCGCCGACAGTTCAGGTCTCGTGAATCAGGCAATCACCATGCTCTTCCGCTTCTAGACTGCGCAGGATTGATCAATCCCTTTTCGTTGCTCTTTTTCTTGCTTCGCCGGGTTCGGCGAGATCCCGAGCCCCATACATTCCTACCGATTACCCCGATTCCCCGTTGCCCGACCGATAACCACCTTCTCGACTCCTCCCCCCGCCGCTTCACCATGGCCACCTCTGTCCCCGACGAGATTCTCCCCTCGTCCGAGGTCTCACCGGCAAGTCCGATCTCTTCCACCGGGCAAATTCCTCTCGAAGAACCTCCCAAACTCAAGGGTCGCCAAAAATTGTTGCAGAATCTCCAGCGCATGTCGTCTAGCCCGACGCTAACCCGCCGCGGACGATCAGCATCAACGGGTTATCGGCGGGACCACAAGGCTTCCTTATCGTGTGTGTCGTTATCGTCTGCCGCATACTCGCCCTGCCTGGGCAACGGGAGTACCTCACAACTCTATGGCGGCCTCAACCCACGACCAGCCACCCCAGGCCCATCGGGGCCACTAGAGGAGTTGGAAGACAACAATGCTCGCATCCGCCTCGTGGGCACCGACACCCCGAATGCATCACGAACCGTTCCATTGCCCATCGACCTGAGACCGGTTTCGCCACGAAGCGGTACCCCATTTGAGGGCGACGTGCTATCCACAGAACTGATCTTGCCGGACGCGAAACCAGCCCGCACCATTGATTTCTGGGGTGATATGCCACGGGAGTTGCAGGTGGAGATCTTTCGCTATCTGACACCTCGCGAGATCGTGCGCTGCTCGGCCGTGTCGAAGATGTGGCATAACATGTGCTACGACGGACAATTGTGGTGCAGACTGGACGCTGCAGAATACTACTCCAAGATCCCGAGCGACGTCTTGATCAAACTCATTACATCTGGGGGACCGTTTGTTCGCGATTTGAACCTTCGAGGCTGTATTCAGCTCAAGAACAAATGGTCTTCTGATGGAGAGCGCATCTCAGACATGTGCCGGAACCTGGTCAATTTGTCGCTGGAAGGATGCATTATCGACAAGTCTTCTATGCACTACTTCCTATCGCGTAACCCGCGATTGGAGTACATCAATGTCTCGGGTCTCAAGAGCGTGACCAACTCCGCTATGAAGATTATTGCTCGATCCTGTCCACAGTTGGGGACCCTCAACGTCTCCTGGTGCAGCAATATCAACACGAAAGGACTTTTACATGTTATCCAGTCTTGTGAGCGGCTCAAGGATCTCCGCGCCGGCGAAATCCAAGGGTTTGACAACGAAGACTTTGCTCGGGCTCTTTTCGAACGCAATACCCTGGAGCGACTGATTATGAGTCGCACCGATCTGACCGATCAGAGCCTGAAGGTGTTGATGCACGGTGTGAATCCTGACATCGATGTCCTCACTGATCGCGCCGTCGTCCCGCCTCGGCGCTTCAAGCACTTGGATTTGCACCACTGCGCGGACATCACTGACGCTGGAATGAAGAGCTTGGCTCACAATGTCCCTGATCTGGAGGGCTTGCAAGTCGCACAATGCTGGGAATTGACCGATGATGCGCTTATCGACGTTATCCGTACCACCCCTAGGCTCTCGCACCTGGAGTTGGAAGATGTGGACAACCTGACGAACAACGTTCTCGTTGAACTGGCCAAGTCGCCGTGTGCTCAGAGCCTGGAGCATCTGAACATCAGCTACTGCGAAAACCTGGGTGATATGGGCATGTTGCAAATCATGAAGAACTGCCCGAAGCTGCGCTCCGTCGAGATGGACAATACCCGCGTCTCCGACTTGACTCTGATGGAAGCTAGCTTCCGGGTCCGCAAGCGGGGGTATGGCGAGGATATTCCTAGAATTGGTTTGCGACTGGTTGTCTTTGACTGCGCCAACGTCACCTGGGCTGGCATCAAGGAGGTTCTATCGAGCAATGCCTACATTCCTCGTGCGCGCAAACCTGGGACATCAGCCAATGCTATTGTGACTATCTCGCAGAGAAACTCGGATAGTGACTCTGTGACGACCACCACCTTCGTCACGCCAACGTCGTCCCCGTCGCCGTCGCCTACCCTCCCCGCAGAGATCATCCAGCTCAAGTGTTTCTACGGTTGGCAGATGACCGTTGACGAGCACACGAAGCGCGTCCTGCGTGGTGACCTCAATGCTGCCAGTCGTCTTGATCGCAAGTGGGCGGACTACATGATGGCCACTGAAGAAGCTGGTGCCGCCGGTGCGGGTGCCCGACGCCGACGTCGCCGTGCTCGTGAGGCAGAGAGACTGTACAACGCTGATGAAGACGATGATGATAGCTACGGTGTGGGTGGTATCTCTGCGCTTGGCAGTCGTCGTCGTCGCGCCCAAAGTGGCGGCTGCACGGTGATGTAAGGGTTCTTTGATAGGACCTCGTCAAATACGGTAGCTGGGCTTTACTGGTCTTCATTCCTTTTCTTTCCTTCTTCTTCACCATCGTGTTCTGAGAACCCAACGTCAGCGCTGGCTCGCTGATACGCAATCGACTTTTCCCCCCCTTCCTCTTTTCAACTTGCTACGTGATATGCACGACACGATTCCCTGAGACAACATGGGAATTTCACGACTCCTTAGAATAAGCTCCTAGCTTGTTACCCTCTCCTCTACGACTCACGATTCCCATCTCCTTCTCCTTTCCCTCCACAACCAAACAAGCAGGCGCATTCCCTCAATTTCCCATTTCTGTTTTCGTTGAACACCCATCTCCAGCGTCAAGACAGTCAAGAACCAGACCGACCTGCATTCGAATGGATGCAATTTGATTTTTTCTTTTCCACGCTATTTCCTCTTTTATCTGCCAACTTATCCCGCTCATCAGCCTTACCTAGCATATGTAGAACGGAGGATACCGGAGTTGAATCTATCTTTTTTGGTTTCCTTTTTCCTTTGACCACCTTGCTCTTGCTCTACTGGCTATCTACCGCGAAGGCCTGACCTTGACCTTTGGTGCATGACTGATTTTGAACAGGTCATGGCTGGGGCTTTTCGGTTTTTTCTTCTACACTGGTGGTTTATTTTTCTATCGTCTATCTCCTTGCACAGACTGGGTTTTATTTCTTCATTAGGTTGAATCAGAATCAGATCAAAGAACGTGAACGAAATCAAACAATTTTTTTTTTTAGATATTTTGAGTATCTGAAAATATCAAAACCATCAATACAGCCATGCACAGCGCATAGGTATGTAAATACCCCCAAGATAGCCCAAGGCAGGTACCTGGGTTATGACACCCTGGTAGACAGGGGCCATCAAATTGGAAGCACTCACAAACCTAGGCGAAAAGACACAAGACAGAAAAGAAAGGCAACTAGACCTTTGCATGGCCACGTGCAAGGATGAAAATCAAGATCGCGAGCAATGTGCAAATAACCACCAGGAAGACTAGATGTACTGACCACGCTGCATGCCGCATCCGTGCCAGCGTCCTGTGAATTGTTCAGTCTTGCAGTATGTCTTTCTCGGGTTCCTGGGAGACTTCCCTGGGAGAGAGTGGGGCGGGATAAGCGCTGAGCTGAGTGTTCTGAGCGCTGCGGAAGGCCTCGTCGTCTTCGTATTCGTTGAGGGTCTTGGTCTCGGTCTCGGTCTCGGTGGCAGTGTGGATGTGGATGGTTTCGGCGTGGTGGGTTGCGTGTTTGTTGATGGGGTGGGTTGTTAGGGCTTCGGTGGTGTCATTGGCGTGAGTGGTGGTCTTGTCGGAGGGAGCATTGTTGATATCGGCTGTGCTGCTGAGGACATGACTGCTTGAACTGACAGCTGTTGTCTGGGTGGCAGCGTCTTGATAGACAGCTTCAGTAAGCACAGCGTTAGGAGTATTCTTGGTATCTGCGACGTGTTTGACAGTGATGGTGGTTGTGGCCTCGCTGTTACACTCGACGGCGAGAGAACTACTCGGGGATCCGGATAGCTCGTGAGTCTCCTGATCGCTAAGGAAAGACGTGAGCGAAGTGACACGGTCTGCAGCATTCGTAGCCTTGAAGTTCTTGGAAGACTTCACACCCAGGTCACTGGTCTGAGGCTGGCTCTCAGTCTTGTCGGAGGCAGCAACATCTTTCTTGAGTTTCTTTCTCGGGTGCTCCTCAACGATATCACCAGCCTCAGCACTCTCCTCTGAAGACAAGACGAACGAGCCATCGTCACGACCATCTTCATCCTCGTCCATGCCGCTCATCGGCTCCGTAGCCTCCGAGTCCTCTTCCTCAGTATCACTACTGTCATCAGAGTGAATAGCCGCGGGATTCTCCTCATTAGCATAGGGTCTTTTCAACGAGGCATCGTAATCGAAATCATGGACCCCATGAGTCGACAACGTGCGCCGTCCAATCTCAACACCCTTACCACTAGCAAGCGTGTTCGGTCCACAGCGCACATGGTACCCGTCAACCTGATAGATAGGAGCCAGAATGAATCCCTTAGACGGAGTCTTAGGCACAACGGACATCAGATAATGAGCCGTACACACCACGTCACGCGCAGTGTCGACCTTTTCCCATTTTCGCTCCACATCCTTCGCGCTCTTGGGGACGTGCAGGTGCATCTGGCGGGTCACAGTGCGAGGAAGACTCACAGCCGAACCAGGCGCCACGACAGGACCAATCGTCCACATCGGATATCCCACCGTGACCCTGTGTTCCTTCTTGTTCAGGAGCCAGCCCACCCACTGGGCATGCTCGCGTCCACAGAGAATGTAATAGCCCTTGAAGACAGGGAAGAAGGGCAGCCCGTGAGCCCAGACAATCGGCGAGACACCCGACGGAACGCGTTGCTCGCGAATATCCCCGCGATCATTGAAGTCGTACGGATAGTTGGCACCTCGCTCGCTGGCCTTCAAGAACTTGGTCGCCAGGTAGACCAGTTCGTCACTGAGACGGGTGAACTTGGGTGGCCAGATGAGTTTGCCGGTACCGTCTTTGCCGTCGACTCGGTCCACGGTTGTGACGAGCTTGAATTTGGCTTTGTCGCCCTCGGAGAAGGACTCGCGACCTTCGCCGTCTTCTGGTTTCCAGAGCACGTCGGGTGTCTGGTGGTTGTGTTCTGTTAGGATAATGGCGCATGCGTTTTGGCGCTGGGCGAGCTCGTTGGTGAAGTTGATGCTGTTGGCCCTGGTGCAGGCCATCGAGCCCTCTTTGAGGACGGTCATGGTGATTGTGTTTGGTGTGGTGTTGAGAGAGTCTGGACGGTATGAGGGTGAAGGAGAGAGAAGTTGTATGTTTTGGAGTTGGCTTGGGGAGGTTGGAGAAGGAAGGTCTGAGAGGGACAATGAGAAGGTTGAGAATGGATGGGAAAGATGTGGATGTTTGGAGAAGAGGGAGAGGGAGGGACTGAGAGATGGGATTCAGAGGTGAGAAAGATGAATGGCAAAGAGATATCTTGTGGGTTCGCAGATGGCTGATGGCTGCAAACCCCGAGATAGGCGTTGGGGGTGAAAGTAAGAGCTATAATTCGAGGGACAAAGATGAGCCTTGAATGGATCTTGAGGATGAAAATATTGCTGAGAAGCTGAGAGGAGCTGTGAGATGGGAGTTAGTTGATGGAAATGGCAGAAATGTGAAGCTTGGTGGTGGTGTTGCTAGAGAGTGGGAGAGGGTGCGGGTGAGCAGGCCAAAGGATACGCGTGAGGCGTATCAAAACAGACGGACCTTTGTGTATCGAAGCTGGAATTGTGACAGTGGGAAATAAGGAAGAGGGGAGAGAGTGAGAGAAGATTAAATGCTTCGAAATCGAAGCAGAGATAACATGAGGGTACTTACTCGAAGGGTGTTGCCAGAAGTTCGAGAGTGTGTATCCTCGAAGACGAGATGTAGAAGGGTGGCGAAGAAGAAAAGCAGGGAGACAGGGCGTCTCAAGGTCTCATGTAATGATATTTATATCATAGAACGTGAAAATTCAAATCTCAGTGTGCAGTTGCTTACGCCTCGAGGCTCTCGATCAGTCCGAGTGAATAGACTTTGGTCAAAGGAAACATTAGCTGAACGCCAATATGTCCACACTGGTTGCTTCACCACAGAGACTGCAGCCTTCTGTTCCTATCAAGCTCGCCAACCCCCGAGCTTTGTGTAGACATTCTTGTCGAAACTTTTTCCACTTGGTGTTCATATATATAGGTATGCTTTTCTCACTATCATCTTAGTCCAAATAATATCGAACCCTTATTTTGCGACCAAGATACTGTAAAATGAAAGATAAATAGTACACGAGTTCTATCATGTCCAGTATTATGAGAGCAAATACCGTCATAGTCTTAACCGTAAACTATCTCCCGAGAATTCAGTACCAGACATTGTGAAAATCACAAAACAAACCTTAGATATAAATTGCAGATAGAGCTCTGGCAGCTTGTTCCTGAAGAACCTAGAAGCAGACTTGAATTTTCTATGGGGAGTTGATCAAGTATCGCAGTTAGAAGGTATCCCACAGGAAAGATATTGGAAGATAACTTAATTGTTAATTTAGCGACTAAGGTATGTACTAACTGAATTCAACAAATGGAGCTTCTGGCTAACTACATGACTAGGTACCTATCTGCCCAGCAGATACCTACGCGAAATATATAGGATTCTTGGCGTACCGGAATCGGATTGCATTCCAAAAAGATTCATCTTGACATTGTCTTATCCAGCTCACTGTTCTATCTTGCCATGCGTACTACGACGTACTCTTACTTGGCGGCGTCCAGCCGCCTTTTATAGACGCAGTGTCAGATTACACGAAACTGATGCGGACTTGAAACTTCATATATTATTTTCTGTCGATTAACATAGAGGAATATGGACTGTACGACTGGAACCAGCCTTTTTCAAGAAACGCAAAGAATGTAGACGATCTCTTAGTCAAGCCCATAGCCAAGCAAGGGTAAACTGTTCCACAGGCAATGTATGGAAACAAATTGAAAGGTAGATCGGGATATATGTATGCACTGACAACTAATTCGACCTAAGCGCATCATTCACTGCCTGGGCAATGTGCCAGTTTGCCCGTGTCTTAGGGTGAAACATCTTGGTGTACGAGACACCAAGCTCAGCGATAAGGACGCTTCCATCGTCGAGCACCGTGACGAGGACATTAGAGCCCTCGCCGCTGAGATAGTCACTAGCCGTGATCGTGCGGTTGGAAATCCCCTTTGCAGCGTCACAAATAAAGTCGGAGCCCCAGCCACCTTCGAACAACGGGGTGCTATCATCACACGTGGCGCTGTTATACAGTTGAAGCTGCCAGTCCGAGGGCGCGCCAGCACCGGCACTAAGGAGACGGATCGGAGAGCCAGGAACATCATCCGGGCCCTTCTCATAGAAGAATGACACAGCAGCCTGTGCACTGCCCTTGAGTGGCTCTTCGACGCCCTTTTCACAGAATCGATGGCCCTCGTAGATGGTGCCCAGATCTTCGGGTGAGACGAAGACCACGGCAGGATACGGCAGCCCCGCGTTGTAGCGTCGAATGGCAAAATTAAGCTGCGTGTTGACCTGCGCGGAGAGCTCGTTCAACTGATTCCGGAGCTCTTGGGTGAGATACTCGCCCGCATACCACCACTCATGGAACCAGCACGAGTCGCAAGTACTATCTACCACACTGAAGAACCGCGGGTATCCGGTCCAATAGACCACCAAGCGTTTCTGAGCATTGGCCTTGGCCCGAATCTTGTCCATGACCTCGAACACATAGTTTGAAATCAGCTGTTTGCCGTCTAGAATGCTCTTTGCATTCGCGATGTCGCTTTGACAATTGTCGCGGCTCTTATAGCCCATAATACAGTGGGCGACGATCCAGGTCGTTGCCGGTGAAGGAAAGAGTGCCGAGGTCGGACGAGGTGGGTTGCCAGTTATCAAGCTGCTTCGTGGCTTCGTCGTCGATGAACTGTTGAGCTGTCTCGCCACTGCAAGCCAGCAATTGAGAATTTGTGTTCACATCTTGCGAAAACTGGATAATGTCGTTGAGAATCGCTGGATAACCCCCTGTACCCCGAGCACAACCAGATGTCGTGTCGTAGGGCTTCCCAGCGCCAATTCCAGCTGCATATGAATCCCCAAAAGATACCCAGCCCTCTTTTATCGGTTACGGGGCGGTACTTCGGTTAATCGGAGCGGAGCTGTCGAGGTAGGTGGCGATGGTCGTCCACCAGGGATAGCCGGTGGCCTGGAGATAGTCGGCGGCAAGCAGGATGTCGTTGTACGTATTACTGATCGCGGGCGTGAGAATCTCGACGGAGCCTATGGTCACTATATGATTTAACAACGAGTTACCCACGTAGAATATGTTGATTAGGCGCTGCTGGCAAGAGTTTGTGTTCACACACGACTCGTCGTAGTTTTGGAACCACGAATACAGGCCCGCGCCGTCGATGAAGATCGAGTCACTCCATTGGATAATAATCGACCACACCATATTGCAACTCGTCGTATCGGATCCACACATATCAAACACTGGGTCTCCTACCCAGAGTGGAGTCGTGAACGGCGCCGGGGCCTGGGTTTCGGGCGAAGATGAAGACGGACTTTTGCTGCTAGTAGTATTCAAGCGCTAGAAAGTTATGTGTTTGTATTTAGGCTGAACTAAAGGACCCCAGGCCCACATGCACTATGGGAGAAGAGAAGGCTAACTAACTTAATAACAAGTGCTTATTAACATCCGAGGTCGAATGAAGCATAACGAGTCTTGTTCCCGAAGTCCCTGGGTAACAATCATATTACAGTCTACTACGTACGGATGAGCAGGGTGCAGCCTACAACCGTGTATTGGACATTGGTGCTGGGCACTTGGCCACGGGTGTTCGGCAGTGAGATAAGTCCACCTACAGGTGATTCCATTATGTATCGGAGAAAGTATTTAAGTTGGAAAGGCAGAAAACCTAGTGTAGAAGCCTGGTGAGCCGGTCGATCAAGGATAGGAATTCAAGGTAAGAATGTACCACGGATTTCCATATAGTCATCTCTAAGACATTTCCAATTCTTATAGCCGCTCGTTCAGGAGTCGCCTTTCTATGTCCTCGGAGACATTGAAGATGTTCCAACCCGAGTAGTTAGAATCATCGATATATCTCCCTAGTACCTTTCAACAGAAGAAAGTCGATGAAAAAGTTATCCCATGGAAAGATTTGCTTATAAGCTAGGTATTCTTGATATCTATCAAGAGGGCAATAAGGCTATCCTTTATATCCTCTACCGCTTGCGTAGTGGAAGTGCTGTCACTCGTTAGTTTGGTCATTATGAACCAAAATAACATTAGTAGACAGCTCTTAAATAGAAAGCAAAGGGTAAACTCAATATAGCACACAAGGGTACAGAGGTGTTCCATAAGTCTTCGTCCACCTGGTGATGACATAATATTCTGCCGGTCAAATAATCTTACTGCTCCCTGCATTACTTACCCAAATTTCATGATTCCAAGAAGATCGATAGAGACCAAAGCTATAATTTGAATTAATTTCATCATAAACAAAACTAAAGTCTCTTTTATGACAAGTTATAGACTAGTCAAGCTTACACTGAAAGCGGAAAACTAGGCGGTAGGACGATGGTGGACGAAGACCTATGGAACAGCACTGTATGTTCTGTCTTTGGAAAGATTGTTGATAACTTGAGAGTGATGAACATAGTTCACGTGGATAGGGCTATTATCGTGTTCCGTTTTCTTGAGGTAGTTTTACCAACTGGCCAGGGTGCATTCAGTAAGTAAATCAGAGCGCTCAGCTGAGCATCAATGAACAAAAGCGGCGAGGGATTGAGCATTAATCTGGAATAGCACGGCCAAGAGATGATAGAGGAAATTCAGTTCGTAGGCAGCCCATGATCAATATTAATAAAGCTTCAAATTAAATCGTGAGTTAACGTTTAAATATCTGTGCAGGCCCTCCTTAACGCACCTCAAGCGTTCTATAGGATGTACAGCATGATAATATTCATCGTTGACTGCTACACTTCTCACATAATGCATAGTGGATATCGATACAAAAAGAGAAAGGTAAAGACACCAAACACCAAGTTTTCCATGCTCCTGTATGCATTTACATTTCAAAGAATCCACCATCGCTATCATCTTCAGCAGCTTGTTGGGCTGCTAATTCTCGCGCCTTTTGCTGCTCTTTGCGGCGCTCTCTCCGGTTCAGGTTGTCCAGAGCAGCTTCCTGAGCAAGCTTCTCCTGCTTTGAAGCTTCCTTGGACTCCTTGTGTGTCTTGTCCTTCTTGAACTTCCTCTCGCTTTCACGTGCAGTGGGCTTCTTAGCCGGTGCTGATGTGTGCTGTCCATCTGGGCCAATTTTTAGCTTGCCCTCTCGTAGGTCATCAAGAGTACCTTCTTCCATGCATTTCTCAATAATGGACCACATAGGTGGCCTAGATGCTTCGGGGATCTTGTTTTGCACCTTGGATTCCGCCCCAGATCCGCTCTTCTCATCGGCCTCACCGGAAGAATTGCTGTGGGACTTGGGGTATAGCGAGAGGTATTTTTCCGGGAGAGGATAGTAGATTGTGTAGTTGAGGTTGACACGGGCCGCATGAATTTTCTGAGAAAGATCAGACTTCTGTTCAGGGTCGAGGTCTTTTTCCTTTTCGCGGCGTTGGAGGCGGTTCAATTGCTTAGTCGCCGTCTTGCGGTCTGTTTGAGATGTTAATTAGCGCTTGTCGGTACTTGATCGTGGAGCTCGCCCTATCACTTACCAAGGAATCGAACAAAGTGATACTTCTTAATCATATTTGAACGCTCTCGGCGGGCAGTTTCCTCCGCAAGATCCTGTTCATAGCCTGCCAACGCCCGCTCCTGTACAATCCTCGCATCCGCAGGCAAATTCTTGTTCAGGAGGCGCTTTACGCCACGGATGCGGCTTTTCAGCTCGTTGATTGACGGGTATTCCTTCTCATTTCTGGGTGCAGACTTGTTCTTCGAGCTTCTCCCAGCCTTCGACGCGAGGTGATCCCCATCGCTGCCACTATCTTCAGACTGGCTGTCGTCAGGGCGGGTCACAGCCTGTCGGTGCTGCTTTTTTCGAGGTAAGGCATCTTCGGAGCCATCTCTGGCCCTTCGCTTCGAGCTGCGATCACGCTGTGAGTCTGACATTGTGGTGCTGCAGACAAAACCGCGGTGGTTGCGCGCAGAAAAAAAGAAATGTGGTCGGGGTATCATCGGGCCGACCCCAGATCGGCGGAGCCAATGAGCGACCAGCCGATCGCATCGACAATACCGCGTCCCTCAACGTGCCCTCCGGCCCTCTCAAGCCAGCAACTCGATTGGCGGTCCATCTCTCCTGATTCGAGGCTGTGGCCTCAAGCACAGCTTAGAACCCTCCTTGAGGAGGAACTCAGCACTATGGAGTCCGCGATTCGCTGGTCTCCGAATTCCACCACTACCGAGCAGCGCTTCCTCTCTGTCGACGTCACAGGCAAGGCGTTTCGTCTCTGTAGAGTCACGGGGTATAACGCTTCCGACAAGACCCTGCGGCATGAAGTACTCTCGACTCTTCTCGATGTTCCCTCGTTTCGCGCTTTCGATTGGTCTACGTCCAATGAAAACCTCATCGCCGTGGGTCAGTCGTCCGGCGAGGCTACGATCCTGCGATTAGACGCTAGCGCAAAGGAGTCGCTCTCCTTTCCAGTTCGAAATCAGCGATACTGCAATGCAGTTGCATTCAGCACACATGGTCTGGTGGCGTCGGGTCTTGATCGCGTGCGAAATGACTTTTGCTTGAATATCTGGGATGTCAACCAGCGACTCAGCCCTGCGGGTGGGAGCAAAGGATTCCCAGAACCCCTGCGAAAGCTAGCAAGCTCAGAACCGATCACGAGCATCAAGTTTTTCAGGGATCAGCCTGATACGCTGGTCACGGGCGTCAAGGGCCAATATGTTCGCATTTACGATCTTAGAGGTACGTCTTTCCATCTCCATCTCTGCAATTTACATGTCACTCATAATTTCATTCGACTTCAGAGGGCCCAGGCAATCCTTCCCTGCAATTCCAAACTCGCTGCGTCCACAACCTAGCGATTGACTGGCTCGACGAGAACTACATCGCGTCTTGCCAGCCCACCAACGAAAGCACCGTTTGCGTGTGGGATCGGCGCGTAGGGGCTCGACTGGTATCGCCATCAGTCGGCTCTTCAGCGAGCAGTCCAGACTCTAACCAATCCGTTGCTGCTCTTCAATTTAGGAGTGTTTTCGATTCGAAGGCCTCGATCTGGAGCTTGCGATTCTCCAAAACCACCCGAGGCTACCTGGGAGCGCTTTCCAGCACCGGCCATTTCAAATCCTTTAATATCGCCAAAGATTACCAATCTGAGGAATATCGTGCTTCAATCGACGAGACCTTTGGACAAGGCTCTTTCAAAAACTACCCGGAGCCGGTCTACACGAAACATATCCGCGATGTCTGCCTTCCTTTCGACCATCCAACTCGTGGGTGTGAGGAGAAGGACCGTGTGGTCACATTCGATTTCTTGAATTTGAACATATCTTCCCAGCCGAGTGCTATCGCTCTCGATGGCCATGGGCAGCCGCGGATCGTCACTGCGCGGCCACCTTGTGCGCCCGTGAGCTTGTCATCACAAGGAGTGCTAGTTTGCGGTATCCCCTCTGGCGACTCTGACTTTAGAGCTATTCACCCTCTTTCTGAACATATCTCGCCGATCTCCGGGCTGGTCGAGAATATTCGATCACGAGCGCTGTCGAGTTCAAAGTACCCGTCAGCAGGCTCGGACAAAAAGGCGTCCGCTTCCCGAGTACTGAGCTCCGACCCCATTTCAAGCCGAGAATCACGGGAACGGGCGATGTCTCTTGGAACTTTAGGTGTACTCCTCACTGCTAAAGAGGCATTGACTCTGTCTACCCTTGCTCAATCGCGATGCACAGAAGGATACCGCTTCCATGAGGCTCGGAATCGCTCAGTTGTAGCGGATGATCCTGCTCTACAGGACATGTGGACCTGGATCGAACGTAAGTCGCAGGAGTATGAATAGCTAACTTCGATCGGATCTAATCACTCTCTAGGTGCACGGTACGACTCCTCGGGAGTGACAATGGTTGTAAATGGCCTAGACATGAATTACGTTGGTGTCAGCAATGTCTGGACCAACGACATGGGTTCGTTTTTCCTTCAAGGGGAATTTGGAGGTTACTTAAACTAATTGTTATCACAGGCCAAGACTTTGAGCAGCGCCGCATTAGCACGAAAAATGATGACCCGAAGAGCGTCGCCGAAGCGATCGCGCACCTTGTAGAGCAGTTGAACTTGCCGGAAACCAAAGTCGGTGAAACAGCATACCCTGAGCACCGACGTCTTTGTCTTCGGATCTGTGGTGCGGCACAATCATACAAAGAGCTTGAGGAGACAGTGAAGAACCTGTCTTCAGAGAACCAGCATACGAAAGCCGCTGCCCTAGCGGTTTTCCAGGATGAGGCGAAGTTGGCATACCTCGCTCTTCGGAGCAACGAACCCGCCCAGGCCCATAAATTACTTGCAATGGCCATTGCTGGCGCCGCGAAAGGCGATATCAGTTCTGATTGGCAAGAGACCTGCGCTGAGATCTCCAAAGAGCTAACGGATCCCTATGCACGAGCAATCCTAGCCCTCGTGAGCGAAGGTGACTGGCATGCCGTCATCGAAGAGACTACGCTTCCTTTGAAGTACCGTGTTGAGGTCGCGCTACGATGGCTTCCAGATGATGAGTTGACAGACTATTTGAAAGATGCCACGTCCGAGGCCATACGGGAAGGAGACATCGAGGGTGTAGTACTCACCGGCTTGGGCCATCTGGCCATGGGTCTGTTCCGCTCGTACATTGAGAAATTCAACGACGTTCAGACCCCGGTTCTAGCCATGAGCTACACTGTTCCGCGCATCATCTGTCATCCACCTTATGTCACTCAATTTGAAGCCTGGCGCGAAACCTATCGCCAACAGATGAATTCCTGGAAACTCCAAATTGATCGTGCTCAATTCGATGTCGAATCTCGCCGGCTGGCGGTGACTGTGGATGGGCGCAAACTGATTCCCCCACCACCGCAGCAAGTCAGTGTGACTTGCAACTACTGCACCCGCCCGCTTACCCAACACGACGCCTCCTCTCAAATCTCACCCTCGGCCACCGTCGAAACAGTGCACCCGACCGTGGGCAACCCGCTGGGATCTGCGACCATGTCTGGAACCGTTTGTCCCCGATGTGGCCGGCATATGCCTCGCTGTGGTGTCTGCAACATGTGGCTAGGAACTCCCGACCCAATGTCGAAAGGAGGGACGGCCGCTGGTGCGGAAGCCGATTCTCGCAAGGCCGCCGAAGACGAAATCATGAAGCGATTCGTGGTCTTTTGCATCAATTGCAACCATGGGTTTCATGCGCACCATGCTCAAGATTGGTTCGCACGACACAAAGTGTGCCCAGTATCTGAGTGTAATTGTATCTGCGATCGGTGATCGCTTGCCTGGCCGTTCTCTGGTGGTTTAGTTACTTCCTGCATAGCGTAGCCCAGGTACATTCAGGGGCGGACTCTTTTCCCTTGTGTTTGTTGTTTTTGTACTCTATACCCATCGGTCCATAGGTCATGAATGTATTTGATTCTGAAAACGTACAGCAGTCTACGTACTTTAGCGATGATGTCAACTCTGTGCCTCGTAGGACTTGACAGCTCCCCACTTCTTATCGCGGTTATCGCTGAATCTCTGCAAGATCCAAATTTCCCCTTCGTATTGCTCATTTTCTTTCATTATCAAGCGATTCTTTACATTCAGACCTGTCGCTGCCTTGTCTCGCTTTCAGTGAGTCACTCTGACTCGGTCACTCGGCCACTTTCTCAATACGGTCCCCGATTCTGACGCACAACTGCCCCGCCCGAACATTTTAAAGCTTCTCGAGCCTCTAACGATCCCCCACTTTACGCGCTGCAGAGTGCCGCTTTACTGCAACGCATACCCTCAATCGACAGAAGCATCTACCATGGGACAACAGGGAAAGGATAGACGTGGCGGTGGACGTGGTGGTGGCCGCGGCCAGGGACAGTCGCGCGATGTGCAGGTCTCAAAAGCTCTCAGCTTGCTATTGCGACATGCAGCCGAAAAGGAAGGGGTGAAGATGAACGCCCAAGGCTACGCGAATGTAGCAGATGTGGTATGCTTCTACTAGCTTGTAGACCTCTAGAGAATTCTCCAAAGGCGAGTTCCACTGACAATTGACTGCGTCGCAGCTTGCCTGGCGAAAACTCAAGTCCATCAAAGCTACCTTTGACGAGATCAAGCACGCCGTCGAATCCTCCGACAAGAAGCGCTTCGCTCTCCTACATATTCCCTCCGCGCAACCGACCCAGTCTACGACAAAGGCTACCTTGACACCCACAACCACCCCAGGAACCCAGGAACAAATGGACGGAGAAGTCGCAGCGGGCGAAGACCAGCCAGCCACGTCGGTACTTGATGCGCCGTCCAGCAATGAAGACCAAGTAAACGCGACACAGCAAGCTCTGGCTTCAACAGATCCCGAACCATCCAATTACATGATTCGAGCGACACAGGGACATACTCTCCAAAGTGTCGATGCGGCGTCTTTCCTCGAACCGCTCACATTGGCGGACGAGTCGAAGCTTCCCCAGACTGTCGTTCACGGTACATTCCACGGCGCATGGCCTCTGATTTTGCAGTCTGGTGGACTGCGGGCGATGGGTCGACACCACGTACACTTTGCGACAGGCCCTTCAATCGAGACCACACTCGCCGCCGAAGCAAAACTAGCTGCCGAAGCAAAACTAGCTGCCGGAGGCACGACATCGACAGAGAAAGGAGGAGAAACCAAGCAGGAAAGCCAGGTTATCTCGGGCATGCGACGGGACGCTCAGATTTTGATTTACCTGGATATCAAGAAGGCACTCACAGCTGGGGTACCATTCTGGCGGAGTGAGAATGGGGTTATTCTTAGTGAGGGATTGCCTATTCCCAATGGAAAGACTGATGCAGATGGCAATCCGGAGAAGGTGGTGTCGATCGACTTTTTCGAGTTTGTGTTTGAGCGCAAGCTTGGTCTTGGCCAGCTTTGGCCCAAGGGGGGAGGGAGTGAAGGAGCTTCCGGAGAGTGCGATCAAGAAGGGGACGCCTAAGAACCGGCGGTGATAGACCATGAAGCTGTCATGAGAATTAAAGAGATAGATTTGATCAAATCATGATACCTTGTATAGCATGTCTGGCAAACATGTAGTTGAATCGATAAGATTCATCTGGAGGATGCTATCCGAAGAATTAACCTCGTAAAATATGCGACTCCTGTCCTATCTACCGTCTAGTTCACTACCCTGCTCTAATAACGGCTATAGAGGAGAGGCCTATGTCAATCAAAGGATCTACTCAACTCAGCCACTCCCAAGAATGCATCGCTCCCCGCTGGTATCCGAACAGCTGCGGAGGAATCGGAAGTGTCCAGGGCACCCAACCCGATCCGACTGTGCAATTCAAAAGATGCACTTCCGACAACCCGCACCCGATCCAATCAGCCCACCAAACGCCACGCCTTTTTGCGGGGTCGCCCCTCGAATAGGCATTCACGCGTTGGTCAACTTGGTTCGGGGTACACCCAGAGAGACCCGGAACTTTGCTCATGAGCAGAATTAAAAGGAACTGGGACGGAGACCCGCTGATTGCCGCTCGAGCAGCGAAAAAAAGTCCCGTCGGATCTGAGCGAGATATATAACCATCGGGGGTAACTATCTCGGTCTGATCGCATAGTTCAGTTACTTCTTCCCCGCGGTCTTGATTTTGAGTGACTTGTTGAACACTCCCTCTTTGAACTCTTCGCTGTCATCCGACTTTGCAGAATATACTCCAAAATGGCAACTCACAGGTTCGACCCCAAATTCACCGACAACGTCATCAACGCGATGGGTCCCAAGACCTCGCCGCGCATGCGCCAACTCATGGCAGGTCTGATCCGCCACGTCCACGACTTTGCGCGCGAGAACGAGCTCACAGTCGACGAGTGGATGGCCGGAGTGAAGATGCTCAATTGGGCCGGCCAGATGAGCGATGATAAGCGCAACGAGGGCCAACTAGTCTGCGATGTGATCGGCCTGGAGTCGTACGTCATAGTAGTCAAGTATATTATGAATGAATGCAATAAAAAGCTAACTCACAAACCCACAGCCTGGTTGACGAAATCACTTTCACCCTCGCCGAAGAAGCCAAGGATGCACCCACCGCCACCGCCATCCTAGGGCCCTTCTTCCGCGCCGACACTCCCTACCGCGAGAACGGCGCCGACATCGTCGTCACTAAGCCCAAGGATGGTGGTGAGATGGCCTTTATGCACGGCCGGGTCTTTGACTTCGAGACGAAGAAGCCCCTCGTCGGCGCGGATGTGGAGGTCTGGCAGGCCTCGACGAATGGTCTGTATGAGCAGCAGGATCCAGAGCAGGTCGAGTTTAATTTGAGGGGCAAGTTTAAGACGGATGCTGAGGGGAGGTATTACTTTTATTGCTTGCGGCCGACGCCGTATCCCGTTCCAGACGATGGTAAGTGAATATCCTTGATATGGTTGGGAGTAGATATATACTAACAGTGGTGTAGGTCCCGCTGGCAAGTTGCTCAGCCTTATGGATCGCCACCCATTCCGTCCTGCTCACATTCACATCATTGTGAGTTTCCTATCTAGCCTTTTGATGTTATTTCCAAGCTAATATATTCGAATAGGCTACCAAAGAAGGCTACCGCCCTCTGACCACCCAGATCTTCGACCGCAAGGACAAGTATCTTGACAACGACTCTGTCTTCGCAGTCAAGGACTCTCTGGTAGTGGACTTTGTCCCCCGGAAGGACGACCCCAAGGCCGCTCTTGAACTCGAGTACGACGTTAAGCTGGTGGCTGATACCAAGGCGATCAACGCATAGGTCTGCGTTGAAAGTGGTTGTATGACATTCTTTGCATATATTTTGGTTTCGGATATGTTCTTGTGACGATAGCGTTTCGTTTTTTTTTTTTTTACTTATTCTCATATGTTAAAATTAACTTGGGACCACGGATTTACCAATGCAATTTCTCGAGAATATTCTCTAACACAACCAGCTCTGTCTATGTATACAATGGTACACTGCAGAAACCCATGTATCAAGCATTCTATTTCAGATCCGAGAGCAACAAAACTAAGCACTAATTGCCCCAACAAACCGCGCAATCAATCTCCCCACTTCATCAGGAGACTCAATACAATGCCAATGCCCAACACCCTCCAAAACCTCCATCGTCTTCTTCTGACTCGACACATGCTCAAAGATATACTTACACCCCTCCATAGACGCCGACTTATCCTCTTCACCCGCAATAAGCAAGAACGGCGCCCGAACAGCCGCATAATCAGGAACCTGCGCACTCGCAATAGCACGACAAAGCGCCGCATAGCCCTTGGGATCCTGACCGAGAAGAAGTTCGCGGATGAACGCCCGTTGGAGCGCGGTGCTGCGGGAACCAACAGCCGCGGAGGGAATGGTATTTGCCATTGGTTCCATTCCAGCTAGAGGAAACATTAAAAATTAGCATCTTGTACACCAACTCCTTGAAACCCCCTTTTTCAAAAAAATTCAGTAGAAAGCGATATCCATACCTTCCAGCACCGTCTCCGCCCTCTTCCCCATAACCGACACCAACATTTCCGACGGATGCGTTGGGCCTATGGGTACAACGCCCAGCACACGGTCCGGATACCGCGCTCCCAGCTCGATAACGACCAATCCGCCCATCGAGTGACCGACGACCACGGCCTGCGCCACGTTTAGCGCGTCCAGCACGCCGATAACATCCTCCGCGATACTCGGGATTGTGACTGTGTCGTTGGTGTACGGGGAGCGCGCCGCGCCGTAAGTATCGATGGTGATGCAGCGGTGGTTGGGCGTTAGATGTGGGATGACGGGAAAATAGTAATTCTGCGAGGAGCCTAGGCCGTGGACGAAGATGATAGTTAGGCCGGTGGGTGTTGGGGCGCCGGTTGGGTGGGAGTCTGTGTAGTGTAGACTGTGGGAACCAGCTTGTACGAAGGGCATGTTGAAATTGTGCTCAAGTGTAAGATGATACTCGAAAAGAGGGAATCAGTCAAGGAATGGATTTGGTATGGAGTTTTAGTAGTGGTAGGACTATGTAAAGTCCCCGTCGGCCGAGCTCGATCTATATGTTCCAAGTGTAACCGCCCGCGTGTGTCGTCATTCCCGATAAGAAAGGCAGAGCCCACCAAATTGTGCTCATGCCCCTGCAGAAAAGAGACAATCCCCCGCCATTTCATCCGTCGGAATTAACCAATTCTGCTAAGTGCGTCGACCTCGATGGATCTGCCCATAATCCGAATGAGGGGCATGGGCCCTACAGCATCCGAAGACTGTGCGGATGTGGGCTGCCGACCGTCGGACCGCAGCCGATCAGTCTGGAGTGCCAAGCCTTTATCTCCAGACTGGTCCGGCACAAAGCGTGGATTCAATTTTCAGAACTGTTTATGTACTTTGTAGCCTCATGAGTTGTGTAGAGATAGCCCAATGACGCCAGATTATCGTGCGCCTGAGCCTAGCTGGACTAACTCGCCAAATGAGTCGCCGCAGCCACGCGAAAAGACGTCTTCAAGATAGTCGGCTGTCTCGTCACGGAAAGAATCTCCAAGGGAGGGTATGGAAGTGGTCATGGATTTAGAATGCTCGGCCGATTGCGGCAGGCCCATTGTAGGCGGAGGAGGAGGAGCAAGAGATGTAGTAGGCAGAGGGATCGATGTATGAGGTTGCGACGGTCGCGAAGCTGCAATAGCATCCGCTTCTCTCATAATGTCGGCGTCGTCAAATACCGAGCAATCGGAGAACTCGTCATCGTCACAGTCATCTTTTAGAGAGCACAACGTCTCTGCGCTGATATCATGGCCCATACCAGGATTCTCGAGGGTTCCAGGGGCATCAGGGAGGCATGAAAAGCCTTGCTCGATTATGTCCTCGTTCAAGTTGTCAAATATATCCGACTCTGCCTCTGTGTCGCCCCCCACACTATCAACTTCCGTTTCCCCTTCATCTTCATTTCCCGTAGTTTCGAGACCGGAATTTGTAGTGACGGGTTGTTCTTCAACGGGTTCCTTGGGCTGAGGCTTCGCACCCAGAAAAGCAGAGAGCAGCGGTTGACTGGCCGGGATCTTGGGCGCGTTGGGATCCGGCAATCCAAGTCTCTTTCGCTCCTCGCGATCCCTCGCCTCTTTCTCAGCCTTTTTCTTCTTGTTGGCTCGCCGCTTCTCCTCCCTTTCCCTTATAGCCTTTGCCCGACGATCGAGTTCCTCTTCGCGCTCAATCCTTCTTAACTGCGAGGCGGTGAACTTGAATCGTTTGTTGCTGCGCTGGTACCGGCGTCGGACCTCGCTGGATTTTTCAATGACGATGCGCCGCGGCTCGTCTGGCATGGTGTAGGCCGTCACGGCGACTGCCTGCCGATCGGGAGCTCATGGATAGGGGGACTTTGTGAGGGTCATTGGGTTTGACGTGGGAAGTCAAGATTGCGGAATCGTTGGTGATGTTGGCTCCCGCTCTCGTTGGCGGTGATACGTTGGGCCGACCGTCAACAAATTGCCTGATTGGGTGAGGAGCATGGCTCTGGCTCGAAGATCTACGTCATTCTTTCTTGTTGATTTAGACTTATTTTATATTTGCTTGTGTTTACATTTTTGGCTCTTTCCCACTATTGTCCAAATCCCTTATTGACTTAGATCTTGCAGTCTCGGACCGGGTCCCAGCACACGGGAGCATACTCATTAAGCTTCAACGTGGCCATATCCTCCTCCGACAGGCTGAAGTCGAAGACCTGGGAGTTATCCCGGATACGCGAGTCGGTGACTGATTTGGGAAGGGGGACATATCCCTAAAGAAGAACAATGAGCCTCATTTTCACAAAATAAGCAGCAAGAATACCACATACCTTCTGCAAGCTCCAGCGGATCAGAATCTGAGCCGGGGTCTTGCCGTGCTTCTGAGCCAGCTTCTCCAGAACGGGCTCCGTCATGCGCGTTGCCTGCACGAGGGGCGAGTACGCTTCAACAATGACGTTGTGCTTCTTCAACCACTCGGCGATATCCTCGCGTGGGCACCAGGGGTGAATCTCGTACTGGCCAACGGTGATCTGGCCGCCGCCTCCGCTCTTGATGTACTCCTCCAGCTCCTCAAGGTGCTGGATGGCAAAGTTGGAAACGCCTAGAGAGCGCACCTTGCCCGCCTTTTGAGCCTCGACCAGGGCGCGCCAGGTGCCCAGGCGGGCTTCCTTGCCACCGTAAGGGGCGTGGATCAGCATGCTGGTAGAATTGTCAGTCTTGTGCATTTTGAAGGTTGCTAATCGTGAGGCAATTACATACAGGTCAATGTACTCGATGTTGGAAGCAGCAAGGCTCTCCTCGATGGCCTGCTTGGCCTTCTCGTAACCCATGCATCCTCTAGGGACCTTGCTGGTGTAGAAGACCTGCGACCGATCAAGGCCAGACTGGCGGATCGCCGTGGCACTCTCCTTCTCGTTCTTGTAGACCTTGGCGCAGTCAACCTGGAGGAGTATGATTAATATTTGGCCTTGAGCATCTCGAATTTCTGGCTGTAGCTTACATGGCGGTATCCCAGCTCCAGAGCCTTCAGAGTAACTCTCTCGGTGACATCGGCGGGTCTGGTAGGTAGAAATCAGCGAGCTGCTCTATTTGCAAGAATCATGACGTTTTGAACTCACGTCTGGTAAACCTGGAGATACAACCAAGCGTTAAGCTATGAACATGATTTCTTCGATATAAAGAGCGAGACTTACACCGAAACCAACAACTGGGATCTCATATCCTGACACTAACTTATAAGTCGACTGAAGCGTGAGTCCAGCCATGTCTGCGATTGTGGCAAAAGCGGTTTTGCAGTCCGAAGTTTAAATGACAGTGGAAGAGAGGAACACAAACGATAAATCTGGGAGAGTCGGAGAAATCCCGCTGTTCATGTACTGCTGATGAGCCGGGCCCACTTTTCCTTCAAGCTTGATTGATAATACAGTAAATCCACAGACCACCTCGGGCCCGTGGTTCCCTTTCTTTCGTCGTCGGGGTCCTCGTTTGGTCAAATTGACGACATTCAGTGGGGAGTCTGTGCGGGCCTGGGCCGGTTCACTGGTTGATCGATCGAATCGCCGTGGGGCTTGTTCCCTGATACGGAAGGTCAATTCCTCAAGCTTATGATGCTGCAAATGCTAAACTCAGATCTTGTAGAGTACAGTAGGCCAAGAGAATCCTGGGCATAGCGTTTCCTAAGCCTTTGAGTGAGTGCTGCAAGCTCGCTGTTATCGATAAGCGGCGGGGTAGTAAAGCAGAGAGCGCAAATTGCATTCAAGGGCGCTTTATTGTCTCAATTGCAATCTGGTAGGATCTACTGATTGATTGTCCTCGTCTGAGACAAACAAAGGTGTCAATAGACTCGATATTCCATGGCCATAGAGGGATGCTGTCCAGCAATCTGCAGGGTGTCAGCTAAGGGCGGTCTGTGGTGGCAGTATAGTGCGGGGGGTCAGGACGCGGCGGGCAGGACAATTTAGTCCCTTGTGACTCCTATTCATACCATCGAGGACTGCTGAGCCGCTGCTTTCGTCCAACATACCTAGGACTCCGAAAGCCAGCAAATAATAGTTCCAAATTCCCTTTATTCCCACTCTCAACCTCTGCTGCCGACTTCAAGGGAACCAGGCGATCCCACAACATCTACGATGCGCCTAATCAAGAACAAGATTGAGCACAATGGCTCGGGGACAGTCACCCTATGCCCTGAAGAGCCCGAGGACATGGTACCATCTCTCGATACTCCCCTCCCACAAAGTATACCACTTAATCTCACACAATGCCTCCCTCCAGTGGCACGCATACAACTTGATCCGCCCCGGTGATCTCCTCCGCTCCAGCGCAATCCGACGCGTCACAACAGTCCAAGACACAGGCTCTACATCCTCCGCCCGAGTCCATTTGAACCTCTTGATCAAAGTGAAGAACCTCGACTTCGACCCGCACAGCTCGCAGCTGCACGTATCCGGTCAAATTATGAATGAGACCGCGCACACCAAAATAGGACAATTCCACACGCTCGACCTAGAGATGAACCGCAACTTTACTCTAGAGAAGGAGGTCGGTGCTGACGGGGAGGGCGTTGGATGGGATAGTGTTGCGGTGGAGCAGCTGAAAGATGCGGTGGATGAGGGCGGGAATCGGCGTGCAGAGGCGGTGGCTGTTGTGATGCAAGAGGGACTGGCACATATTTGCTTTATCGGGCAATTCCAGACGATACTGAAGCAGAAGGTAGAGATGTCGGTGCCGAGGAAGCGGCAGGGTGGTGGGGATCATGATAAGGTGAGTATCCTGAGTTAAAATGAGATATGAGGTTGGGATGAGGACTAATTCGTCGGTTGATTCAAGGGCATGGGCAAGTTTTTCCGTGTGACACTGGAAACTCTTCTACGTCAAATGGACTTCAACACCAGCATTACGTCCGGCGCATACAACGAAGCTGTGCGGCCGGTTCTGCTCGCATCCCCGGGCTTTGTTGCCGCAGGATTCCACAAGTACATCCAGTCCGAAGCATCTACGACAACACCCGGTCTGAAACGATTACTCCCAAGTATCGTAGTCGTGCACTCGGCTTCTGGCTATCTCAACTCATTATCAGAGGTCCTTCAATCACCTGCCGTCAAGGCCCTCCTAGCAGATACCAAGTACGCCCGGGAGACGAAACTGATGGATGACTTCCTGGACGAGCTGCGGAAAGAGACGAACAAGGCTACCTATGGTCCTCGCGAGGTAGAATCGGCAGTCGACCAAGGAGCCGTCGGTCGTGGCGGCGGTGTTTTGATCATGTCGAACAGGCTGTTCCGATCGCAAGACATTGCCGAGCGAAAGCGATGGGTTGCTTTGGTTGACCGCGTTCGGGACGTCGAGGGTGGCGAGGTGCGAGTTCTTAGCTCGGATCATGAAAGTGGGAAGCGCCTCGAGGGCCTTGGAGGCATTGCGGCGCTTTTGACGTTCCCCGTTGTTGAGGAAGAGCCGGATTCCGAGGATGATTCTGCCGATGCTGATTGAGTAGGTATTGGCACTTCATAATGAGATATACGATGCATGAAATAGACATAAATTTGTCAAAAAAAGAGGTGCATTTGATTGTGGTTTCTCTGATTAGGGAATTCCTAGTCGCTGCTATCCCAGACATTCAACAATAAAATGTATGGCATAGAATCTAGTTTATCGTGAAACCAGTGGAGGTTCCCTGAAGTAGACCATACAATCTACACAGTTTGATACACTTGCCGATCCTATTCATGCAGATTTCTTACTCATCGCAGATCCCAAATTTGAACACCCTTAACCACGAGTCCTCTGCACGTCCTTACCGTCCAGAGTGACATCCAGGGCGACCCGCGCAATAACCTTACAGCATCAAAATCACCAGGGCATATGTTTCACTTGTTAACTAACTTGTGATCCTTGAATGACCACTCCCATCAACCCACGAAGATCTGCATCAGGGATCCATTATCCCCCTCGTATAATTTAGCAAACGATGGCCCATAATGTGAAACCAACCCCAAATGGGGGCCGAAGCAAGGCGACCCTGCAGGTGGCGCAGACACTGCTTAATTTAAAAATGTCTCCGCAGTACAGTCTGGGGGAGTGTTTCATGGATAGTCCCCGAGGTTATCGAGGCTGCACAGCCTGTCAACGAGGCTGTGACAGGCGCGCAATGCATGTTGTTGTGGCGCTTTGGGGGCAGGATTATATCTAGCCCACAATGCTATTTTGGGTTCCCTCGGAATAGATAGATCGGGGCCGAGGATTGCAGATGGAGTTAGAGGGAGCTAGAAGATGGCGCAGTATTTATTTTAAGTAGGTTGATGTTTCGTGTTTAACCTAATTTGAAGTGGTCTTATTGTACATAGATTGTATGCAGGTAACTTCTTGCTTGTATCAGATGGTCGGGGTCGTGTGTGAGACTCCAGTATCCTACATGCTTGCTTCTCTTATTTTGAGCGCTCTTATGAAGATTTGCTGCATGTTTTCCTCCTAATTTACGTAGTGCGCTAATGTAGTATAATGTTAGGTTTATGACTCTCTATCTCATTTGAGATCTAAAACTGTGATTTCAAATACAGTCCTAAGAAAAGTGGTATGCAAATAAAGAACAAATGCAAATATTCATCCATCCAACGCCATAGCTATTCATCTGAGTCCGTAAGAAAGGGAAGTGTGGATATTTGTCACAAAAACCTAGGGCCCGCCACATCAAAAGAAGTATGAGTGCAAACTTTACGACTGCATATCTCCACTTCGTTTCAATCATCGAATTCCTGGCGCGCTCGCTTCCGTGATGTTGGTGGGGGATTAGTGGGAGATTCGACAAGTTCGGATATTACTGAAGGGGAATTGCTGCCTGAGTTTGTGTGTCGTTGTTTAGCCTCGAGGTGCCGTAGTTGAGCTCTGCATTGATCGGGCGTGTATTCTTTTGTGCAGCCCAGTTCTTTCATCTAAGAGGAGTCAGTTACTGTGCATTCCACTTGAAGGTTCTCTCTAGTCACTCCCAAAGTTGTTAAACTCACCTTTTCAGCGATGAACTGATACCTCTCGATCTCCCACATGTCGGAAGCGGAGAGGAGCAGCTGAACCTGAAGTATACAAATGAAGTATTAGCCTCCGGTCATTGACAAGAAAATTGACTTTTGAACCCCACAACAAATAAAAAGGCCACGTACTCACATCATGCTCTTCCCAGCGCCCGACTCGTTCCTTCTTTCGACGATTCAGTCGCATTTGCAGCCGAGCCTCGGTGGCATCTTGATTGAACCGCTCAAAGAACATTCGCCGCACTCTCTTCCACGACACATTCTGCTCGCGCAACTCCTCGACAAATGCGTCTTCCTCTTCTGCTTTGGGATCTCGCCGTCCACGACCTGCTGCACGAGGTTTTGGCGGCATTGGTGCTGGACCTGGCGTGCTTTGGCTACGCTCGCGCTCGAGGCGTTCCACGCCCTCTGGATCGGGCAGGATACTGAGCGGAGTGCGGGTGTCGCGTGATGGTGTTCTCATGTCTGATGAAGTGCGTTTCATGCGCTTAGGTGCCGGGGCTGCGGGTGACATGTTGGGCGTATAGCCCATGCCATAATGCTGGTCGTTTGAAGTATAGGCATAGTTAGTGATGGGAGCTGCTGTTCGAGGATATTCGCTGGGAAATTGTAGGTTGATGCCCAGACCCTGTGGTTGGAGGGAGTTGCTGATGTTGTAGCTATAGTCTTGTGATGGATACTCTTGGGACTGGTGAGTTTGACTGAGTGCAGGGCTCGGACGGAATGTACTATCCGGGAGGGAGATGGGCGTGAGGATAGCTGGATGCGGGACCATAGGCTCTGTGCAATATGGCGATGGTGTCACTCCCATGAAAGAGGATTGAAATGCTGGCTAGAAAAGATAAAATAAAAAGTAACTATAATTAGCCCATTTGATTTGAAGTTGTTTTTTGGGGGGCCGATTTAGCTAGGGCAGGATAGCGGGCCTTACTGTTTCGACACCCGTCCAGTTAGGGCCGACGGGCTCATAGTAGCCCTGCAATTCTTCCCTCGAGCGAGAACTCCCTGGGCAGCGTGACATGATCTTCAATGGGTACGTAGATAAAAATATCTAGCACGTAGGAGAGCTCGCGGTCCAGCAAGGACTTGATTGGAACAGGCGCCAAAGGTGGCAGAAGATGAAACACGGTCAGACAGATCCGTGCAGGAACAGGAGTAGGAGGCGGCGGTTGAGAGAACCAAATGGTTTGCCGAGCACGGCGTCAAGCAAGTTCACGAGTAAGTTAAATATATGGCCAAGAATAAAAAAGCTAAAGCCACTGGAGCCAACAGAAAAAAATGGTAAGAATCGAAGTGCTTTTTGATGGCGAAGAAAGAAGCCCGGAATCCGTAAGGTAAACCTCCAGATTCTTATAGATGAACCTTGCCCTGGAAGAGAGAGGGGTCAAAAGCAACAAGATATAGCAGACAATGCCCGCAGCACACTCTCTAGACTCAATTTGAGAGAGATCACAGCCCACGGCCGGAATGCCTCGCGAGGCAGGGACGAACAAGCAGCGTCGCTTCGTCAACTATAGGCTCAGAGTGCACCAGAATCAAAGGAGAGTACCGCCGATGACCACCGTGCTGCATTGGAGCGCTCGGGGGCAGAAGGGTAGACTCGACGAGGGCCTATATTTAAGCGCCAGCAGATTCAATAGTGCGGATTGTGGTCTTGATATCCCAGCGGTTCCCGGCCCCCATGTTCTCTCTCCTCTCATACCCCAAGAGGGCCATGGTGGGTGGATAGAGTCGGCGCGGGCACAGACTTTCTTTGCATCCCGATGGGGAAAAAAATGCAAAGTAACCAAATAAGACTGAGAAGAATGAAAAAGGCCTTTTCATTTTTTCATTTTCCAATTTTCTTTTTCCTTTTTAGATTTGAAATTTAATTATTTGATGGGGGGAATTTATGTTTCTCCCCCTTCTGTCGGTCCTCTTGGGCGTGACCATACCCGTTCTAGAAAACCGGCCCTCGAACCAGACGGCAGTATGGAGTAGAAAATTAGTGGTAAATCATGATTTAGGAAATCGAGGGGGTGTAAATGGGCCAAGAGGGCCAAAAGGATCAAAACGACAGTGTCTGATTAGCGCTGGTGGGAAATAGATGGTGTGGCAGTCATGCTAGTTCTGGCCAAGCAGGCAGTGCACAGTCATCCATAGAATCGGATCATCGGGCGGGTTGATCTAGTTCCCTCCATCGTCATATTGCATCGGATGTAATTCTTGCATAGATATTCTGCGGACTTTTCTCGAGAATCTCATTTATTGAGCTCTTTACTCCTGCAGCAAAGTTACGGGGAGACATATGGGGTCCCATTACCTTTCCTAGTTCGCGCAAAGAGACTAGGAGTCTCATTACCCTGGTTAGATCCAGGGTCTCTGCCTTCTCTCAATCTTCACCAGCTATGGGGCTGGCCTCCATAGCAAAATCATGCAAACTGAAAACAAGTTTAAAAAGAACCCAGGTGGGTGAGCCAGGGTGTAAGCCTGTCCCACCTTCCTAACTTCCCTCTTGCTGCAAGGTTGACGGGCGGCGGCTCTTGACTGGACCAGAGGCCCCCAGCGAGGCCGGCAAGGGACCAGGGGGGCTGCTAAGGCTGCTGAGGCTGAAAGCCTACCCGCGCGCCGCTCGTGGCTTTGTTCTTCCGGAGAATTCACAGCCGGTAGTTAAGCGCCGAGGGGTGAACGGGGCCTCCGCCCAGGCCCCCCTAAGAATCATTCTCACTACTTGAGTGACAAAGAAAAGACAAAACAGATACATTCAATCATACCCGAGAAATCCCATTTTCTTCTTCTGCTTCTACAGGGCCATCAGTTCTCTGCACTGCCATTAACTGGCAAAATAGGGTGGGAGTTGCGGGCTGCCTCGCTCAGGAATGGAAGGTGGAAGGAGGAAGGAGGAAGGGCAGGTTGAGAGAGTTGTAGAGTGACATGCAGTATTGTGTTGGTGGAAGGGGGGCCATGTCCGCTCCTTCTGGCAGGCCCAGTCAATGTTCCCTCTTCGTATATCCCCCACCTCCGACGGGCTACATATGATCCTTCTACGTGGAAGCTTCCTATAGACTCCTCAGAAGTCTGCATTAAGCGCCCCCCAAATCCACTAAAACTGGCCTGGGTGTACACAACCCGGATACTACCTGTCTTATCCCTCGCAGATCTAACTAGCTACGTCTAAAAAGTTCATTTAATTTGCGTGGAGACTGGCGGAGACTGATCACATCCTGCAGTCACTGGTCGCCTGGGCTGTAGTTTGGTTATGTTCAGGTACTCCAAGTATGTGGTCAAGCACCCCACAAATTTAAGAATGGGAGTTGAACCATGGGAGCGGTGTACCCAGCACCTCGGTCACTCTCCGTACCATATTTCTTCTGCTAAATAACGCTGTCCCATTATCGCTGCCGCCGCCTTATGCGCTACAAGCTCACCATTAATTAACTTCAGTCCCAGCCCGAGCACACTCACCGATTTGCTCAGCCGTGTCACATGACTGACTGGTGGTGCAGTCAAAGACATATGTGCTGGTGCCTCGGAGCCTCGGGCTCCAGTCCTTGCCCTTCTCAGACATCACTCACACAAACATCATCTCCTGTGTTCTTCATCGTACATACACGATCACAGTTGTCTATTCCGCACGATTGAAAATAGTCAATGTGAATCTGTGCCATGTCTGTCTTCTTTCTCTCTCATGCCTATCATTTTATATTCATGAACAATGTCTTTGACCCTGAGAGTTTCACAACTATCAGGTTCTTATCCATAAATTGCAAATCATTCTGAGGGGAATACTTTTATAAATCACTCGGAACAGTCTTTGAGATACCAACAATACGACTCGCGAGAGCATGAATACTGCCGCCACCCAAGACATCGAACAAGCTTAGCTCGGCCTGCAAGTTCACCAAGATCCACGTGCGAATCTCGACAGCAAGAAGAGAATCAATGCCATAGCTGTGCAAGGGCTGGCTGGCATCAATGTTTTCAACCGCTGTCTGCAATTCCCGAGCGAGTCGCTGCTTCAGGCAGTGAACAATGAGATCGGCGGCCTCACTTTTCGACTGCACTTTACCCAACTGCGACACCAACAGCGCAATATCATTCCCTTTTTGCCCGCCCATCACCATCTTTGATTTTGTCTGATCGAGGTCTTTCTTTTTCAAATACGCAAATCGCGGGTTGTCAAAGTAGAACGGCCGTTCCAGACCCTCAGACTCAAGGATACCACCCGTGGGTAGACCCGAAATAAGCTGCGTAGGCACCGGTGAGCCACTCCATGTCCCCGTCATAGCCGCTGTCAGTAGGGCATGGAACTCTGCCTCGTGAATACCCACTGCCTCCCATTTCTTCAGGTTGGTTGCACCGCCGCGTTCAGCGATAAGACCAATACCCAACATCAGGCCGAGGTCGATACTAACAGCCGGCAGACCCAAGCTGCGGCGGTAGTGAGCCAGCGCGTCTTGGAATGTATTACCAGCCGCGTAGTTGGCTTGACTGCGGTTACCCACCACACCAGCGATAGAGCTGAGCATGACGAAGAATTGCAGATCGCGCTGTAGAAGGAGTCGATGGAGGATCATCGAGCCGTGCATCTTGGGTCGGGTGGCAGTCCGCCATTGCGCATGGGTCATGTTGTGGTAAATGGAGTCTTCGAGCACGGCGGCACACTGCAAAACGCCTCGGATGGGTGGCATTTCGCGGGCGCATTGATCTAATACCTGGTGCATGGCTGCCTCGTTCGAAATGTCTGCTGCGTAGAACCGGACATTTACGCCCATCGGTGTCAGATCTTGAATGACTGAGATGGCACTTGCAGCGGATGAGCCCGATCGGGACACGATGGCGAGGTGTGTGGCCCCCTTTTCGGCCAGAAACGTCGCAAGATTGGCTCCTAGCCCCCCTGTGCCGCCGGCTAGGAGGTAAGTAGCATCTCCATCGAGGATCAGCGGGTTTGCAAGTTCAGGTGTGACGGGGATGCGGCCATTGGATTCGAAGGTAAGAATGGCGCAGCCATGCCGGGCGGGGTGTGTACCCACTGAACGGCTTTGATGGATTGTGATGCTGGCCAGACATGTTTTGGAAGTGGCATTCGGAAGCTTTGATTCAGTTGGAGCTTGGATATCTGCTTCAACGTTTCTACCGTGCGAGGGGGATCCTCGCGAAGCAGCTTGCCAGCATTGTACGCAGTGTATGTAGCTCCTCGACGGAACGGAGCGACAGACAGTGCTGGTAGATCGCCTTCACTATCTTTGTTTGTCACATTCTCGACATCAAGATCCACGAGAACACCCGCAGCAGCCATACAACGCCAAAGCTGCGGGAGTAATTTGTGCTCTGCGGCCTGGTGTAATATCATGTTCACACCATTTCCATTGCACAGCTGAGCAATAGCCAGCTCAAGGTCTGGATCGCTCTCCTCGAGGATGTACTTCGAGCTGACCCCAAGGGCTTCCATCTCAAGACGTTCTTCCTGGTCACGGACAGTCACGATGATGATTGCTGCAATAAGTCGCTGGGCAATTTGGATTGCGAATTGGCCAACCGCGCTCGCTCCAGCTTGAATAACAACAATTTGGCCTGGTCGAAGCCGTGCAATGTCAACCAAGGCCGTATGTGCAGTACCAAGCGAGATCGCCCATGCGGCTGCGTCTTCGAATGATCCACCCGCAGGGATGTCTTGACACCAGGACTCTGGAACCTGAATTCGTGTCTGAGGAGCGTTTATACCAACACAACCCCAGACCTGGTCACCGGGTTTGAGACGTGAGCAGCCGTTGCCCACTTCGGTGACTATGCCGCTGAATCCGAGTGCAGATACGCCGCTGTGGCTATCAAGTGTTAGTATTCCAAAGCGGAATTCAAGGAGAGCAGTCACGTACTGTACATCTACTGCCATCACCTGGACGTAGACTTCGTTCTCTGCTAAGGAGTCTCCACCGGTCCTTTCGACGGCGGAGTAAATGGAGCCCTGAAGTCGTAATGGGGCACTGATATCACCTACACGCATCAGGTCAGATGTCGAAGAGCTACGATTGGATGCCATGATGCTGAGGAGATGGTCGTCGTCTACCCATCGGTTGATTTGAATACATCCTTCGAACTCCATGTACTCTCGGTCCGTCGTGGACGACTTAGCCATAGCTGCCACAGTCTGCGCGATCTTTTCTGGCGAGCGGTCTGTGTATCTTCCGTCGTTCTTCAGCAACAAGTATCTCAGATCAAGATCCACGTTCTCATTCTGGAGCACTCTTAGGTAGCCAACGGCTGCTTGCATTGCTGGGTCCTCTCCCATAGCCACCCAAAGCACACGCTTGCTATGAAGCATGAGCATCTGAAGGGCGGCAAAATCCTCGGTGCAAAGATCTTGTAGAAATGGCGAATCCAATTCCATCAGAGATATGAGCGTCTTCCCCCGCATGTCAGACACATCTGTAGACCAGCAGACAGTCTCGACGTGCAGTCCATGAGCGGCGAGTTGCAGCGAGAGTTGAGCAGATACTTCCGTCGAGCTTGATGAAAAGCTTGCGGGTTCAAGGATCACGACAGTCGAGTTCTCCCAAGAGACAGTATTAGGTGTTTTTCTACCGATATACCAAGCCGGATCAGGCGAGATGTTGAACCATGCCCTTGTTTTGGAGTTCGATTTGCCATGCTCATGGTCTTTCAATCGTCTGGTCTAAGGTTAGCTTATAGCTTCACTGGTGGCTCACAATTTACCCAGGAAGATACTTGCTCTGGATCAATTTGCATGATTAACAGTCCTCCAGGGCGGACGCATTCTTTTATGCGTTGAATCTCCTCGTTGGCGATTGTATTGCTGCAGATAATAGCCAGATCTATGGAATTTTCGGTCCACGCCGCATTCCGTCCGTCAAATTGGTCAAAAGAGAGAGAATCTGCCCATTCTTGGAACAAGCCTTTGCTCTGTGCGACTCTCTCGGTATCCATGTCGAGAATAGTATAGCTGGAGCAGCGCATTGTCCTGCCGGGGGTTGTTCCCAATACAGAAAGCACAGACTTGATGAGAATGTCGGAACAACCGATCTGCATGATAGCAAGATCAGGATTCTTATGAGCTGCCAGATCGACAATCTTTTCCAGTTAGTGAAAAATACTTGCCCTGGATAGGCAACTACTTACTTTCTGCATTGCAGAGACATCTGTGAGATGATCAGCCACATATCTCTGTATCTGAGTATTATCCAGCCACGCAATATCAGGCTTCCATAGAAGTGTTCCCACCGGAGCTTTGGCTGGTGCAGAGGAAGAGCTGGCGATTTCCTTCGCACCCGTAAGTTCCCGGCACCGCAACTTATTGATGATAAGCTTGGGCTCATCATGCTCGTCTGCAACCCAAATGTCTGCTACGATGTCTCGCTCTCCTTCACGCCGGGTGCGGCAGCAAGTTTTCATCATTGTACCAGCTGCAGAAGACAGATTCGGGTAGATGACGAGACTTTCAAGCGCAATGGGTACAGCAGCACTGGACATATCCAGACGATCGCCACCTATGGCCGCAAACATGGAATGAAATATCACGTCCAGCGTGGTGGGATGAATCAGATGCGAGCTCTGGGCGCCGGCGGGCATTGATGCCTGTGTATCTGGAACCTGGACCACAGTGGTGCAGCAGTCTGCCCCGGCTGCAATTTCCTTGAGTCCCTGGAAGAGAGAACCATATTGGAGACCCGCCGTGCAAGTAGCTTGGTAGAAAATGGCGGGCTCAATAGACCTTGAACATTGCGCGGCGATCGTGGCAGAGTCTTCTCGGACAGTCTGCCACAGCAATTCCTTTCCGGTCGTTCGATCACTACCGCCCTCACTTCTTTCTGTTTTGTAACGCACTCTCACACGACCAGAGCTATTCTGCTCGAGAGTAAAACCATCCGAACAGCTCGTCACGTTGAAATGCCAGCAGTCCTCTGGACGCTGAGCGCTGGAGGATGTTGTTCCACTATCATGGATCAGCTGAAGCACGACTTCGACTCCAGTCGAGTCATCAGGGATGATAATAGCCTTGGTGATTCGGGTTTGCTCAATATGAATACTGGCTACATCCCGTTCTGCGGGTGTGATTTGGCGAATGGCCTCAATAACCATCGCAAGGCTACCTGCCGCTGGGTATAGAATGCGTCCGTCTACAACATGATCTCGCAGCCATGGTTGCTCTTGAACACGAAGAATATTCCGCCAGCGTGGTTGTGACGAGCTAGAATCCGCAGCTGGCGCTCCTAGCAAGTCATGGCGGCCGAACTGACGCTGTCTGTAGTTGCGACTAAGACGGGATTCGGCCCAGTATCGACGTGAATGATCCCATGGATACGAAGGCCAGTTCGTCAGTGGTATCAAGGATGAGGCCAGCCGGTTCACAACCCGAACGCAAACAGGCACTCCGTGAATGTATAATTCGCCGGCGGCAGAAACGGCAGACTGAATTGAATCTTTGCCGCGTTGTAGAACTGAGGTATAAGAAATTTGTGAGAGATCATGCTGTTGTAAAATTTGACGTAGCGGACCGCGTAGAGCGGCGTGCGGCCCAATCTCCAACAACATATCCATGGCTGACTCGCCATGGCGAGGGCGTCGGCGCCGTCTAGATGGGTCATTCTGCAAGAGATTCGATACCGCGTCGAGAAATTGCACGGGAGAAACCAAGTTTTGAATCCAGTAGGCCGGACCAAGCTGATCTGAGCTGATCTGCTTGCCCGTTACACTGGAGAACATCTGAACAGAGCTAGTGGTAGCAACGGGCTGAATATCTGCAATGTGCTTCGCGTAGATCTCAGCCACACGTTGCATATGATGCGAGTGGTAAGCTAAATCCACTTTCAGCCGGCGACAGAACACCCCGGCGGAACTCAGAGCTTTCTGCAGCTCATCGATCCCTGGGGCATCACCAGAAATAGTGACTGAGGCTGGTGAGTTGATGCAAGCGACAGCAATGGTGCCTGTGGAGACAGCGTTGACATGAATCTGTACATCTTCTACAGAGAGGCCAACAGCCAGCATAGCTCCTGGGGCATGTTCTGGATCACTTGTCAACAATTCACAGACTTGGCCTCGATAGTAAGCGATTTTCCAAGCGTCCTCTCTCAAGAGCGCGCCGTAGCAGTACGCAGCCGCGATTTCGCCACTAGAATGGCCCACCACCGAAGCGGGAATCACATCCCATGAGTGCAGCAGGTCAATCAGAGCAATTTGCAACACGGTGCAGAGCGGTTGGCTGAGATGGGCTCGATTGATCTGTGAAGTTGTTTCAGTTGCCCCAAACTCTGCGACAACCGACCATCCACTTGCCAGTTCGGTTCCCAAATACTGGTCTGCTGCCTCGACACTGGCACGGAAGACTGGGTACTTCCACAGCTCAATGCCCATTCTGGAGTACTGAGCACCCTGACCAGTAAAGACGAATGCCAAGCGGGCCTGTCGCGGCGCGTGGGCAAGTATCTCCTGCTTCCGCTGTCCAGCTGGGGGCAAACTCTCGGCGAGTTCAGGGGCGCTGCTAGCAACTGCAAACCCTTTCCAGGGAAATAAGGACCGCCTATCGCTCAAGGTAAATGCTAGGCAGTTGAGGGAAATTGGGCGATTCTCAGCCAGTTCTGTACGGATGAAATTTCCGCTGCGGTCCATCATCCTTTGCAAGGCTGATTCCGTTGGGGCGTTGAGCACAAACAGCTTAGGGTCCGCATCCTGGTTCTCGTTGACGTTTAGAGGACAAAACCCTCTGGCAGCCATCCACTCGTCGGCATGATCGAGAATAACATGTGCGTTGGTGCCACCATAACCAAATGAATTGATACTCACCCGCTTGGGCTGATGTATTGGCCAAGGCGTGAGTTCAGTCGGAACAGCAATGTGCCAGTCAGCGAATGGGATTCGCTTGTTAGGTGTTTCAAAATGGATGTTAGGAGCGATAACACCGTGCTCCATCATCAATATACACTTGATCACCCCCGCAAGTCCGGCGGCGCCCTCCAGATGGCCAATCTACATGATCAGCTGGCCTATTATTTCGTTGTGCAGGACGTCATGAACTCACATTCGACTTGACCGATCCGACGTATAGAGGATTTTCTGATGTTCGTTTCATACTAATGGCCTGTGCCACCGCTCCCAACTCGAGTGGATCACCCACCCCTGTGCCTGTTCCCTATGTGGTGGTCAGCCATGTCGGTTGTATACCAGAAAATCAAGGAAAGATGGAGGAGCTAGAATCTTACATGTGCCTCAAAGTATGCAGTCTGAGCAACATCCAGACCCGCGGAAAGATAGGTAGAGCGAATTAGGCTGGCCTGGGCCTCACGATTAGGCACGGTAATGCTCGTGGTATGGCCATCCTGGTTGGCACCAGTGCCACGGATAATGGCTCGTATCGGATCTCCATCACGTAGAGCATCGCGAGCAGGCTTGAGAATCAGAGTCGCAATACCCTCACCTCGGCCATAACCCGTAACTCCCTCGGCAAAGGAACGAGAGAGGCCATCGGTTGAGGTCATCCGCAGGTTTGCCAGCCACATAGCAAGATCCGGGCTGAGAATCAAGTTGGAGCCGCACACTATGGCAGTGGTGGCTTCGCCCGTGCGTAAACCTTGACAAGCAAGATGTAGGCCAACCAGGCTGGATGAGCAAGCTGTGTCGAGGGTCATGCTAGCACCGCGCAAGTCGAAGAACCAAGAAATACGGTTTGCAAGCAACGAAAACCCCGTGCCTGTGCCAGCGTACATCGGGGCTGTCTCTGCATCACGCATCAACATTTCATGGTAGTCGCGTGTGAAGCAGCCGACATGGCAGCTAGTCTGGCTTCCGACGAGGCTCTCCATGGGCAGGCCAGCTGCTTCCATGGCCTCGTAGGTCACCTCAAGCAGTAGTCGAGCTGTAGGGTCCATAGCGGTGGCTTCTTGCGCCGTGATACTAAAAAAGGGTGCATCAAATGCCGCGACATCCTCGTCGAGAAAATGTCCATTGCGCGCGCTGAGTGTATTCAGTTTCTCGCTGGCCGTATGATGGAATGCATCAACATTGTAGCGGTCGGATGGAATAATTCTCGCTGCCGCTATCAGAAATCAGCACAGGCCGTTTTTCTCTGACTATTGATGCACAACATACATCTTTTGTTTGATAGTAACTCCCAAAACTTCTCTGGGTCTGAGGCGCTACCTGGGAATCGACAGGATAGGCCAATGATGGCAATATCACCAACCTCATCCACGGGGCCATAATTGAAGTCGCCCATAGTTGAGTGTGTAGAGTAGTCAGTGATAATTTTCGTCAACCCATATCCAGATGAAGTTTCGTCTCGTCTTTTGAGACTGACGAACTTTCCGAACAATCGAAAGTTTCGGCCATTCCGATGCTGGCCCGCAGGGCGTCCACGTTTTCTGAAGACAACGCAATCCTCCACCGAATTCATCTACCAGTCACAAGTGGCCCATCTGTCTAGCGGCTTTGGGAGACAACTTGTTTGAGAAGGAGATTCTGAAGCACATACCAAGCACATAGGCCGTTTGCTCCAGCCAGCCACCGTTCTTAGCGCGACGTGGCGTCGAACTGTTCAGGAAAATCGCACTGACCGTTTTCCTCTCAACCAGCCACGGCCATTAGTTTGATGGGGCGTTGAGTAGTACGAACAAATGGCATAGCAGCGGAGGGTGGCTTCTGTTCGTGTCAGAATTTAGGGTCATCCATAGCGACGGAGACTTGATAATTTGGGCGCGAATTTTTTGGACTCGTAATAGTAATACGGATGGCATGAGTTCAGATCCAGGGACAAGAGAAACGGTCTAGCCGGGAAGGCTTCAACGTCCTCTGTCTTTTGACCAGTCTTGTTTAATAAACCCTAGATCTTATTTCTTGGTGGGGCAGACCTCATCTCTAGGGTTCAACTCATGACTGACAAGGTGATTTTGAGGTCTTGTTGGAGTGTCAACCTTACAAAGCCCCACTATATCGGCGTAGCCGTGTGGACCGCGTATTGGGTGTTTTATCCCGACAGTATTTGCGCTTGTCCGATTTAGTTCCAAGGGTGATCCACCGTTCATCCGAACGACTTGCTGCAGTATCAAACTCTATGCAAAACAATTAATTTATTTCACGACGCCTGGGACCAGCGTTCGGCGCGTAATTACCGTAGATAAGCCACACTTAAGACAGAGCAATAAGAGCTGCAAAATTTCGTGTCAGCAATCCTTGAGCTTCCACAATGCGATTCTTGTGTTTACACGGTCGAGGGACAAACTCGGATATACTTGAGGCTCAGCTTGGTACGAGAATTTTATTCTTCAAAGACTCGTTCAACTTGGTATGGAACAGCTGATTCTTTAGCGCCGCTACGTCGTCGGCTGGCTCAGCATACGCTGGAATTCTTTGACGCCCAAAATGCCTGCGCCGCAGCCCCCGGGATATCAGGCGTATATCCGCCGCCGTATCTTTGCTGGTACAAACATGGAAAGCCCGAAGAAGTCTCGGTCGCACTAGATGACCTGCGTGCTGTGCTTGAGGAAGATGGACCATATGATGGCCTGATTGGGTTCTCTGAGGGCGCAGCTCTGATAACCAGTCTTTTGCTATGTGATGAACATGCCGGGCATCGTCCGCGTGTCCAGTTAGCAGTACTGTTCAATAGTGTAGTGCCGCTCATCGCCGACCCTATAGCCATGCATCACGCATCATCACCGCTAGGTGAACTCGTGCATGAGCACCACAATCACTATCTGGCCCTTCTACAGACCGATGGACAGGTGAACGGCCCTCTAAGCCAAGCGCGGGGTTTCAGCCCAGTCGGACCTCTCCGCATTGCGGTCTCGACAGTCCATATCATTGGCGACCAAGATCCATTTGCCCCCTCATCACAACTGGTAGTCGGTATGTGCCGTCCTGAACGGGTACAGATGCTCTGGCACGACGGCAGTCATAAACTACCTCAAGCTGGAGAAGTGCTCGACCATTGCGCAGAGCTTATTGAGACAGCAATTATGTTATCGTCGTTGGATATCTAGGTTCACCGTCGATAGGTCATGTTCATATGTATATCAGGTCAACCTATCATACGAGGTCAATGGAAGAGTTACAGTGGATGTGTGATGTGCACCTCGTAGGCATGTTGAAGAAAAGGATCAATTTTCCATTCCAAACGAAAATCCTCGCCAGCAGCAGCAGCAATCGTTGTGTTACACACAATCCTGCGTGATGTTCTCTTGTAAGACGTGTTTGTCCATGACTCCACCTAATCAGCCACCGCCCCGGGGAGGAAACTCAGCTGAACGATTGACTGACTTCGCTTACAAATGTTCCGAAACCTAAATTGCCGAGTATACAACTCCAGCCAGCCAGCCACCAGCTGGAAAAAGAAGTAGCAGGCTGACTGACATGAATCATATTCCAAAGCTCGAAGCCACAGACTGCGGCAGACGAGTGTCATGGTTGCTACGTCTAAGCCGTAACCGGATTAGCAGCTTCTCGCTGCAGGGCTAATGCCGAGAGGTGCCTGTTTTGTATGGATAAATGGTATCCTTTTATAGAAAGGTTTTGTTCCGTTTATCTAAGTTCTATACGACATATGGAGTAGCTCAATTCCTCTCTCTTTAGTAACATCCTAAAGATACTCTCCTTGCTGCAAGTACATCTCTTCGTCTATTGTTCCCGAAATTAGCTTTTGTCAAAATGGCTCAACTACTTCCAATACCTACAATGCTTGAGCGCCGGTCAGAAGCCGATCCGAATCGTGTGTGGGCCAGATACCCCGTCTCGGCCACTTCGTATACCGAGGGCTTCCACACAGCAACATACGGCCAGATGCGCACTGCTGTTGACCGCGTCGCTCACCTTCTGAGCGGGAAGCTTGGGCAGAGTGAATCGTTCGAGACGTTGGCCTATATTGGCCCTAATGATCTGCGCTACCATATAGTTCTCATCGCTGCTATCAAAACAGGATATAAGGTCTTTATGGAAAATCCTAATCTAAAATTTGAAATCTAGCTAAAATACGGAATAGATGTTCTTTCCTTCCCCTCGCAATAGTATTGTAGCCCAAAAGGAGCTATTAACACGCACCGAGTGCAAGATTCTTTTAACGCCCGACCATGAGCCGCAGGAATCCCGAAGCCAATCGTCTATACTCATAACTTCTTTTAGCGTATCGTTACAGCCAACACCTTGCCGGCTCCAGAAGGGATGAAGCGTGTTGATGACCTTTTTTTGCGTGGCGAGTTTTTCTCTTTGCTGCCGGCTTTTCACGTGAGTGAAATAATAATAAGCTTTCAACTTTGAGATATTGACTTCCTTGATAGATTGCGGGCATTGGATGGGGCTTTGTCCTTCCCCTGTACAGGGAAAGTATTCCAGTACTCCCTCTTCCTGGTCGACCACCGTCAACTGATGGCTTCTTGGAAGCGGTACGACACGGCCACTTCAACTGGGCGTTTGTGCTGCCCGTCATCATTGACGAGCTCACCAGTAATCAAGATGCGTTAGCGTTGGTGGTAGAGAAATTGGAGTACCTCTTCTATACCGGTGGTGCTCTCCCCCAAAGTGCCGGGAAGCGTGCTGTGGCTACAGGGCTCCCGGTCTATTCAGGATTGGGGTCAAGCGAATGCGCTGCCTTGCCTCAGGTCCGTAGTGTTGAAGACCGTCTACATCCATCTTCGGAGACATGGCGGTATGTGCACTTCCATCCGGCGATGCAAGCAGAGTTGCGGTATCGCATGGACGACTTGTACGAGCTGGTAGTACGTCGATCGTCAGAAAACCCCCATGCACAGCCAGTATTCGCTCTCTTTCCATATCTGCAGGAATATGAGACGCGCGACCTGTTCAGTCCTCATCCAGATTTACCAGACCTGTGGATGCATCGTGGTCGTCGGGATGATCTTGTCGTCCTGCTCAATGGCGAGAAGACTAATCCGATTTCCTTCGAGGCTGAGATCACTGCTCATCCGGGCGTGCGTGGTGCCCTGGTGGCTGGCAACAAACGTTTTCAGACTTGTCTCATCATGGAGCCGGTCCCGGAGGCACTGCAGCAGGTAACACACAATACTTCAGCCAAGGAGTATTTCATCAACGGGATCTGGCCTACCGTTGAGGAAGCGAATCGCCATTGTCCAGCCCATGCTCGAATCTCCCGTTCCAAGATCCTCGTACTTGATCCAGATATGACCATGCTACGTGCGGCAAAGGGCACTATACAACGCGCAGGAACTCTACAATTATACGCTAATCAAATCGATGCACTCTATAGGGAGGAGGAATCAGCCCTGCCCTCTGCCATGCCACGTAATCGGGAAGATGTTACATCGGCTCTGCGGTCAATGGTGACCGAGATCACAGAATGGTCAGAGCTCCACAACAACGTTGATTTCTTTGATCAAGGCATGGACTCGCTTCAGCTATTACGGCTAAGTGCGGCCATACGGTCACGTTTGGGTCTTTCTATCCCTCCTTCAGTGATTTACAGCAACCCTTCAATTACCTTGTTGATCACGAAGATCTTCCAAGATGCACCGGCAGATGTCGAGCAGGATCACACGGTTAAACTTCAGCAGATGCTACAGCAGTATGAGCAGCAGATTGACCGTCTCACATTGAAGCCTGTAGAGACATCAACAGAGCCCAATCTCCCAACCAGGAAAACTGTGGTTCTCACTGGCTCTACGGGCACAGTGGGATCCTTCGTGTTAGCACAGCTGTTGGACGATCCTGAAGTCACACACATCTACTGTCTCAACCGGTCAACGGACTCTGGATCATTACAGAAAACTCGCAACCTCAAGCGAGGAGTCCATACCACTCCCGACCCAAAGCGAGTTACTTTCCTCACGGTCGATCTAACACAGCCATCCTATGGCTTGGACCCTTCAACGTTCAAGACACTTTTAGATACAACAACGCAAACCATCCACAGTGCCTGGCCAGTCGACTTCAACCAGCCCCTAGCTTTCTTCCAGCCCAGTCTCCAAGCCCTAGTAAACCTAATTACATTCGCTCACCGCGCAAAACACAACCCTGCACTCCTCTTCCTCTCCTCAATCAGTGCCATCAGCTCTGCTACAGGTCTCATCCCAGAGAAAGTCTTCCCGGATCTGACTGTACCCGCTCCTATGGGCTACGGCCAAAGCAAATACCTCGCAGAACGTATTCTAGACCATGCAGCAACAACTCGCCACACCTACGCCTGGGCGTAGCCCGTATCGGCCAAGTCTCAGGCCGAGCTCGGGGGCCGGAGGGAGCCTGGGCAAGTACGGAGTGGCTCCCTAGTCTGGTTGTCAGCTCACACTATCTGGGCGCATTGCCAGACTCCCTGGGTAGTGGCCGGATGGAAGCAATTGACTGGGTGCCTGTTGAAGAGCTGGCTCTGATTCTAGTCGAGCTTTCTAGCACGTTGATGGCGGGATCGGAAGCATTCTCTGTCTTTCATTGTGTCAACCCAGAGGTCGTTGTATGGAAAGATCTACTTCCAGTGATTGTTGAGGAATTGTCGACGCCGGAGAAAAAAGTGGTGACTGTCACCTTCGAGAAGTGGTTGACGCGATTGCAAAGGAGTGCAGCCGAGCTTGATCTGGACGGAATGAAGGTGGACGAGTTCTTGCTGAAGAATCCTGCGGTGAGGTTACTGGATTTCTATTCTCAGCTCCTCGTCGAGGATGGGGATAAAGGAAGATATGGCAAATTGGCAACTCAAAATACCGTGTGTTTAAGCCAAGCGCTGGCTGGCCTGCGTCCAATCCAGCCAGAGTGGATGCGCAGGTGGATTGGAGAATGGATCACCAACTGAGATAAGTAGGAGAGTTCTATAGTGAGTGCATCAGACGGCATACTCATGCCTTACCCGTTAGGCATCTCTTTACAAGTCTTCATGGAACAGTAAAAGTATAGTGATGACATGCGTCTCATAACAATTGCTTGCTCCATAAATGCAACCATGATGACGCAGCATCAGGCACTACCCTATGTACCGAAAAAAAAAAAAGACAAGCTGATGGCTGACACAAAGCTAAATATAACAAGAACTAGCTCGACTCCACTCCGCGAGCAGTTCCGCTCCGCTCCGCTCCGCTCAATCCCGGCCATAATCCCTTTCGAGAAACTGGCCCAGCGGGGGCTAGATCAGCCAGTCGTGCGAGTTCGCGGAGCATGCTGGCGGTCATCCAGGTAATCATCCGCCAAGACACCTTCAATCCCGTCCTCATCCTCATCGTGACCACCATGCCGACCCTGGTTCTCCAACGTATCATCCGCGGCAATCGAGATCCCCCGCGCACCCCACCGGTTAGTATTAACCCGGCCTTCGCCGCCCTCTTCCTCATCTCGCAGGTGCTGCTCCTCATCCGTCGATGCGCGATTCGCGCGGAAATTCACCACCCGGTTCACTAGCCAGCTCTTGCTAAAGTCCTCCGAGTCCACGACGCCGCCGTTGCGCAGCTTCACCCGCTGTCGCGAGTAGTACACCCAAGCGAAGTCAATGTAGAATGCTGTCTGTACGATGCCGAAGACAAACGCAATCGGGTCCCAGTAGTGCTCGCGCCCGAAGCCGCGCACGAGCCAGTTGAGGATGTAAAAGGCGCGGTAGGAGCCCAGTGCGGCGAGGTAGTATGAGTCAATCACAGTGGGCACGGTGGTTTGTCGGAGGAGCAGCAGCTGCGGGAGGACGCAGACGGATTCGAGGATGATGGAGAAGGCCCAGAGGAGCTGGTATTCAAGGTGTCCAAGTTAGCAGGGCATTATATGGAGGCAGGCATTGCTGTTCGCAGTAATCAGCGCTGGGGATTCATCAGATCTTACCTCCAAGAACCAGTGAGATGGGAATTTCTTTTCGAAAATCAGGATTGCAAGTGGCGACAACACGACGGAGACAAGCACGGAGTAAATCCCAAGTTTCCAAGCGCGTTCACGCTCCCTCGTGCGCGGGAAGACCTTCATCATAATGAAGATCGTATAAAAGGCCGAGGCAAGGAAGAAAAGCTTGAACGAGACATTCCAAATGACCGCCTTGCCGTATGTCCGTACCGACCACGTATCCGGATTTAATAGATCGAGATACCGCGTCACAAACACTACTGCATAGAGAAGCTGTGTGAGAAGCGAAACACCTGTATCATAACAGAAGCGTGTTAGTTTCGAGTTTCATCTCTGGTTCGTAGGTTTGATCTGATCCTCGCAGGTCCTTTGCAAGCAAGGTATCTTACCCTCGGCGCTTTTGTTCTTATGGATGGCCCAGATCAGTAGACAGATTGAACCGAGGTGAGAAAGGTCCGCTAAAACGCGGAACACGTTCCACGCCATGGCGGGTTGAGAGGATTGGGGGGGATTGAGAGGGTGTTTGTGTCCGGCTTGGTTGCGGGATGAGAGTGTCTGAAGCGCGCGATGGTTATTTGGTCGCGGAGGGATGTAAAGCTGGTTCAGTCAATAGATGAATCCGGTTATCTAGCGCTCAAGATTCTTCAACAAGGTGAGTTCATAAGTCGTGCTAGGCGGCGGGCGTATGTGGTAGCTTGGCTTGAGTCTGTTGCCTGGCCCTTTAGCCTCAAAGAGGAGCTCTCCCCAGTCTCGCTCGTTATCCGCAATCTGAGCTTGGGCCACCTCACGTGAGCGATGACGTTGCCCTCGTTTCGGATCCCAAACAAACATTCGGTCGCGATGACCAGGCCTTGAGAGTATGGATTTTGTACCTTGCGTGAGTATGTACACGTTTAATATCTGGCCTTCGGTTTGTGAATATGGAGTATATTACTTTGACTATGGATTCTAGCAATAAATTGCAAGACCCTTTTTTGACAGCATGTTGTGGGGCCTGGTGTGCAGATCATGAACGTAGTGGTCGACGGAGCCATTTTAGATTGGAATTGGGTACTTGTCTATGTATCTTGAAAAAAGAACGACGAATGGTGTATATCCAATGCGGCTAGGATGAAGGAATTCAAGACTTTTAATTATATAGAGGAAATGATATCATTGCATGAGCTAAATGCGAGAAATGCAATATGTACCTGAAGTGCGTCGACTAGCCGTCTCGAACTAGCACATCTCAATCACTTTAGTTAATTCGAATTGATTGATGAGTAAGACATAGAGTTGACGCAGGCTCACGATGCTTCTATGAACTTTACTGAAGAAAAACTCTAGATTTGAGATCAAACTTCTAGTACCATTTAGTACCTCAAGAGTCCAAGATGGGACCATCGAGATCAACCATTCATAGCTCACAAGCCTAAGACAAGTCATTCCTCTACCAACCACACGGTCGCTTGCACCCTCAGCGCAAGCTAAACTACCACTCGAACAGGTAGACATTGAAAAGCGGCCCTGATCCCATAGGACCGATCAGAATCATTCAAGACAAAGATGTCACCAACCAGAACATCATCGCTCTCCTGCCCAGTCACAACCCAGGCCTCGCGGCCATATCAGAATCGATTGATAAGATGACCCATGTCCATCACAGTGTCGACCACACCAACCCGCACGAAACCCTCGAAAAGGGCATGACAGAGCGTTGAGGAAATGCTGAAAGTACACACGGACCCTGAACCCCCTCCCTCAATGGATGCTGCAGATGACAGCCACATTGTTTCGAGAGGATGCAAAGCACGATCCTGCCAGTGCCATCCCCAATGAATGCAGGATGGCGCGGGCCATGGGCGATTTCAATTGGGGCGTTGGTGAGGAATTACTCGCTTGAGCCCCGCGTCGGTTTTCTTGGTTTAGACAAAGCTGGGCTGACTGGGGTGCTTGTAGGGACAGACTCGATTTGGCGCTGGTCAGGGGATTAGGGAGAGAAATCAATATATTTGCCTGCTTCCATGAGCCATCTCAGGTCATGGATCCCAGAGGCTCAAGGGAGTATCTGGCTACGGACGGTCTCAAGTCTTGGTTCTTTTCTACATCCGAGCATGCCCTGGCATGACTGATAGAGAGCAGAGAGGAGGGGTATCGTGGCTGTCTGCGGAACCCTCGTGTGGCTTGACCTAGCCAAGCCCAATCGTGGTGGTAGTAGAAGCAACGCACGTTTTAGCAGCCTACTATGTCCATTCATACCGATGGCGAATGCTCTCGTAGCTATCCAGCCGGTCAATCTGTCAGAACAAGCAGGGACAGTATAGACACATACTCAACGGTACAATATGTACGCATGCGGCTCGATAATAGACAGGTCGACCGGCAGGGGCCTGCTGGACCCAACAACGGCCAGACCATAGGGAGACAGACAGAGCTATTCGTAGTTGAGCCCTGGACTAGACTAAGATGGCCCCCTCCCCTCCCTCCCCCCGGTTGCCGTCCGTTGTGGTCATCCTCGCATTGTGAGAGCTCGCCGGGTCACCGGATTCTGGAGCAGTCCACTCGGCGGACGTCTTTGGACCAAATGTTTCATGGAAGAGGTCGGACGTGGCCCATCCTGCTTCTGCAGCGACATTGTGGCCAGTCGAATTGGAGGGCAGCACGAGCCAATTTGTGACAGGGCCCCCGGCCATCGGGTTTCCTCGACGAACGGTGGGGTGGGAATGCACCGGAGAGGAGGATGGGGGAAAGATGGGAGTACTTTGGGTATTTGGGTATTTGGGTATTTGGGCAATTGTCAAGCTTGAAAAGGTCGAGGGCAAAGGTCCGGCCGGAGCTGTGTATGTGTCTGTCGATGTTTGTGTTCTCGGAGCTGGGTCTTTGTCTTTTGTGTATAGCTTCGGTGGGGACGGGGACTGTCGCAAAGGGCCTAGAACCAGCCGAACCCCTCCCCTTGCGCTCAACTGGTTCTTTGCGAATCGACTCTCTCCAGGTCAAAAGAAGCAGAGTCATGGTCAATCGAAACTAGAGTCCATAGAATCGTTCCTCTATAGTCATCGAGGGCATCGATCTGCAATCGCGCGACTCGATCCTTCTACTAGCAACGGCCCGCCTCCATTCTTCTTCTTCTCAGCGTGATATGAGGTGACTCCCCGCTTCGGTTCCCGTTCGTTCTCCTCCTTCTCCTCTTCTTCCCCCTTCTCTCTCATCCCGTTCCTCGCGATCGTCTGAGTTCCTTGTCCCTCTCTCGATTATCCTGCTATCCTCCTCATCCTCTCTTATCCCTTCTCCTTCTACACTTCACGACTTTCTTCCTTCTCCTTCTCTCTCCCCCCCCCCCCTTCTCTCTTCCCCCTCCCCCTCCTACTATTCACCATCTAACCTAACCAACCACTATCCCTCCTTCCAGCCTCATGTTCTCCCCGTACTCGGAAGAATTCGAGGTGCCCGATTCGACTCTTCGACCATGCGATTTTGATCTGTGAGCTAATCCCCTTCCCTTGGTCTCAACATAATCTCTCCTGTTGTCCCCTACCGCGAGCTCGGTTCGCCTCAAAAACAAAGGGACAGGGAGGGCGGAAAGCACTCCTCTACCCCGGTCGGGTTCACTGGACTACCCCCCGCGAATCCTCTCTGTTCTGTTTCTCTTTTTTCCTTATGGTGCAATTCTTCTATTCTACCCTCTTGTCGTCGCATTGGTTTCTCTCTCTCTCTCTCTCTGTCTGATCTGGTTCTGCCTGGGATGCGCCTGTGTCATCGTCGTTAGTGTAACGATGCCCACTTGCCTAGATGTTGACCCAAGGCGCCCCTGTAGCAGTTCTGCTAACCCCCCATACGCGCGTCATCGCGTGTGCAGATGAATCGGCGTGTGATTGAAACCTTTCAGCATGTCGTGAGTCCCTCGTCTGTGATCTCCATTCGGCTCCTGTGCTGCGGGAGGGAGACTACTTGCGCAGACAGCCAGCCAGATCAGACTTCCCCAAGAGAGAGCGGGAGAGAAAATCAGTGAATGAGCCCATGATTCGCATTCGATCTATCTTCTCGCTGTGTACTGCCAGTCGCACCATTTACATCGCACATTTGTTACTACTCGTCCAGCCGAGGAGCTATTGGAGCTAACGCAACGCGAACCAGGTCCCCTCCGACTTCCAAACGGATCAAAACTTCGGCCACAACCAGCGCCCCACCGCATCTTCTTGCTCAACAGCAGCTCCATCCCTTCCATCGGGTCCCGACTTTTGAAGGCATTCCTATTCCTACAGCCCCAATTCCCCATCAACAACAGCCGCAGCCGCCCCAGCAACATCAGCAACAGCAGCAGGCGCAACAACAACATCAACAGCCCCAACAGCAAGCCTCCTCTCGCAAGCGTCCCCAATCGCCGACTGTGGGCTCCTCCACGATGATGGCTGCACAGATGAGCGCAACGGGTGGCGCAATTGAGGGTGACCCCACTGCTCTGCCACCCGCCGCGGAGCCTGCCCCCAAGAAGAAGGGTCGAACCAATACCCCGTGGACTGCCGAGGAGGAACAACGTCTCAAGACCATGCGCGACGCCGGTCGTAGTTGGAGCGAAATCGCAAAGGTGCGCCTTTTTCAAACTCGCCTTCCATCGGCTGCTGCGCAAGCCTTTGCTAATCCGAAGTGTTGCAGACATTTCCTACACGGACTGAGGGCAGCGTGAAGAAGCATTGGTATAAGGTATGGAATAAATGAGGTCCCCCAACACTGGCTTGCCACTATATTACAGTTGCGCTAACCTTTTTTTTCCAGGATATGCACTACGCTGAATTTGCCGAAGATGAGGTATGATCTCTTGGTGGTTCATTATTGAAGAGGTTTCGCACCCCCTCGAGTTTCCCCCAACTAACTCTGCGCAGTCCATAAAGCTCCGTGATGCAATCAAGGAGTACGAGGCAAACAAGTGGAAGGTCATCGGACAGAAAGTCGGCAAGCCTGCCAAGGTAGGTTGCACCCGTCCGCATCCACATGGATTTCCCATTGACTGTGCATTCTAATCCGATCTTCTTTCTTCCCCACAGGCTTGCGAGCAATATGCCAAGGAACATTTCAAGAATCTTTGAGCTTCTGCACTTGATGACCTCCTCTCCTGGACCCCACTGACGAAGTGATGACTTGACTTGTTTGATTTCTATTTTCTGGGCTTCTTTTTTTTTGTGATGCATCTAACGAATTTGGCATTCCCAAACCCCCCGGATTCTGCAATTCCATAGCGATGCAATTGTCATCAATGGCTAACGGGGGCCACTGATAATACAAGGCTGATGGAGTTGGTGATCTGGTCTCTTTTGTCTACCCTTTTGATTCTTTGATCTATGTCTCTGATGTTGCCTGGAATCTCTGTCCCCTATTGATCTTTCTATCTGCTCGGGCGTTTGCCTACCCTCTGGCGCCATACGGGCTGTCATCTTGATGTCTTCCCCCTCTTATTATTTCCTCCGATCTATGTGTTGTTTTTTGATTTCCTTTCTTGACCAATACTATGTGGATGATTCCCCCAATCATTTTCAGTAGCTGCGCGAATTAGGCCCAAAACAATAAGCCCAGCCTCGGCGGGCCCGTCCACTTGGCGTACACTTTGTCCCCGCGGCGGAAGCGGAAAACCGCCGATAAGCGCACGCGATCTAAATTTTTCTTCCCCGCGGCAACCTTTTCCTCTACCCCCCACAGTCATATATTCTTGTCTCTACCACCGACCTCGGTGTCGCTTTCTCATCTTAATTGTGGTGTCGAGTCTCACTTCTATTGGCAAGCCCCTCTGCCAGGTGAATGCGCCCTGCTCCACTGGAATGCTGCACTTGTTTTTCCAAACGCCACCGTCCCATCCCGCTAACTCCCCATTGCTTCACAGTGACTCATTCACATAGCAAGATAACAGACAGCGCTCTGTTCTCTCGACTTGCAAGCCTCGAGTACAGATCCCGACTCCTGCATTGGCTCTATCCCGGGGACGGCTATCATGAAGACGAGTAGTCTGGGATTGTCTCGTGATCAAGGTATCCTTTTTATAACCTGCATGAAGACCGGTGTTCGGTTCGCGGGCAGAGGGCGTATTCTTTTTTGCAATATCTGATCAGTCCTTTGCCCGCGGCCGTTCTGAGATCATACGGTTGAACTTGATCTGGATAATTCCAGCGAAAGGACTCATGCGCTTTTCTGCTTTCTCCCGGTGTTTCCTGTCCGAAAGTGTGTGCGTATAACTGACGGAGTCTTTTTCAGAGTATGGCCGTGGAACATGAAATCGCCACCGTAGCGGTGCGCAATGATCGAGACGATGATATTAAAACCGTTCGTTCGACTGAACAACCCATCGATTACGAGAATAAAAAAGATGCGACTTATCCACCCGAGAATGCGAATCGGTCGAACCCCGCTGGCTCGCGCATCGGTTCCCTGCTGAGGGCTTTCGAGCAGCAACTGGTTGAGTATAACCTGGAGGCGCGAGGCATTGAGCGCGTTGCACCTGATGAGCGCATGAAGCGCCTGTCGTGGGTGTCGTACCTGCAAGCATTCCTGCTGTGGGTGTCGATCAACCTGGCAGCGAACAATATCACCCTTGGAATGCTCGGCCCCGCGGTGTACGGACTAAGCTTCACGGACTCGGCCTTGTGTGCTGTGTTTGGCGCAATTGCTGGCTCCCTGGTCTCCGCGTGGGTGGCTACCTGGGGTCCCGTGTCGGGTATCAGGACTATGGCGTTTGGCCGGTACTCGATGGGCTGGTGGCCAAGCAAGATTATTGTTCTGCTGAACTTGATTCAAATGATTGGTTATTGTTTGATAGACTGTGTGGTGGGAGGGCAGATCTTGTCTGCTGTCTCGCCGGGAGGTCTCTCAGTTGCTGTTGGTATGTGATATCTGAAGTGCAAGCTATGTTCGGATGGCTTGGCTGACTCTTGACATCAGGCATTGTCATCATTGCAGTCATCAGTTGGGTGGTGGCTACTTTTGGTATTCAGGTCTTCCACTACTATGAACGGTCAGTCTTCTCTCAGCAGCCTCTGTTCGTACTCCTTGCTGACCATCGAGAATCAGATTTGCGTTCTTGCCTCAGGTGATTGTTGTGTGCATTCTCTTCGGCGTCTCCTCTCCCAAATTCGATCTATCTACGGTCTCTCAAGGCGATCCCCGAACGGTAGCCGGTAACAGGTTTGTTATATCATGGAACTACTATTACGCTATCCCTATTTAACAGTGTTCTATCTCAGGCTATCATTCTTCTCCATCTGCCTCAGCGCAGCAATCACCTACGCCCCTCTCGCCGCAGACTTCTTCGTCTACTACCCCGAACACACCTCCCGCCTCTCAATCTTCTCTCTAACCCTAACTGGCCTCGTCTTCTCCTTCACCATGGCGCTCGTCTGCGGCATCGGTCTCGCCTCCGGAATCGGCGCCTACCCCGAGTACGCCGCAGCCTACGATCTCGGCCAAGGCGCCCTCATCGTCGAAGGCCTCGGTCCCCTCCACGGCTTCGGCAAATTCTGCTCCGTAATCATCGCTCTAGGCCTCATCGCCAACACCGTCGCCCCAACTTACTCCGCCGGCGTCGACTTCCAGATCCTCGGCCGGTATGCTGAAAAGGTACCCCGCGTGATCTGGAACACTGTCGGCGTGATTATCTTTACTGTCTGCGCGCTGGCAGGTCGTAGTAATCTCTCGGAGATTTTCACGAATTTCCTCGCTCTCATGGGTTACTGGGTTGCTATCTGGTTTGCTATCTTAATCGAGGAGTTTGTGTTCCGCTGGCGGACGGGCTATCACTGGGCTGCGTGGCGTGATCCGTCCAAGCTGCCCATCGGCATTGCGGCCTTTACGGCGTTTGTCGTCGGTTGGGTGGGTGCTGTTCTGTGCATGGCGCAGGTGTGGTATATCGGTCCCTTGGCGAAACTTGTTGGTGAGTACGGTGCCGATATGGGTAATTATGTTGGCTTCTCGTGGGCTGCGCTTGTGTACCCGCCGCTCCGATTCTTGGAGCTGCACTTTGTGGGTCGCTGAGATGGATGTTGGATCGAGGGCTTTGGTGGTGAGATTAGATCAGCAGTTTTTCGCCTTGCCTTCGCTTCGTGCTGGTATCTGGGATGGCGTGGTGGTGGTACGATTGTCGTTCAACACCTACCCTCGCACACAGGGATCTCAGCCCCATTATTGTATAGTCTTGCTTTAGATGGCAGCATCGGAAGGGCTATATCAAAAAAAGTAATTTACACGATGCATAGTTTCATGTTACATGAGCACGATTATATCTCTATTGGAACGATTCGAACAAATTCCCCTTCTAGACCTCGAGGAATGAATGTTTGCCCCCGTTGTGAATCACATCGTACCACCTGAGAAAACTAACCCCGATAAGACAATTCTTGCTCCTCCCAGTCCGCGTAAGCCTCGACAGCTGAGATGTGATGTCCCGCCGATCCCGGTTAAAGTGTAGGTAGAAAGGAATATCACGATATGTCGAGAAAGCAAAAAGAGGAAAGAAAAATATTAATCAAAAGTACATCCCCTGGACAACTCTCATTTTCATCCACTAAGAGAACTATTCTACAAAAGAGATTGAGAAACGGCAAGCCAAAGCCACGCAGACAGGAACAGATACAGGAATAGACAGACAGACTTGCATGATGGCTCTCCCACATACAAAAACAGGGAGCCACCATTCACACTGTATCAGTATCAAAGGTTTTCAAAACGCTAGGGTACGCTGGATCGAGCCCCGGATTTACCGGTACCAGTACTCGGGCTTGACGTAGTCGGCGAAGGTCTTGGGCTCCTCGGGGGCGGGGTGGCCGTGGCCGTGGTCGTGGTGAGCGTGGGGGTCCTCCTCGGGTCCGACGTAGTTCAGCTTGACGACGTTGCCGCACTCGTTGCAGCGTTCGATGGGGCGCTCGCGGGAGACCTGCAGGCGTGATGGTTAGTTTTGATATATTTCAAAGGTACTTGGGGGGAGCGTACGGTCAGCCAGTTAACCTGGTGGGAGTCGGCGGGGTAGCCAGTGCAACCGGCGTACTGCTCATCACCGGCACCGGTGACGATGATGGGGTTCTCGAGTGTTCCTGTTTCCGGTAGAGCTTTGGTTAGCGCGTTTTCCCCTTCAAATGCTGTATATAAACAAGTGCCGATTATTGGAGACGAATTGACGCGCGGGTTCAGGCCGAATAACAGAAATATTGTACACATACCCTTGCGGGAGGCATCCAGAGGACGCATGTCGAAGATGTCGATGCCCTGCATCTTACCGATGAGCTCGAGACGCTCAAGACCGGTAGCCTGGAGGTAGTCGGTAGGGATGGTACCGGGCTTGGCACCGGGGGGAATCAGATCGTCTTCGGTCTTGATCTCTGTAGTGCGCGAAAGAAATCCGATTAGTACTATGTTCAGAGCAAGATTTGCAAGCAAGTTGCGTCCGATATATGAGCTGTATCGGGAGGGGCCTTCGGCCCACGTTTCTGGCTTCCAAGCAGCTTCAGTAGCTCAATTGCTTCATGGAAACCGATACAATGGTCGAGCTGGACCCCTCATCGATAGTGGAGGCATTGTCGGAGCAATTGGTTGCTTCATGGCCAGGAGGCTACTAACCATCGAAGGAAAGGATCTTGCCCTCCTTCTCAACAGCCCACTTCTTCTCGTTGCCTATCGGAGACAATCGCGTTAGCCGACATTCATCCACGGTGTCTTTCAATCGTCGTTTCATGAAATAGTGTGCTGTGACCCAATTGACGCGGACGGGGAAGGAAAACGGCGAAGGTCGGGGGAGGTCGGATCAGGCCACTGGGGATTGAGGATCACGTACGGCGCACGATCGAGGAAGAGAAGGGGCGCTGAGCGAGAGTGAGAGCACGGGCCGGCGAGCGCCTCGCGATGGCGGAAGCGGTGCGTTGGAGGAACATCGCGGTCGCTGGATGGACGGGGGTGGAGGAGGGGAGTTTGGGGGATGAGCGAGAGTTTGGAGTGCTGAGGTTTGGGCGAGGTTTGAAGCCGCTTCGACCCGTCATCGCCTCTGATTGGCTGTATTCTGTGCGCCAATGGCCCGCGGGTAATGCGGATGACTCAGCGTCCGATTGGCTGATGTCACGGCAGGCGACAGAGACTAAAGGTGCACAGGCCGGATTGGGACAAGTAGGGTTTAGGGTTGGGCGGATGGAAGTATAGGCCAAGACAAAGAATAGCATGTGACTTCTGGCTCTCTGACTCCTGGCTGATTCGCAAAAGACATCATCAGATGAGACACTATATGCAGGGCTATGTCAAAGGTTATGATCAGTGGCGATGAAGAACAATCTCAGCAGGAGTGATTGTCGATGCAGTTCTCTGCTGGTAGGTCTTTATGCTCTTTGTTGATTTACTTGATGCCTGTATCCAATCACTTGTGACGGTCTTTGAGTATACCATATGCCTCTAGAGTTTCATAATTATGCCGATAATGAAATGCGTGTTATTAATAATCTGCTGAGTTTCAAACTATGCCTCGAGTAAACCGATGAAACTGACGCATGAATTGATTGAAAACTGGCAAGTACTTGAAAGGAAACGAATATATAGACATGGAAGTCGGGTCATCGAAGAAGCCATAGATCTTCATTATCTACAGACAGAATCAAAATGGACATCATCTATCGGGGTAACTACTATCTTCTAGCCTTATGCGGGCTGTTCTTGATCACCACTACGGCTGCAGTTCTCGAGCCCAGTCAGCCTCAGTCTCGGATTGTCCGGCGTGGACCCCTTTCGGATCACGATGAAGCAGCCATCGTTGAGCGAGACTCTGCACCCTGCAAGACATATGTCACCCAGGGCGGAGATACCTGCAAGAGTATCACGAAGGCCCATGGTATCACTATGGAACAGCTTCAAATGTACAACTCTTACACGTGGAGATTTGACTGCCAGAACATGCCACAAGGCTCGATTATTTGCATTGGTCCTGGATCTCCTCCAATGCCAACAGCTGTTAGCAATGCGACTTGCGGTCCCTTGGTCCCTGGGACTGCCCGACCGGCCAAATGGTCCGACCTCGCTTCATTGAATCAGTGTGCTTCCAAAAATGAATGTGTAAGTCTCACTCGCATCATCCATTTAGGGAATATCTGAGCTAAAATATCAGCTAGTGTACCGGACGGGGCACATGTGAGGCCTTTGGCGACTACTGGTGCACTCTACGAGACGATACCTGCATGTCAAATTGTCAGTCTACCGCGAACACAGCAAAAGCCGCAACGACGACGACCTCCAAATTGCAGACCACCGCCAAAGCCACGACGACTACAACTACTAACAAAGCAAAGTCTACGTCGACCACTACTAGCGAAGGCCCCGCATGGACGCTCGTCGCGTATACAGGCACAACATGCGATGACGATTATTACCTGTTGACCGGGCACAAAAACCAGGACTCGAAATGCATTGATCTGCCTGGGAACTACAAAGCCGGACCGGATGATCAAACTGGGGTCTATTGCAAGTATTTCACCGATGGTGGATTCAGCTCAAGTTCCTGTGCCTCTGCCCCCGTGGAGAAGTTTCTCTCGTGGTCGTTGACCGGGGGGTCTGTACGGCGTATGACAAGCCTTGCAGTAAATCCGGTGGCCAGGCGATTAGTATTGATTCCCAGACCGGTTGCCAAGCCGATGTGATGTTCAAACATGTTGAGATGGAATGGCGCTCTGTGCGATGCATGGTACATTGATCGGATGGGTAGGGTTTATATCATGGTGTTTTTAGTATTGTAAGGAAAGGCTGGCTAAATTGAACATCTCGTGTTTAGAATGCAACTCATGACAATATCTTCGTATCAACATACTGCATAGAGCAGCATATCAAAAGCAAGTATAAGCCAAATAAAGATCTTACGAGAGAGGGCCGTCACGGGTTCTTGTCACGAGTGAGCTGAAGCTGAAGCGGGGTAAATAATGCCCGATGTTTTTGTAACCACATCCCTGGGAATGCGCGATCGCTCCTGCGCTTGTGGGCTGCTTTTAGACTCGTTTCATAATTATTAGCCCGTCGCCATATCATAGATTTGGGTAGCACGACACTCTTGCCACCTTATTCCCCCGATCGTTCGCCCTCCCTGTGCGTCGTCTGACGCAGGTACAGTGATTGGCCCCGCTGGGTCGGGTTGACAACCAGGTCGAGTTGCACACAATGCCGCCCCAGGGGAAACGCCTCGTGGTATGTCTGGATGGCACATGGGTCAACAGCGATCAGGGGTATAATCGCCCCACCATTCATGATCCGAATTATACACTTCAAGTGCCGTCGAACGTGACTCGGCTCTATCGGGCCCTGCGAAAGAAGGGTCTTGATGGAATGAGCCAAGTCGTATACTACCACCCGGGTGTCGGTTCCTCGGGGTCTCTCTCAGATGAACTTGCTGGAGGAATCTTTGGTTCTGGCGTTGATGAGGTGGGTGCAAACTTGCCTTGATATTTTTAAAGTTATTTTCTAACGACGGGGGCAGAATATTAGAGAAGCGTATAGCTTCGTCGCGACAAATTACGAGCCCGGCGATGAAATCATCCTCCTCGGATTCTCCCGAGGTGCATTTACTGCTCGTAGCGTGGCTGTAAGGATCTCTGATGATAGCTCTGAGGAATGCCATGCCGTAGCTCATGATCAACCTAGGGACTCATCACTGAAATCGGGCTTCTCACCTCCAGAGGAATGGAGTATCTCTATCCCATTTTCAAGGATACAGAAAACTTCAGAAACCCTGACTACAAGGACAATTTTCCTACGATACCATTCCCCAACAAGCCCGTCGATCAAAGAGAGTATAAGCTACGCCTTGAAGATGTTTGTTACTGTTCGACCTCCATTTCTTCGTTATATTTCCACTGACACAATGACAGGAAAGACTCACCCGTCTCTATGACCCAGATGGATATCGCATCAAGGTCCGCTGCGTCGCTGTTTTCGAAACAGTGGGAAGTCTCGGCATTCCAGACTCAAATCTATCCAACAGTCTCAAAATACCTCGCTCCACAAGAGAATAAGTATTCCTTCGATCCACCTTATCCCCAACAAATAACTAACTATTCAATACATGCAAATGGTACGACACAGCCCTTTCCAACACAATTGAGCACGCTTTTCAAGCACTAGCTCTAGATGAAATTCGCACATCATTTGCCCCAGCCGTCTGGGAACGACCTCGCGGTGTCCGCACCGATCTCCGGCAAGTCTGGTTCTGCGGCGCGCACTCCAACGTCGGCGGTGGTCTCCCCGATCAAGAGCTCGCCAACGTATCCATGGCCTGGATGATGGACCAACTGGCTGATCTTGGTGTCGCCTTTGAGGAGGATACAATCGATAGAATCTTCCAAGAAAGTGTCTTGTACTATTACGATCAAGATCAAGACGGGAGACAAACGAATGACAGCCCCAAACACAATCGATGGAAACAATGGGCGGTTGATTCCATCTATGAGGAGCACAGGCCTGTACGGCCATGGGGTCTGGGTGAAATTATTCAACCGGACACCGGATTTTACAAATTAGGCGGGAAAACGACTCGCACTCCAGGAATGTACCGTCGTATCGATCCGGATACTGCAGTTCCTACACATGAGTTCCTGGAGAATACCAACGAGCGCATTCACCGATCTGTTCGGATTCGACTCGCCCTCGAGGGGTTGAACTATGATGATGTCGGTCTGTACAAGTGCCGCGCTCTGTTGAGAAAAGGACCGTGGCTACTTCAGAAAGTGCGGATTAGGTCACACCGGGAGATACACGATCGAGATGGCTATGGGGATGAGAAGGATGTTGTTCAGCAGAAGGATGAGTTGCGGTGGGGATGGGTGTATGATGGGCCTGCAGAGGAGATGCCTCCCTCTGTGATCATGCTGGAGGAGGTGTTGGGCCCGTATGAGAAGCAGCTTCTTGGTCTTAACAAGGGTACGTCTGCGCCAATGCTTCTCGGCTTCCGAGAATATTGAGCTAATTCCCTTTTCCCGATCCTAGGTCGGCCATTCTACAGAGCTATCTTGAGAGAAAACAGACGTTGATGGGAGAAAGAGACCGGCGCATGCGGTGATGAAGAGTTATTGTTACTGAAGACTTTTCCGAACCTGCGAGATCGACGTGGGCATATCCACGGAGTCCTATTTATGTCTTCCATTTCAGAGTTGAGAAAGTAGATTCATTCCACTCATGTATTACTCCGCTGCACAAAGCGGAATAATACCGGGATAGAATAGGCGAAAGAAAGGCAACCGTATTTCACATCCTATTTCAAACACCACAGTCATAGAGAATCTCCACTATGAATTGACCCGTGAGTATGGACATCTTGAGCATCCTGAGCCCTCTGCATTTCTTGACCCTGCTGGAAGCCCTCGATTGCCTCATATGGCTGGAAATGCGCTGCGCGCTCTCGACACGCAGCTGGCGTAAATCCATTGCCAACCTTCCCAGCGATGATCCGCCACTTGTCATGCTCATAGTCGCTCAGTGCGCGTTGAAGTCGTGATAGCTATAAAGCTTAGCTGATTTCATTCCCTAAAACATCAAGTGTGAGGATAATGCACCCACCATCTCATCTGTCCAGACCACATCTTTCGCCTTGAGTTTCGTGCAGTACCTCACCTGCAATGTACCACTCGTTCGCCCAGGGAAAAAGTCCGCAATTTGTTTCCAAGTCAGATTCTTTTCCTCTTTCAAGTCCACTAGTAGCGCATCCTCCTCGGGCGTGAATTTCAGCTTAGGGCCTCGAGGTCGAGGCGCCGGATCAGGCATCCCCGGCTGGCCAACTACGCTTGGAGGACCGCTGGAGGTTGTGGGCGACGTGTCATGAGCACTTAAAAGTTGGGCGGGAAGACGGTGGTGATGATGCTGCTGTGGAACTGGGAGAGCAATCGGCGGTGCATATACATGCGCCGAGGGTGCCAGCGATGTAGAAGCGTCGGCGTGGCCAGCAAACAATGTGCTCTCTTGTTCGGTGACGGTCGTGCTGTCAATAGCCAGTGCTGGCAGGGGCTCTCGCGGTCCAAAGGTGTGGTCCATATGACGATTATCTTCGCCGTCAGATCCGGAGCGTTTCCGCTTCCCAGTATCTTGGGGCGGCGTGAGCTCATAGCCATAGTGCGGCGGGGGTAGCATTTGATGCGTAGAGACATAGGTCGGCTGCGGGTCATGATATCCATTGGTCTGAGGTGCGGGATGAGGCAGCAGGGGTGCTGCCGCATGATGGTGTGGATCATAGGGAGGATGGGAGCTGTCAGATTGGAAGGAAAGCCCGGTCAACTTGTTTCGAGCATCGTAGGCAATTATATCATGATCATCGGGCTTGTCAGCGTGAGAGAAGTTGATCGCGAAGCCTCGAAACGGGTCAGCCAGTGATACGGACATGCATCGACCTTGCCAGGGGAACCCCGGCTGTTGACTTGTTAGATGTGATGGCCCAGAGTCAGAGAATAAGCGCTCCCAGAAAGGGACGAGGGACGGCTAAGCGTCCCAGGCTTTCACATAAGAAGCGTGTTATGAAGATAGGTGGAGAAAGGAAGAATAGTATGGTCAATTCTCAAAGGCCAGATAGCAAAAGATCCGAGTGAAAAGGGGTCGTGGGCCCAGTATTTCCCAGTGTCAATGGGGGACAAGAACTCGAAACCCAATGGAATGAAAAAGCATATTTGGGATGGACAAAGAGGCAAGTTTGCGACATCTGGTTCAGGGAGGGATGGAAGATGCAGCCTGCGGACGAAGTCGCATATATAATGTCTTCACCGAGGACACGTCTGGTCTCGGGGAGGTCTGCATGGCGGCCTAGGTGAGAAGATTCCAGTGCAAGCAAATTTCATCAGCAGGGTCGTGCGTGACCGGGGTTGAATTGGCCAGTCTTCCAATTGAAAGGATTGTAAACAAGATGCAAGTCACCAGCAATGACGACTTGATTCGAATCAATATCAAAAATGTCCAAAGCGCGCGGCTTTTCTTTTCCTTCTACCAATAAATGCAATCCCTTCTTATCCAGGACCCCCTAAAAACCGTTGTACTATAGAGAGGGATCTCTCTAGCCAACTGGATCCCCACGAGAATAGGCGAGACGAGAAAGGAACGGGCTGTCAGCCATGCGGAAGAGGGGAGGAGTTGGTTTAGACCTCTGCACCAGGATGAAGAGGGCCGTGGTAATTATGGTAATTCTCAGAAGTGAGGCCTGTATCGGATTACCAACAGTCCGACAAGAGCCGAAGGTCGAGGGAAACGCCCGTAAGATTGGCTTCGGGGGGCAAGCGGACCGTCCTCGACAGGGGTCCTATTCGCCGGGTGATAGGCCCCTGCTGGTTCTCCGTGTTGAGGAGGGTGTAGTAGGAGTGGGATTTGACAAGGTTCGGCCAATAGGCACTGCGTAGGATTCGCCAGAGAAGCAAGCTGGTGGACTGTACACCCTTGAGCGGGCTTCTCCAGGAGCGCTAAGGGCATGCGAGGGTCAATCACAGCGGGCCCATAGGAAGCCGACGAGGCCGGACAGGGGTTGAAACAATGAATCTGTCCAAGCCATCCGAAATGGGGAGAAATCTTGTCCTTGTCTTCGTTTTTGTTCTCTTGTCGTGTTCCTCCGACAGGAGTGTTCGTCAGGGGGGCGGGGGACAGACATCTGAAGAATCCTTACCCGAAACGCTCAACAGTAACATTGGGCTGTCAGTCTTCGAGGCGAATCAGGGACAATGGAGTTCCGAGTCATGACGGTGTTTGATTGGCAATGACTGGCGTCATGGATTAGTTATCAAAATCGCATTTTCGCCTGACTGAGATGGAGAGGCCCACAGGAAGAGGGAAGATCCGGGTGAGTGACCGATGTTCTCTCAAAGTGCAAGTGGGATGCGACCCATTCTCTTGTCTTTGCTCTTTCGTCTTCAGTCTCTTGTCTCTCTTGTAGTATGTAGTATTGGGCATGGTGTTGGTTTGCCTCTGCCATGCGCCTCCACGGGCCATTCGGGCAGATCCCTGCTCAATAGTCTCGTTGGCCTCGTTAGCCTCGCGGAGCTTGGGGGTGACAATGCATTGGCGTGCTGCGGATTTGCTTCTTGCATGAGAAGGAACGCCCTTCTGGGTCTGCCGGGATATCACCTTTCTTTTCCTGTGATTGTCAACGCCAGCTCACGCATGAGATCCAGGATTGGGCCCCCGGCTGACGATACTGGTGGCGTAAGACCCGATGACCTGCTTCTTTGTGGTCTTAAGCGCGCAATCACCTCACAGTATGATTGTCGGAGGTCATGGAACCTTCTCTTTGGCGTTGAATGGTGGTGCGATGGACGAGAGGGGATCCGCGCTGTCGGGTGGCTGCCCTGTGATCAAATCTTGCATTTCAATTTCAACCATCTTTGCCCAGCCTCATACCCACCCCTCGTATAGGTCTTCCATCAATCAGCGAATTTGTATTATCAAAATAAAGATTGATCGGACTTTCAACCAATACGGCCCCTCGGCTGTCTCTTGCCGAAACGAGCTGGACTTGTTATGCCGTCTGCCCAGAATGGATCTGCTACTGCATGCAATGGGAAAATGGAGCCGGGACTCTATGCTTGGACGCATTATTATCAAGCTCATGTTTGCGTGGCACCATGTATGCAAGCCATTTTTTATTTCGATAGGTTCTTGTGCTTCTGGACTTCTTGCAAAGTATCTCTTGATATGGTTGTTGGATCTAAGTGTAGCTCAGACGCGCCCAGCCTAGGATCTCATGCGGTAGGAGTTCAAGGGTAAGAAACGGTCCAACCAGCTATAGTTCAACAGACTCTCTTCTAAAAGGTCTTTTGAAAAGATCTTTAGATGTATTCTAGATCATCTATCTTAACGGCACATGCCATCGTCGTTTGGTCTCTCTCATGATTAGTAACATGGCCTTGAAGTCTTGTCCAAAGTTGTGGATTTCCACTGTACTGAATGAATGTGATCAGGCTGAATAACGTGGAAACTCCTTGTCTGTCTGAACAAGGGTGATCACTCGGGCTTCCTATATTAGACTAACTAAGACAAGGGCTCGTCATGCTTAGGGCGTGTGGAGGGATGCCTTGGGGCTCAATGCCTGTAGAGGAGGGTGTCGAGTGATCAATCTCGAAAAGAAGGGCGTGTTCTTTGGAAAGGTCCGCTACAGCTTCCAGGTTCCCAGAGTAGTAATGAGTGCCTATAGCTTGGGAATAGTGAGTAAATCTCCAAGAAAATCTACAATATATGCGCAAAAATGGTAGGGCCTCACATACTAGTTATTTGGAAGTAGGTATCTATCTCTCATTAAGTTTCCTGTTCTTAATCCTAAGACTCCTAAGACTATACCGAACCACGTTTTCAAGTTGATTCTCGAAATGTTTAAATCTCGTTGAAGACCCATACTTGCCGCAGGTATACCAAACAACCCATGTCTATATCTAAGTTTCTACCAACCTCCTAGAACATGGGAACCTTGATACAAAGGCAATTCATTGCTTGTTTAGCTAAAAATTCGCTTGATACATGAAATTATGATTGTCACCATACACAAATAAGACTGGCAAGATACATAGATAATACAAAGAGACAGACGCCCCGGAAACTTGAAAGTAAAGCATGGCTTTTTACTGTGAAACGCCCACCAAGACTCATGAAAACCAGGATGGATGAGAACATCCCTTACTCGAAATTGTCTGTCCGATCGACCCAGATATCTTCCAGCTCAGCGAAGTTCTGGAAGTGTAGAGGGCGGTGCTGGTCATCGTAGAAGCGCAGCGGAGTGTCGATCTTGACGTAGATAGGTCGCTTCTCGACACTGCCAAACGAACTTCCCATGAAGCTGTAATTCCACAGGTTGTCCTCGGGAACCAGGAAGTAACCACGGATACGATCACTCAGCAACAGCTGGCACTTCTCACCCATGCTGGTGGAGAAACCCTGCGGCTGGTCTGAGCTCATGTCCTTGTTCTCAGCACCCCACTTGTAGCCATCGGGAGTCAGACCCCAGGCAGCAAGGGAGACGGAGCCAGGAGTGAAGGACACAGTCATGGTTACAGTCTTCTTGTCCCACGAGGGGTGGGCATTCATCAGACGGGCGTGCTGTGTCACATCTGCGGCAGACATGTATGGTGGCTCATTGCCCGAGACAGTGTGAATGACGCCCAACGGCTCCAGACCGTTCAGGTAGTCATGCTGGGGCAACTGGTGCGGAAGCTGAACATCCCGGGTGTTGCCGACCTGGGGAACCATAACAATAGTACGGACCTCCTTGACCTGATCGTTGTCGGGCGGTGAGCTACCGTAGATGTAGCCGGTGACTTGGACACGAAGATCAGCGATGGTGATGAATCGCTTGAGGACGTTCTTCGGCATGATATAGGTGTAGCCATCATCACGGATGTCGTCCGAAGAGACATAGATGTTGTTTGACCTGGTCCGCAAGTTCGAGGTCGCGATGGCGCGAGTGCGCCATTCGGTCTTCGAAGCAAAGGACTGCTGCTCGTACTGCGAGGTTGTCGTAACGATGATATCCTCACCGCGCACGTTCTGAGTCTTAGTCGTAACGGCAGTCAATTGCTTGGCCTCCTCCTGCTGCTTCTCAATTTCGGCTGCCTGCTGACGCTGCAGCGAAGGTGCACTAATCTCCATACCCAGGATAATATCCCGAACTTCAGAGCTAGTCAGGCTTTGCACGTTGACATTGTTCTTCTTGCCATAGTCGTTCAAGATCAGATCACGAAGCTGCACTTCAACCTTGATCCAATCCTCATCGGAAAGAGAGGGCCAGATGTGGTGTTCCTGAGTGATCACAGTCTTGTCAGGTCGAAGAATGATCTTGGCCTTGTCGATATTGACATGAAGGGCACGAAGAATCAAGACCAAACGGGAGAAAGCAGTGTAGGGAGAGATGGACTTGAGCCACTCATCGTAGAGGTTGAACAGAACCATTTGAGGCTCCGTAGCCCGAAGGATCATATCGGCAAGCTTCTCGACCTTCATGGCAGCCTGGAAAGGCAGCTGAAGCTCCGAGGCACGAATAGAGATGTTGGGGAAGTCAAGCAGGTGGACTTCCAGGGGATCCAGCAGACCCTTACGAGTGACGATAAGCTGCTTCGGTTGCTCTTCCACAGGGAGGGATCGGATGAGCGCGGCAACTTCTTCGGCTGTCTTCCACTTGGCAAGCTGACCCAGACGCTTCTGGCCAGCCCACACACTGGTGTGGATGATCTTCAAGAACAGCTGTCCAGTGCGAGGGTTGAAAATGAAGATGGCACCGTTGATGGGCTTGGTGGTCAAGTTACCCTCAAAAGTCTTGTGGATGGTGACACGATAGACATTGGTGTCATCAATGAACAGCTGGATCTGGGGACTGAAAAGCTCAGAGTAGTTCTGGGAGTTGAGGAACTCTTGGTTGCTCTCCGAGGCATACAGCTGAAGACCCTTGC